AATGCGATGAAACCATGCTCGAAAACTTCGACAAACATCTACAATTGCCAATTGAAGGGGCCGATTTGACTCGATTGCTCACTAACGGAAGGCAAAAACTAGATGTATGTTTCAGATATAATGTTTTAGATTTTTCTTATAGTTATTCAGACTTCAAATTTTCTTGTTTGCTATCTGCAATTCAAGTTTAATACATACATATGTGAACAATGTTAAAAAAAAATTAAGAAGCATTGTTCATTGGATTAGATATTGCTCCAACGACGGATCAAGCTACTTCAGTTGCTGTGCAAATCAAAGAGTCTGCGATTACTTTCATGTAGTTATGCGAATGTTTCACTAAATAACACCATGTACTTTTAGCGATCGCCTTCGTTCAAATTATAACGATCAGAAAGGATCTCACCACGCTAGCAAAGTTATGGCGCATAGTTTGGCTATCAAAATTGGAAAAGAGCACCAACTCAAAAAACTGAAGCCCGATGCCGCTGAATATTTCAATCAGCATTTTTCTATTTAATTGAAATTTGATATTTCTAATGTTAAACAATTTATTGTATTTTTCTTTTTTTTATTTTGTTGTTTTCCGTTTACTGTTGTTTTTTCATAAAAACCATCCAGAAGAAAAATAGACGCAAAATAGATGAATAAGAGACAAGAAGTAGACAAAAATGGGTTAAAAAAAGGATGAATCATGGATGAGAAATAGATAGAAAACTGATGAAAAATGCAAGAACGAGGGACAGAGACAAGACATAAAATGAATGAAAAATAGATGAATCCAAGATGCTAAATAGATAGAGAATGGCTGAGAAATAGATGAAGCGCTGATGAAAAATAGACTTGAAAATAGATCTGTTACAGATCCCTCTTTCATCCAAAGTCTGCACTATTTTTCAACTATTTTTTAACTATTTTTCGTCTGTTAGCGCAGTTGCAGTGATGCTCATTGATTACCCAATACCCAATTTGAGACAGTTGATTTTGATATCCTTGGCCATCAAAAATCCGTCATGGATGCCCCCCCCCCGCCGCCGCCATAATTTGAAATCGACCCGCTTCCGGTCACAAATGCGATTCGCTTACGACGACGACGTCACCTATCACAATATTTTTTTTCTTCACGAAAAACACGCATCCATATCGTCGTCGTCAAAACCTTGATGCTGAATAATTCAAAACGGTCCCCCCCCACCCATTCCTCCCTCTCTCAGCTCGACCCGCTTTGGTAATCGCATAACAAGGAAGCTGATTTCCGACTAAACGTGTTTCTAGTTGAGTCGACTTCGCAGATTGTGTAGGTGTTTGAAGGGACCTCATTGATGATTCCGAATTTTTTCGCATGCCACTCGAATATTGAAAATTCCGGTGTACCGGACAAATCACTTTTTTTTCTTCAAATGAGCGCAAATTAGAAATATGACGATTTTCTATACTATAATATAAATACATACTATGCTATTGTCGGAATCAAACGACATGACGAAATTTTAAAAATTATTGGCTATGTGTCAATGCGTACGCAAGACTGCGTACATTGCATTATAGTGTACGCGCATTTAATATTCAGTCAACGATTAATTTAAATCTACACTGATTAGATTTCGCGAGTTTGAATGCCCCGCCTCCCTTCAGCCGTTTGACGGCTACAATAAACTATAACACACTATAATATATGTATATTTTATATATATAAGCTGAGGCCATTTTAATTATATATATAGTTAATGCCTATTTTGTTAAAGCCAATTAACCGATGCACCTTTAAACGGCCAATCGAATTATCCATCTCATTTCAAAAAAACAATGATGCCTTCGCCGTAGGACCCAGTTATTCAGGCCCCCTATCGCGGCCCGAAACCTTCGCCACGCCCACTTTGTGTATTTCCCTCAACTACATATAATTCATTGCGTCGGCGATTTCCAAAAATGGGGTTTCTTAATTTTTTTTGGGTTTTCTTCAAATTCACTATTCGAAATAAATTACGTCATTTTTAAACACCCCCTTTTGGAAAAAAATGAGTTGAAAACATTTTTCAAATGTGACAAAATTTGACATTTTTGAGTTTTTTTTTCGAATTCGACAAATTGATAGGAAATTGTCCGCAGCAGAAAAATAAGAAAAAAAATAGGGGAGGAGGGATGCCGAAAAATATCGACAAATTTTGAAAAATGGTTTTTTTTTAATTTAATTAGCATTGTCAATTAAAAAAATATATTAAATTCCCTCATTTTTATTCACCAATTGAATTCGGATGTTTCTTTTCTCACCAGAAAAAAAAACCCCGGGAAAAGCGATTTTGTTGTTCACAATTTCTTATTTTTTTCGGATTTGTATTTAGACGTCTATTATAGAATACCAGTTTTTGAAAATAACCACATTATTACGCATGGAAAAATTGAACAACTAATATGTGCAAAGTCGATTCCGAAATAGTTCGCCGTGTCTTTTGTTTGACTCGCTTTCCCCCCCTCTCGAATCCTTCTTTCAATTTTTTTTTGGATTGAATTTCATCCTTCAACACCTTCTCATCTATTGTTCCGATTTCAACAACGTCACTTAGTTGTGTTTCGAGCTTCAACTAATACTAATTCATCAAATGTGGGCGTGGCCGAATGGGCCGCAATGCTATTGTTAGATTCCCGAAATATCTATTGATGAAGGCGAATTATTGTTGATTTCAGCCCTTCGAGCCATCGTCGACGACACTCTCGAATGGCCAACATACGTGGGGCGATCATCATCCTCACGGTTTTATTGGGTACTGTCTTGCAATCGAATGCCACTCGTCAGTTTTTTTTTACATTTCCCCTCAAGGTTTACCACGACTTATTGGGAAACATTGCTCAGATTTTTTAATTTGAGTTTGTTTTGAAAGAAAGGCAAAAATTTATTTTTTTTTTTTTGAAGATTCACAGGTTTCAATTGAAATTTGGAAAAAAATGCGATGGTCCATAATTACTCAACGTGCTCGTTTCTTTTTGTGCTACTTCGTTACACTTCACTGCACATTACTTCTCAATAACGTCCCCCAAAATCCATTTTTAGACACGAACCTAATTTTCGAAAAAAAAATGCGAAGACTCCAATTTTGCATTTTTTTTTCCTTTTTTTTAAATTAGTCTTATTTCGCCGAATTTCAAGAGAAAATCGTTTGCCAAAAAATATTTAAAATCACTTTTTTTTGTAAAATTCCATATTGACAAATATTATTGCAAATATTTTTTGGTTAAAAATAGCGGCTCTTTATGTTTTCAGAGGCGTTGCGGTTCGCGTGCGGTCTCGCTCATTTTTTTTCTCAAATATATTTTTTCATTGTAGTCTGTTAGGGTGTAGAAGTTGCGCTCTATTGTTGAGTCGGGTCTCACAACTACCGATATTCAAGCAGCGCTCTGTTATTTTTGTGTTCTCCGTGGGGACTACACCCAAGGGTCTATTCGTGGCGAGACCATCGCGGGCTTTTCGTCGGCATTAGGCAATAAATTGTCGAAGAGCGTATGACGTGCTCTATTGTAGCGTTCGGTCTCGAATGTCGATTTACGCCACACTGTCCGTGTGGAGTACACAACGCGTGAGTCGCCGTCTCGGGACCTTCGACAATATATTAAAATTGCAAATTGAAACGAGCACACTTGCATACTCTAATTTATAAATTACTATATTATTGTGGAAAAATGACGAATGTGAAAAACTGCAGCGATATCCTATGTATTGTGTGCGTACACCAAGTCGCACAGTTCAATAAGAGCTACAGTAATCTCAACGGAAAATTATTTAATCGATTATTCAAAAAAAATTCTTTCTGTGTTTTCTTGGTGAATTTATGGTTTCATGTATATTGTTGTGTTGAAAAGTGTAATAGTAATTATTATTGTATATTATTCAAAGTTAATTGTTCTATATAAAAAGAAACGATCAATAATTAATAAAATAAATTTCAGTTGAGATTACTGTAGCCATAATCGAGATGTGCGACTCGGTGTACGCACACAATGCATAGGAAATCGCTGCAGTTTTTCACATTCGTCATTTTTCCACAATATATGTTTATATAGTTTAAATCGAAATTTGAAAAACATTCGATGGTCCGCAAAAACCCATGGGTTCCCATTTTTTTCAATTAATTCATTTGATAGTTCTACGTGTTCGAGACCTGCAAGCAACCATATTTGGTAATACTCGCTCATCGAATACCTCATTACTCGCAAATTCGCACATTGATTCATATCTAATCATTTTTCATATTTGTCACGTAATTGCGAGACGGGCAAATTTCTCAAAATTTCTAGACCACTATTTTTAGAATTGTCTAATTCTTCCGATATACGTTGTTCGGTGATTATTAGTACATAAATGGCAATCAAATGGAAAAATTTCCGGCTCGGACGTTATGTTTTTATATATTTTTCCTTCTACCTTAACTCCGAAAAAATAATGAGTCTTAGACTATAATAAAAAAAAATCGCGTCCATGATGACATGGTTCAGATGTCGGGTTGAGATAGCTCAAAAACCAAATCGAGAAAATTAATTGGAAAAAAAATAACACAAAATTGACGTCGTTTCAACACACTTCCCATTTTTCAGAAATTCCGCTGAGGTTACGGCAATATCTCGCCAATCGTCACGCCTACTACGAATTGCAGCCAATCTTGTTTCAACGATATCAAAGGCACGTAGTTTTCACAAATAACGGAATTCCAAAGTATTTTCGTCGACATCCGACGCGCGTTTCTTTTTTCAGACACGAAAAACCGCGACCGCTTCGATTTGGCTGACACACCTGAACATGATTCTGTAATTCTATTGAATAAATCATCAAATGTTATCAATCTCAATATCTCTTTCATTTTTCTACATTTTTCGATGCTTTCGCCCCTTATTCCTCGATGAATTTTTTATCGACTTTATATGACGAATTGAAATGAGTGAGGGTGGAATATTTTTTTTTTAAATTTTAAATATTCGTCGACGATTCAATCAACATGACCTACTCTTGGTCACAAGTGCGCGAATTGTTGGCCAAACTTCTTCTGGAGTCTCGCTTTCTGAGAAGCGTCTAGAACCTGAGACACACGCTTCACAGTACCCGGGTCGAACAGCTTCTTCTGGAAAAAAAAACGAATGAAATCATTGATAAGGAATGTTTTAATGTTGGAGACGATCAGAAGCAATAGGAGTAGCAATAGTCAAAAATAATTTCAAATTTTTACTTTTTAATGTATATACATATTTTCTAAAGCTTCAAAAATCTATGGGAAAATTTAATTTTAACCTGTTTTTGGAGTTTTTTTCCAAATCTTCATGGTAGTAAATAAAAATATTTATTTTGCGCCTATTCTGTATTCAGTTTTTATTTAAGAATTTCTGGGCTTCGTAAATCGACAATAAAGCCAACCGCAAAGACCCAAAGGCAGAAAATCGAAAAAAGAATGATCTTGAAGAGAAATCTTGACATATATGAGCCTCATAGCCATTTTTTTAAGACCCGCCGACTAATTTGGGGTGGTCTTGCATGATTCCACTTCGGGTCTCGTATGGAACTATTTTTAGAAGTGGAATTCACATTATCTGGCTATCATGGACTCATTTTGTTCTGCGGGGGACCAATTAAATGACAGGTTTTCAAAATATCCCAATTCGTCCATTCACGACAATTCTTAATTACTAAATCACCAATCCAACTCGTCCAATTCAAATTGCCTTTAAAACTATCGCATTTTTGAGCAAAAAATTGGTACCTCTAATCGTTTCCTGACTTCTTCGCGCTCGCTAATTTCCTCGACATCTCTTCGCCGTCGCGTTTTCCATTTTTCGCCAATGATATCGATTCCTGTGCGCCTTTGAATATCCCTTTAAAAAACACACACACACAAACAATGCCGGATTTAGTTGGTCGAAATTTGGTTACTTGGCTATTTTCGCGTCCTCATTCCTTCGTTTTGCCGCCGCCATCGCGTCAATTCGTGTTTTCTCCATCGAGCTCAATTCCTTTAATGGATTCCCAAAATCATCACGTTCAACAATTGCACCATGAAGTGGGCATCGTTCGAAATCTCGCCTTGGGCACAATGAGCCATTTTTCATTTTCGCGCGACAAACTTTATCAGACTTTCGTTCTTTTCCAACATATGTGATCAATCTCTGGGTATAAATCGATTCGCTAGCCAACGATACAACAGTACTGAAAAAAAAAATAATAGAGGATATCAGAATGAAGAATAAGTCTCACTCTTCATCAGGCGCTCTCCAGAATCGATGACAATCCGAATTATTCTTGGTAATCTGTACATTGCTTCTTTCTTCGCCCCAATATTTGAGATCCAAGCCATAAGGAACGAGAGGAATCGAATTCGAAGTCGACGGCTCATCAGGATCAACTATCTTTGCCTTCATCTTAACAACTCGCTCTTCGTGCTCCTCTTCCCGTGGCTTATTATAATGCATAATAAGGAAATCATCAACGGGAAGATCATCAACGTCGACAAATTCATCCTCCTCGTCTTCGTCGATTTTGATTTTTTTTCGCTTTCGATTCCAGCCAATAATTTTCAGATCTTTCGCTTTCAGTGTAATTTTTGTAATGTCTCGTTGAAGATTATAAAGCGACGCACGGAATTCTTCGATTCCGCTGGTTTTCAGCTCATTCGATTGATCGATCATTCTGAAAATCAATAACGAATTAGGCTTCATTGTTTCAAATGTCTTAGGCAAAAATTTCTTTAGTCTAGTATTTATGAGATAGTAAAGATAAAAAAATGCAATTTAAAATAAATATTGAGAAACCTTTTCAGCTTTTTGACGTGAATTTTCATAACATTTTTCAAATCCATAATCGTCTCAACAATTCCGTCATTTTCGGGGCTCATTACAATTTCGGGATTAATGTTTGAAATCACAACGGTTAAACTTGAAGGTATTGCCGTTTGATGACTGGAATCCTATAAATCATTTTTATAGCATAAATATTCTCTAAATTATACCTTATATTCGATTTCATTTTCAAGTTCAGTGAAATTTGGAACAAGAAGATTGATTGCATTGTTCAACTGAGTTATTGATATTCGTGCTTCTTTGTTGAACGTCTCAAATTTGAGTTTGAGGATCTCAAGCGTCTAAAAATAGGCAGTTGAATACTAAATAAGGTAAATATGAAGATTTTGGCTTAAAAAATTTAAAAAAAAACTGGTTTAAACTAGTTTTTTCCACAATATTCATTTTCTCACCCGCTTCGCAATTTTTGCTTTAGTTCTTCGGATTGCGCGAGCCTTGGCGCTTTCCTTCGAAACTTTTGCACTTGGTTCCGCGTAATTTACAACCTAAATAATTTCAAAATTGAACAATTTTAATAATTAAAGCACCTGTGAGTTCTTTAGCGAGATAGTTATAAGTTTCAGAACAACATAATCTTTCACAAACTTCTTCTCCCATCCTTTCATCACATTTATCGCTTCTTCTCTCAATTTTCTTTTAATTTTCTCATGACCTGGTAATGGCCGATTTTTCGGCTCGGTTTCCAAGAACAATTCCATGAATGTCTGAAACGAAAACAAAAACGCCTAGCAACCGAAATTCCCTCGATGATTACCTACCAAGCCATTTTCTAACAGTTTCTCACGAAATTTGTGACATCGTTGAAATATGTAATCAATCATGCTTAATAGAACAATTCTATCCGAGCATATTGCACGCTGAAAAACGAACAAAAAATTTGAATAAGCCAAAATCGCAAACCTGCGCGACTTTTAGAAATGTTTTCACAACATTCTCTACATAAATATCGTTATTTTTCTTTAATTCGGTACAGATAGCAATAAACGAATGGGAATCCACACTTGCGCATACTCCTTCGCTTACCTTAAAACAATTATATTTTATTTTCTCTCGCATATAGAATTGTCTCTTTTCTATTTACCTCTCTCAAAACGCGGTTGATCAACGACCTAATATGTTTTTTATTATCTACATCGTTTGACATCTGAAAAATGATCTATAATAAATCGTTCCACGTTTATTCGGGAAAATTTCAATTTCAGGCGAAAAAAATCGCCCAATTCCTCCGAGAATATCGAAACGCGTTGCAAACGCGCCCCACCGCTAACATCGTGATGGCCTAGATTGCGGCGGCCGACGGAAATTCGAAAAATATTTTCAAATCGGCGCGTCTCGTGATTTTCTGTTATTTTCTTCTCGTGTTCGCGCTGATTCAAGAATCGTTGTAAACGATTTTCGGAAACTTCATCGAAAAATTGCGCTCCAAATTTGCCGAAAATTATCGCGTTTCAATATTTTCCAATGATTTTCTTGTAAACGAAATTAGGACGAATACAGTTTTTTTTCAGAGATAAAAATTGTTCAAATTTCGTCATGATATTTAACTAAATAGATAAAATGTTTTGTAATAGCCTTTTTGAACATTCTATTCATGTTTATACTAACGAAAGCGCAGAAAACGAAATCTCACATTAAAGGTACATCATTAGGATAGTTTATAGAATGAACACTAAATTGATAGAAGTGCTTCGAGTAGTTAATAGAATTTAATAGTAGAATCTTCCAACGCGCATTTCCAATCTTAGACGGCTTTGCGATCTCATGGAAACTCTATTCACTTAGAATTATTCTGGGTTTATTTCGTTCTTAAAAATTTGTTATTAAGAATTAAATCAATTTTTAAATCAATTTCTAAATATTTTTCTAAAATATCCGTCTACTAGATTCACACCTTAACAGCCAGACCTGTCTTGGTGAGACCCAGTTTTGGCGCGTCTTTTAAATTTTTCGCACCTCAACCGACGCCACATTATATGGAACATAATCGCGCGTGGCACATGTGTTCATTCTATTATACTCCGATTGCAAATAGGTGGTTTTAAAAATTGTTCGGCGTCGCTGTCGGAAATTGATTACGAGCTCTACCCTCCTTAGCAACCCATTTCCCACCATCACCATTATCCATTACCCCGCTGTCCTCGTGCGTTTGTCGTTTTATTGAAATTCTTCCACACTCGTTTCATCGAATTTTTCGGTATTTTTTACAGAACTGGGATAGCCGGAGTTATCCGAATCACTTCGTGTGCGTGAGTGTGTGAGAGTGTTGTGTGAGCGAACCAAAAAAGAAAGAAAGAATTGAAATTCTGAATCGAGATCGAGCAAGAAACTGCGAATCGTCGACTGTGTCTGAATATTTATATTATTCTACTTTACTAGAATCTGTTGTTCTTTTTTTTTTTAATTTTGTGAGAGGCTTCTATTCGTCGTCTTCAAGAAGGGAGCGCCGTATTCGGGTGGAGCCAGTGCGTGTGTTGGTGTTATTTTATTGAGTGTGTGAATTACTGAATTTTGTCTATCGTGAAAGAGAGGTATTTCGAGAATTGACGACACCGCCGAAGTCAATGTTTGCATGATTTACAGAAATGACAACGGTATCACCGAATGCATTATTGGCCGAGGCCAGACGACAGTTCGTTGAAGGTGAAAAACTTGACATCAAGCTTCTCGATGAGGTAGAGAATTGCGAAATATGAGTTGTGAAACGAAATATCGACGTTTTAGGTGATAACCATTATGAATCATTCACATGGTGACCTTCAAAAGGAGGCAAATTTAATCTTGACGAATCTCAAAGAGGATCCGAACTCTTGGACAAAAGTTGACGCAATTTTGCAGTTCTCCGACCTTAATGAATCCAAATATTTTGCATTGCAAATTTTGGAAAATGTCATTCAAACAAAGTAGAATAAAACCGATCTAAAATCGTTATTGGGTCCTATTGCGAAATTTTAGATGGAAATCGCTGGCGGTGGTGCAGCGCGAAGGAATCAAGAATTTTATCATCACAATGATGCTTCGATTGAGTTCGTCACATGAGGAAATGTCGGCGAATTCGTTGCTTCTTCAAAAATTGAACCTGGTATTAGTTCAGGTGAGAATTTTAGAGAAGGATTGATTCGAATTAAACTCGTGTGTTCATAGATTGTCAAACAAGACTGGCCCAAAAATTGGCCATCGTTCATCACAGATATCGTGGAATCGTCGAAGACCAATGAAACCGTTTGCATCAACAATATGAACATTCTCAGCTTGTTGAGGTAATCGTATCCCACAATATCTCTCGCTACTAGAAATGCTCGTGGGCTTGATTCCACTATTCACGTAGAAATTTGAATTAATGCGTCAAAAACAAAATGAACCTTCGAGAAGTACAACAATTGATGAACTCAAGTATTTATGATAATAACGAAAAATTGTGCTGATAACAACGCGAATATCAATTTATTGCCTATTGCCCCCCATTTATTTATTTTCCAGCGAGGAAGTTTTCGACTTTGGATCGCAGAACTTGACGCAAGCCAAAGAGCAACATCTCAAGCAACAATTCTGCGGGCAATTCCAAGATGTTTTCACGTTGTGCGTCAGCATTCTTGAAAAGTGCCCATCAAACTCGATGGTCCAAGCGACGCTGAAGACATTGCATCGATTCTTGACGTGGATTCCCGTTGGTTATGTCTTCGAAACCAACATCACGGAACTTCTCTCTGAAAACGTAATTCATTCGGCGAATTTTTCGATTGCAAAAATCGACATTTTTCTTTTTCAGTTCCTCTCGCTGGAAGTTTATCGAGTTATCACCCTTCAATGCTTGACCGAAGTGTCTTTGATTCAAATCGACACCAACGATCCGAGTTATAATGAGAAGCTCGTTACAATGTTCTGCTCGACGATAAAAGAAATTTCGAATCTTCTCGGGCCCGATCCGGATTTGGCGTCTGTGTACAAACAGGCGACTGATCAGGACCAGACTTTCATCAGCAGTTTGGCGCAATTCTTGACTGCCTTCATAAAAGAGCACATCAGTTTAATTGAGGTAATTCATGCGATTATTATCGAAAATTGAAAACGTAATTCAGATTGTTGATCCGATGACTGATCGACAGAAGATCATTAACGAGGCGCATAATTATGCTCTCACTCTTCTTCTCAATATTTCGTTGGTCGAAGATATGGAGATATTCAAGGTGTGCCTTGATTGCTGGTGCTGGCTGACTGCTGAACTCTATCGCGAATGCCCTTTCATTCCGCCGACGTCGATTATCGGATTCCCGAACTCCTATCGCGATCATCCGCGCAGAAGACTTTACTAGTAGGAGAAGAAGGCTTTTTAGAAAATTATAGTTGATATTATTATTATAGTGACCATTTGTCGCGTCTTCGTTCGATCATGATCTCGAGAATGGCGAAACCCGAAGAAGTTCTTGTTGTCGAGAACGATCAAGGCGAGGTGATTCGAGAAATCGTCAAAGATACTGACTCGATTGCGTTGTACCGCAACATGCGCGAAACATTGGTGTATTTGACGCATTTGGACTGTAAAGACACCGAGATGAAGATGACTGAACGATTGGCGACGCAAGTCACCGGACAAGAGTTCTCGTTCAAAAATTTGAATCGATTGTGCTGGGCGGTTGGCTCGATTTCGGGAACGATGAGCGAGGAGGACGAAAAACGATTTTTGGTGCTCGTTATTCGAGGTTAGGCGGATTTCGATAAAATTGTTTTCTAATCAATTGACTTTTCTCAGATTTGTTGGGACTTTGCGAGCAGAAACGCGGTAAAGACAACAAGGCAGTGATTGCCTCGAATATTATGTACGTGGTTGGACAATATCCGAGATTTTTGCGGGCTCATTGGAAATTTTTGAAAACGGTAAAACATTGAGCGTCATGAGGGCGTTTGGTTTCATCGTGAATTTCAGGTTATCAACAAATTGTTTGAGTTTATGCACGAGACGCATGAAGGTGTCCAAGACATGGCTTGTGATACATTCATCAAAATTGCCATCAAATGCAAACGTCATTTTGTCATTGTAAGCAATTTTTATTAAATTTTTTGTCAATCTTAAAAATTTGTTAGATGCAACCTGGCGAGACGAAGCCATTTATCAATGAGATGCTTACGAATTTGAACGGAATAATTTGCGATTTGACGCCAGCACAAGTGCACGTATTCTATGAAGCTGTTGGGCATATCATCTCGGCGCAAATTGATCCGGTTCTCCAAGAGCCGCTTATCGATGAACTGATGTCACTGCCGAATCGCCTTTGGGCGGATATTATATCATCGGCTGGAACAAGCGATTCGGTTTTGGAGGATGATGAGGTTTTGACAATGCGAATCTATGCTTTATATCTGTGGACGTTTTAGACCGTCAAGAGTATTCTGAATATCTTGAAGACGAATGTCGCCGCGTGCAAATCAATTGGAAACGCGTTCGTTTATCAATTGGGAAATATTTATATGGATCTCTTGTCGCTCTACAAGTGAGTCTTCAAGTCGAGACCAATATTGTTGACGTAATTCCGACAATGATTAAAAAATTGCAGAATTTTGTCCGAGAAGGTCTCGAAAGCTGTCCAAATGAACGGCGAGGACATTTTGAAGAATTCGCTTGTCAAATCGATGAGAGCTGTCAAACGCGAGATTCTCATTCTGCTTTCCACATGGATTTCGAAGACGCAAGATGCTCCGGTTCGACTTACATTTTTTTGAGAATTTTAAAATAATTATTTGATTTTTCTCGAATTTTCAGCTTGTACTCGACAATATCGTTCCGCCATTGTTTGATGCCGTGTTGTTCGATTACAAGAGAAATGTGCCGCAAGCGAGAGAGCCGAAGGTGTTGTCGCTTTTGAGTATTCTCGTAACTCAACTTGGCGTATGCTTCATGATTTTTGGGTGTTGGCATTGATTTTTGAAAAATTTAGAGCACATTATCACCGCAAGTGCCGAAAATTCTTGAAGCTGTATTTGAGTGCACCCTTGAAATGATCAATAAGGATATGGAGGTTTCGCGAATAATTATTCGCATTATTTGGGATTGATTTTGAGTGTTTTTAGGCTTTCCCAGAGCACCGTACCAACTTTTTCGAGCTCATCCTTTCGTTGATTCAAGAATGTTTTCAAGTGTTCATGGAAATGCCGCCCGAGCAATTCTCGTACATCATTGATTCCGTTGTGTGGGCATTCCAGCACTCGATGAGAAATGTTGCCGAAATTGGTGAGTTTGTTTTTTCTTTAATTTTTTTCATATTAATTTCAATATCGAAACATTTTATCGTGCAACTCATCAGCAATTTACAACCTTGAACAACCATTTAGTTTTGGAATGATTTATAGTCGATGACATTTGCGACCGAATCGGGTTTTCCTTGACGTTTCAAATACTCCATGTACTTTTGCGCGTGCTTCTTGAAGTGTTCCGCTTCGCGTTCGTCGGTGAAATCGGTGATCTCGTTATCTTGATCGGAATTCTCGATGCAATGCCTCGACATGCACCAGATTTGATGGTGTGCCGCCTGTTTTGATGTCATGAAATCATCCGGCGGAAATTTGTTGTCGAGTGTCGAGTGCACAATTCCGGTGAGCAATTTTCGAGCCAAACTTGGCTCGGCGGCGCTTGCTCTCGCGAGTCCGATGCCATCGGTGATATTCATGTTGATGGCGCTTACCATCTTCTCAGTGGTTTGCCATCCGCCAGTGATGTACACTCGCGTGTACTTTAGCGATTTCTTCACCAATTCGACGAATTCGAGAAAATAGGATTGGCGAGCGATCGAAGTTGCCCGACGATTCTCTTGCGCTTCGTTGATGACGCTTTCCATTGCGCCGCCGGTGATCTCAATGAAATCAATTCCGACCTTCTGAAATTTTTGAGTTATTTGGTGTCCGATTTCAATCATTCACGTCAAATATGGAACAGAGCTCTACAACATCGTCGTCGCTGAAATTGTTTTGAAAATCGGCCGAATTCAATTTAAGGCCAATCAGAAATCCGCTAGGCGCTGGAATTTCGTCGCGAATTGCGTTGTAAATGTCGACGATGATTCGCGCGCGATTGCGAAGCGTTCCACCATATTCGTCGTCTCTTGGATTATTTGGTGATAGAAATTGGCATAATAGCATTCCAAATGCGGCATGAATGCAGATGCCATCGAATCCTGAAATTGTTCACCATTTTCCCACAATCATTCGAGGTCGGAATTACCGCAGTTGCTTAAAAGTTTCGAAGCGTACACAAATCGATGTATGATGTCTTTTTGAATTTGACGTTTTGAAAATTCTAGAGGATTTTCGATTTTGTCAGCCAATTCGTGCTTATTGCCATCGGCATCGGTGTACGATAATAGTGCTCCAGCTCCTAGCTATAATGATCCACTAAATCAATTCAATTTATTATGCGATCAAATTCTTACATGATTGAGTTGAGCGATCGCCAATGCGTAGTTGACCTTCATCGCTCGGCTCATTTTTGCATACCATTCTCGCATTATAGGCGAATCATTCTCTTTTGCCACAATTCCTTGTCCCGCTTCTCCGGTGTACTTCTGAAGGCAAGAATTGTACATATATTGATGTCATCGTTTTGTGGCGCGTACAGGATCAACAATCAAATTGCCAGTGAAAATCGTGCCCCATCCGCCGAATCCCCATTTCTCGTAGATGTTGACAATTGCTGTGTTGGGAACACCGCGCGTCTTCTCGTCGCCACCATTCCAATCGTAGAGTTTCTCCGACATTGGCGCTTTCGCGAGACGATTCAACGCGATTTTGCCGTTTCGAAAATGAATGTGCTCGCCGAGCGGTTTGCTGTTGACGCATTCGGTTTTGATCCGAGCTGGCATGACTGGAAACGATGGAAATGAGGCGAGACGAAAATTTACAAAAAAAAAAAGTGAAAACGCAAAAATGTGTTTCAATAGAATTGAAATTGTCATCAAAGAGTGGCGCAAAGATCGTCCAATTGGCGAAAGCTCGGTTCTGCGCGGCGACGACTCGGCACAATTAATGTTTACTCGTTGTCGGAAACTGTTGACAATTGTAACTTTGTGTAACGCGAGAGAGAGAGAGAGAAAGAGAAAATAAATTGAGAGGCAAATTAGCACTCAATTGATTCAATTTGATTATTGAGAATTTTTGATGAAAACACAACAATTAGAAATTTTACCGGTTTTCAGGACTTGATATTCTCAAGGAGATTCTCGCTAGGGTGTCCGAATGCAACGCCGAACAATCGCAACCGTTCTACAAGCGTCATTATATGGAGATACTTCAGCATGTGCTTGCTGTTGCCTGCGACAGCAGTCAAGTTCATGTTGCCGGACTTACGTACTATGCCGAGGTTTTGTGTGCGCTTTTCCGAGCGCCGGAATTCTCGATTAAGGTGAGTTGAAGTGGAACGAACGATTGATTTTTTTTGAAATATGCAATTTTGTGATGTTTAGGTGCCTTTGAACGATGCCAACCCGCAGCAGGCGAATATTGATTTCATCTACGAGCACATTGGAAACATCTTTTCGCAACATTTCGCGAACTTGACACCGTATGTTCAAGATTGTTTTTTTTTTCAATTTTCGTCTTATTATTGCGTTTTAGGGATCAAATACGTGTTATCATCAAGGGATTCTTTTCGTTCAATACGGAAATTGCGAGTATGCGCAATCATTTAAGAGACTTCTTGGTGCAAATTAAGGTAATTTTTGGAAAATATTGCTCTTGTTTCTTCTGGTGTCGAGTTGACTCTAAAAAATGGCATTTGCTTCACAACCATTTTCTTGGAAAGACCCTTTTCTTTGAAAAAAAAAAACTCGATAAATCAATTTTTGATATTTTTTTCCTAAATTTGCTAGTTTCTTTGCACAAGAAAACGCCAATTATTATTCAACTATTTAATTGTTTGGTTTGTAGGAGTTTAATGGAGAGGACACCAGCGATCTGTTTTTGGAAGAGCGCGAAGCTGAAATCCAACAGGCGCAAGAGCGTAAGCGTGCCGTACCAGGAATGATAAACCCGAACGAGCTGTTGGACGAGGATGATATGCGCTGCTAATGCGAATTTGATGATGCTCAGTCGGTTGCTAACTTCATCATCTGTTTTACTGTTATCAATTAATTCATTGAACACAATTAGTCGATTTGTGTTGTTGTCCATCTCCTTGTGTTTTGTTTTGTTTTTTTTTCTCTGTCCCGATACCCCGCAAGCTAAGTTCTTCGATCTCCGCCGCATCATCCAAACCATATTTGGGTTCTTAATGAGTGTGTGTGTGTTTTCCTTTAATCACTTTTTTTTGGTTTTGCGCGAGAATTATGATTTTTATTTTTTACTCCTTCCTCGGAAGTGTTCCATGTTATTTTTTCACTCCTCTCGTGACTCGGCATTTATTTATTCAAAAAGGAGGTGAAGAACATGATGAAAAAAAAAAGAAAAGACGATGAGGAGCTGAATTATCCGCTCTCCCTGTTTCCTATTCCAATATATTTTTGTTGCTCGTTATTTTTCCTCTCTCTCACTCTCTATATTATGGAATATTTATCTGTATACACATACAATAAAATGCTGTATTTCAAAGAATCGCGCAGCATTTGGATTTCGTTGTGTCGCGTTGGTATGAGTCGATTGTGTCGAACGAAACACGCGGTAGAAGATTGTTGGATGATGGCTGAGTGATGACCACCTTTGGGGGACGGCGTTGTTGGTCCTGAAGCGAAAATCAATATATTGGATTTTGTTGGTTGTTTTTTTTATTGACAAATTTTGAATTGGAGGATTACAAAAAAGGATTTCCAGAAAACGGCGAGATACGGTAGATTTTAGTCTCGCCACGATTATTCCAATTATTCCCGACGTCTTTCTTTTTTTTTTGAACGTTATAAGCCCATATATGAAGCTAATTTAGATTCGATGAGAGCACATTGGGATTAGCTTTATTTGAAAATTGTGCGCATTTTCTGCAAATGTCGGATTCTGAAGAATATCGTGCAAAAAAAAGGAAATTACGAAAAGGTGAAAATTTTCATTTGCTTACTTTTTCAAAATAGAAATTTGAGTTTTTCACCTGTCAGCTATACAAAGTCGCGGCGAGACCAAACAAATCAGATTAATGAAAAACGATTCGTTCTTTGGATTGATTTTATGGTTTTATCAAGTTTGCCGCGTGAGCGGGGAACATTTTTGAATCAAAAATTTTTGTGGACGTTTAAAGGGACATTTAAAATAAATATTAGCGAAAAATTGGCTAAAACTATTTTAAATAACTAAAAGAGAATCGGGATTTTTCTGAACAAGAAAAAAAACAATTTTTTTCCAAATGTGAAATTTTCAATCGTCTATTGATCCGTTCGACACTTCCTTGAATTTCAAGCGTTATCGAAATTAAAAGTGATTGAGGAGATTGATTGAATTCAGAATCACCAATTTGTCCACAAGTAAGACAATAGTCCAAAATCCACACTGCAGTTTTGGGAGTGGTGCATTTTTGCGTGACAGTGTATACACAGTTGACATGCACTGCGGCAAGAGGGATATATTAAAAAAATGCCCAAAATACTTAAAATTCATCAAAAATTAAATAAAGCAATTCTCGCCCCTAAGAGTTTTACATACGATACCCACGGCGGCAATTCAAATTCTACACTAATCGCACACCAAACCTTATTTTCAGTTTGTTTTGGCATCTTCTTGAACTCGAAAAGCCTCTTATTCCAATTCGTTCATATTGCGGTGGAAAATTCTTTGACGAATATCTGGAAAAAAAGAAATGCCGCGAATCAAAAGATGAGCAACAGTAATGCGTATTTAAACATTCCAAATATGGATGAGCGGCAAAGAAAAAAAAGAGTGGATGATGAAAACGTGATGTATGTTTGGCTTATCTGGACTTATTAGTTTAGCGCTGAATGAATGAAAAATGCAAATGAAAAGGGCGGAGAGAATTGGAGGGGGGGGGAAGCATATCGAATTTCTGATCGGCCTGGATTCATTTATTACGAGCGGTAACACAATGGCCGGCAAAATGAAGGCCGACTGTTTTTTGGTGGCCGAAATTTTGCCGGCCATCGTCTTGAGAATTTTTTTTCTGAAAATTTTAGTGAGATTGTTTAGTAGCAACCACCCCCCCCCCCTTCCAAAAAAGGAACAAGCGGCTATCAGAATTTTTCGCTGCAAGACACTGAAGCTCATGGTATTCTTTGTTGGTGGTAAATCGAGGCTATAAGAAATCGTGAACGAAATGAAAATGGCGTACGAGAGTGACTAATGAATAAATTATTTGTGGAGGGGCGGGCGGGTTTCGAGTGGTAGGGCACCGCACAAAAATAACCGCAATGTTTTTTTTTTTCATGTTTGTGTGCTTCTGTTTAATACGAGCACGAGTCGCAGCTGAAATGAGGTGTCCGCAGCTGACAGGCTCAAAATCGAATGCAAATTGGAACGCAAGCACAACTTTGGTTTTTTGGTTCGAATTCGTAATCTCTATCAGTTTTTTGAGAACCTACATAACTTCTGAGATGAATTTTCAGAATTCTCTATTTCAGAACCGATGTGACGCCAACTAGTGTTACAGTAATCTTCGATAATGGTTAATAACAAGAATATGATATTCAAGATGCGAAGCAAAGTAATTTTCAGCGTGCGCCTTTAAAATTTGTTGTTCGAAATGCGACGAGATTAGTCAGACCCCCCCCCCTCCAGCCCCTCCATCAAACAAAGCTAATTAAGGAATTTTAAGTGGAGGGGGAAAAAAGAAAGTCGCCAATTAGGTTTCGGCTCGAACAAATTGAGCAAGCAAGTCGATTCGCTGAAAAAACACTCATCGCAGTGTGTAGTTTTCTCACGAACCACAAAAAAAAAACAAAAGAGGAGCAATATTTGGCTCCTCATAAAAATGGGACCACGAACATTAGGTTGTGGGGGGGGGGGCGAGAGGAGCAAGCGCGAGAAAAAGAGCGGCACTCGGCGTGCTCAATAATTGGCCGAATTGGTTGGTGGCGGTGGTGCACTTTTTGAATTGACGACACAATTTTATTATTAGCTCGTCTACACCGAAAATAAAACGAGCGAGATTGAAAATATTGAAATCGGAATCTTGTCGAGTTCACGACAATTCTAAGCGCGAGACCTTCGCGAGCAAATTCGATTTTTGAATTGGCGCGTAATCTTTGAAGCTCGTTTTTTCCTATCTTCCTCTCTCTAAAAACGATTTCAATGGATGTATTCATTCAAAGTATGTTTATGTGTAATTGAAAGGGGAGAAATGGGATGGATAATAGCGGAATATTAATGTGGCAGTGCTTTTTTTTTTATTTCGAACACCCCTTAAAAGCATTGCTCAATTTTTGTCCCATAGATGGAAGCTTTGAAAAATCTCAAAGAAAAAAATCTTTTTGGATTTTATTCCTTCAAAATCTGCACAGCGCCATTTTATTCGTCGAGTGACTCCATTTTTCACGAGAGAATCGCTTCTGGACCTATTTTTCATCCGAAATCGCCCCCCATATAAAACAATGACATATTTGGTAATATAGGGAACTCCAGGTGAGGGTAACACTTTAAGCTTCTACCTCAAAATTGGTTGAGATAAGATGAAGCATGCATTATTAAAAATAATGAGCATTCCTATACATTTTTGCTATTTAAATTTTTTTTTTGGAAAGAATTTTTGATGGATATCGAGGAGAAATGAGAATTGACTCCACAGCATCATTCAGAATCCAAGCGCTGATCAATCAGGAAAAAGAAGAAGCCGAATATTATATTGAGAAATGTTGAAAATAAACGAAGTCTGGCATGTGACAAATAGACATGAATGTAGATGTGCGCAAAGGCAAGAATAAGATGAAGAAGACGAAAAGCAGAAGTACTAGCTAGCGGAGCACACATAGAATTACGCGGTAGAAAAAGAAGGACGAGCCAATAATGGATGAATAGGCGAAACATTTTTTTTGCTCAGAATCGGAATCGGATGATTTCCAAATTTGTGGAATCCTCGATTCATCTTTGAATATTCGAGGTTCCTATTAATATTGCTATAAATCTCGTCAAATTTTACCCACAATTTTCATTCGCGTCTAGCATTCTACCGTAATCACAAAATACCCTATTGGGGGTCCTTTTCTTTTAGTTTTGAAGGTTCGGAACATCATATAGAATAATTGACCCATTCCTTGAATTCGGCATTCATTGGCATTCACAGAGGGCCAATGAGAGCACGAATTTCGAGAAATTATGCAATTAGCAAATTGCTGATTTATTTTGGCCGTCAAACTGTTCCGACAAAACGCCTCTAAATTGAAATTCCGGTCGGGACCACTTTATTGTGGTCTCCAGCTTCTTGCACAATGAGGGCAACGACGATTATGAATCGCATCGACGACAACACACAACAGCATTTGAAACAAGAAGAAACAATGACGAATGCCTATCGAAACGGAAACTGAATGAAATGTTCGCAAGCGAAAAACCAGCGAAAAGGGGAAATGGGAGTGCACATTTTGTTGAGACAATTTGCCGGACCAGCGAGCGCCCTCCAAGGAATTCGGACTCGATTTGTTGGAATTATGTCATTAAAATGTTGGACGCCACAATGGGCCAATTAATTATTTATCAAATTTCGTTGAACGATTTCGCAAGGATCTCAGATTTCGAGAAATCTTTAATTTCTCCTCACAAAAATAGAATTTCAGCGGTTCTTGATGACACAAGAAAATCAAGCAAAAAAAATACTCTGAAAATAATTTTTCTTTTTTTTAGAATTGTCTTTGTTTTTTGCTCTTTTTTATCGCAAAATTTACATTTTTGCAAGCTCTTTTGTTTTTCCTGACACAAAAAATTCGAAGGTTTTCCCGCAAGAATATATTGATAACAGTACCGTAATATTGATGGCCTAGAATTTCCACGGCCGGGAAGTTTCTTTTTCGTCGGCCACCGTGATTATTTTTCAGTTTCTCTTCTAGTTTTTCGGTTATTTTGGGTTTTTTCAGACTTCTCTACAATGTCAGCGATTCCAGAAAAATTCTACGGTCGTTTCAATCTTGAAAAGAGCGAAAATTTCGACGAATTTCTCGCGTCAAAAGGCATTTCCCCAAATTTCGCCCAATTTTCAAAAAATTTTCTCCCAAATTTATAGGCGTAAATTGGTTTGTGCGTCAAATGATCAAACTCGCCGGTGTGTCGAAGGTAATCGCTCAAGGGCAAGAGCCAGGAAAGTAAGAAATTTTCATTTTATTCGAAATTTTTTGAATGATGCAATCGTGTGTTAGGTACAACTTGGAGAATCTAACCTCGAAACGAAACACCTTCTATCATAATTGGGAATTGGGAAAATCGTTCGAAGCTGAGGGATTGGACGGAAATCAACACAAAGTTTGCAAATCGTTTTTTTAGAAATGAAAATGTAAACGAAGACCCTTTTCAGATAACTTTCGACTGGAAGGACGGAGTTCTTTCGGAGCATCACGTTCGGCTCAACGATCCCGCAAACAGCGCGGAGACTTACTTCTATACAATCAATGACAACGATCAATTAGAAATGGTATTAAAAATCAAACGTTTATCAAACTATTTCAAAAATATTAAGAAAATGGAGAACAATGGAATCACCTGCCGACGCTGGTTCAAGAGAGTTCCCCAGCAACAACAATGATTAAAACAATATTTATTTCATATTATTAAATAGAATTACTGCAAATATCAGCTGTACAATGGAGTGATCACATTTGATGTTATTCCAATTTCTTCTTATTATTCAGAAATTTTTCACGCATTTTCGCCAAAAACACGGAATTCTTATTACTCGCATCATAAAGAACAATTTCGGGTCGTCGTTTTCGGTTTCTCGAATCTGTACTACTAGTAGACGCTTCTCGTGAATCTCGATTAATCGACGTTTTCTCCTTGTCCACTTCCGGCGGTTTTGAAGTTGACGGAGATTGAGCGCTAAAGTAAGTCAATTTTGGCTCTAAATTATTTTAATCAACTTTTTCACCTGCTTGTCAAAATATCTGTTTTCTCAAAAGACCCTGAAACTCATAAATTCAAATTAAGCAATCGATCTAGCGCATCATTTTACCATTATCCATTTCTTTCGCGACCGCGCCTTTCTCATCTTCAAGAACATTTCTCGAATCTGAATTAATAAATAATCATTTTCAAATTTATGCAAATTTTAACGGAAAACAAAATGATCGAACCTTTTCCCAGTTGTTTCTCTCGTTCCGCCGCTCGCCTCTCCCGTCGATTCATTTTTCGACTTTCCGACGTCTTCTCACGATTATTACTTGGACTCATTGAACGATCGGCGCGATGATGTCTGAAAAATTCCGAGAATTCTTCTTCGCGCATAATTAATGGAAATTACGATGATTTTCGCTTTTTTACGCGTCGCTCCGACGAGTTGCTTCTGGCGCTGCTCGAACGCGAATGACGTCGCCTCTTCCGCCTCCTGGATCTAACGATTTAAAAATTTCAATTTTGAAAAAAAAAATCACGAGTACCTTTCACTACTGTGCCTTCGAGACCTTCGTTTCCTCGATATCGACCGTCTTCTACCATATTTGGGACTTCTACTCCTACTTCTGCTTGCGCTTCGTCTATCGGAACTCCAAGACCTACAAAATGGGCATTTTTAAACACGAACCCAGACTAAATTCGTCACCTTCTTCTTTTTTCGATACTTCTTCTACTTTCTGGAATCGATAATCGTGATGCTAATCGTCTACTAATTATAATCTTCGCCGGAGTCGAAGAAGTATTCGTCATTTTGGAACACATTTCAAAATCGCAATAAACCGGTGGCGATGGACAAATCGACAATGATGCCATGGTGATCTGCGGACTACGCGCCCATTCCGGAATCAGCACGACACCTTCAGAATCCGTTTCGCAATGTTTAATCACCACCGGCCATCTTCGATGGAGTCTGAAATGATTTTCAACTTTTCGCCAAATTCTCACATGTCTCTTCAGCTAACGCGAATCTCTGAGCAGCTTGATCTTTGTATATCAGATCAAGTTTCGCAATCGTTTTCATCGCGTATTCCGAATCGGCGGCCAATCGCTTCTCGATGAATTCTCGCTCATTTCTACAAGTTTAAAAAAATGAGCATTTCACGAGTTTTTTTTTCGATTAACTGGAATTTTTTGATTAAAAGCGACTAAAAAAATGGTTGAAAATTTATGAAAAATCAGAAAAAATAACAATTGAGAATACATTATTCTTCTGAATTTTATGGTCCGAAAGGAAGAAATCAATTTTCTCGCGGGCTTCGCTCGAAGCAGCATGTGCGTTTGCGATTTTCGCACTTTTCGAACCAAAAAATTCAAATTACTCTTCTGGAAATAGCAAATACTAGAAGTCCATATAAAGAACAAATGAAATATTTTGCTGTACAATACAAAACGAAATCCAGTCTTCATTGGAGAAATCTTCAACAAATATACTATTTCTCCGTGCCTCCTTACCTATATCGCTCATCATTCCACATTGTCTCACGAATCTCGTCAAGAATCATTCCGAGCCGATTCTTTCCGGCAATTCCGTCCGGCAAACACCCAATGGCCTCGTTGATCTCTTTTCCTGCCCCATTTCATTTCACAATTTCATTTAATGCACGTTCCAAAACACACGGCCGCTCTGTGCAATCCGTACCTCATTGCCTAGCTTCTGCAAAAACACAATCCAACTCAATCAATGATGTTCAAAAAAAAAAATGGCGGTCAGAATAAATTTCGAATTATTTAATCAATTTCTATTTTTCCCTTATTGCTCTAGATTCACAGAGGGATTCGTGTGTTCTGAAATATCGCCAACAAAGAGATATCATCAAAAATCGAAATGCCATCTTTTCGCTTTTACCAATTCCCCAATATCGATCGAATGGGCTACATTCGAGAAGCTCGCTTCCTGTGGTGAGAAAAAGGGCGAAACGGAGATGGGCGGCTGATGAGTATTTTGCCATTGATCCTTTTCGCATCACATCGTCTTTGTGCGAGTTCCATCTGAAATTTAAATATACTATGCAGATTTTTCGGGAGAAAACTGGTTGAAACTAGTTTTTGCTGCATAAAATTTTTTAAAAAGATTTTAAAATAACTTTTTAAAACCAGGTTTTCGAATTGTTCGCGAAATCTCTATTAAGGGTTTCAATGGGGAATTTCAGTTTTCTTTTTTTAAATCTGCATTTTACCATTAAAATTTCAAATTTATCGTTTAAAATTAGGAACTAGAATAATTCCTTTCATGCAAAACCCAAATCCGGTTAATTCAGTTTGAATCAAGTTCCTATTAATATTTTCAAAACATTACAAATTCTCATAATCTCACACGCGATACTCCCACGTGGATTATATTAATTATGTGCATAGATAGGCAATGATAAAACAAAAAGAAAAAGATAATATGAGCTTTTTGAATTAAACTTCGAAAAAGTTGGGTTTTTCTCATTTATTGGCAGCTAGGCAAAATCATAGAAGAGAGGTCTTGACGGGAAAAAAAAATCTAGTTTTAACCAGTATTATTCCCCCCCCCCCCAAAAATCTGCATAGTACGATAATATTTAAATAGGCGCAACGTGTAGAGCAACGGTCCAAATAATGAATTGCTAACCGGTACAAATTTCGCGCCAAGACCTCTACAAAAGAGCAACAAATCCCCCGAATTATTCGGTCGAAATCTCGGATTTGGCGGCCATGCTATCCAATTTCATTGCGGTTTTGGAAATCGACTCAATTGTGATCGTTTGAGGCATCACAAAAAGTATACGACGAATTTTAGAGGCGTAATTGTCAAATTCGATTCGAAACCAATTGATGTTTTTGATAGAGAAATCAAATTTCGCGAAAAAAAAGAACTATTGCTCAATGAAGAAAAACAATGTTCGGGTCTCGCCGCGATGAGCAACCGAAAAAAAAAACAACCCGGATTAGTTGTTTTCGCTCATTTCGTCCCTTATTGGGCGTCGCCGCCGAAAAGAAATCCACCCACATTCTCTCATCCCAATTCGCAATCGAGTGCGCGCCGGCCAACTTTTTCATCTCCTTCGGATTCTTCGAGCCAAGAATTTCCCTCATCGCTCGCTCATCGCCAAACAACGATGCCTTGTTGAACCTGAACAAAAAAAAATCAAACGCACATATTGTTGGCGGGTTCGACTCGTCGTTTACATGTAGAATTGCTCATTGCAGCAGAATTCGACGTTATTCGAATAATTCAATGATTCATCCGAGTTGAAATTCACTGGAAAATGATTCGAGAACGGACTGACTTTTCGGAAGAATAGGGTAAAGTCGCGATTCTCTCCGCTTCTCGTTCTCGTTCGAATCCATCGCGTTCCCATCCTATATCCCAAACACGTCCAAATCCAACTCGTCAATCAATATTTCGTCGAAGTATCAACAATCGCAATCCAACGTCATCGGAGAGGCTCCCAATATAATATTTATTCCGTTCTTTTTGAATAATAAACAATAATAATGGTCCGATTACAATACATATTGTAGTTTTTCTTCTCGCTTAAAGATAGTTTCGAGGATACAAAGAAACAAGTTATATTTTTAGAAAACAAGAAAAATTTTGGTTGATTCAGATTTGGAATTTGCTTTCCCCCACATCGAATTAGAGCCAAAAACGATTGATAGTGACAAAAAAGAGAGCAACACAAAAACTACAACTGAATATTTAAAGTGCGCATCAATAGATTTTTTTAAAATCAAAACACAAATTTAAATATCATCAATATCCAAATCATCCTCGTCGGCCTCAACTTTGTTAGTACCATTGCTCACTGCAGCAGCAGCAGCAGCGGCAGCCTTAGCCTTTCTTTCGGCTTCTTCGCGCTGCTTTCGCAAGAATTCACTTTCCTTGACTTCATTATCGAACTGAAATTACATTCCAATTATTCCATGTTGAAATCTCAGTATTATTATTACGTCAATATCTTCATCGGAATCCTCATCTGTCTCTTCCTCGGCCTCCCGAAGCCAATCCAAAACTGGCTGCGAATTCTCGATAATCTTCTTTGCGGTCGTTTTCGACACATATTTCGATGATGGCTAAAAATATTGAAATTAAAAAAACTTATATTAAAATCAGTAAACCCTAGCTCCCCATGCCAAAAGCGCCTCTTCGGTGCAAACATCCGAGTCATATAAAGCTTTTATTATATGAGGTGATTTCTGCAAAAGAGTGCCCTCGTGCTTAGAGATTAGCTGCTCGATTCCCCCAAGTAAGTAGCGTTGGGCCTTCTTGTCATTCAATGTGAATCTCAACAGAAGATTACGATTTTTCTCGATCTGCTTTTCAGTCAAAATGTTCTCATTGAAGAGCACCATAGCCAACAAAAGCGATGCTTTCTGTTTCAACTCAAGACGTTCGGCTTCATCAAGAAGTAGCTTCTGATCCGGGGTGGAAGTAATCTTTTCTTGTTCTTTAGCCTTAAGGAAAAAGCTGTGAAGCATATCCAAACGTTGTTCTTCGCTTTTCTCCAAATCCTTGTCCAATACAAGCTTGCCCATTCCGGCCGACAAAGCGCCATTTGGTTCAATCGGCTCCGGTTCCCAATCGTCATCTTCATCGTCATTCGAGCTTCCTTTGTCGCCACCATTCGTAATCTCAGCTGGTTCATTGATTGCCTCAGAAACTTTCTTTCCGTTCTTTTCGGCTTTAGCTACAAATAATTCGATAAAATTGCCACACATATCCGCAAGTTCTTACCAAAATCAATATCGATCTTTGGTGGATTGCGAATGATGAATGTCGACAATTTATGCTTGTTATCAATGGCGAACGCGTTTCCGCAAGCTTTGCATTTGCTATGAATGGTATTTTTGCGAACCATCTGAACATGTTACTATATTATACAGTTTACCAGTAAAGTAGCAACCAGCTAGTACAATAATTAGCATAATTCAAATGCTCGTGATGATGATGAACATTCGTTCATAATCTGTTCAAAACTACTCACCAGTGATGTTTCTGGATTCTCGCAAGCAGGACACAAAACGTATTTCTTGATGAAACCATCAAGAATGTCTTGAAGCTTGTTGGCGTCATGTTCACCATTGACAATGTAGCGCTCGTTTTTGGCGTCGAAATTGGTCTGGGCACCGAGCTCACAGCCGAAATACTTTGTTGGGTCTGAAATTCATTGATCACATCTAGCTGGTGACGCGAAAACGAACACATCGGTGGGCGCTCGAGAGCCTTGGCAATTTCAGACATGTTTGAGATGACGGTCTTGATTCCGTTGCCTTTTCCCTCTACCTTGGCCATCAGTTTCGGCATTTTGTAACGGTAGAACGGATCAGAGACAGAGCGATTCACGTTGAGAGCCATTGTGACGATTGATGCTTTTGTTTAGAAGGTTTTCTGAAATCATTTATCACAATAAATGACCATACTGTTGATTTCCGTACAAGAGACAAATATCACGAGTCCGCTGGTGACTGATATGACGTTGTGTGAACAAATCGCATACAAAATTGAAAGCGTTGTTTGAGGCAAATGCGTCGAGATTTGACGACGCTATCGATTCGCAAATCTTCAGTTTCTTTCTCTTTCTGGACAACCTCCCTGAAAATCGAAGTGATATTACCATCCGTCGCTTAATATGGAAATCCAACTTGCAAAGTTAGTCCTACTTATCATAAACCGCAAAATTCGTTATATTTCGAATTAGCAATGCGACGAAATATTGCGGTTAGGCAAAATATAGTTCACGTTCATTATTTAATTCTTACCTTCCTGAGGGTTGTCAATCATAAAATAGCAATTTGGTGCGAGTTTATTTGAGCTCAAGAACATGCACAACTGGTCTTCCCAGTTATTCAATGCGGATAAACCAAGTGAAAGGGATTCCTGCAAAAACAACAATGTAGGTCATCAATTGGAAGCAATAGCGACGAAACAAAAATGTCAGCGATATGTATGGGCACGAGAAAAGAACGACTGAGTGTGTATGTGTGTGTGCCTGAAGGGTTGGTTTTGCGACGTGTTGCGGGCGGGCAATCGCCGGTTCTTTGCCTCTCATTCCCTTCCACCACTTGTCTTCTTTCCAAAACAGCGTATCTCCCGCTCTTTTCGCTTCTCTGCTCCTCATTGCGTAGCCCGCTATTTCTTCTATTATACGACGCCGTTTCACCGACTTCCCACTATTTCGCATGTAGCGCCATTCTGCCTGTTACTCGCACTAATGTCGCATTCGTCCAACAAGCCACGTAACTTTAAAAAAACGTTTCCTATCAAATTCCATCTGGGTGTATATAATCTACATATCAACTATACACAAATATTACCAGTTTAAGCATGAAGCCATGACCAGAAAAAGGGTTTCGTTATTAGCTATTATCAATTGAATTGTAAAAGCACTGATTAAATGATTAAATATAATTGCATTTACTGGGTTTTTAAGTTGCAAAAACTAATAACAACATACGGACTTTTAGTTTTCATTCAATGTTGACTTCATTTACATTTAATTATTACATTATAATAAATAAATTTTTTAAACAATGTTTTCGAGAGGGAACGAAAAAATAAATAAATAAAATTTTCAATCAAAAAACTAAGCTTATTTCTGTTGAATCATTCGTTATTTAATAGCGAAATAAAGTGACGTCACTCTGGTGCAAACGGTTTCGAAATAAAAACCGGAATACGCGCCCGGAAACAAAGGAATGCAAAAGCGAATTTGAATAATTTGTTTTTCCTCATTTTCACCGCATCAATTAATTTCTAAACCACAAAACAATTTTTGGATACCGTAATATTGATAGTTCACATTGCGATTTGACAAAGACATGAATCGTTTGTTTACCGCCTGTCCACTTCCATGGCTATTTGGAAGAACAGAAATTCCACGCTCTTTGAATAAATATCGGCGATCATTGATCATACGAATACAAAATTTGATGAGTGATTTATGGGTCCAGATTTTTTTTTTCAATAAAACACAAACATTTAAGTGGAATTGGGCATGTGTCACTAATCTAAAATGGTTTCAACTAACATAAAATATTTTCACATCATTATAATCTATTTTTAGAACAAATAAAACAAAAAACTGGAAAGAACAAATGATAAAGTGATTTTGAAATCAAAAAAACTTGACAAAGATTCGCAATTTGACACGTCGTGTCAAGAGTCTTGATCGATTTTAATCAATGCGCCTTTAAACGAATCAAGTGGCAATTTGAAATTTTATTCAATTTCATTAAAAAATCATCAGCGAAACTGATTCCAATTGTTCTCACTATTAATAGAAACATCATTTATATTGTTTCAAGCTAATCATACCTTGTCAAAATTCCATATTATAAAAATATTTATTTAACAAAACTAATCTAAAAATACAAATAATTATTTTCTTTAAAAAAAAAATGAAGCAGGCATTTCCAATAATTTTATTATTAGTATTTATTATATTGCGTTTCTATTCAACATTTCAATTAATATAAGTTGTTTTTTTTGTCGTCCACATGAAATATTCTCTAATAACCTTATATAAGAAAGCGAGAAATGTGAAATATTTACACGATTTGAAAATTTTTGCTCGTTGAATGCAAGACATGAAAGATATATAATAACAGGTAAACACATTAAAAAAGAAAAGACAGGAAAGATAAGCAGAATTATTGTGAATAGAGACTTCTGCTGAAGGTGACATAATCGTATGATCGCGGCGGTGCACCAGGCTCATACGATGGCGCCATTCGTGCCATACAGTAGGCCGCTTGATCTCTCGGAAGTTCGCGCTCCAATTCGTCAGCAGTGATGAATGGCTAAAAGCGATAAAAATAAGTCATTCTTCTGTTTCATCGAAATCTCACCTTTCCGGCGGCCAAAATTCTAAACGAGTCGATCATCTGCTCGACAGTGTCCTGATCCGAATGCTCCTTGGTCATAAAATCAAGGAACGCCTCAAACGGCACTCTTCCGATTCGGTTCGGATCAACGTGAGCCAAAATGCGGTGCAATTCAGCGTCGCCCTCGCGGCCTGGTCGAATGGTGTAACCGACCGAAATCAAGCACGCTCTCAATTGCTCGGGGTCCAATCCGGCGCGCTCTTTGTCGAAGTGATTGAAGGAGGCGCGGAATTCGGCTATCTGCTCCTCGCTGATTCCCTTGCGATCGCGAACGAGCACCTGAATCATCGAAATGCCCATTGATTGGCTTCGATTGATCAATCTCACCTGATTCTCAAGCTCGCTGATGGTCTTGTTGATGCTCGTAAGAAGAGTTTCCCATCCGACGCGTAGCGATTCCATAGAGTATCTCGATTTTCGGTTCTCAAAGACAAAGTTCTCCTGCATCTCTTGATGGACTCTCTCAAGCTCATCAAGATTCGGCTTATAGCCGAGTGCGTTTCGTTGGATGGCTCGCAATTGATCAATTGCGTTCTCCAAACGTCCACGTCCTCCGAGCCCAATGGCGAGCACCTGCTCCAATTCTCTCTCGAGCCACGGCCCAACGCTGTTGGCCTTCTCGGCGAAAATGGTTCGAAGTCGCTCGTTGTCTAGAAATTAATCACGGCCGCTTTTAAAGTATTTTCTTTTGTCAATGACTCACTTTGCTGACGACGGAGTTCGGCCTGAAGTTGCGAATCGCGTCTTGGAACCGCCGATTGCACTTCACCCCATTTGCGGCGAATGTCGTTGGCGGACAAGTCGGTGTACGGATTGCGGAGAAGCTCGCGATCCAATCCATGCGAGTTGACGAGATGCTCGACCTCGTGCTCGATTTGGTTGATGCTCGAGAATTCGCGATCCGCGTCTCCAAGGGTGCTCTTGAATTGATCGTGAGCGCTTACAAGCTCCTGAAATTAATGAATGGATTTGAATTATCGATTGAGGACAATCATCTCACCTCAATCTCACGCATCTCATGAACGATAACCAAATCGGCAAGATCTTCTCGAGCTCCATCAAGCCAATTATTGAATGGGGCGGCGCGTTTGGCAAAGTCCAAATAAAGCGAATCAAGTCGCTCGGCAATACGCTCGGCTTCCTCAAGCTGCTCGCGTCTCTGCGAGCTCAACTGACCAAGACGATCCCATTGCGAGCAGATCGCCTGGCATCTCGCATTGATCGGTCCAATGTCCGGATAGCGAAGATTGTTGAGCTCTCTGGCGATGGCGGCAATCTGCTCAACGCGATCTTGATGAGCTCCAAGATCGCTCTCGAAAGCTTCATGACGCTTTCTCAAAGCTTTGATCTTGTACAAGCCGCAACTTCTCCAGTCGTTGCTACGCAGCGCTTCTTCTTTGCCATGAGCCCATTCCTCATGAAGAGCGCACTTTCTACGGAACTTCTCGGCGAGATGCTCGAGGCGTTCAAGGCGCATGATCTCCGAGAGGAGCCACTCTTCGAATCCCTTCTCGGAGTCCTCCAATCCCGCCCACGCGGCATGAATATCCTTGATGAGATGGCCATCGCGCGGAAGGAACGCCGGACGATTGGAAAGACGAAGACGCGTCTGAAGGGTGTTGAACAGCGTTTCAAGACGACCCTTGTCCTCGATTCTCGGCGGCTTCTCGCGTCTGAAATTCAAGAAATTATTGAACGAATACGACATTTTGACGTCAACCTTCGATAGTTTCGGTAATCCTCCAATTTTTGCTGAGCTTGCTGAAGGTTGTCATCCGTCGAGCGATTAGCGAGCCACGGCATCCAACGATTGATCCAAGCGAGAAGCTAAAAGAGCTCTCGTAAATCCCCTTACATCAAAAAAAAAATGACGATGGCTTACATCAGAAGCGAGATTCTCATAGTCTTCCATCATTTTCTCATTCTCCTGATTGACCTTCAACACTCGACAGATGCGGTTGGCAGCGGTTTCCGCCTACAATTAATGGATTAGCTTGATTTTCAAACGAATCAGATTGTGAATAAATAAATTCCACTGCAGTTGGCTTGAGATTTCAATCAGAAAACGGGATCATTCGCAAGAATAATATCTATACATAGAGATTAGTACAAACCTTTCGCATTCCGCTAAAATAATGGTAGTAACACGAAACATAGGTCATGACAGCTTTTTCATCAGGTTGCGAGTTTGCCAAGTCTGAAATTATTCTACACATAGGGACATTTTGGACATGATACAGACAACACATATTTTTGTTTTTCGCCACAAATTTATTCACGCACACATATACACTTCAAACATTTTCACGCGACATCGTTCTTACGTCTTTTCTCCAGTCGCGCTCAGGTGGCGCAACGACGACGCGCTGCGGCGGCGGCTGCATGTTGCGGAACGCATGGTAGAAGCACGAGACATATGTCATCGTTGACTTCTCCTCCGGATGCCGTGCCACGTCTACACGTTATTGATTTTATAGCGTTTCCGTTGGGTTGGCTGGGTTTTTGTTTTTGCGCGTTTATAGAACATACCTTCGGCGTCAAGCATACGAGGAATATCGAGATGCTTCTCGGCAACATCGAAAGCCAAATTCAAGTTATGAATTGGATCGCCCTTGTGAAGCTGGCTGTAGTCCAAGAGGTCCGGTCTAAAATTTTTATTACATCAAGAGAAAAATAAAAAAATTTTAAAAATGATTTAAAGCTTTTTTTTTTCGGAAATTCCGTAATTTTGCGTAACGGGAATTGAACAATTAGTTCAAAAATTTGAACTTTCCCATTTTTTTATTTGAAAAGTGTATTTTTTTTGTTTTTATTTTCTAATTTTTATTTCATTTTGCACACACTTCCGACTAACCGATGTCTATGGATCAAAGCGCAGAACGCCAAACCATCCTTCCAAGAGTTGTGGAAGTTTTGCACGTTGACATTGCTGTATGGAGCCGTCTTTCTCTGGCACCACAGCAAAAGTCCGTCGCGAGCAGACAATTCTAAAACACGAAAATCAATTTTGCCGATAACTATCACAATAATAACAACCTTCCACATTGATATCTTGAATGACGAATCTCAAAATGATGGTCCAGATCAATCCCAATGTCATTTTCACGTTGCCATCGACAATTTCTTCGGCTCCAATCGACACCAGCTTGACTCCTTTGGATTCGATGTATTCAAGCGCCTTGTTGACATTGGCGATCTTGTGGAATCGCATCTTTCCGCGGTCAGGCTTGGGAAGAGGTTCGCCAGAAATGACTTCGAGGAGAAGCATGAGTTTAAGACCATTTCGGAAGTCCTCTTCAATGCACTCGATGCTGGTTCCAGCTTTTCTCAGATGCGAGTTGCACCAAGCGGTGAATGTCTAAATAAGATGGTTTAAAAAATTATTTCCTATAAATAAGAATTCCAAAATTATGTTTACTCCATCTGTTAAAGGTGTCATTTTTTTGTTATCATCTTCTTCTTTCTATCCACTATACATCTCAAATTTCGTTTTCAATTTTTTTCATTCTATGTGTCTCACTGATACGCCGAGTTGCTTGCTCCGACTTATGAACCCGACCAGCTATCATCAACGCCTCGTTCCCGACATTTCTTTTTGGCTTCAATTTTTGCGGCAATTGCCAATTGGCTCGACCGGGTGTAATACAAACGACCGCTACCAAACAACAAGAAAAAAAAAAAACAACAGCCAACGAAGTGCGTTGGTGGATGATGAGGTCGTCATACCTTTTTCTGCTGCTTCTCCCATGCCGGATCCAAAAGCCCTTCGCGATCCCATTCCTCCTCCTGCTGGGTGTAATCATAACCAGGCTGATGGTAGGACGGCGGCTGCTGGTAGTAGTCGACCATACCTATAAAGCCATTGATGTTCGGATTTTATGGGCTTCTAGGAAAAGTTTAATGGGAAATAGGCGGAATCGATAATAGGGAAAGAATAAAAATACAAATCGAGAAGACGAATAAAAAAAAACAAGAGGTAGATCAAAAAAAAAAAACTTTAACGTCACAAGAAGCAAAATTTTCAGAATTTTTCAAAAAATATAAATTCATCGAAAGTTGACAATGTCAGCAAATGCTAGCATGAAGCTGTATGTACACACAGGGGTGTGGCTGATGATAATTCCAGAAAATGCCGTTCGATTCTCAATAGCGAGAAAAAAAAACGAATTTGGTAAGACGACGTTATTCGATAAGCGAAAGTATTCTCAATTATGACTAAATATGGCGCCTAATATGAACAAGCCGATTGATTGACTGCATTAAACAAGCTAGTTTTCAGCAAAAAACCGCACACACACATTCGTATAATTAGGTAAGGAAATGGGCTGACATGCTGAAAACTGGCTTCTGATGATGAAACAAAAAACATTTTTTTAGTCCTTCGATGAAAAGGGGAGGTGGCGGCAATTCAAAAATCAAATGCCTACTTGAAATTCATCGTCGGATGAATGCAAATGTTAAAAGGGGGGAACCGTACGACCGGCATACCTTAATAATCATATTCTTATTCACAACACACACCATTTAAGGTGTTTCGGGACTGGTTGCCGCCGACAAGTGAATTTCAATGAGGCGCCGACAAAATCTGCCATTAGGTCAATGGTTTCGGCGAGTGGGGGATGAAATACGAGACAATTCCACTCGACGTGAACTTTTTTGATTAGTGCGTTTAAATCCCAAAATATTTGTTTGGTCGAACCGCAAAATTCCGGTTTTTCGGCGATGAGAGTTCTTCATAATGATGGCGTGTGAACATATGGGTGTTCATAATTCGAGGGTCGTCAAAAAAAAAACATAGTTTAAAAACACACATACAGAGAGAGAGAGAGAGAGAGAGAAGCACAAAGTGAACCGAGCCCGTCAAAACGCCGCCCGTTTCAAGCTCTTTTGCTCATTTGCGGGAGAGGCGCTCCGACTTCGCGACAGGAATCCCGCCGGCAAAGACGATCGCCTGCGTCTCGCCAATCAACACGCTATTCGCGTGTGTCGCTTTCAAAAACTAATCGACAAGAGGGATATGTGTGTATGTGTGCGTCTGTGTGTAACACCCCAGGCATAGACATACATGTGCTCGGTGAGAGGCGCCAAACGAACTCATCCCTGAGCAGGAGCAACATCCCACCAGTGGTTTTTGTATATGTGTTTGTCGTGTCGCATGTCGAAACACAACACATTCATTTATAACTCGAATGCCCTAGACGGTGTTTGGTTACAGTCGCGACAATAACATGCACAAACATTGAAGACTCGAATCAATTGGGTGCTGTTGTTGTTTTTTTCGCCATTTTCGAAATTTATTATCTAGACTGGAATTTGGAATTCACAAGGAGAAAAAAAATCCATGATTCGCGAATCGTCACGTACACGCTACGCCTTCAACTGATTCGGGGAGTTGGGGTTGAGGATTTCAGAGCACATCGTGATCATCAATCAGATATATGGCACACAGGAAAAAGTATGAAGAAGTAGCAGTTGGCTGCTTGAGCTCAAAAAAAAAGCAGTACGGAATTTCGTGGGATTACGTAAGAATGATGAGAATGAGCCGTGAAAAAAAAAGCAGAAGAAAATAATTACCTATTTGCTTTTTGACTTGGATACATCTAATCTCCGTATATTGGCGAAATGTTGAACTCATGATGGGAATAGGGCGTTTTTTTCGAAGCGATTTTCAATTTTCTACCTCAAACATGGCGAATGATAACCATTTTTGGGTGTTTCGAAAACTTCACAAATATTTTGCAACCCTTTTCTTATCCTGTTCAAGTGTGCAAATATACCGAAGAATGGCTCATTGCCAACTCAAATGATGCATAGAAGCAGCAACACAAAAAAAACGGCGCGGATGACACACGAGTACATACAGAAGAGATAGACAAACTCGTAAAAAATTCAAACAAGTTGACTGGACTGGTTGACAGTACATATAAGGGAATTCATGGTAGCAGCGGGAAACGACAACGACACAAAAAATATATATGTATATGTATAAACGGTTCGGAATTTTTCGTGTTTGAGCGCGATTTGAATGAATGCCAGAAAACTGTGTGCGAGGCGAGAGAAATTCGCCGAGCGCCCCCCCCCCCCGAATGCATATAGGAGGCCGGTTCTCTTGGACGGAAGTTTTCATCATCATTGATGACATAAAAAAAATATCGCGCCGAGAGCGGCGCGCTGCTCAAAATAGTTGAGCATTCGAGTGGCGGGGGGCTTACGGCGATTTCAATGCTTTCGCGACACCTTTGGCGTCGATTCACTTTCGCCATTGTCGCCGTCGTGATCAACACACGAAATTTGCATAACGCCTGATGAATGTCGTCCGAGTTGAGACAAAAAGCACAGAACTCGCGAGGGGGTCAATATTTGGCGACAAGATTCACCGCCTCTCGTCGACTCGACAACTTTCGGCCAAAACAACACATTCTTGGCAGTTGGAATGATGAATTCGCGAGTATTGAAATGATTTAAAGGCGTATAGGTATCTAGTGACGAGAAGAAAATGGCATCGCACAACTATCAAACGAAATACAAAGAACCAGAAATCAGTGGGATTTTTTTAAAGACAATATGCGAATTTTTCTAATGTTTTTCGATATACGGTAATGAAGGCGCATAGGGTATTTTGATCAGAGAGCAATTTTTGATTTTTTTAAATAGCGACTAACAAAGTATTGTTATAAAAAAATACTGGCTATTTCTGAAAAGTGCCAACCGAAATTCATCGTCATGAGACCCAACTTCAATTAATTTATTACCGAAATGGAAGATTCTGCTTTGGTCCAGCTAGTGGTTGCCTTTACCAAGTTTCTAATAAGCGTCTACCGAAAGTCTGCACGAAATTCCCGAGTAGGCAGGACTAACTAAAAGCCCTTTAGGTCTTTCATCGCAGTTTTTACTTATTCCACTCTTTTTTCAAAGCGCTTCTGGTTTCATGCAATGAAAAAAAAAATAGTAAAAATCTATTTTTTTTTTCATTTGAATTCCCTATGCACACACGTCGGAAATTACAAAAAATGACGCGATATATCGTAATTCTCCGCTATTTATTTTTAAAGGCGCACGCGAAAAGTTGCGCGTGTCACGTCGCGAAGTCGGTACTGTAATTTTTTGTTTTTCATTGTGTGCCATTTTTTCGTTTTTTTCAAAAACTTTGAAGAGAAAATGAGTAACTGGTTGAAGAACAACGAAAAACAACGCTTATAATAAACCTTTAGTGTTGATTAAACAAAATACTTTTGCAGATTTCCAAAAAAAACGCCTTAACGCTCAAAAAATTAAACATTTTAAAAGAAGCAGCCATTTAAAAAAATACAGTACCGACTTCGCGTCGTGACCCACACAACTTTTCGCGTGCGCCTTTGAAAATATAAATCGGAGAATTACGATATATCGTTTCATTTTTTTAGTAATTTTCGACGTGCTTGCATGGGGAATTCATATTTTAAAAAAGTGATTTTTTTTTCATTGCATGAATAGGTCCATTCTGTTTTGAAAGAAAATAGGAAAATTCCGAAAAAAATCTTAAAACAATTTTATTGCAAAAAATTAATATATTATAAGATCAAACTGTAAATAATCAGTTGGGTTTTGTTGTAGCAAGACTATTTAAAATTATTCTTTATCGTGTCACACTTGTAAAGATAATTTTAAAGGAACATAGAAAATAATTTCGCGTTGATCTTACGGTCTTTTAGTTGTCCGCCTAACAATTTTTTTTTCGCATTTTGCATATTCTTTGAAAAATCTCGGTTGCTCTAGGTCTGCGTAGACTTCTAGACAAATCTCTGTATACAAAATTTTAATACGTACACCTAAAAAACCCTTTTTTTGTTAGTTTTCTGAAACGCGTAAAAAAAAATCAAAAACGATTTGTAAACTAATAGATGAAAATTAGGAAAAGAATGATGCGGTCGGAAACTGCACTATCTGAATGTAGCCAAATTGCGATTCCTATCTCCGGTCTCGCACTTCTCATTTTTCTTGTACTCGAGACAGGAAAAAAAACACTCACCGCCTGTCGAGCAAGAGCAGATGGCGAAAATGAGAGGTAGGAGGCGACAAGCTCGAGCACAATATGAGTAAGAATGTGCGACGGAGGCGGATGGGAGACTGGCGCCAACTCGCAAAAAATTCAAATCGCCCGCCAAAGGTGGCAGCGAGGCGCGAAAGATTGTCGAATAAGATTAGTGAAGGTTCGTGATTTATCAAAACAAGAACCCAATTTTCGGTTCAAGTTTTTTGACCCAATAATTCGTCAAGGACGTCGTTCGGTTTTGGGGTGGGCGAAAGCAAATCGTTTATCACAAAATAAATGTAAAATATCTCTCATCCGTGAGCCGATAACCCGCTTTTCGGCAACGAGATTGATGAGCATGTTCATGTCGGTGCCAATCGTCGTGCCAGGGGACGGATTTTCAACCAACCACGTCGTTTTTTCTTTTCAAATTCATTATTTAAATGAAAAACAACCGATTATGACTAACAAGTGAGAATTAAATGCAATAAATCGTCTGTACATATATTTAAAAAAAACAACAACAATGAATAATTATCCCCCGTTATAAAAATATTATCACTATTTCCATTTGATTGCCTAAAAATGAAATGTCAATTTTCAAATCGGATGTCGCATTACCGTATTATTAAGAGCGGCAATTGCTTTGAAAGACTCAACTGAATTTGGTTTGAGAGTTTTTGCGTAGGCGGTGAGAGCGGCGCGATCACCTTTCTGGGTCATGCATTCAATGACCATCTAAAATCGCAAAATTTTGAAATAATATTTTTTAAAGTGAAATAATTTTACCTCGGGTACATCAAAAAGCAACGCTAAACGAAGGCGTTCTTGAGCATCAGTCTCACCACGAAGAATACCAAATATGAACTAAAATTTCAAAATTCATCAATTTTTTTTCTCGCAATACTTACATCTGTTGGTGGAGACGAATGCGATCGTTTAATGATCGTGAGAAGATTGTGATTGTTGATTGCCACACTCCATTTACTGGTCACCTTTTTACCTTTAAAAACGTCTAAAAAATATACGATTTTCAAAAAGAAATGAAGTTTGAAAAAATTGAACTTTTTGCTGCACTCAAAGTAATCGCCATTGTCTTTGGTTGGAGAAGCTTATCAATATCCGGCCAACTGAAAAAGCATTAAAGTAAAACGCTCGAGAGAAAAAAACCAACATACCGACTTTGACGGGTCAATGCGGAAACCATTGTCTGAACTGCAACACGATCACCGAATCGACCAATTTGGCGAATATTTGTTGGGCTCGCCACAGACGTCTAGAAATTCGAAATTTTGAAGAGAGTTAGCTAATTCACATCTTACAATCGGATCATCATAGTGGTACATTGCGCAATAATAAAGAGTTGATAGCGATGGAAGTCCGATGAGTGAGCATGTCTTGGGATACTTGGAAAACACCTCGCTTTTCGCATTGGCATCAGTTTTCTAAAATATTGAAATTAGGTTAAATTAAAAATGCCGATTTTTGAAACCTCAATTTGAAGCTGAATTTCATAATTCCTGATTAGGCTTTCGATTTGCTTAGCTTCAAACTTCATTTCGGGAATTGAGAATGTGCCGTGAAGCATTGTTCGAAGCAACGGTACTCGCTTATCCGGAATTTTCTTGAACTTTCGAGTTGCTTCAAACTCGATGATTGCGCCGTGTTGATATTTCCCAACTCCTCTATAGTGATGTTAATTCAATGAAACTTCTATTCTAATTGTCATTACCTCAGAAATTGCTTCATTTTTTCCCATTCGCCAAGTATTTGCAAATGTTTGACGTATACGCGACAAGCTGATCTTTGTGTTTCAATCAGCTTTAAGAATACGGGCTCTTTAAGTGTTCGCTCAAGAAATATCACAACCTTAATAGGGATTTTATAAGTAGATATGTCGAAATCGTCATACCTTGAATATTGTATTAGAATCAAAACTATTTACAGCACAATTCAATAAAGCTTGCTTTTCGCGATAAGACCTATAACAATCCAGTGAAACTTCATTTCCGTGGATCATGCGTTCTACCGCCTTTTCAACGCTCAAAGGTCGGAATCGATCATGTCGCACTGTCTAAAATTCAAATAATTGAAAAAAATAGGATTTATTATCAATAAATCCTACTTCAAGATGTTGTTGAAGCTTTCGATGTTCAGATTTTAATCGAGAATAATCTAAATCTAGTCGCTGTGCTTCACTCGGTAGACTACTGGCGCTAGCTTCGGATACTACGGATGGAGCTGATTGAATCAATTGTCCCACTTTCTGGAAAAAAAATTAAAATTTGATATATTTTTTCTTGCTCAAACCACGTTTTCCGAAAACTTCATGTTCAGAAATTCATCAACAATTTTTCCAGATGTTCTCGGCGATGAGCTAAATTCAGGAAAAACTGTTTAAAGAGAAATTGCTGAAAAACCAACTTTGTGAGTCGAATATTTCCGGTTTCTGCCGCTTTTGTTGTTGCTGGAGGTGGCGGTGTCGGATTCTTCGGACGAACAAACGGTTTTGGAGTTTCATCGCCGCCGAATAGATTGTCGACTGCGGCACGCGCTTGATGCTTTAATTTTGGAGAGATAATACACATTTCAAACGGTGCAATGAGATTTGCGCATTCTAGCGCGCGTGAATATTATTTTAATTCCTACTTGTTTTGATTGCAAATCATCGAATAGCGAGGACGAGTTTGAGTCGGTTTCATTCCAATAGCTGTCTTCCGGATTTTCAAACGTGAATTTTCGACGTGACATTCAGCGTTTGGTTTTGAATTAAAACCATGAGCTTGTTTACTGCAAGGTAAATATTTCGATGCTTCTATAGCAAAACCATCATCTGACTTTATGAAATTGAATAATGTGTGAAAAATCGAATTATTCGAGGAAATTGTGTTGCGTGCGGCCAGCTTGCGCAATACCGCGCGGTATTTTCAAGGGGCGGTCCGACTTGTGCCCGCCAGTTTAAAATCTTGAATTTTTGGGCCTTTTTGTAAAAAGTCCCTGATTTTTTTCAGATTTTTTACGATAATGCATATTTTTTTCATTTTAATTTATTCCTATGAAATTTTCACGTAAAGTGAGTCTTATTTCTATCAATCTAGGCAATCCGTGCCGAAGAAACGATGTATTTTTTTTTCCTTCGTTTTATCGTGGAAAAAATTCCACCGTTTCACTCGCATGGATTTCCGAGGTATTCTATTTTTTCGGAAAAAATTTGAAATATTTCGTTAGTTCTTTATAAACTTGATTGTTTAAATTACTTTTTGGAATAAAAACTCTGGGTTTGATTTTTAACAAAATTAATTGCAAAAAATTCCCGCTTGATTTCTATTTGATCTACACAATTGACTTTAAGTGTCTGCGAAATTCGTGCTTCGCTGTTTCTCTAAACTCATTCCAAATTTTCTTCAAATCGTCTTTTGATTTTTCGTTTCGATTTCCATTCAAACTTGCAAATTCCGAATGAAATTTTTCAGAATGCAAAACGCGCAGGTGCAAAGCGCCGAGACCGCGCACGAAGTTCAATCAAACTCACAACCTAACAACGTCTCTACTGACACAGAAAAAAGTGGACAATCAGAAAATGATAACAAATCGTAAGAAAGTTTCCTGAGTTATTATCTTCAAGTTAACACTTTCAGCTGTACCAGCTCACAATACTACTTAAATAAAGATCCAATCTTTACTTCTCCAATTTCGGTAAAACCGAAGACTCAAGAACCCGAGAGATTCACTGATAACAGGTATTATTGATCGCCTCTATCGGCTGAGCTTAACTTTTCAGAATTTACGTGAGCAATATCCCATTCTCATTCAGACAAGAAGATCTCGCTGCCATGTTTTATCCGTAACACAAATTTTTTCCTATAAGATTAATTTTAATTATCCAAACTTAGATATGGCAAAGTCCTCGACGTCGACATTGTTACTAATGACAGAGGATCCAAAGGTTTCGGATTTGTCACCCTTGACTCTATTGCTGCATGCGAGCGAGCTCGCGCGGCCCTCCATGAATCACATGTTCAAGGCCGCATCATCGAAGTGCGTCGCGCGACTCCCACACGCAAGAAGGTCCCTAATAATGTAAATAGCGAAATCATTCCACCACCAAAGCTGCAAGTTGATCTACGAGCTCCGCATTCGCTCTGGCAACCGGAGCCTGATAATAAAGAGAATTTCCAATTTGCTGCCCCGTATTCGCCAAGCATTATTGTTCCTACACCGCATGGTAACTTTTTTTGTCTGTATTTGGACATTTTTTGCAAAAGAGATGTGTCTTTCAGAGATGATGTATGAGCATGCGATGCAAAGAGTCCCATTCAGTTGCGCCATGCACCCAAATCGTGGTCGCCATCGTTGTACGAAGCATCACAATCTAAAGCTCTCCGCTAATGGCCAATATTATTTGAATAATGGCGTTTCCACTTCTGATGACAGCCTTCTCAACTGTTTGGGAATTAGTGATTCCGAGCGTCGTCAGTTAAAGAAGCAGCAAGAGTTCCTCGCGATGATTATGCGTAAGGAGAATCAACAGAGCGAGTATGCGTTCCCATCGGGACCACCAACTCCAACGCCAACGCCTAAGTCGGTAATTAGTTCAGACGTATGATCGAGGGTGTATGGGAAAATATGGTTTAAGAGTACCGCTAATTTCAGCCAGAGATGACATTGCTTGAAGCTGCAGTTAATAATCAGTTTCATGACGAGCTAGCTTCACTCTTGGGTAACAATATGCATCAACCATTGTCGAGATTGTTCCCGATGTATCCTCCGAGAAAATCGGAATCGGTTACTTCAGGAATTCGCACATCCGAAAGTGATGCTACTTCAGGTAAATATGAAGATGATGAATTTGTTGTTGAACGACAATTTCAGATGAGGAATCGAGTGGCCGCAACCTGTGGACACCAAACACGAGCCCTGATATATTGGCATCGTTGTATGATGGATGTTCATCGTCGATGTCAAAATTCTGAGCAATTTTCAATTTTTTCTTGCAATCGAATGATCTCTGTAGTCCACCTTCATGTCCTCATTTTCGTGTACGTGCGACCATTCAACTACTAACTTTGCGATGTTTTTGCATTCTCATTCAATCGCAGCAAAGTTTATTGCCAATCCAAAAAAAATCAACCGTTAATCTTGATTGTCACCTATTTCATTCCTTTTTTTTCGTTTAAAGCGCTCAGTTTGAGAGCTGTAGTAGACACACCTAACATCATGAATTTATTTGCCATGCCAAAAGTGCCATTCATTCAAACGTTTGTCGTTGTCTTTGAAAATCTCGTTGTGTTTTATTATTTTGTCGCAAATGCCCAGCATTGCATTATTTTGTGATCTCTCCCGATGATATTCTTTTTTGCATTTGTGCACGGTGTAGAGATTTTCTTGGCTTCTATGTTTTTATTTGCCCTCTGTTGTTTCGTTTTTTTTTGTCTTTCTTTAATTCGCCTCTGTGTGGGTTTTTAAAACGACCATAAACCATTGTAATTGCAAAAAAACCAATTTATTAATAATTTTAGAAATAACCCGCATGTTCACTTGTTTTTTTTTTTAATTTAAAGTTGCGAAAATTCATTGACCCGTGTTGACATTGAAAGATCGAAGGTGATTTTTCGGCATCGCTTCGCCTGCCTTGATGGGTCCTTCTCGATTACTGTATCTACTGCGGGAAGCGAGAATGAAGAAGGCTGACGGGATTTAGAGGTTTCTACAACATCTCCATATTTGGATAACTGTAAGTTTGCTTATTTAGCTTACGCGGTTGGAGTGTTGGTGGAGACGATGGGTAAAGAGAGCTCCTCTCATCTTCAGCGCCGCCCGTCCCTCGTCGATTCCGTCGATTCGATCGGATGAATGGAAGCGAGCTGGTACCGCGTCGCATCCACGCGAATCCGCCGTTGATCCAACAGAAAAGGCACGAAAGTGGAATGCAAACACCTGCAAAAAATGGAAATTTGAATGAGATTTAATACATGAGCTTTTGATGTGGTCTCGCGTGGACAATTGAAAGTTTCTCTCACGCAAGAGAAGAAACTAAACTAATTAATAAGAAATTTATACTCACGGGTGAGACGGGACCATTTTAAAGGCGCATTCTCTGAGCCATACAAGGTAAATGCAATTTTTATCGATTTGTGAAAACAAGCGTCTGCTAGAATCATTCGTTGGGAGACCAAACACAAAAAACCGGCTTATTAATTCTTTATGATTTTTTAGTATCTAGAAATTTTATTGTTGAAATTGTAAATAAAATCGAGAAATTAGATGTAAATAGAATATTGATTAAAGACCCATTACGATCTGGGTCTTGTGTCGAATGATTTTTCGTTTTGTTTCAAGTCGATTGTGTAATATTGTCGGAGACAAACGACTACACGAAATTACGCGCATTTAATATTCTTCCAATGAAAAAATTTAAATCTACACTGATTTCGCGAATTTGAAGGCCCCGCCTCCCTTCAATCGTTTAACGCCTACAATAGAATTGAAGAGTTGAAACAGATAAAAAAGCTTGCAGAAAGAAAACTGGCCGCAGTTGTGAATTATGAAGTATGAATAAATTCTCTATTAAGTTTGGACTTCCGTTTCGGCGAAATTTGGCATCGCATTGGCTTACATTAGGCTTACCAAAAAAACGCAGTAGTCTTGTGCGCCTTTAAGACCCGTAAATCTACACTTTTATTTGGTGTCAACTTGACCTTTTTTTGGCATTTTTTCCCGTATTTCCAAATAATAATAATATTTTTATTTTCTAAAAAAAATGTGTGACGTTTGTATTTGCGATAACTTGATGGTGTTCGGCTTCGAGTTCTTGGAACACGATGCGATATTTTAATATTTCAGCTGTTTCATTTTTGAGCCGGTAACTCGAAATTTTGTTATTCAAAATTTTCGACACAATTCCCCCAGCAGTGACGATAGGCACCGAATCGGTCTTGAAGCGATTGCGCGCTTAAAAGCGCATTCAACGAAATGAAATGGTATGTTACCTGTAAAAATGGCGAGAAAAATGACAGCAATGAAAATGGAAAAGTTGAGCTGACACACGAGCGTCGGCAAATTTCCGGTGCAATATGAAAAGAATGAGCCGCATTCGTTGGTGCATTCGTCGATCGATGAATACACGGGATACACGCTATTCATGGCTCATTCGATCATTGTAGTGAATGGCGGCAACGACCGCCAAGATGGTGTGTGCGCCGAGATTGCTGGAAAAATGATTGACATCTTAAATGTGAAAAATGATTTTTTTTTATCGTCTTCAATATGAAAGTGATGAACTGGGAAATTCGGTTGAGTCGGTGCATTTTTTTTGCACGAGCATCAAAAATAAGAAAAGTGCGATTTTGTTGAAACGAAAACGGGTTGGGACCAACAAAAATGCGCAAAATGTTTGGCAAACGCGTGCTCAGTGGAGTGAATGAAAAACTTGAGAAAAAAATTTGATGTGGAATGGTTTGTGGCTAATAATAAAATGAAAAAAAAAATAAATATTACATTTGCAAAACAGAAAAACGTGCGGCCTGCGCCGATTTACAGTGAGTTTGATTCGCAGGTTATCCAGAGTACGGTATCCGAAAAAAAACGGCTTAGAAAAGTTGGTCGACACTTTCAAAAATCAAAAATGCAAATTTGATACACCATTAATTTTTTGGCCGAACCTAATTTTTGAGAACAATTTTTCTAGGCCATTCGGTTGCGGCGAGTCTTGAGTTTAAATTCAAATTTGAATTGCCGCCTCGAAATAGTGTGAAAATAGTGTCCATAATTATGTAAGCTGATTTCGATCATTTAAAAACCAAAAAATTTATGTACAAATTCACCAGGCAAAAATAAAATGAAAACGTGAAACGCGTGGCGAGACCATGACAGAAATGCGCGGCCCCCGTAAATCAACACCCATTCATTAGTCGATTTATTTTTATTATAAATTATTGATTTCACGCGTTTCGATAAAGACCAAATGGAGGAGAGAATTGGCGGTGTGTCACGACGTGAATTTTCACTGCAACTGCGCTAACAGACGAAAAATAGTTAAAAAATAGTTGAAAAATAGTGCAGACTTTGGATGAAAGAGGGATCTGTAACAGATCTATTTTCAAGTCTATTTTTCATCAGCGCTTCATCTATTTCTCAGCCATTCTCTATCTATTTAGCATCTTGGATTCATCTATTTTTCATCCATTTTATGTCTTGTCTCTGTCCCTCGTTCTTGCATTTTTCATCAGTTTTCTATCTATTTCTCATCCATGATTCATCCTTTTTTTAACCCATTTTTGTCTACTTCTTGTCTCTTATTCATCTATTTTGCGTCTATTTTTCTTCTGGATGGTTTTTATGAAAAAACAACAGTAAACGGAAAACAACAAAATAAAAAAAAGAAAAATACAATAAATTGTTTAACATTAGAAATATCAAATTTCAATTAAATAGAAAAATGCTGATTGAAATATTCAGCGGCATCGGGCTTCAGTTTTTTGAGTTGGTGCTCTTTTCCAATTTTGATAGCCAAACTATGCGCCATAACTTTGCTAGCGTGGTGAGATCCTTTCTGATCGTTATAATTTGAACGAAGGCGATCGCTAAAAGTACATGGTGTTATTTAGTGAAACATTCGCATAACTACATGAAAGTAATCGCAGACTCTTTGATTTGCACAGCAACTGAAGTAGCTTGATCCGTCGTTGGAGCAATATCTAATCCAATGAACAATGCTTCTTAATTTTTTTTTTAACATTGTTCACATATGTATGTATTAAACTTGAATTGCAGATAGCAAACAAGAAAATTTGAAGTCTGAATAACTATAAGAAAAATCTAAAACATTATATCTGAAACATACATCTAGTTTTTGCCTTCCGTTAGTGAGCAATCGAGTCAAATCGGCTCCTTCAATTGGCAATTGTAGATGTTTGTCGAAGTTTTCGAGCATGGTTTCATCGCATTCGAACATTGCAGATTTTTTCTTTGAACATCTAAACTTTTTAGGCATGAGCTCTGGAATTTCTGCCGTTTTTTTGGTCACACTTAATTTTGATACCTTTTAGTATCAACATTACAATTCCATCTGAACAAGTGTGAAGAACATCCAAGATTGTATTGTACGGCTTGACATATTGCACCATTTTCGCCGCAACAGGACCAAATCCATTAACACCGCGAATACTATCTTCTAGAGTCTTATCCCCAAATCTGTCCAATCGTCGATCTTAAATCAATATAAGCGATGAATAAGAGGGTTTAAAATTATTATTGATTATTACCGTTTCCAAGTAGTGGTTTGTGCAGAGTTCCGTGAGAGTCGCAATAAAAACAAGCTTGTGGACTTGAAAAACCGCTCATTCCAAGAATTTTTCTTTTTGCCTTAAACTGAAATCTATAGAAATTTTTATCACTTAATCCTTACTGGTTGGTCAGAAACGAGTGACACGAGGTATGGAGAAAATAAAATATTGTTTACAACAAATGTTGACCCTTCGCCTTCCAATCGATTCATTATAATTTCCGTGACGGTATTCAAAACAAGGGTTGTTGGATTATTAGCTTTTAATTGCAGCATTCCACAAAGACCACACGTTTGGTCGGCATGCATCGCGAACCAGCAATTTGATCTTAAAATAATAAACAATCAGCAATATTAATATACGAAACAAACCTACCTTTCCTCAATTTGAGACCTTCTTTGGGTAATCGATGGCGAAGAGTTTTAGGCATTTCCAAAATTGATTTTTAAAAAAATTGTGATTAACATGGCGCCATCTGCATTCACATTACGATCAACTGCACAATTCCATCTATTTTTCACCCTTTCAGTGTCTATTTCTTATCATTATCTTCTATTTATTTTTTCCCAATTTTTCATCTATTTGTCATCCATTTATCGTATATTTTTCACCAATTTTTGAGATAATCTATTTTTCGCCCATTTTTCTCCTAGTTTTTATCTACTTTTCCGAGTAATCTATTTTTCATCCACCTTTTCACCATTTTTCGTCTGTAGCACAGTTGCAGTGTTATGAGCCCTATTCCAGATGACGGATGAATATCAACAGGGTTTGGCGTTGTTTCATTATTTTTAGAATTTCTGAAGGTTTGATGTCATCGAGCCTGATATTTTATTCTAGATGTTCGATCATTTACCCATACATTTAATTTTTTTGGGTTACAACTATATACTAACAAAATTCAAGACTTGCAATTGCTTGGTGAATTACAGGATTAGGTCTTGTCGCGCTGAATTTTTGTGAGAAAAAATATTAAACGGTCAAATAAAATGCATAATGTCTTGTTCGGAAATGCTTAAACTATTCTTTAAACTTGTGAATAGGCTCAGATTTTTTAAGGAAGTTTTTGAATTCTTGACACGAAAAGAAAACAATTTTTGCATGCGCGGCTAATGCCAAGAGACCGGTGGGGTCCAACATTGCTAAACAATCCGTGAGAGCTCGGAAATGTTTTTTTCCACCATTCTGCGGACCCTTTGGCCTAATTTTCTGCATGTTTGAAACTCAGAATAGGCTTTATTCAAATTTTTAGGCGCCGCCCCCATCACCGGAAGTTGGCAATATCCAATTTCATTAAATAATGTAGCACGAAAATTTTGAATGAGAGATATTCTTCTTCTTCCTTTTCTTTTTGTTGATGAGATACAACAATATCAGAAAAAAGGCGTATTCTTAAATGTTTGGCTGTTGAAATAAAAAAAAATAAGTAATTAAAGGTCAAGAGTCTTGTCGATAAACGATCGGCTTCTGAAGAACACTTGACTAAATTGACACGAATATAAAAACAAAATATAAAGAATTTTGTTTTTGAAAATGTTATCTGCGGACAATTTCCATTCTTTTGTTTGGGCTTGCAAGAATGGAATTTAAATCTCAATAAATGCAGAGATCACTAGTTGTGTTCATAGAACTTCTAGCACCATTGATTAATCTGAAATTTGATTTGATCAAAAACCAGGATAGATTATAAAAATAGAAATAAATGAATTCTATTAACGCTGCTTTTGATTTGCAGGTGATCCATCCACAATTTAAATTCAAATTTGAACCCCGAAAAAATAGATTCTCAGGGTGCTCGTTTCATTTTTTTGCGATCTTAATACTATACTTTAAATTGCGAAGAGAGAATCTGAAAGAAAAGACTGTTATCCGGTTTGGAGGAGACCAGACAAAAATGGAAATTGCATATGAGCTGGCCGGCACCGGCAATTATACTAAAACATGTATTTCGAGTAGAGTTTTGCGAGGGAAAATTGGACAAACTTCCGTTTTCTAGAATATTCTAAGAACATTATTAAATCGGCTCAAAACGGGAAAATAAATATATTTGGATAAAATCAAATATTTCAATTTTCGGCTTTCACTCAATGCTTGGATGTTTGGAATTTTGAAGCCCCAAAAAAATTATATCAACACGATCAAAAATTTTTTTGGGAAATTTTCAAAAGTGTCGTCAAATTAAATGCATTTCGTTTTCGGAAAATTTTTGAAGCATTCAGGGCAGGAAGATGATGTTCAAATGCTGTTGTAGAAGATTTCCGGTGGCCGAAAATTTGAACTACGTAATTTGGTAATTATTGCGATCGTTCAAGGATTGCGAGTAGATAGAGATAATTTGAACTCTGAAGGAGGAACGAACAATCAACACCAAATTCGCGCCTTTATATTCTGGATTGACGTGCTTCTAGAAAACTAGTAGGTGAGACAGTGTTTGGAGTTGAGAGAGCGCAGACAACGAGAGAACGTGCGATGGGCGATGTAATAATTATGAAAATATGATATTTTGTGTAATCTCCAAATTATTACCGCAAACCTCAAAACGAATTACGGTATGCATCAAAGGAGCAATGCGAAATGAATTTTAAGGTCTCGAGACGACAAGACGTATTGCATCATTGTTGTTGATATTCATGTTGCGAGACCCAACTCTACAGAACAGCGCGGCATCTGTGACTTCAAGAATTCATCAAAATTGACATTGCGGACTAATGCATTTTATTTGACGACATCAAAATTCGATGTTTTTTTTTTCAGAATTTTCAAATTTTCTTCTATGGTTTTTGGAGGCGGTATACGATTGAATTTTAAATGCGCGTACGTTATAATGCAATGTACGCAGCCTGACGTCCTTTCCGTTGCATAGAGAAAATCAATTTTTTTGTGTAGTCGCTCGACGCCGTCAATACCAATTTCTATGATTCGCACATATAATTTATGATAATTTAATATTTACAGAAGCAACAAATAAATATGCACACACACTACGCCATTTAATTAATTAACAAGCAGTAAGAGGAATGCGATTATAAGCGGCGCGAAAAAAATAGAGATCGAAAATGAAAAAAATTTCTCATTTTCGTCTCGCGAATGAAAAATCGACGTCAATTAATGTGCGCGCACACTCGTCAAAACCTTCATCGAAACTCCACCCCCGTTTGCCAATTTTTTTTCGTCGAATTTTCTATTCAAAAGTATCGAATTGAACGCGATTTTTCATTAATAATTCATTTTTGAGCCAATCAAAAAATGAGACGCGCGGGGAAAAACAACGAACAATCAAGATTTTTTCTCGTTTCGACTACTACAAGAAAAAAAAATGGGAGAGACGAGGCTGACGATGTTTAGAGTTTGAGCGAGCGACATTATAGAAATTGAATGGCACAATTTGGACTTTTTCTGTAGCACCGCTCTTCGGGACCCGTTGGCTCCGCCCAAATGAGAACAAATCGCTATAATTCAATTAAGCCCACTATGTCTATATTTCAAAGCATAAAGGTCCATATTCTTTTTTTAAGAGCTTCAAAAATCGTCTGCGGAGAATTTACTTCATAAATGAGCAAAAATTAGAGACTGAGGTCTTGGTGCGATACACAGATCTATGCGCCTTTAAAGAAATAGCGAAACTTATAAAGAACAAATATATCATTTCTAATTAGCGTGGGCACTTTTTTAGTAAAATTGAATTCGTCAAAATGTATTTTCTGTAAACACACATACGCAATATTGCACACATTCCATTTCACACCAATCAAAATTGGGAAACTGCATTTTTTCAGAATTTTATTTGAACGAAATGAAGCCAGAATGGATTGTAGGCAATTCTGGACCATTTACACAATTTTTTCATTTGAAAAGTATTTATATATTATTTTTTCGATAAAAAATAAAATTTAAAAAAAATTGACCAATTTTACTAAAAAAAATTCCAAATAAACCAATTCCAATTCCGAATAAAACAATTCCAATAAAATTATCCGGACATTTGGGATTGAAAAAAAAATTTGAGTTCCGCAATGTATTTGAATATTTGTCGAGCACCTGAAATGAATTATACATTTCCAGGTTTCTGGAATGAGCCACAACAACAAAAAAAAATAACCGTTTAATTAAAACGGTTTTGAATAATTGGAGGAGGAGAAAGGGGCTATTAACGTTCGATTCAGAAAATAAAATTCGCGACATCTCAAGTTGGAGAATTTTCAACAACACTCTGAGGGACACAACAAAACAAAGTGGGACCATCTTAATTGTTCCCATTATCATCGAAAACGTTAGTCAATTATGTATGGTCGGCAGCTTTTGTTGAGCATTGTCTTTAAAAAAAATTGCATTGAGATTTGTGATATTGGTGGCCGTGGCCGTCATATCCGCGGCCACGCCTGTTTTTTTTTTGAAATTCTTCCCAAACAAGATTTTTTATGCAAATTTCCCAAGTATTTTAAGACATATAAATATTATTTTTGTTTTTGTTTGAACATTTCGAGTACAATCAATTGTTTGGTGGCAAACCACCAAAAATGATTGCCCAATTCTGCGGAAACCGCGCACATTTCTGACGATTTCACCTGGTTTCGGGGCTCAAATGAGCCGCAAAATAATTTCCATTGAACCCGAAGTTTTTTTTCCAGCTGTTTCAACATTGCGCGAGTTTATCGAATTTGCATAAATTCGCTTTTTTTTGGGGGGGGGCTAGGAAGTGATGACCCAAAACCTTGCGAAATTTGCTCAGCTTTTCCCCCCAAATCGGACCATATAAAAGGCGTGCCGACCCAAAAACGATCATATTTTACCGAATGCACCAATTCGCTATTTTGACGGCTATCGTGTCGGCCGCTTACGCGCTATCTTGCTCACAACCAGTTGGTCGTAAGACAATTCGATTAGAATTAATGAGAAGCAATAAAAATAGAGACGTATTATAGCGTGTTTGACGACGAATCTAAATGAGATTGAGCTCGCGTTATGCCCTGAAGGAATGGCGTGTGTTGGCGGCAATTTGTGCTGCAAATATGCAGATGTGATCGGAAAACTTGACGGTAATCGATAGGCGAAAATTAAGAGGACCCGGCCCGACCAACAATCATTTCCAGAATGCAAGGATCTCGTGAATCCGATTCAAGGCTCTCTGACATGCGCCGACAAGGCTCACTTGTGCAATGAAGCGGCTCATAAGGAGCAGATGCGAACCGAATGCCCGAAAACATGCAATTATTGCTAATTATAAATGTTTAATAAAGATTAGAAATAAAATATGGAATGAAATTGTGCATGAATAATTCGTAGTCGGCATCCACTACACGGAATGTTTTTTGGATTCGCGAATTTCTTTTTTTTTCTTGCTTCCTTGTAGAAGAAATAGCCGTCCTATTGTTGGCAGGTTCCGATCAAATTTTGAGGCCGTAGCGATTTCAAATTCTATATACAATGTGGTCACGTAGATTTGTTTCAAATGAGATTCTAACTGAAAAATGAAAAAGCTGGAAATTGAGTTCATCACAAAAAATATTATAATGGAAATTACAAATGCAAAAATGATTCATAACTGTGAGTTTCAATATTCATGGAAGAAAAAATCTTATTTAAACTCAGCCACGGCCATCACAGCTGGCAAAAAATCAAGGCCACACGACCAATTTGAAAGCAGTAACTCAGCGATCCAAAGATGGTGGATTGGTTTTGGTCTATACAAGTTGCACGGGAGTTGTCGGAAACCTTTTTACCCAGTACGATACTCCAATTACACAACACCCTCAATTTATCGTGTTGGGCCAAACCGTCGACTATTCAAATTTTTTTTTGGTACCGAAATGTTTCGCGGGTTATCCCAATCCGAGAAATAGCTGTGTGAGATAAGTAATTTTAATAACAGCTTCTAAAAAATTAAATCACCCTATTTTTGATTTGAAATTTGTTGTGTCTTTTGGAAAACAAGCCACCTTATGAATACGTTTATTTAGACAACAACTCAGAAACTCAAAACCAAAGCCAAAAGTAAAAGAGAGCTTGAAAGCATTCCTTGTATACCCCTTCTATATCTGGATAAGGGCGTCGGTTACGCTATATTGATTCCGGTCACAGCTCCAACAAAATTTCTGCATCGCATTTTTCCTGAGCAAAAAATTGAGCTAAAAAAAGTGACTTAAAGCTGTTTTGATAGAAAATCTTAATTTCAAACGTCGCCAAATCATACGAGACATTCCATTTTTGGAAAACTTTATTTCAAACATAAAAACAGAATTCAAAAGTTGAAAGAAATTTTTAAAACATTAGCAAATTGTTTTGCTCTACCAAAAAGAACTATCATCATTTAATTTAATGCATATTTTCAGCTTAAATTTAAAAAAATTGCCACAGTAATTCTGACAAAAATTTGTTTATATAAATTATATAAAACTATCGAATAATTTTTTTTCATTAAAAAATAAAATTTTTTATTTTTAACATTCAATTGCCGAAACAAAACTATTTTCGTTTCAGAAAATTGAGTTAAAAATGCTGATTATTAAATTTAGCGTGTCTTTTTTTTCAGAGAATAATGTCAACACTTTGGAAAAAAATACCAAAAATCGCATGGTGTTCATTTTTTAGTTACTTTTTTCGGTAAATGCTGGAAATGTGCAGAATTAATGGCTGATTTTGCATAGGAAAAAAGGTGAATTTGAATAAGTGCACGTTTCTTGAGATTTACGTAGTTTCTCCAATCAAAATTCAAACCTCTTCAAAACATTTTTCAATTCAGATTTTTGATTTCTATTCCTCACACAATAAAAAAACAAATCAAAATGCGAGGGATGCATAAATTGAACAAATAAATTATAAATATTAAGTTTAATATGCAAATAATTATTGACACAGCTCGTTGGAATCAGAGTATATAAATCGAGATGGCGGAAATGATCGACATGAAAAAAGAACAGAATAATTTGATTTTTTCGAATTTACAGGTAATCATCAAAATGCTGCTCTTCATTCTCGCAACTCTCGTCGCTTCGACGTCGGCTCTTTCGTGCGCGAATGAGCAAGGACGTGAGTTGAGTTCTCAACACCGCGCTCAACTCATTTTTTCAGCATGCATCGAAACTTCCATTGACGGACTCAATGTTCACTTGTGCCCTGATGGTATGGGATGTCTAAACAACCAATCGTGCTGCCTATTCGAAGATATCGTCTCGGGACCAGTGACCACCACACCATCACCAAATCCAGGACCATCGCCGTCAAACAGTGGGCATACTAATATTCCCCCACCCCAAAAAATTCAATGATTTTCAGATTGCGTTGACAAGGTCAACCCAAATACGGGAGTTTCCGATTGCCCGAAATCCGCCTATTTGTGCGATAACTCCGCCTATCGCGACTTGATGACTGATGTATTTCGGCATTGGCTCTCATCCAGATATCACCAGACTCATTTCAGCAATGCCCGAAGACGTGCAATCGATGCGGCGGCAATGTTGGATCTACAGTGGCGCCGGTCAATCCAGTCGCCTCATGCGTCGACAAGGTCAACCCATCAACTGGAATCTCCGAGTGCTCGCAGAAGGCTTATCTCTGCACCAACGCCGCCTACAGATCGGTGATGCAAGACCAGTGTCCGAAGACGTGCGGATTCTGCTAGAATACCATCAGAAGACAGCCAATGCTCTTTTTTCTCTCGCTTCTTTACAAATAAACCATTTTGTAGACAAAATTTTGTGAGGAATTGACAATTTACGGATAGGCATTGCGGGCGTACATCGATTCGGGCCGACTATTCAATCCAAGCATTGGTTTGAATATGGTCTTCATCATGAATGTCGAGTTCTCTCTTGACAAGATGAATGAGAAGCATAGAAATATTGGTAGGATCGAATAGCAGAAATTGAACATCTCGTCGAGCAATTCCAATAAATTCGGCGGCGCGTTTAAATTCGCCTCGGCGATGATGATTTTCGCCAGGGTAATTGTCGTAATAATCTGAAACTATTTTTTTTTGACAATAAATATGACGAAAAGCGCGTCAGAAAGGTCGCAATTTTCAAATTTTCAAATTATTTGTTGGCTGTTTCATATTTTTAATTTCTTTTCTTCCAAATGTCCTTTTAAACATTTCACAGTAATCTTGAGAGTTAACATAAAAAAATTACATCAAACTATTGGAGGGTAGCGGGGACCTTCAAATTCTCGAAATCAGTGTAGATTTAAATAAATCTTTGATTGAATATTAAATGCGCGTACGCTATAATGCAATGTACGCAATTTTGCGTACTTCCCGCATTGGCATTTTTTAAATCATTTTTTTTGACTCCGACAATATTGAATTCGCAAAAAAATGAGCACCCTGCGGTCTATTTGAATTCGAATTTGAATTGCCGCCACAATTACGTTTTTTTTGCGATGTATAATAAATAAACATACCAAATGGTTAATCGAAATCGGAAAAAATTGATATAGAAAGAACGTATCGTCAGCATGTTGTGCCTTATGCTTATCGAGCAAGGAATGAATATAAAAATAAGCGCCAGTGGCTATATAAGAGAGTAATGCAAACGCCACGTGATAAGCCTGAAAAACATGCATGACGTGGTCGAGAGGAGTGATTCCTTACAAGGAAAACGATTAGATGAGCGCTAGAGTCGCATTTGATGAATCTCATGATTGTGACAGAATCGCAAAATTCTGAAGAAAAAATGTTGAGCCAAAAACACCTGTTGGAACCATTTCAACCAGTGTATTTTGCCGGGAAATCCCGGAAAATCGAAATCCCAGGAAAACGTCTGCAAACACCGCGCGCGCAAATGCACACTTTTCGAATATTGCTTATTCTTGGCTTTTCTTTTTCGAAATTTGATGAATTTCTCTGCCAGCGAGATTGTTTTTTTTTTCAACTTTTTCCCGGGAAACCTCGTCCCGACAAGATGCACTAAATTCAACTCACGCAATTTTAATTTCGAGTAGTGGAACGCAAATATCCAGCAAATGAATGGACTAAATTTGGAAATCGTTCTGAAATTCTTAACATTTAATATCAATTTTATAAAAAAGTGCGTTTTACACTAAATATCTGATCTTCATCGGATTCCAGAATATCAAAAAAGCACGCAACATTGCGATATTAAAATTGAGAAATGATACAATTGCAAACATTGAGCTTTGCAAAATTCGAATATCGACGAAATAAAAAAAATCGAAGGCGAGTCGGGCAATTGTTGATTGACTTATAATTGTGACTCTAAAAGGGGGTCCCGAATTAAATGGAAGATTGATACGAGTGAGCCTACATGTAAGAGATAATTAATAAATCTTTGTGGAATATTAGAGTCGCTATAACGACGTATAAGTGCTTTAAAGCATAGCTATGAATTTTCTGGAACTTCTATTGATAATAAAAACTCAGGGCGATTGATTTTGTTGATCACACTCAAACCTTTTCGCATTTCGAACGATTTTTGACAATCATGAATCCGATCAATCCAACGTTCGAAATGATCCACATGACCCTGTCGATTTTAGTAAGCATCAAGTCGAGCCTCAACTCGGCCTCGTCATAAAGGTATTTGAGATTGTCGACGGAATCGTTCGACATCGGAATGTCAATGTGAAACGAATTCGAGCAACGAGATGCAGGTGATTTATTGGAATTGTTTTTTTTTTGAAATGACGATGAAAATGTGTTATTTGTTAATTAGCAGCCGTTTTTGTTGATATCCTCATACATTGAGTAAACGATCGGCTTGTAGATCTGAAAATTCGAGTTCAATTCCAAATAAGGGGAGAAAGTGTGAATGAACCGCGTCGGTGGCTCGCAGTCCGATGGCATAATCAAGATGGGAGAAATGGTCGATTTTGATGGACTGCTTGAGACCGGGACCCATTCGCTTCAGGATCACTTCGACGGCATCTCTCGCGTCGGCAATATTATCATCCGAACTGAGCAATTTTGTCTAAAAATGAAAAAAAAAAAAACAAAAACAAACCTATAATAGAGAATCGTTGGGGTGACAATATTGGACAAATCGAATGATGGCGCTTCGGGTTTGCCGTACAATCGCATATTCCGCTCGCGGCCCAAATCGAGATGACGTAGGCCGTGATATTTGAACGCCTGAAAAATTTCAGAGTTGCGACGACGACGACGTCTGGAATTCACTTGTGTCCAATGGAGCAGATTCAATGTCGACGTTCTCGATGGAAAATGCCGAAGGAATAATGGGAGGCGCGTCTGAAATTATAGAATCTTTATTTTACGACGAGCTTCCTATTACATACAGTATTGACTTGTCCCAATCTCTCGATTCCGTCGGATGCTGATAGAATCAAACCGCAAATTTGATTGACGCCCGGAATTGCGCATAATTTCGAAAGGGCCACTTGAAAGGGCTTCGGCAGAAATATTGGGAATATTCCGAGTTTGCCGTCAAGCGCGAATTGAATGATATCCTGAATTGCGGGAATCTCGAGCAGCACGAATGGATAGAATGGGGTCTTGAAGCCGGCTGACGGCGCCAACCCGTAGAATGTTCGGATTTTCTTCTGCCATTGGGCGTCGGCTTCGGCGAGCCGCATGAACATCACCGTGGTGCCTTGACTGTGTCCGATGTAGAATAGCGACGGCTGATCGGTTACATTGAGAATGTATTCGACTTGGGATTTCAGATCGTGATGCGAATGATCATACAATCTGAAATTGATGGGAAACAATGGTGGGAGACGAGGTGGTGATGGCGTTTTACGAGAAATTCCAGAAATGTTGGCTAAAAATGCTGAGCGTGGTATGATTCATGCCATATTCGGTTCCGCGCAAGTTGCCAATCCACACGTCGAATCCGGCATCGGCCATGACGAATGCGGTGCTTTGAGACGGAAGATTCATGACGAATTGAGCGCCACTCGAGAACAAGCCATGCATACAGTAAACCACGGGCCTCTTCGCGCATGGACGAACGTTCCGATCTAGTAACTGACATGAGCAAATTCCGACGACGGCTCAACTAACCATCGCGTCCATGTGGGATTCGTTGGACCTCGTTGATATAGCCATCGGCAGTTTTCACAAAATGCCTTTCCACTGGATACCCATGATGGGCAATGATTTGAGCCTAGCACCAATGGAATGATCAGGATTCGTTCGTGACGGCCTTACCACACTCATATTATCCTCAGGATCGCTTGCACGGGAAATTGCAACCAACCATAGCAATTGAATGAAACCAAAGATGGTCATCGTGTGCCCATTTTCAGCCCCAATTTTCCACCTTTTAAAGCACTGGCCGGTCTGATCAGTTGTACTCTTTTAGTAGCATACTCTAGCGGATAAAAACAAATGGATTGTGTCTCAAATATCACGCGACATTTCAACAATTTTTTTTAATCAATATTGATAGCAAATTTCTTTATCAAAGTACGCTTGTCAGGGTCGTAAAATCGATATATGAGTGTGCTCCCAAATTTTGTGCACGTTCCATGCAAACATTCGCCGCTTCGCTTATTGTTTTCGTTGTCGTGCTCGCTGTTTCGCAATGCGCCAAAAATGGCACGATTGAGCCGAAACGACGGCTGTACAATCCGCTGGTTTGCTACGTTGAGGTTGAAGGTTTGATTGTTTCCATGTCCTACGATCAGATTATTGCATCAGGATTACTATATGGCGAGGAGTTCCATGAAGAATCGCATCATGAACCTTGCGCGCCACAATCCAAATTTTGCCAGAAGATTACTGCACATTTCAGTAAGAATTCTTTCTAAAATGATGTGTCATCTACCGTACTCATTTCTGAAATTTAAGAATTGATTGGCAAGAGGCAATTTTCATGAAATTGACTGAAAATTATACTTTTTGAATATTCAATTTTGCATGAATTGGTCCATATTTTTCAGCATGATAGATTTTCCAAGAAGGAATATACAAAAATCGAGCAGAAAATTATTTTCAGCGCAAAAAAAATTGCAGAGATGTCGGTAATACGGCATGTGAATTCAAAAAGAGTCGTTGAAAAAAAAATGAAAAAAATTCAATTTTCATCTCCCTATCAATTTTTAAAATTGAAATTTGAACTACTAAAAAGTGGCGGCAAGAATCGTTCGTAATGAGACCCAAATTCAATAACTGCAAAATGAAACCAAATGAAAGTATCGATTGAAGGATTAAAATGCCGACGGGTGGGTTCAATTTTCCTGAAAAAATTCTATTTCAAGCCTAAAATAAATATATATTTATAATAAACCCGAAATTTAATACACAATTGATTATGAGTGGTCTTAACACGATAACGGAGCAGGCAACAGATTAAGCTAGCTCAAAAATACCACCCGAACACGAAAATTTAATTGAAATATTAAAAGCGTTTGAATTGCCGCCAAAATAAGGGTTCTTGTGATATGGGAGTTCTTAAAATGAATATTGCCGAAAAATTGGCAAAGTGCCAAAAAAAAATAACGATAGTGGTCTTGGCGCAAAACTAAATGTGTAGATTTACGGGCCAAAGTATAAGAATACGTTAAAGGCGCATCCGAGACCTCTTTTTGGAATTTTGCCTTAATTTCAATAATTTTTGGGAAAAATTGGAAGATTTCAACAATCAGAAAAAATTCGTTTTGAATTCAATTAGTAAGAGTATCGCAATTAAAAACTTTAGTGGATACTAGTGCCGTGGAGACGCATATCAATATGAAAGGATGCGATACCGTTCAAGTGCTGCCTCATTTTCAAGGAATTGCCTGTCAGGTATCTTCTTGCTTTTTTTCCCCCCTTTTCGCTCCTTTAATATCACAATTTTTGAAGGGAACTGGCTGCATCGAACGAATTTACAACGACGATCTGTTCACGGTGTGCTGCTGCAATACGGAAACCTGCAATCCCGGAAAATCGCATTTTTCCATTTTAATGCATATTCTTTTATTCATTATATATTGCAGTAAATAAATCATAATTTAAAAAAGGGAAATATGTTGGTTGAAGCAGGTGATTATAAAAGTGGTTTTGGATATAGGAAAGTCATGAAATTGGTTTTTGATTTATTGAAAGGTCACAAGCAGACCTCTCGTTATTGCGTTTGAATCAAGCCGTCACATTTTATGTGCGATATTGTCAGTCGTCAGCGAACTATTATCATTGATATTCATCTACACAGTCATCACGAAATCAACGAATGATATGAAAACGTATAAATTTGTTCTTTTGAAATTTTTGGTAATTACTTCGAAGATAATTTTCAACGATTCAAATATTGAGGTTTGCGTATTTCTGTTCAACTGTAGCCTTACAAACTTCGTAAGACCCGATTTACTGTGCCCGCTGACGGCAGCCGCAATTCGGAGTCCCATTGGAGGGAGCAGTGAGATATCGGCATTGGTCATTGTAATCATTACAAATTATCACTCCAAAAAATAAAACTTAAAACTTTCAGATTTCCATTACATTGTTCCTAGCAATTTCCGTATTTATTTCAATCATTGAATGCTGTTTTGTTCGCGTTTGCATTTTGTTTCAATGGCGGAACATGTTGAAGCATATATTTTCATGGAAGTAATAGCAAAATTCAAATAAAAAATATTCAAAATCATTTTTTTCCGGCGTCAAACGACGGAACAAAAAAATTAAATTGGCCATCTGCCAGGTGTCTCAAGACGTGCGCGTGTTTGCGTACTGTGCATTTAAGCGTACGCGCACTTAATATTTGGGCCGAGCGTAAACATACAATTTCGTAGACCTTCTGATTTTGCGAAATTGAATATCTCGCCACCGTTAGGTCGTTCGACGCCGATAATAGTATGCTAAAAATGGCTCACGCGGTTGCCAAAATTTTTGCTGACCTCAAATTGTAATAATATAATTTTCAGGGGATTAATTCTCTCGTTGATCATCCACTCAATTAGCTTTCTCGTCGTTTTATGCGCCTTCAATATTGCGAGAAGCTCTAGTAAGGTATTTTTTGCGAATCTCTCAACTCGCACGAACCACCATTTTTTTTTTGCAAATTCTACCAAAACGTTTCCCGCGAATAATGTCGTGGATCGACAAATATGGACAACAATTGAACTAAAATCATTTTTTGGCTTTAATAAGAAATTCTAAATTACAGGGACACTAAATGTTTTCTGTAAATGGCAATTTTCTAAACGACAATAATTATATGTAATTCTTCATAAAAATAATCACCTTGGTAATTTCCAGGAATTCTTGACAATTGTTGCAACTGCAAATTTGTCGCATATGCTCGGCAAATATCTGCTCAAACCGAATACTGTATATATTTATGTCAATCTGTTTAGCTATAATGCAATTCCCCTAGGTAATCGAATTAAAAAGCGAGTACCTTTTGACTATTAAACAAAAATTAAATATGCTTGAATACCAAGTATACTTAAAAAAACAATGAATTTTCAATTTGAGTCATAAATCGAAAACCAAAATAAAGTATTCAGCGGCAAGTTGTGGTCTCGGCCTATTAATGTTCCATTTTTTCAATTGCTATTTCACACACCTTATTTGGAAAGAAGTCCTTCGGCGAAAAAAGATGATGTCTGTCAAAAGTTTTACCAATCATTGGCAAATCACCATTTTCCTAATATTTCAAGTAATTCAAAGTTAATACAACTTTCAAAGTTTTAAAAACTCCTTTTTAGAGCATTTACCCGCTAACCGCCTTCGTTTTGCCCGGATTGGTTATATTATCAAGTATTTTGATGAAATTGGACCATACCATTTTGTCTGAAATTAACAAGCATATCGTATCATTTGCAATTATATTTTATCCTTCTATTACAATGATCACCGGGTATTTCAAAAATTCAATATCGGTGATATTTTCAAGGAGCTTTATTGTACAGATTCTCTTGCATTCGACCCTATCGGCAATTCCTGAATGAATTATTGTGCTCAACGAAATGGATCCATTTGTTGCGGCGAACTTCACAAGTGTCACCATTTTCAATAATATATATTATCGGAGATCGAACTTATTTTTAAATAGGATCTTTTTTATTATGAAAATTTAGTATAAACTCGTTTGAAAATTCCTTAAATTCAATTTTTTAGTATATTCTTATTATGGATAATTTTTAGTCACGTGAAATTGAATGTAACTCGATAATGCTTTAGAGATTGAATTATACGAAAAAGTCGAAAATGAAATTTCACAGCGACCAAATAATGTAGGAAAAAAAACTTGTTGAGAAGAAGAAAAAGCTGGGGGAAAATTTCCATATAATATGGCCTAGATTTTCATAACAGCGGCCACGGCCATAGAGTTTTTTTAAATTTTAAATTTTCTGTGGAGGTTTCGCAATTGTTTTGTATTGTTGTGTATAGATTTAGTGCATAAAAATAAACAAAGAATTGAAATGAAGAAAATTCATATTTCAGTTATGGCTGAACTCAAAGAGCATCTGAAGGCTGCATCAATTTTATTGAAAAACGAAAATCATGAAGAAGCATTGAAATTGTTGGAGGTTTGAAGAGTTCTAAATTTACATGTTATGCGAATTTTGGATTTAGCCACATATTTCGAATGGTGTTAAAAACTACATGCTCTATTGTTATGCGGGTTTATGCTATTCGAATGCCAACGTCTATGATATGAGTCTTGAGCTTTTCCGTCAGGTATTTCGCCAGAAAACATGGAATATTTTGAATTATTTTTAGGCAACTGAAATTGATAAAGAAAAACCAATGGCCTGGAAAGGAATTTTCAAAATAATTGATCATCTTCCAGCGGAAGTTTTTCTAATAAAAGTTTGCGATGCAATGTTAGCTTTTCCGTAAGAAGGAATGTGAACAAATCAAGTAACTAAACTTAAATTTTAGCGAAAATGAAGGCAAAAGCGGAGAAATTCTGGACGCCAAACTTCGAATCTTGTTAAAAATTCAAGATTTTAATTTGATCAACGAGAATTGGAAGAAGGATCCCAAATTCCTGAAAAGTGTAATGCATGAATTGCTAACAAAAAACACATTAAACGATTTGGAAAAGAAAACGTTGGAGAGATGTTTCGAAGATTTGAGAAATGAGAATGATTTTTTCGATGATGCAGATGTCGCTCTAGAACACTGCAAATTCCTCCTAATGGTTTCACGAATTTCGAGTGAATTGAGATATCAATTTGATTTCAGAATGAGCAACCAGTCGTTGGCCAAATTGAAAAATTATCCAAGAATTTTCCAGAAAAGCTTTCAGATTCCACATTGCAGAAATTCATATTCAAGATTACATGTGAAGGTAATTTTAGAGAGTTATTTCTAAAATCTGTAAAAGAAGTGTTTATTCTCTATTTTTTCGGATTTATTTTCTGATAAAGGAAAATCTGCAATTTGAATCTGAAAAAAGCAAACATATTCATCCTACTGGTAATATTTCATATTAAATATATCAAAATCTCAAATTTTCATAATAATTTTTAAAATTTTACATTTAGAACTTTTCTGCAACGGCACTTTTCCGATATTTTCCGATCATCTTGTGGAATCGCAGATCTGCTTGGAACCTATGCTAAACCTTATCAATCATTTAAGGTATTGCAAATTATAATGCAATTTCCCAATTTCTCATATAAGAAGCAACGACATCACGCATTGTTTGGAAATTTTGGACAAAATTGAAAATGTTGAAAAGTCAAAATACCCGCAATGCCTTCTATTCGTAAAGTTGCTGGAGATTTGCGAAAATTGGTGCGAATGCAAACAAATTGTTGATTATGCGAAGAAGAATGCGACGAGTCCCGAAATTCTGAAGCATTTGGAAGGATGGAAGGCGAGAATTTGCCTTGAGACTTTTGAAAAAATCGACGTGAACATTCAACGCCCACTTCCAACTCCAGAATTCATCCGCGAGGAAACCAATTTGTGCTTGATGAATCATGAGGAACAAAGTCTGAACGGAATGCTTTCCAAGTATTCTGAAAACACCAAAGAGGGCATGATTATAAGGTAATTAAATTTTTGGATAAATTCTGGCTATAATTTTTGTATTCAGACTTCAAATTTCACTTAAGACCAATCAGTTTCCTCCTGAAAATTTAAATATGACTGAGGCCTTATTATCTCGCGATGATGCTGATTGGAAGGACGCTCTACTGGTTGCTGAGGTGCGGATTGCGATGAAATCCGAAGCAACATCGATTCTTGTAAAGGTATCAATAATAAATCGATTTTTTTTTCATTTCGGCCTAAAAAAAGAGATCTAGTAGTAAATTTTAAATAATTCAGGCGGCTAAGTTAAATCCAAGATCAAGCCGCGTATTTCATATTCTCGGAAAATCGCTTCTTCGCAAGAATCCGGCAAAAGCTAAATCATGTCTAGAACGAGCTTTCAAAATCCAGCCTGGAAATGAAGAATACGCGAAATGCTATGATGAGGTATAAAAAAAAGAGAATAAATATATTTTTTGAAATGTTATTTAAAATTTAGTGTTTGGTTCAACAAAACGCTTCAAGTTCGGAACGAATCGCAATCTTGAAGAAATTTGCGCAATGTCGAGGAAACAAATTGAAACCGATGTGGCTATCGAAAGCTTTGGCTGAGTTTGGATTGAAAAAGAAAGGCTCGTTATATTTTTCATCGTATTCAGGTTGTACCTTGAAAATGAACAATTTGACTCGGCCATTGAGGAATTACAGCAATTAGTGAGATTTTCGAATCTCGATAAATTGTCATGGGCAAGATTGGCGGATGCCTACTTCAGAAAAGGCCACCTGCGGGTAAACCAATGTTGAACAAATGGGAAATTTTCGTGTGGTTTCAGGCTGCCGTCAGTTCATACGAACATTTGTCGGAAATCGACGGTGGACGAGATTATAGGATTCCCGTAGGATTGAAAAAAATGAAAAAAAAAAATTCGAATGGATATTTAGATGATCCGCGTTCTTGTTCAACTTCGTGACTTTGAAGTCGCTTTGGAGAAGGTGAATGAATATCGCGAATTGGTGAAATGCGACGAAGATACGCCAAGGAACACGAAAATTGCAATCGATATTCTTGAAGTGCAGGTAATTTCGAATTAATTGATCGATTGAATCGCGTCCGATTGCAGATTCGCTTCAATTTGCTTTCAACGACGACGGGCGATGATCGGCGTGAGAATTTGCGGACGAGCATTCGAATTCTTTCAACATGCGTTCAAACCAAATCAAATATCTCATTGATTTATAAGTTGGCTGGAGATTGCCTACTCAAAGCCTCGGAATATTCCGAAAGATTCTTGCCATATTTTGAGGTACTGTTGACACTTTATACTATGGCAATATAGTCGGTGTCCGGCGACTGCTGTACGCGGGTAGATTTACGGGAATGCGTCTTTCGAAATGGTCTCGCAAGGACTGACAGGTTATTTCAAATTTTGTGGACCGGTTCGACAATTTTTTTAATCGAATGACGTTGGAAATTCAAGAAAATGCGAAACTCGTCAAGAAAAATGAAGCAGTTCGCGTGAAAACAGCAAAATAAGCATGCACGCGTGGCGAGACCTTTTCAAGGCGCATGCGCGTAAATCTACCCGCGTACAGCAGTCGCCGTACGCCGACTATATATGTGCAATAGAAAAAATGTAAAAATTACAATTTTTGCGATGCAGGAATGTAAAAAAATGTTAAATTTTTTAAATTTCATGAATTAGTGGTTGAAAATTGTTTAATTTTCGGCATGAGAAATTTTTTTACGTTTTGTTCCACATCACTTATATTGCAGATTGATCCTTCTTGGAATGTGACTGATCGATCGTCATGTGCCGCCACAGCGTGCTCATTTTACGCGACTGTCCTTCAACTACGAAAAACTGATGCACTTTCTTGGCACGATATGGCGGTAGCATTGATATTTCGGTATAATATCGAAAAGAATCCGGAATTTTTGAAAAAGTCAGTGTTTTTTGTTCTAAAAAGTTGCTCAATCATCTGTTTTAGAGCCAAAAAATTTGTTGAGAATGCGTTCAAGTACACTAACGATTCATCGATTTTGTCGACACTTTGGACGGTGTTGGCGCGAGCGAAAAATCTGGCGAATGATCATCCGAATGAGCAGGTGAGCATATCGTTTGAATTTTTGAATTTCGAGGGATGCCCTTTAAATTGTCTTGAAAAATGAAATTATCTGCGCATTTTGGCACTTGAAAAAATTAATTGATACCGAACATTCATTTAAAAATGGCGCTATAATAGGATAGTTGAATTTTAGCAATTGTCGTTCTTATTCCAAACGAGACCCAAAACGGCAATTCAAATGATAAATCTATCACACCCACTATAATTCATAACTGTTGAAATTATTTCTATTTAGCTTCACTGCCTCACTCGAGCTCTTCAACTCAACAAGACGAATGATTCCGCCTGGCTCATGTTGGCAGTATTGTGCTTGATTATGTTTGAGGTAGATCAACGCTTCATTTATTTTGAAAGTTTCATCACAAAGTTTCAGACAAATGCTGCATCGTTTGCCGTTGAGCAGGCGATCAAATATAATCCGCATAACGCGGATGCGTGGTGCACATGGGCTCAACATGCCAATCTGTTTGGCAGTGATTATGATGCTCTTGTGATGTTCCGCCAATCACTGTGTATCAAACCAACGGTGAGACGATTTTCGAGCTATCACGAAAATGCATACAAGATGTTCAGGCTTCTTCTATCGTTGGCTATTGCGTCTACTTGTGTCGAAGTTTGAGAAACTCAAACTCGCGGTTCGATTCGGCGGTTGTCGCGCTCAATTTTGAGCCGATCATCCAATTGCGAGGTTGTTCTCAGATTTTTCAATTTTTTTCCTATTTTTAATTTTTTGTTCTAGAAATGGCGTGCTGTGATAAACGAGCACTTCGCCATTTGGGTGTGCTTGCTGACTTTTTTGGATATTATTCAGAAGCTGTTGAGTGCCTCCGCCTCGCCGGAGCCAGTGGAGCCGAGTTTGAGCGGATGACTATGTGAGAATAATTTTTGTTTGATTTTATTCATTGATTATTTTCTTTTTTTTAGAAAATTAGACACTCTTAGTGATGGAACTCCGAAGGAGTTCAAGACTGAATATTCTGAAAATAGCCGATTGAGCAATCTGGTCGCTTATAGTAATGAGCAATTGTGGAACGTTTTGTTGAATGAACTTCCGGTTTACGCGCAACTCATGAGCTTCATCAATGAGCAAATGGAAAAAGAGTTCAAGGCATTCTATTTGGCGAATTTCAAAGTGATATCGGTGCCGCTATTGGTGTCGGCGATAATTTCTCTTCGGATAGTAAGCGCATTACTAGGCAGTCGTCGGCATCGATTTTGATGTGTTCAGGAAATGCCGATTGGATTCATTGAAGCGATGCACGAGGCCCTTCCGCGTCATGAGCTAATCGACTATTTCCCAACGATTCTGCCGCCGGGATTGGATAATGGATTGAGTCATCTCGAGCAGGACGGCGAAGAGCCGTTCAGATATAAGCACAAAATTGCAAAGGTGGGGGTGAATTTCGCGAATATGCGGCAAACGAGGTTTTTTGTTTTCAGAAGCTCTATGAAGAGCTGAAATTGGCTCGTGAGAAGTATGAAGCTCTAGCCGCTGAAGAATGTGCATAGTGGAATTTTGGAGATGTGAATTCCTTAGTAGACAAATTTATAAGGTTTTTTTGAAGTTTGACGCACCCCAACCCGATATTTCGAATATTCTTGTTTATTATCGATATAATTTATTAATAAAAGTTCAATTTAATTATTGATTTTGAATTGTGTGAGAGAGAGAGAGAAAATGTTTGTGTCAACATGAAATATGAGACTTTCGCTCTTTTTTTGTCAATCTTGCCTCGATTTCTTCTCGTCTCACTTCTTTTTTTTATGAGCTGATTGTGATTAATGATTTTTCGTTGAAGCGGCTAGCCGCCAAATGTTTCAATGTGTCCATTGAACATTATTTTCTTGACATTTAACATTTCCATGCGAAAGATTAGAAATGATCCCTGTTTTACGATAATAGCCTTTTTTCTGATGTGCCTTTTAGAGAATTTTGACGTTTCTGAAGAAAATTTGAGATCGCATTTTTTTCAATGATTTTTGTGTTTTTGGGCATTTATGAATTATTCAACGAAAATCTCGATGAATTTTACAATTTCTTTGCAACATTTTCATTCGCTACATGTTTGAGTTCTGTTTTTGATTAAGACCCTTTTTTTCTTTCCACGGCTTCCTTCGCAACTTCAATCAGCTGTTGGGAGGTGAGTGATGAACCCGATACTGCTATACATATTTACAACCTCATTTTGTTTTTCTATCAGGAGGGTGTTGAAGATCGCCGGGAGTTTTTTTTTTCAAACGTTTCGCATGATTGTCATTTGCAAACTAATAAATTTCATTTTTATCACAGCTGATACTCTCGTCATAAATATCTCAATCAAATGTTGCACAAGTGTCGTGTTATTTCAACTGAATGGTCTTTGAAATGTTTGGTGATATTTATATATTTATAGGTGAAAATTTTGCCTGAAATGTGAACATTTAGCAATTTCCAAAAAAAAATTATTTTTACATCCGCAAGTTTTTGCTTTGTGTATGCACATTCTCTTCACATACAGTACTCAACTACTCAGTAAAAACATTTTTATTTTCGAAATACATTTTTTCCAATTTTTTGCCAAAATCACCCATTCCCCAAGTTTTCGGTGTTGAACCAGAAATGAGACACATCGCCAAAAGTGCAAAAATCGGCATTAAATCTCTTTTTTCTCACCAATCTTTTGAAATTCTGCGTCCACTTGTCCGCCGACATTTTATCCGCTCCCGTCGTTCTCTTTCTCACATTCACCAATTTCTATATTTTCGTCTTTTTTCTTACCTGTGTGTGCCACATTTTTTGCTCGTTTCTTTTTTTTGCGGCGGACCGGACGCGGTGAATAGCAAAAATGTTGTAGGCAGGTACACCGCCAGTTGCGAACAATGCCCGAATAATTTTATAAATAGAATCGCCTTCAGTGCACCTTTTCCATTCAGAAATCTTTTAGTGGAAGGTTTCAAATCGAAAATAGGTATTCGCTATTCGCCGCCTGTCAAAGCCCCCCCCCTCCCACCCGCTGTGCTCGTCATCCAGGAATTTCGTTTGTTTTGTACCTATCGAGTTTCCCATCACCTCCCACCTCAGAAAAACTCCCTGCAACTGTTTGTTTTGATTTTCTAACATCACATGTATTTTTCCAACGAATCTTGCCTACCGGCTAGACGGTCTCGTTTTCCGTGTTTGCCATCGTCCCATATTTGCTCGTACTCTTCCGGTGTCGCACCGTACAATCAATTTCCTGGCTCAGAAGGCCACCACAAGAAAATCGTGTGCATCGAAAACAAAAAGAAATCAGGTTTTTGATTTACGTACGACACATACACGAAAAGTGTTCGGAACCCCCCTCAATGCCCACCGATCGGGTTTTTTGTGTTTAGAATATACCTTGTCTACCGGTCTCTCGAGTTCACACGCAATTTCGTCGAGAGTCCAATTCTAAACAATCACATTTTTTGTGGTTGTTGAAAATTCTTTCATATAAAAAAATCTAGTCGCCCTCGCAGTTGCACTCGGGTTTTTCGGACCCCCCCCCTTTGAATACCTATCGTTTTCACTTTTAGCCGAATCCTCTTATTGCAACATTTCGAGTGTTTGTGTTGATCCTCCCACCCCCAATCCCACTTGAGAATTCGCCAATTAGCAGATATAATATGCAAATGCGATAGTATACGTTTCAAGATGTTCTCAAATATTCCGTCAATTGTTGGCAATTTTTGAGAAGATGAGTGTTTTCAGCGGGGCGGCGAAAAGAGGAAGAACATTGTGACACGAATTTGCATACGCCGAAATATTTCAATCGGTTTAGCAATTCATGTGATTTGCCGAAAAAAAAATGGGCGTGCCCTAAATGAACAGAATTCGAACCATATTTGTTGCAGTGTTCTTTTATTTGATAGTAGCGTTTTATGCGAACTTGAAACTGTTGAATTGTGCCGGCTATTTTTAAATGGTCCCGTCAAATAAAATGGACTCAGATATCGTCATTTGACACTTTTAAAACTTTTGAGTGCTTAAAATGCTTTTTGAAAATTTCTGACCCTAGATGGCAATTAAAATGATTCAGTAAGGAAATCCCAAATTCGTCAAGTTCTTGACTGATTTTATAGGAGGGTCTTTCAGCGAAGCTCCAATTACTTCGTGACAAGACCCAGCGATCTAAATATCCCCAGAAATTTGGGTTCGTAACCCAATATTCCTCAGAAATTTTTTACGAGGGGATCTTCAAATTGTCATTAATATAAATCGGTCGTCCCCTAACATTCCGCCGAATGCCATTAGCACTATTTGCCTCAGAGAGAATGAGATTATCAATTAATAAAATCTTTGCTAATTCATTCTTTGTTCCTTTCTTGGCTTTTATTATGTTTCAATACCAACAAAACCAGTTTGATTTTCAATTATACGTTGGTCTTCTAGTTTGTTTTCTTGAAAATTGAAACTGAAAAAAAATTCCGATCTCATCGACCCCAAAGAACACATATATTTTTGTCGCGCCTCGTTGTACGAAAAGCTGACCAATTGGCACCCGTCGTTGATCTTTTCATTTTATCGTGTTTTCTTTGAAAATCACAAGGAAAACGAGTTGCATACTAATTTTGATTTTTTTCGGGGGGCCAGAAGATGGCAATTGATGAGAAAAATAAACCCGGAAACCAATTTTTGGTGATATACCAAAAAAAATCGGTTTTTCTATATTTCTGAGAGCAAATTGAATCAATTTCGTTGTCTTTATTAGTCAAAATTAGACAATATTTATCCCTTAATTAGAATCTTGCCTTTTAAGGGTTTTTTGGAGGGGGGGGGTCTCCTTTTTGTTAAGCGATTCCGTTCAAAAAATCTCGCATCGATCACCGATGCCGGACGTCGCCCATTAATATCGCCATTTATTTCATCAAAGTGTCCATTTCGAATCGTTATTACACACAAATGCACACGCGTAGAGGAATGTGACCCATTCGCACACACCGGCCATCCGGTCACTTAAAAACGTTTTTGCGATACAACACAAGAATTTTGAACGTCGAGGCGATGGGGTTTGGATGAGGGGCGATCCCGAAATTGTTGCTCGCTGACAACAATTCTTGTTTTTCAATTAAACCCAAACCCCTCCGAAAAAAAAAACGCAGCCATGCATCATCATGAATTTGTATTAAATTCGTTGTCATCGCACATTTTGTTTTAGGGTCGATTTACGGAAATGCGCCGCCGTTGAAGTGGTCTCGTCCGGAAGCAATTAAAAATATGCTGAAGATAAGAAATAAATGAAAAAGAAAAAAAAAAATATATATGGATTCAAAATAGAAGAAACATGACTCGGATTAGAGGAGATTTGTGTCTTTGCTTGGTCCTAGCGATCGGAGCCATTCAAATTGCGTATCGGAAAGGTCACCTTTGAAGTTTCGATAGTTAAATGTGAGAGCATTAGTAATTGGTTTTGTTACCCTTTTCAAACGCCGCCTTAATAATTCTCCTATCGTATTTTCACATTTTCAATATATTATATTGTGGGCGTCGCGCATTGACTAAATTCCAAATATTTTGAGCAAGGTCTTGGCACAAGGTATGCGCCTTTAAGCTCCCCATTTTCAATTGTGTCATGTAGCCAATATTCCACCGTTACCTTCAAATCGATGATCCATAATTTTCTCTCTTCAGAAACATTTTCCAAAGCGCAATGTACCTTTAAATGCCGAGCAATATTGGTGACGAGAAAAAAGAAAATTACAAATTGCACCCAATTGGGGTTTGATAGCGGCTAATTTGGCATGAATGAGACATTCTCAAGATTTTGTGTTGTTTGTTTATTTTTTTCCATTCTGTTGCTTCTTCTTCTTCCTCTTCTTCAACTATTTCATGTGCATTGAATTTCAGAGCACTTGAAGACTCTCGTCGCCCCGCCCTTCGCCGTCCCGAAAAAAAAAGCGAACGCCATTTTTCGAGTGTGCTCGTTGCTGTGTTCCTCTCTTCGTCATCTTCGTCTTCTCTCCGCGTGTGTGTGTTTTTTTTTTGACGCAATCCATGCGTTATTTTTTGCCCTGCCCCCTCAAGAGCATTTCCGAAAAAGACGAGGACGAAATGCAGTCACAACATAATCAGAAGAGGAACATCGGTTGTTTGGAAATTGAATTTCTCAAGCGACGACTCGATTTATCAACTTTTATTCGGCGAAAAGAAAAATTTGTTTTTTTTTGGTCTTCTTATGCGTGTTATCGTGCATGAAACCAATTGCGAATCAGAGATTACATCGTTTCCACGGATACCGAGGACATGTTCGATTTTAGTTCGTCTTGAAATTTCTTGTAATATCCATCGTTCCCATTATTTGCTTCGGATTGCTCTCCGTGATCGTCCTAATTGCTATATTTGCAGGTGGGCGTGGCCTGATCTACGGAGGCAAGCGGCAAGCTTCGGACAACGACGAGAGGTGAGATTTTTCTTTTTTAAAAATGCTCATTTTTTTTTCATCTAACGATATTTCCAATTAAAATCATTTATTTTTTCGTAATATTTGAACCCCATGAGATTCTTGGAATTCGAATAGCTGGATTTATGCTAATACCTTTTAAAGTGCGAAAAACGAATCATATTGAAGAATATTATGTTTTGAGCACGTTTTTTTGTTCACAAAGAATTTGAAATAAGGGAAACGCAAAAAGAGATCATCTTTTTTTGGGTGGCGTCAATTCGAAATTTGATTTAACCAATGAGGAATTTTGGATACCGTTTTACGATAGCCTGTGAATTAAATTGAAGTACAGTAACGGGGTTTATCTGCGCTTGTTATAATTAGACAGCTTTCTTGATTGACAAGAGCGCCGAGATCGAAAGGTTCATCAAGCGAAATTTTATTTTATACCAATTATTAATTTCCAATAACAAAATTTAAAAAATCCTGCATTTTTTGTATGTTGTTTGAAATTGAAAGTCGCAAGATGATTTCAGATTTGAGAATTTCGAATTATTTTTTTTTTCGCTGATCTTTCGTTACTCGTCGGGCTCTCTTGGGAGTCATCTATACATCTTGGGCGAATGTTGCCAAAATTGGTCTCTCGAATCACAGTAATACGAGAAATCGTGTTTCGTTGACGTTTGATCGCCGGAAATGTTTTGATTTTCGGGTAGAACACACTTGACATTAAAAAAAAATGATTTTGAGAAATCGAATTTTCTGCAAAAAATCGGTTCCCGTTGAACGGAAGAAGTTTTTTTTTGTTTTTGTTTTGCGCAGAAAAACCTTATACGTGCTCCAGAAACGCGTTGATATTGACAAAATTCCAATCCGTTATTTTTTTCGTCGTCGTCTTTTCGTCGAAATGTTGAGCACCCAAAAAAAAGTAAATAAACAACGACAATGCTTGTGACGCAAAAAACGCACTCCTTACCAGCGCAACTGTCAGCGAGCATGCAAGATTTCAAAAATTTTTTTATCTAATTGAAAACAAAAAATTGCACATCATTGACTCATTTCATTGAGAATCTCGTGAGCAAACATCATCGTTGAAAATGACATCATATTAATTTGATATTAAACTAACTATGCGTTGTTCGTCCCACGTAACTGTACACAAGAAGTAGTCAGTTTTGTCATCTCAAGCCCGTTTTATGGTGGTGTTCCCACGCTTCGCTTCTGTTCGTTGTTCGCCTTCTAAACCGTATTCTGGTTGGCTGAAAGCGGTCGTCGGACTTCTTTTTTTTTGAGTTTCTTCACTTTTTTTCTCACGCTTTATTCAAGAATTCTGAAAGATTTGCAGAAGGCAGAAGCAATGAAGTTTGGTCGTTGCAAAAGAAATGCACTTTTTTTTTGAAACTCCCCGCCTCGACATCTGTCAATAAAAATGATAATAAAAAAGAATTATGGCAGATTTTGGAAAAAGCGTTTCGAAAATTTCAAATTATATATATAATTTAATGTTTTGGGAATAAAATAAGTATTTGTGAAAAAAAAATCACAAAATTTTCTTTTGCGACAACCTACTTGTGGTTTTAAAAAGAATTTTTGAGTTTTCCCCTCTTCAGTGCCATTATTTCGCGCGAATAGTTCAGCAGAGAATCTGGTCTCGAATTCCATTTCACATTTATTGGCAGCTTGTCAGCGTTGCAAAATTTCCGGGAAATTAATAATCCCCCCTTATCACAGTCAATATTGAAATGAAATTGAAAAAACCGATTTTAATTGAATTTTTTGAAACGATTTAATGATAAAAAGAACGTTAAGATATCATATTATTAATTGATAGCGAAATAGAAGAAGAAGAACATTACAAAAAGGGGGTCTCGACACTGGACTTTCACTTATGCAGTATTATTACAAGACGGTCCTGTTTGGTAGTATATCATCCGCCCATTCGTCCCAAATCAATTTTCGTTTTTTTTTCATCATCTCCTTCAACAGTCTGCCCCAAATCGTTCTGGTTTCCTTCGTTAATTTATTTAGTTTAACATGATGAAGAACATATATGTAGGTATTTACTTTGCTTTCAAATCGAAACTGGTTGGTTGGCTATTTCGATTAGACACCGCCAATAAAAAAAAGAGGAGTCATGCATTTTTACGCGATGAGTTTGGTAATTTTTTTGCGAATCTTTCGATATCATATTGATACATGTATTTATTCGAACTGACACTTCTCGTCGTGCCGCCCGAACTGTTCCGTGTCTTCGGGCGGTGTCAAGGTTTTCTTCGATTTTTTTTTGTTCGAGAGGCCTAAGCCGTTTATAACGATTTTCCTCATGATGGTCACTATTTTTCGACATTTTTTGAAAGTTTCCTTTTTTTTGAAAAGCTTGTGAATTTTTACAAAAATTTTACCATTAAAAAAATTTTTATTGACTCAAATGGACATTTTTTGCAAAAAAGGAAGAAACACGAAAAAATGAATTTCGGAAATGAAAAAGAGGGAAAATTACGATTTTCGCGTCAAGACCTGTACGATTTTATAATACGCGTCTTCAAAATTTGATTGAAAAAGACTACGATAATTAGCGGCATTTTTTTCACTGTTCGATAAAAATCAACGAATAAAATCAGTTTTTTTCGATCTCATTTTTTCTTATTAATTTAATATATACACGAAGCTTACAATATTCTATACAATATAAAATTGAAATTATGATTCAATCGTTTTTCTTTTTGGAATTGATACCGTTGCGATCTCTGTGGCGAAGTGGCCGAAAATCTCGGCGAGATGAGGAATTTTTGACAAATCCCACGTTTCTCCTCAAAAAATCGAAACAGTTTCGCATCGTTCATTTGTTTTTCGTCGGTGTGGTTTGTCCACTAGAATCAGCTGCTCGCCGCCGCCGCCGCCTCAGCGCCGATTCGCACTCGCGCATCCCAAAATATCCGCTGTTCGGCTCGTAGGCGGCCGCCGAATTGGATACGCCGATGTTGATGATTACGTCGCAAAGACCACTAAAGATCATCAAAATGGTTCATTTTTTTTTGTTGCAGTTGTTGCGGATCGTCCACAAAAAGAGTGGTTGCGAGCGAGTCGCGCGGGGCGGCGCGCGAGCTGCTCGCGTTTTGTTTATTTTCGCATTCTCCTCATTCATTGCCCAAATCTCCGCCCACAACCCATGAATCTTTTTTTGTCGGAAGGGTCCTCGTCTCAATTCGTACGCGATGCTCATGCTCCGGCCGCATCGTGTCGCCCGTTTCATACCACGTTTACTAATATTGTTATTGATTTGTAGAATAGAATGCACACCGTCCTGATCGCATTGCTCATATTTGGCATCGGCGGGTGTGAAGCGCTCAAATGTTTCGATTGCTATGGAACAGGTCCCGATCATAAAGCGTGCACCGAGGAGAGGACCTGCAATGGAGTGGCTTGCATGATTTGTAAGTATTCTAGTTTTTTTTAGAATTCTTAAATCTTCTATTGAAGTTGGAATTTTTATTTCAAAACAAGGCAAAGTTTCAACATTTTGTTCTAGTGAATGTAGAAAAAGCATAAGTACTCATTCTTTGCTCAATTCGATTTCCAATTTTTTTCCTGACATCTTAATTTTCAGTCGACGCTGGCGATAATCAGACGGCTTCTGCGTTTTGCCTGCTTGCCATGAAAGGTATTCAAGTGTCTTCAAACATTCGCAATACAATGACTCGAACGATTTCAGGAAAGAAGATGGACGAGGCGAAAGATGGCTGCTGGCTCGAGCCGGACGGCAAAGGAAAACACTGTATGTGTTTCAGCGACTACTGCAATAAGCTCATCGATCGTAGGAACACGAATGAAGGTTGGTGGAATCTTCGATCTTTACCCGGGCGATGAGCGCGCTCGGGGTGGAAGGGATTTCGCATAACAAAAACAGCATGTCAAACAGTACAAAAGCTGATTAGGCCGCGAGAATTGTGAGCGAGAGAAATGAGCGCGATGACGCGAGACGATGGCGAACATCGAGCAAGTGCGTCAGCGAGATGGAAACACACAAAACAAATTGAGTGATTAGCGAGAAGGACGAAGTGGGGCAACAAAAAAAAATGACTGTTGCAAAACCGACAGACTGACTGGCGCTGAGTTGCGAACGTCGAAATTTTCAGCTGATCCGATGGCTCCATTATTGCCGACGGCGGAATTCCTCAAGCAGAACCCGCTGGTTGATTATGACGCGCCAAATCTTGGAGATTATGTTGATGAGGGAGCCCATCCAGCACCGAAGCATGTGTTGTTCCCAAGCGCTGACAAACAGGATCCACGGGTGGCGGGAAGCGAGGATGATGATGATGGTAGGAGGCTTAAAACGAATGTCTGGAAATTGTCACACTTCTAGATCTTGTTCCTGTCGAGTTTGAGGATTACAAGGATATGGATGATGAGAGGAATGATGTCGGCGAAAAGGGTGTTCCACTTCCAGTTGATCCCGATGTTGTTGCTGTCGATGAGGAAGCCGGACAAGTTCACCATCGAGAGCCTGAGCATCGAGTAAGCGTTTTCGTGCTCAACATCGTAGCCAAGCAAATTTTCAGCGTAACAATAAGATATCATCGAGCTTCAAGCCGCCATCTTGGGTGTTGTTCTTGTTCCCAATGGCCGCTTCGTGGGCGAGATTTGCCGTCAACTTTTAAGCGCAACTCGAGCTGCTGCTGCTGCTGCTGGCGTGAATCGCCCGACGGGTTGTTCTCGACGATCTCCGATATCAGAGTTTACGCTATTTCCGTTGTTCATTATTCCGGTCGTTTTAAGGGTGTTGTATTTTTTGTTTGACACAAAATTGAAAAGAAATTAGTTTAGCTGCTAGAAGAGCCAATCGTGTTGTCCGTGTGTAGTGCCGATCTCAGCCCCCTTCCCATCCAGCCCCGTTTTGATTTCTGCGAATTTTCAGCAGAATTCCCCCCACACTTCCCAATGTTTTAACAACTACTATACTATTGTAAAAGCTCGGACATGCGTACTCTTATCAATTTATTACTTTTGAAACTGTTGATTTTTTTTTGTGGAATTTTTCCGAGACTAATTTGTTTTCTTTTTTTTTTGAAAATGTCTTTCCAACTTGAATTAAATTCATCAATAACCATAAAGTATTAATTTGAAATTGAATAAAAACCAAAAAATAATTGGAAAAATAAAAATAATCAAGATTCTATTACATTTATTTGTCGTGGTTCTCTTTTGGCTTTCCACAATTCTTAACAGACCGATGATCGATTTGTTCACATTGAATCCCGACCGGGAAATGGTCTTGATTGGAACTTGCTATATTGTTATTGCATTTTTTATATTCCCCTTGTACGGAATTGTGCTATTGGTGAGAGATTTTAGAAAATCGTCAAAAAAAAAAAAACGCGGAATCCGTTTTTTTTTTAAGATTGTTCATAGTCGAGATGAGTTTCGTAAAAACGTTTCCTATAAATTAATGAGTTTATTATATTATTTTATCTGCGGTCAAACGTTTTGTCACGTTTTGACTGGAATTATTCTAATTTTTCCAACATTTCAAGTGGAATTCGAGCCATTTGTGAGGGTTGGCTTTCAATTATAATTTCGAAAACACAATTTAAATCAATTATAGATAATTGGGTGCTCTATAAACTCAATGTGGATAGCAATGTTTCCAATTTTGGCAATATTGGCGATTAGTCGAATGCGGATAACAATGAATAAAGCGGATCCGAATCAAATGGGCCTAGGTGTTAAGGTATAGAATTAAAATCAATTCATTTTTTTGTAAATTATCGAATTTTAACTAAAATATTTCGTTAGAAATTACTAAATTAATTTTTTTGTTCAAGAAAAATAGAAGAAATGCACAAAAAAACTCACTAAAAACAACCAAATGTGTGCAATTTTGCGTGCGTGTGTTTGCACACCTTTACCGACGGGATATTTTTTTTCTCACTGAGTTTCAATTTTTATCCATATTTCAGATTTTTTTGGCTATTACTAATTTCAGTAACTTTCAGCCATTTTTTTCATTAAAAACTTGATATAACGATTAATTCAATCCTTTGATTAATTCCACTGAATTTCTATATTTCTATTGAAATTTTAAAAACTAAAAACTTCAATATATGCACATCATAGGATGCTTATTTTGTGCGAAGATTAATTTTTAAATTTTTTCGAACATTGTAGGTTATTAAAATATATCTAAATTCGCTTTCCTTTGAAAATATTTAATTATTATAGATTCTGCTGCGATTGTTTTTTTTTAATCGAAATTTCAGATAGCCCTGATTCTAGCATTAACAGTTATTTTCCTAATTTGGATCTTTGGATGTATCAAGCAAAACTTCAAATTTTCCCCGCCCGGATGGTCCTATGATATGACAGTCGAATATGCCAAATTTTTCTCAGCTCTCGAGCTCGTTGTGTGCATTCCAACACTGACTCTCTCATTTTCGGCCTACATCATAATAGTTCTGCAAGTTTACAAGGTTTGACGCTTCAATTTTCAGAATGTTTGAATTATGAGATTCAGAAGCGACGCATGGCTTCAATGCAACGCTCCCATCGCGCAGAATGTCGAATATTGGTTCAGGCAGTAATTATCACCGTATACCTGACATTATTGATTGTTCTATGGTATAATGATGGTAATCGGGGGACAATATTTGAAGCGGCTTAATAATTATTATTGAAGATGAATGGTTTCCCGACTCACATACGACGACGGCACTTCTCCAAATTGCTTGGATCGCATTTGGGTACACGAATCCGTTATTATTAATCACTCTTAACAAGTCATTCAAGTTGCTTCATAAAATACTCAAGAAAATTTCGTGTTTCAGAGGACTTCGAAATCAATTGAAGGCGACATTTTTTAGGAAAAAGTCGAGCGGAAATGATACCCATCAGACACGTGGCATTTCCAAAATTGTGATGCCAATGTGAAGAGGTAAAACTGTAAAGCATCAAGCAGAATATTCAATTTTCCATAATTGTGATTTGATGACAAATTATGGGCTCAGAGATTTTTTCCATGTGAGAATGAGCAAATAATATGTATATCAAAGATTGGTGCATTTCTTTTTTCTTTATTTTTTCCAGAAAAAAATATATATTGTTATCTCGCTGATATTCAGAAAACTGCTGAGACCATTAAAAATTCATTTTGATCTCACAAATTCAATTTTTAAAGAATCATGAGCATGATCACGATTCTTGCAGATTTTTGAACTAAAAATTTCCAGCAATTCAATGATCATAGTTGGTTTCATTCAATTCATTCATTGCTCCTTGTCGACAATCTGTCTGTTCTTTATGCTGAAGGTGCTGAAATTTAGAAATTTATTGAAAAAATATGTGTCAAATATTGACGATTGAATTTATGATTTGAATTGCCGCCATTGGTCTTGTGTGGAATATCACTTAGTTTTGCACAATTTAATCAACACAATATGAAAGAGTATATCTTTTTTTTCAAATGAATTTTGGGTGATTTTTTTGGTAACAAAAAGTTGCCAATTGTGAGCCGACCAATTAATTGCCAGCTCACGAAATTCAAAATTTCTCAATTTCGTTCGTGTGAAATTAGGTGGGAGGAAAATTCTCAGGAACTCCGAAATGCTGCCGGAATGGAAACCGATTGAAAAATTTAATTTCCTGATGGAATTTACACATTCATAAAATGGTGATTTTCGGATATTCGAGAAAAAAATCTTTTGGATTTTTTTCCAAATGTAGATTTTCCAGAACTTTGTTTATTGTTCCCCCCCCCCCTAAATTCGAATTGTTGTTGAAAACAGATTTTCGATGGAAGTCTCATCGGCTAATGATTTGCTAATTATCCAGAATTTCTATATTTAGAAGCTAACAAAAAATTACCTCACGACTGACTTCCCCATTTATGAAAGTTTGAATTTCAGATTTTTTGTCTCAAATACGTATTCAGTTTTATTTATTTTACCCTCCGCCCTTTTTTTAATTGGATAAATATATTTAAATCAATGAAAGCTATCAAATTTTGAAGAAAACTTTGCGCAACTTTTCAACTCGGTTTGGAAAATTGATAAAATGCCAAAAAAAAGCAATGACAGTGGTCTTGGCGCAAAACTAAAAGTGTAGATTTACGGGCCAACGCATAAGGATAGGTTAAAGGCGCATGTCGCGCACCGAGACCTCACCTTAAAAGTTTTGCCATTTTTCCGCCGTCGCGCGACATCGACAATTCCAATACCTGGAAGCAGCTTGCTAAGTCCATTCGCCAAAATATTATATATTTTTTGCAATAGGACATTTTTCAAATGACTAGCTGAAAGTTCCTGATTCCCACGACGCCCATTCTTTCATACCAATAAGGATTTTTTATATCAACTACAATCAATTTTGCTAGTCTACTCATTCTTTTTCCAAACAGAAAACCGAATATATGTACATTCAGTGGCTCTTTCAGAGAATGGGCGATGATGGACTGTTCCAATTGAATGATGATCCATTTATGATCCACACAGGCATTGCATATCTCTTTCTAAGCGTTTGGCTTCTTCCTTTATATGGTTTAATAATGACGGTAGGGACGGTGATGTTTGCGCCTTTGAATTGGGTGACGACGTTATTTTTTGAAAGAGATCAATTTTAAAGGTGCATACATATAGAATCAATTCTTTAGGCGCTTTATGTTCGGGATCGCCGCCAACCAAATATTACAAACAAATTGATGAATATCATCAATGGATGCGAAGCTGGTCAAGCAATTTGCCACGTCATCACCTCATCAGTCCTGTTTTTCCCGAATTTGGCGATTGCCTACAACCCGACTGTCAGGGTAATTAAAAGAAAATCCCCAATTCGATTCGAGATTTGAGTGGTCCCGATTTCAGATATTCGGATGCACTGCGAATACCCTATTCATTGGCCAATTTCCGGCGACGACGGTGCTCGCGATCAGTCGTATTTTGATTTTTACTCAAGTGATTCAAACCAAAAAAATGCATATAATCATCAAGGTTTGTCGTGAGAATCATAGGCGATTTCCAAAGAGTACGGGGGTTGTTGAAGGCCGCACAAAAAAAAACATCGCATGTGAGCTTTTTTGAAATATTAGTTGATCGGTTTGATTTCTTCGATGGAAATGAAATGGAATTTTTCGCACATTATGATGAAAATTGTGCAATTCGCGCAAATTTGCATGATGAACTAAATTTTGAAAAGTCAAACAAAATTGGAATTTCAATTTGAAATGACATGGAAATGGAAATCGCGATTTTTTTTTTCAAGCAAGATCAAATTATCTATTTGAATCAAATATTGAAGGATTTTTCCCCCATTTATGATCCATTTTGCCTTAAAAAATTCCAAAACAAATAATTTAAATAATCAAAAATCCAATTTTGATTTCTAAACAGCAAAAAAAAAACAGTGATTTGTTACTATTTTTTCAATTTTTACGCATTTTTTTTAAACCGCGACGCATACGCAACGCGACTGTTTCTCGGCTGCCTAGTCGCCTGAGTTTGAATACTCGGGTTTGAAACGACAAACTTTGTTTCATATTAGCCTAAGATCGGAAATTCCTTAGGATAGGAAAAAATGGCGAAAAATTGGTTAAATGTCAAAAGAATTTTGAGGAGAGGTCTCGCCGCGCGCGGCATGCGCCTTTAACCTTCCTTATTCGTACTCCCGTAAATCTACACTTAGTTTTGTGCCAAGTCCACTCTCTCAGGCAAATCAAATAAAATATTTTGAGAATCAAATATTCAATAATAAATTCGACAATATTTTGTGAAAATCTAAAGTTTACTCGCTAAACTTAAAAATATTTATTTAAGTCTTATAAAATTTTTTAAAATTTATTGAGCAAATTCTAAATTACCTCAATAAATTCTAAAATCTTCCAATAATTTCTAAAATTCATTGAGAAAAGTCTAAAATATTATAGAGACACGTTAGTTTATCAATGAATCTCAAAAATGTTTTATTCGATTTACCTGAGAAGCCACCACAATTTAAGAAGGCTAGAATATCTTTATATGGTATATTTTTCCAATTTCTAGCCAATTTCCAGATGGTTCTCGCCATCTCCTATATATGGCTTCTATTCGTATTACTATACGGTTGCATCTCGCAAAACATGAACTTCTATCCGCCGGCGTGGGGGTACGATTCATCAGTTGCCTACGCGGACCTCTTCAGCATTCTCGAATTATGTGTCACACTTCCATGTTTGGCGACATCCTACATTTCGTACATCGTCATCGCGTTTCTAATTTATACGGTAGAGGCAAAGCATAATTTGAAAAAATGTGATGCTCTAGAAAAAGCAAAGCCAATCAAAGACGTATCGTCGAGAGGAATTGGCAATCATGATTCAGTATACATTTGTTACTACCTATATTACAGTGCTTATTGCAATGTGGCATAATGGAGGTATTGTTTTTTTTTTTGCATTTTTTTAAGAATATCAAAATTTCAGCATATTTGTTCGAAATGACCCCGTTCGCCAACGCGTTCCTCAATTCTTGTTGGATTGTGGCCTCTTATATCAATCCGATATTCCTGCTCTTACTAAATAAGTGAGCGTTTGGAGTGGTCCCAACGCGAAATCAAATATTGCAGACAAATCCGAAATGAAGTGAAAAAGCTGTTGAAATCGCGATGATCCCAATTTAAAGTAAGCAATCGGCCGGTAACGATGACAGGCTAATCGGAGATAAACTCTCAAAATAATCCTCCTACTAAACATAATCCCAAACCTCGTTAATTAACTAATTATCCTACTAATTACTTTTTTGTGTTCCCTGAATTGCAGAAATATATATATATATATATATAATCAAACTCAATAAAAAACATTTCATTTTCTGACTAATGAGTTCAATATGTTATTTAAATTTCAAATTATGATATGTTGAAATGAAAAAGTCAACATTTCGATTATGGCTCAATACCCTTATTTGTATAACTCAGATTTTTAACTCTTTATTTTGCCAGAATGGTTAATTTAATAATTGAAAATTGCTTTATTTCATTATTACAGAACTTTAAGTCGTAAGAAATGACCTTTCAAAGGGCAATGGATAATGGATATTCGATCACGATTTTCCTATGAATTCGATTTTTTTAAAATTCTTATGTTGAATCATTTAAACATAATGCTCCCAAATTTCAGTCGCCACATGACCAATCGCATTGGCCGCGCTATGCACCTTTAAACAGTAATTTATTTCAATTTTGTGATTGAATTGAGTTCACTCACAATTTTCATGGAAATTTTTTGATATTAAATATCAAAATTAGAAAAAAAGATTGAACGAAATCAGGGCAATTTTGAGCAATCGATATATCATATTAAAGGAGCATGCAGTTTTTGGAGCTGAGAATCGCAGCCGACAGTCTAAATAGACTCATTTAGAAGGGTCCCGAACACCGATGATGCTATTCCCTCAATTGGTGTCAAAAATTAAAGGCACGGTCAATATTACACAAAAATGAACCGATTTATTGAAAAATCAAAAAAGAAAATCAAATTTTGCATCAAATTATTATCAGAAAAAAATTCAAAATATATCATCTCCTATTTTATAATATTTATATAATTTGATTATTCAAAAAAAATGGTTTTTGATTTTTTCAAATTTAAAGGGATTCTGGAGGAAATTTAAGAATCGCATTTGATTTTTTTTGTTTCGTTTAATTATTTTTATGGAAATTATGAGGATTAGCCAATAGCTGACCACTAACTTTTAAAGTTATTCCTAATCATCTGGAATCAGAGTTGAGAGGAATTGAGACTTCCGTGATCCAGAGAATCTTAAAATATATCTTACTGCAGAACTCTGTCTGGAAGTCCGAGGTTCGGCTAGCAGGAAATATCGAGTTCGCAACAATTCTTGGTGAATTCCACGTGATGCATATGGGAACTTCGATCAAAAATTTTCTTTTGAAAACCAAACAATCATAAATGATTCAAAACATGTTTCATGGGAATATAACTCTTTGAAAGGCATCAAAACCCAGCCATCTCGAAAATCTGAATGAAAGCGTTAGAAATTAAAAAAAAAATAATTTTCTTGAAAGCATTACTCGATTCATTATTGTTGTAGATATTGTTATTTTCTCACGAACAGAAGCAACCCGCCCTCCCCCCTAAAAAAATGCTTCATACAGTAGAATCGCAGAATTTTTTGTTCCAGAAAATCCAAAATTCTATTTTTGTTGATTTTCTATGAAATTTTTCAAGCAATCATTTCTTTAATATTTAGGCAAAACTCAAATTGAAATTAAATTGATCCACTGAATCATCAATTCCCTTCAATATTCATATATCTCTTGTTTTCGGAACCCTTCTGAAAGTGTCTTTTCTAAATTTTCTTCGAGCTGTAATTAAGGGGAATCCTTCTAATTGCTATTTATTCGTCATTAGTTTAATTCTGAACGTCGGACGGCCTCATTTCCCGCAGTAACAAATTCTCCTCATCGGTTTCTTCGACTTTTTGCCTCCTTCGGAATTCCATTAGAAAACCTTAACATCTTCTGATCATTATTTTCAAGGTTTGATCTTCCGTCGAGATTTCTGTTATCCGTTTTCTCTAGTGCTCGTATTTTCCCAATCTGACCAACAATCATGTTCTCGTCGTTTTTTTTTCTGTTTCCCCTATTATTGGTGGTGTAGATGTACGAGCTTCTTTGGAAAAAAAAGACATACCTATGTTGTCAGATGCGCCGGCGTTTCGCGTGCGGTCGCATTCAATTCTTCCTTCCTATGATCTCCATAGTTCAAATATTCTTCCGGGTGGCGTCCGAAGTGATTCACCGAGAAAAAGTGCACGCGAACCGTGACGCGTCTGACAACATTGATCATCATCGATCAGCCCACCATATTCATAATACAAGCAATTTCAGATAATCTAGTGAAGCTGCAGGACCGATTTCAAATAAATGAATCAAACTGGGGATACGAATATTTTCGAATTCAACAATGATCGATTTATGATCAGAGTTGGACTCGCTTACATGTTTGTCAGCATTTGGCTTCTTCCCTTATATGCCCTTATAATGACGGTGAGTCTCATTTGTCATATTGTTGTAGACAACGGGGTGATTTTGATTTGGGTCTCGCATGGAAACCTTTCGCAGAAATTTTTGAAGCTATCAAAATTTGAAACAGCATCACTGTTTTTTAAAGAATTTAAAAACTCTTGCTTGTTTGAAAAAATGCGTCAAATTCTGGAGTGTGAGGGACCATTCAAAAAAACTTTCAAGTCTCTCAAAATTAGTCCATCCATGACAACAGCTCATTGAGAATTCATTATATTCCAGGCGATCTACATAAGAGACCGCACGAAGCCAAATATGACCAACAAATTAATGAACCATATTAATTTCTTCGAAGTCGGCCAAGCTTTTTGCCACTTCATCTCGTCGCCGATTCTGATTTTCCCATATTTTGCGACCGCCTGGGATTGGATTATACGAGTCAATCGAAATCTGGGATCACAATATAATTAATGATAATGATTTAAGGTGCTGGGTTGCATTATAAACACATTTTGGATAGCCGAGTTTCCCGCGATGACGACGCTGGCGGTCAGTAGAATATTGATATTCTGCGATATAATTCAGACGAAGAGAATACCGATTCCAATTAAAGTTCGAGGTGTTGAAATTCCTCAAAAATTGCCAATTCTAGATCATTCTTTTCATCGCTTATTCATGGATTGCATTCGTATTGATCTACGGCTGCATTTCGCAGAATTTCGCGTTCACACCGCCATCGTGGGGATATGACTTCGATGTCGAATATGCCGAATTGTTCGGAATTCTTGAATTGGCTTTAAGTTTTCCCTGTTTGGCGATTTCTTATTTCTCCTATATCTTCATTATATATCTGATTTATTCGGTTAAAAAAACCCTCCAGCTTCATATTTTTCACTATTTTTTCAGAGAAAAAAACATAGTCAATCGAAATCGAATCGAAGAAATGAGCTAGCAATAATGATTCAATACACATTTGTTACTACTTATATGGTCATTCTAATATTTTTATGGCACGAAGGAGGCAATTCAAAATGATTTTAAACGAATTTCAGAAATCATAAATTTTCAGACGTTTTTCTGGAAATGACTGATTTGACAAATGCTATTTTGAATTGCTTTTGGATTGGTTGCTCTTATCTCAACCCAGTGCTTCTTTTAATTTTGAATAAGTGAGATCAATTTGACCAAAAATTATGATTATGTATATTTGTTTGAGTGATTCAATAATCAAAATTATTCATGAATTATAATTTTCAGACAAATTCGCAACGAGATTCACTATATGCTGGGCGGTGTTCGTAAGATGCACGTGACGCAGTCTGTCCGCACAATGATCTCAAATAATTAACCTCGGCAATTTTAGTGTTTTAATGAAGGAGCTTGAGAATGTCAGTGATAAAAAGACGACCAAATCATAAATCGAGTGAACTAGAAAGTCTGGGGGGGGGGCAATTATTAATTTCACGCCTCGTTTCGAAATTGTTACTTGACAATAATGTCTCTCAATATTATTTTTTCTGGTTAGTAGCATCATCATTTTTAGGTTAAATTCAAAATTCAGATGACGTGGAACACACATTCTAACACCTGGATTGCAATCTACCAAATTGTGATCTTCTATTTTTTTTCTTATTATGTTTCCAATCATTCTACCGGTTAATTCTCTCACTTGGCTATAGGAATTGAAATGGTCCGAGCTTAAATTTTCTTTGAATATTTATTTGACCTTCGATCGGTTTTTCTCTTCTTCTTCTTTCTTGTGGCACACGAGTTTTTACATCCGATTTCTTTTAAATCACTCAATTATTGTAAATATTGTATGAATGTGAATACACAATAAATAAATTAATTAATTCAAACCAGTGAAATGATTTTATGGCGGATGGGGCAACTAGAATAAGAATTCAAAGTTGAGTCGCGATATCTCTGGTTAACCGGTGGTAATCGTCAGTGTGTGCTCACGGGAGAGAATTTCCCGGGAAGTATTCGTTTTAAGATTCCCGGTATTCTCGAAAATGTCGGGAATTTTCATCTCCACAAAATTCCCCGAAAACTCCCGAGACTTCCGGGAAAATTCCCAAAGACTTTCGAAGACTGTCGGGAAATTCCCGATGACTCGGGATTTTCCCGGAGACTTTCCCGGGTATTCGGCGCAGAATCCCCCCTTAAAATTTCCCGGGAGTCTTCGGGATTTTCTCGGGAATTTTCTACACACACTGTTCCCGAGAATCCCCCCCCCCTACACTTCTCAGAAACAAATTTATCGAGACTCCAGGAAGCACCGAGAAATTTTCGAAATTATTAGTCTCGGTACTATACGGGTAGCCGCGCCTACGGGAACCGAGAGTCTCGAGACTTTCTCGGGATTTTTTTTTTATAGATGAAATTCAGTAGTTCAATTGATAACTAGTAGGGTTTTGAAAACTAGAATAGTCAACATATTTTGAAAATATTCGCACGTATAAAAAGGGGGCACACTTTTAACTTACAAGGGAGGTCATTTTGCTGTCCGTCTTAAAAGTTGTTTATTTTTTACACACAGATTCTTTAGAAAATTTCCAATCGAATGAACTAGGTTCCTCCCTACCTGCGAAAACTTTTAGTATGCAAAATTCACGTGGGGTGGGGCTAAAAATTTGATGGTCCATATCTCGATAAGAAGAAGTTTGCGCAGGTAGGGACCTGGTTCATTCGATTGGAGATTTTCTAAAGAATCTGTATGCAAAAAATAAACAACTATTAAGACGGTCAGCAAAATGACCTCCCTTGTTAGCATTTGTGAGTATTGGAAACGAACTTAAGGGAGAAAAAATAATTTATTTGTTCACTAAAAAAAACCCGTGAAAGTCTCGGTATTTTTTTTTTGGAAAGTCCCGGGAGTCTCGAAGAGATTCTCGCGAGAAATTCTCTCGGTACCGGCTAATTTTCTCGATTTTTCTCGAGAGCACACATCGGTAATCGTATAAGACCAACTACGATTTCGATTTCATCGTATACGATTTTGAATGAAATTATGGAAAATAAAAAAAACCAATTTTTTAAATTTGAATTCCCTTACAAAAAATTGACGCGATATATCGTAATTCTCCGCTATTTATTTTTAAAGGCGCATGCGAAAAGTTGCGCGGGTCACGTTGCGAAGTCGGCACTGTATTTTTTTAATGACGGTTATGTTTTCGAATATTTTATTCTTTGAGCGTTTAAAACTTTTTTTTGGAAGTCTGTAAAAGTATATTGTTTAATCAACGCTAAATTTTCATAAGAAGCGTCATCGAGCGAAGTCTGAATTAAAAAAAAAGCATCAAATTAACGCAAATATCACGATTTTTCCATCAATTGCGATCAGTTTAAAATCGTATTTAGCAGTGTTTGAATACCGATTTTGTCGTATACGATTACGAACCATTTACCAGAGGCGGCGTGGGCGGATTGGGTACCCCCGTCGACTACTTTTACGCCTAAAATTAATGTAAATCACGTGAAAATATTGAAAAAAGAGCAAAGTTTTCATAAAAAAATGGTGGACAATTTGAGAAAAGGGAAATTTTAAAACTCAAAATTTTTGAGAAACTTTATTACAATTCAAATTGAAATAAAAAACATAGAATCATCAATTCCCTTCAATATTCACATACATATCTCTTGTTTTCGGAACCTTATGAAAGTGTCTTTTCAGAATTTTCTTCGAGCTGTAATTAAGGGGAATCCTTCTAATTGCTATTTATTCGTCATTAGTTTAATTCTGATCGTCAGATGGCATCATTTCCCCCCGTAAGAAATTCTCCTCATATGTTTCATCGAAATTTTGCCTCTTTTTTTCCAATCATTATTTTCAAGATTCGCTTTTCCGCTGAATTTCCTGTTATCTGTTCCTCTTGTTCTCGTGTTTTTTTCCAATCCGCTCAACAATTCATTTTTCTTCGTATGACAAGATCTTCCCTTATTGGCCCCAATACATATAGTATATAGTAGGCGTTCATCTACTGCTGAACGCGGGTAGATTTACGCGCATGCGTCTTTCTCTTGGTCTCGCACGGACTAACAGGTTATTTTGTGTTTCATGGCTTGGATCGATAATTTTTAACAGAAAATGACGTTGGAAAATTCAAGGAAACGTCAAAGTCATCAAGAAAAAATGTGGCGAGACCATTTCGAAAGGCGCATGCGCGTAAATCTACATGCTGTAAGTTGTCCGAAGCGGAAAAATTTTCGGTTATCGATTTTCAGTCATCTGGAAAATTTTTGAGCATTGGCGCCCAATGTGATTCGCCGAGAAAATAGTGCACGCGAACCGCGACGCGTCTCACAACATTGATCATCATCAATCAGCCCACCATATTCATAATACAAGCAATTTAAGACAAACTTGTGACGCTACAGGACCGATTTCAAATAAATGAATCAAACTGGGGATACGAATATTTTCGAATTCAACAATGATCGATTTATGATCAGAGTTGGACTCGCTTACATGTTTGTCAGCATTTGGCTTCTTCCCTTATATGCCCTTATAATGACGGTGAGTTTCGTTTGTCATATGGTCGTCGACAAAGGGGTGATTTTGATTTGGGTCTCGCATGGAAACCTTTCGCAGAAATTTTTGAAGCTATTAAAATTTGAAACAGCATCGTTGTTTTTTAAAGAATTTAAAAACTCTTGCTTATTTGAAAAAATGGGTCAAATTCTGTAGTATGAGAGATCATTCAAAAAAAAAAAAAACTTTCAAGTCTCTCAAAATTGGTCCATCCATGACAACAGCTCATTGAGAATTCATTATATTCCAGGCGATCTACATAAGAGACCGCACGAAGCCAAATATGACCAACAAATTAATGAACCTTATTAATTTCTTCGAAGTCGGCCAAGCTTTTTGCCACTTCATCTCGCCGCCGATTCTGATTTTCCCATATTTTGCCACCGCCTGGGATTCTATTATACGAGTCAATCACATCTGCAATAATAAATCGGCAATAATTAAATAATTAAAGGTGCTGGGTTGCACTATGAACTCATTTTGGATAGCCGAGTTTCCCGCGATGACGACGCTGGCGGTCAGTAGAATATTGATATTCTGCGATATAATTCAGACGAAGAGAATGCCGATTCCAATTAAAGTTCGAGGTGTTGAAATTCCTCAAAAATTGCCAATTCTAGATCATTCTTTTCATCGCTTATTCATGGATTGCATTCGTATTGATCTACGGCTGCATTTCGCAGAATTTCGCGTTCACACCGCCATCGTGGGGATATGATTACGACGTCAAATATGCCGATTTGTTCGTAAAATGTGAATTGATTCTAAGTTTGCCTTGTTTGGCGATTTCTTATTTCTCCTATATATTCATTATATATCTGATTTATTCGGTAAAAAAACCCTCCAGCTTCATATTTTTTCCCTTTTTTCAGAGAAAAAAACATAGTCAATCGAAATCGAATCGAAGAAATGAGCTAGCAATAATGATTCAATACACATTTGTTACTACTTATATGGTCATTCTCATAGTGCTATTTCATAAAGGAGGCAATTCAAACTGATTTTAAACGAATTTCAAAAATGAATTTATTTTCAGACGTTTTTCTAGAAATGACTGATTTGAACAATACAATTATAAATTGCATTTGGATTTGTTGCTCTTATCTCAACCCTGTGCTTCTTTTTATTTTGAATAAGTGAGGTTTATTTTTCAAAATTATTTCGTTTAAAAGCTGCTTTCTTAGAAATGCGGTAGTCATGAAGCATTGAGCAAAATATATTATTAAAGTGAGCAAAAATTGAGCCTTTTATAGATGATTTTTATTTAACAATGGCTTTTTGAATAGATCACCACAAAACCCTAATTATCTTTTTTGGTTATGAGCCTTTAATCTAAAAATATGATTCAAGAAACTCTACGAGTTCTACAAGTATTGCGACTTTCCTTTTTGGTTTCTATTCAGAATGAGACCACCAAAACGGAAAACCGACTTCCAGATTCTAGGAGTCTGATCCATGACCATACATGGTGCCCATATCCGGAACCATTACACCTCAATCGGTCCGACTAGGTCTTCGCAGGCCTTGGGTCCCGACACCATTGATCCTCCTAGCATGATTGCGTGATTTTTTCTCAATCAGACGCTTTAGCAACCAAAATAAAAAAAAGTGCCAACCAGGAAGTTGATCGGCATCCTTTCATTGAGATCAAACTCCACGAATTGGCCCAGATTCGGTGAATCAAAGAATGGCTTTATTGCAGCTGTCCGCACTTTACGGCCAACTTTGAGGAAATTGAGCACATAACATAAATGATCAAAAACATTCATAAATTATAATTTCCAGACAAATTCGCAACGAGATACGCTATATGTTGGGCGGTGTTCGCAAGATGCACGTGACGCAGTCTGTCCGCACAATGATCTCAAATAATTAACCTCGGCAATTATAGTGTTTTAATGAAGGAGCTTGACAATGTCAGTGATAAAAAGACGACCAAATCATAAATCGAGTGAACCCGGAACTAGAAAATCTGGGGCAGTTGACAACTGACCGGCCTTCAAATATCAATATCTCGTCTCCTTTCAAAATTGTTAGCATCGACTCGACAATAATGTCTCTCAAGATAATTTTCACCATCATCGTCATAACTAGTGTGTTCGCTGGTTAGTATAATCATAATTTTTTGGTAGAATTCAAAATTCAGATGATGATGTGCTAGTGGACAACTGCAAAAAGCCGTTGGACTTGGGAGATGCCAAATGCGACAAGAAGCCGTCACTTCAGGTAATCTGATATTCCTAAAAATGCGACGTGATTGTAATTTCAGTACCATATGGATGCCAAGACTGGACTGTGCATGGCATTCACTTACACTGGATGCGGTGGAAACGAGAACCGATTCGATTCGCCATCGCTTTGTGACTCGTTGTGCTTGCCAGGTACATTTCGATATTTCGAGCAAGAAGATTTTGGAATGAAATGAGCTTTTCAGTTGGTTACATGACTTGTCCGGCATTCACCGAGAAGCTGAAGAACAATAAGGGTGGAAACGATTGCCAAACAGATGTGAGTTTCTGAATTGGCTTAAATATATGGAAAATAACAATTTGAATCATACTCACTAATTTATTACGTCGGGCTCGCAGCTTCTACCGCTTCACGCTCCCCGTAGACGGTCCGAAAGCCAAAAAGGCACGAAAAAAAGTTCGAAATTCAAAATTGGCAATCTCGCGCCGCCGATCGTACGGTACCTCTTTTCGCCACCAGATATCCTATTCGCATCGATATCTGCCCCTTTAGCTCAATGCAGTCTGCGCCTCCTCAAACACGCACTCTCTAAACTGCCCTCGTGGTGTCTTCCGCGCACTCTCACATTCGCACACTCTCTCGCTTTTTCTTTTAACAATTTTTTTTGCGAAATTCTAGCGAAATTTCTCGAAAAACTTTCACACAATATTTTTGGAGCTCTGAAGAACCATTTTCAGGACCAATGCCCGAAAGATGGATACTGTGTTAGAAGATTGAGCGGCGGAGGCTTCTGCTGTAAAAAGTCTGCCAGAAGTAGGTCAATGCTATCGTTATTCGCCCAATATCTAATTCAGAGGATCTCGACGCTGATTATGCTTCCAAGTGTTCGGCATCGGAGCAAATTGCGAAGGTCGACGGCGACGTTTTGATCGGAAAATCGTGCGACTCCAAATTTTGTCCAAAGGGCGCCAAGTGTGTTCAAGGAAAGTATTTGGCCACGTGTTGTGTCAAAAAATAAATTTACATTGATTGAAATTTTTAAAAATTATATTTTTTGGTAATAAATATATCTAGATTTTAAAAAGGTGACAATTTTTATGGTCCACAGCAATTTCAAAAGACGAGAATATTTTTATGTGGAATTTTTTATACTTAAATAGAACATTGAACGGTAAAAAATTGAGAAGATGTTGAAGAATCAGTAGATACTTAGCTTAGTCGTGAAAATTGTGTGCCCATTTAATGAAGGAAGTGCTTTTTTTGCGAATTTCGAAATAGAAAATGCCGAACAAGGAACCAGACTGGTCTCCCTATATAATCAGTTCGCCAGACATCTCGTGTTCATCAGTCTGCAACGAAATGACCGCCAGACGTCTTCTCGCTCTTCATCTTCTCATCGTTGTTGTCCAATTGACGATTTCAGGTGATATCAAAGGCCTCGCGAAAAAAATGTTTAGACAAATTAAGCTATTCTGCAGTATGTTGGTAAGAGTAAACAAAACTCGCTCTTAATTTTTTTTCCATGCGAGACCCAAGGCGGCAGTTCAAATTTAAAACCATTCTATCGCCAAATTCGGCCGTTCACGACAATTCAAGAATTGTGTAACAAAAATTTTCAGAAGGAATTTGCGACAAGCCACTGAATGAGGGAAGCGAGAAATGCGATAAGAAACCATCGATTCGAGTAATATTCAATTCATTCCTATAATTGTTCTTCAATTAAATTTTGAATGTCCAGTATCACATGGATCCAAATATGGGCATCTGCATGGCGTTCAACTACACGGTATGCGGTGGAAATGAGAACAACTTCCCCTCAATGAGCGAATGGGTAGTTGTACATTAGGTAAGAATTGACTGAAATTATTAGTGATACGCTAAAATTTTCAGCTGACGATATCCAATGTCCGGGCCGAAAAGAGGTCAAGAATAAGAAAGGAGAGCGTGGATGTAAAACAGACGTGAGACTCTCAATTTTCCCCCGAAAAATTCGATTAAATTTTGAGGGAGGGGGTAGCCTAAAATAGCACAAAAATATCATTTATATTACATTTTTAAAAGCGGAAGTGAAAAAATGGAAATTCGATTTATTTGTGGAAAGAAATGAATGGAGATTGTCGTCAAATAAAATGCATTGATCCGCAATGTCATTTAGAGCTTCATCTCATAAGTTTGCCGTTTTTTTTTTGTGAGGTTCTCATCACCTGAATACGCATTTGAGTGAAATGGAAAAAGGCATTCCGTGTGTTTACACTTAATGCATTTTATTCGACGACTATTTCAAGACAAGCAATTTTCATGAGTTTTTCGAATGACCAATTTTCGGGTGGGCTCTCAAATATTCAAACGAGGAAAAATTGCGATTTTTGACCCCCCTGTGCTCTTTTGCCATTCTTATGGTTGTATAGAGATGCTTAAAAATCTTAAAACCCTATTAAAAAAAAGAAGTTTTTTGAGTGTCTCCGGTTTTCGCCCAAAAATCTGTAGATCAAAATCTGTAGATCATTATTATATTTATTTCGTATATTTTATCTTAGGACGATTGCACCAATGAGGGATTCTGCGCATTGCCGCCAACAATCGACGTAAGTGGAATGTGCTGCGACAAAAAAATCAATGGTATTGAATTCAGGCAATTTTTTTTTATTCAATCGATTCCAGATGATATCGTGGCCGATTACACTTCAAGGTGTTCGTCTTCGGAAGAGGTTGTAGAGGTGGATCACGAGAAATTGATCGGCAAATCGTGCAAATCCAATTTCTGCTCGAAGGGCTCCAGATGCGTTGACGGAAAATATTTCGCGACGTGTTGCGTCAAAATATAAATTCGCATTTCGAAAAAAAAATTTATTTCCATAACATTTTGATTTGATCAAAGTGAGCATTCGTCGGTATCACCTTCTTCTCGACACCCCGAACCGGCCTAATATCAATATTTCGGATTCCGAAGGCTTGCTTGACGATTCTCAAATAAGCGTCAACAGCGAATATGATAGCGAAGAATAATCCAATAGGAATGCTTGAAAGAACCAATTATTGAAATTGATTTGCAAAAATTCGAAGCTTCTCACCTATGGGTTAAAATGTCTGTATAATGTCTGATAGCCAGCTTCCTCTCTTCATCGACCCGTAGAAGCATTGGCACGGTTTTTACAATAAGAATTCCTATGCAGAGGAAAATGCACACAAATGCAAGATTCTTGAGCAACTGGAAATTTGAAAATGTTGGAAAATAGCTGATTATTACTATTGGCTCATCGAAAATTGTGGCCATCTATTTTCAAACTGTCTACAGTAATTTCGATTTGCTAACAATTCAAAATGTCATTCCGCTATGAGTTAATGAAAATCAAAAATGTCGGACGCCGACTATCTCCCAGAAATGGTCTTGAGAAGACGAGACGCGCGTTGTGTACTCCACACGGACACCACTTAGCAACATTCCGTAAATATCCCCGCGCGTAAATCGACACTATTCTGGGTGTGTGTGTGTTACGAGACCCAGCTCTACAGTAAACCGCGACATGGACAATGTAAAACATAGGATTTTATAAGAACTCGTCAAAATTGATGTAGTTTTTTGAAATCATTCAATTTTTTTCAGGTGGGTGAATAGCCGAAAAATTTATAAATTTTTTTACCTAAAAAAATTCATCGAGTATTTTCTTTTGGTGCATAAATTGTCCATTGGAGTATTAATCCCCCATATTATTCAAATCAGGCTTGTAAAAAAAATAGTTTTCAATTTTTTTTTTGAATTTTCGCGCCACGTCTTTGCAAGCGTAAACAACGGAGTGTCGTCAATGCCCTCATTTTATTTCTTGTACTTTTTTTCGATTCCATTGTCAGAATCAAGTGCCGAAAGGCAATTTCTCGTTGATCAAACAAAATTTACAACCGAATCGTAGGTAGAATTCTGATTTTATAAGCCTGATCCAAATTATCCATTCGATAGGGAGGACCACGTGGCGAATTGAAAATCTTGCAAAGAAACTATGAAAGAAAAAATGAGCAAAGGAAGAATGTCGTTTTGACCTTTTTGGGAGTTATTTACCAAATATGGGAATGACGGCAAAATTGAGTGTTTCTATAGATTTGTGGTCACGCGAATTCAATTTTTCTCGACATTTTCGAATCAAATCCAGAAAAACTCAATTTTTCCACTCGAGACCCTATCAAATGATTACCTTGAATGTCTTGACATTCTCCCTTAATTGATATCTCGACGCAAGTGTAAATCGAATATCTCGATGATACCTTTCCAAGTATTTCAGCTTGTTTCGATTATAACGGTTCAAATAAATGAATCCCTTCAAATGATTGGGTTTGATTATCTCATTTTTGTGCAATGAGCTCAAAAATCGGCTTACAATTAATGAAATTGTGACGAGAGCGCCTAGAAATATTGAAGTTTGAAGATATCGAACATTATCGCACAATGGTAAATATAAAGCAATCATTGATAGAGAAAGTTGAAAGCTCAGAATTGTGACAACGATCCATCGTCGCGATTTTCGCTCATAATCGCTGAAAAATGATAGGAAAATGAGAGAAAAAAGTGGAATATTTGGTTACAAAATGAAAAAAGTTGCGCACGCTCGTTCGAAAAATACGCAAAATGGTGCAAGAATGGCGAAATACATAAAATGATAATGGGTGGCCGCCGCCCACACCAACAAATTGCTTCCAGCGTCGGTGATCTCTGAAACTCAATTTTCATGAAATACCTCTTTTCCCCAATTTTTTTTGAAGCGCCTACTTTCATCAAGATAGATTTGCTGATAAATGATCACAATAATTTTGCCGGCGGCGAATTCGAACCAAGCAAAAGCTGTCCATAATAGAAGGGCTTGAAGATTGAAGTGAAACACGCTGCAAATTTGGTTTCGCTCGATTTTTTTTTTGAAATTTCGATGCTTGATACCTCGCTTTTCCGACAACGATTATGCAAAAAATGTCGAACATCGATGAGAGAATTATAATGAAAATGAAAACGGCGGTTTGAGTTGTCGACATCAATTGGCGGGCGCTTGAAACAAATATCGAAATGATTGTTGGATTGTCTGAAATTTGAGGACGATTCGAATTTCGGTAGAAGCACTCCGACATTGCTCACGCCCATTCGGATCGTCTTCGAGATGAAGCTCCCAATTCTCATTGAACGTGATCTTCATTGGGATTAGAAGCTGAAATCGAACAATAAACAATTTTTGGGGTGATAATGCCGATTCGGGTTCTAGCATTATTAATGTAATTTGTTTATCGAGTGCTTAATAGTCATTTCGAGCAACATGTCATAGCGGAAATGCGAATCACGCATTAGTCATCAGCCACTGGGATTTTATAATAGCAAACAGTGAAACAGTATTTGGTAGTTTTTTTTTTCAAACATTTTAGATTTCTATTTTTTGCATTAAATTTAATTCTTATCAAACCTCTATAGTGGGCGGAGCTTAGGTTTACGCGCTGTTAAATTTAGAAATTTTCAAATATTAAATGTGCGAATGCTAATTGGTATTACTTCGCTTCGAGACCCTTTCGGACATTTTAATTTCGATCAATCGTTGAAATCACAAAAAAATTACAGTTGGGAAGAACACAAATAATTCGGAGTTATGAGACCCGAAGAAACCACAAAAAAACGATTTTTTGAAATTGCTCAAAATAGGATAATTTATGGACCTATTCATGCAAGGAAAAAAATTTAAAAAAAAAATCAATTTTTTCATCTGTTTTTTCAGAAATGTGTCATTGGTGGAAACTAGAAAGCCTCGGATCAGGTGAAAACGGTTGGTTGAATCAAGTAGGACCCACGTGACTTACAATTATAATCAAACGGAGAGGGGCTTAAAGGGACCCGCGCGGGTGGAAATACACAATTGGACCACCTCAAGTGTTCGTTAATATTTGAGACGACCTAATAATGAAATTTAAAAGAAGAAGAATCGAAAAATAATTAATTCAAGGTTTTCGCAGAAAAAAATAAGTGGGTTGTTGAAAAATTTGTGTAGGGTAAAAATGCAAAAAAAAATTCACCTGCTTTTTTATATTTTTTCAGATTTTGACGTAAAAAAAATTCAGAAGGCAGAAATTTTTGATTGCTTAATTAAATATAATCTTTGACTAATACTCACATTATACGATTGGACAAATAAAATTCAAAAAGTGGGTTCAATATTGATTTTACCTCCCCTCAATGTTAATTTCATATCATTTTCAATGGACCTTTTCAGTGAAATGAAAAAAATGGAATAAAAAATGTTTAAAATCGATTTAATAAAAAAAGCAACATTTTTTTCTTTAGTTTGAATATAAAGAAAAACCATCAAAAGAGCTCCACAAATGGCGAGCTTTTTGGGAGAAATCGTGAACAACAAAAAAAAACAAAAAAAAATGATTATTTTCATCGAAACAGTATAACCTGCGCGTTTGAGTTTTCCCGAGAGCACATGAAGTGAACTGGGTCATTGTCGATTTTGATTTTTACCAGAATTTGTGTAATTGCGTTATTGGTTTCGAAGAATGTGAAAAAAACTTGAAAAGGCAACTGGATTTAATAATGTGACCCTGTAATTATATTTTGTTTATGGTTGAACCGGTGGATTTGTGGTCGACTAAAGAATCGCAAGGAGATTAAACTAAAGCTATACTTTGGTTTGATTGATTTAGCATTTGAATTTCCGCGTTGGGACTTGTTTAGAAGAAATGTTTGAAGCAAGTTTTGCTCGATTTAATCATTCTAATCTGAAAGAGCATAATTTTTAATGCATTTTAAGTATTTAGGTTATTATTAGGTTTGTGCAAAAAAATGCAGAATTTTATTTTTTTTATTACTTATATTATTCCAACAAAACCACCTTCCCAAATGTTATACCATTCGAAAGCTTATTGAAATCTCTTTCTATTGTGTCAGCGATTTTGTGACTTCTAGAAATCCAAAGTTTTATTTAATTAGCATAAGCAAACCTGAAACTTGTTCTGATGTTTGAAATTTTGTTAAAAATTCATATTTTAAGAAAAGTGATTTTAAGTTCAAAATTCTGCATTTATTTGCACAGATCTATTTTTAAAAAATTGCGCAAAAAAATTCATTTTGATTTTTTAAACAATCCGCAAAATTTAATTTTCCCTCCGGCCACAATTTGGAAACCATCAATCAATTCTTTAATATAAATTTATTTCCAATCCTCATTTATTTGATCGAAATACATATTCGTTTCCTCTTTTGTTCGATTTTTGTAATCGTCAGCAACCGATACCCGAGTATGTCGAATTCCCAATAAATTATGACACACTTTCATGTAAGCATCGACGACTTGCAGCAATATGAATGATTTGTAAATCGGACCACTGAAAAAATATATTGGCTTATTTTTTTCCAATAATTTGAATGAGATACCCATGAACCATCAAATCGCCGATTAATCGAAACCCGAAATTGACGTTTGGCTCGAATTCAATAACCCGCGGAATGGTTTTGATAGCGGTTTGAATCAAAATTATAACGACAACAAATGTGAACAACTTGCGCGCCATCTGAAAATGGGAATTTCAAATTGCAATTAGAAAAATCAAACATCACCCGAAATGTTTTGACATTCTCCCTCAGCTGATATCTACTGCTTAAATTGAACCTGATATCCTGATTATATTTATCCAAATATTCTAACTTCCTCTCATTGTAGCTCTTCAAATAAACGAACAGCTGAAAAATTCTCGCTTTTTTTGTAAATGTTTTCTTCCAGAACTCACACAAACTGACAGAACCATGATGAAACTCGTAATTATTGCAGCATTCAAGAATCGAAGGTAATTCGTGACGGTTAGTGAGGTGAACAAAATTGAGAGCGCGTTGTGAAGGAGAAGATTGGTTATCAGAACCCATCGTCGTTTCCTCTTCTCGTAATCGCTGAATCATTTTGATTATATGGAATAGCAGATAAAAACGTTTTAAAACGAAAAAAAGAATTTCAAGTCGGGCTTGTCGTTTGCCGAAGCCGAGAATTCAAATTCGCGCGACTAGGCGGCCGAGAAACAGCCGCGTTGCGTATGCGTCGCGGTCGGCGTCGATTTTCAATAAAAATGCGTAGAAATTAAAATTAATGGTAACAAATCGCTGTTTAGGAATTGAATTTGGGTTTTTGAATTATTCTTTTGTAATTTTTTGATATAAAATGTATCAATATGCGTAATTATGCTATTCCCAATAAATAAATCACTATTGGAAATCATTTTATAATGCCCATATGCTCGTTTTTTGAGAATTTAATATTTTGGAAATAGAAAGCTTTCGATATATTGATAATTTGAAAAAAAAATGGCTCGGCAAGCCTGCTTCAAACCAAAATATTTGATTATTGAAATGTAAATGAGGCTCTAAATTTTAGAAAATTGAAACTAACAATATGAAATATGTTGCGCAACTGCGCTCTATAATACATATAAATGGTATGAACACGATTGTATAAATACAATGATAATGAGTGGAAGCACTAATGTATAAAAGTATAATTCCCTTGGAAGCAAATTCTGAAAATTGCATATTGAGAATATGCATGTCTGATTAGAGTTTGCCTGATTCCAAAAAGAATAATTGGAATATCAAACTTAAAATCTTTGAGAACCCGAGCTCAAACCACACGAAATTGCCAAAGAATATAAGGAATTGGAGATTGAGGTGAAAAACTCTGAAAATAGTTGGCTTTAAATAACCATATCGTTAAGAAGCCCTCCCCACTTTGCTTTTGAAATAATATACAGGGAAAATATGTTGAATATGATTGAGATTAATATCACAATGATGAATGTGACGACCTCGATGGCAGATGGCTTCTCGGTTGCGGATTTCAGAAACACTGAGAAGATTGTCGGATTGTCTGAAATTGTGAAAATCGATTTTGACCAGTGTGTCTACCCGGGACGAAGTTTCCCGGGAATTTCCGGGTTCCCGGGAAATTCCCGGGAAAATTTTCCCGGGACCCGGGACTCATCGAAACTTAATTTCCCGGGATGCCGGGATCCCGAGATATCGGGATCCCGGGTAGTTGCGGGACAAAACCGGGACGAGACCCGGGATTGGAGTCCCGGGATTTCCCGGATAAACCCGGGAAACGAAATTCCCGGGATCCCGGGAAATCCTGTCCCGGGTAGATACACTGATTTTGACTAAATGTTAATGATGCCAAAATTTTTAAATTTATTTTATTTTTCTATTTCTTGTTTATTATAATAAAATGAAACACATTATTTGCTGTAGAAAAACCTTCTCGAAATTGGCGACCGAATTTTGGTGGCCGAAAAAAATGAAATGTTGCGCGGTCAGATTTCTACCTTTATTTCCTGTCCCTCAAGCGCCCAACTCGGCTATATATTTTGATTCGTTGGTTATGATGAACCCCAAAAAATGGTTGATGAACCCCAAAAAAAAATTGAAAATTTTGAAATTCGCGGGCTGCCATTTCAAATGAGACAGTAATTAAATGCCATCTTATATTAATCAGTCCTTGACTATACAAACTATATATTTTTCACATGGTTAAAAAGTAGCAAAGTCAGTGAGCATTTATGAAGACGCCTTGGCACATAGCCGAGAAAAATTTTTTAAAAAGCCTGTGATAAAAACAAGCAATAGAGAAAAGCATACCTTCGCTATTTTGTAAATCATTCAGAAGGCTTTCAGCCATTCGGCAATCTGACCAAAATAATTTCAGCGCAGGTGCCTTTGAGTACACGAAGAAACAAGCTCAGAAAATTGTATTCTCTAACGTGTTGGCTCATAATTACAAAGTATGCATGTATTATCGAGAATGGATTAAATAAAAAAATCCCATTCGCAGGCCACCAATCAAAATATTTCAAAAAGCTCGTTTATAATATTTGGTGACTCGATATAATTTCAGATTCTTATCATCAATTTTTAGAATGAATATTTAAGTGCTTCTTAACAAAATTTTTACGAAATCTTATATAGGGCAAAATCGTCCGGCGTCTGCTGTACGCGGGTAGATTTACGGGGTGCGCCTTTCGAAATGGTCTCGCACAGACTAACTTGTTATTTCGCACAGATTCAGGGATCGATTCGATAAATCGAATGATATTGGAAATTCAAGGAACTGCCGAACTCACCAAGAAAAAATTAACCGTTCACGTGAAAATAAACGTTCACACGTGGCGAGACCTTTTCAAAGGAGCATGCGCGTAAATCTATTCGCGTTGCGCATTCGCCGGTAAAAACACTATAAACCATTTTTTTAAGTCATCAAATTTTTTAGTCATCTTTTAATATTCTAGAACTCTAAAATTTTTTTTGGTATATTAAATAAGTTTAGATCGTTTGCCTGATCTTCTTTGGAAAATCAAATAAAATATTTTTATGTTCCTTGAGAAGGTCAACGATTCTCTATAATATTTTTAATTATAAGAATTCAAATAAATGATATACTCATAAAAAATTAACCATTTTAGGTGAAAGGTTTCAAAAAAGCCTTTACGAGACCATTTCGAAAGGCGCACCTCGTAAATCTACAACAATCGCCAGACGACGACAGCAAAATTTAAAAAATATATTTTCAAGTTGATTAATTTTCAATAAGTTTTTCGAAATATCAAAAAACTTTACAATTCTATTACTCAAATTTTTTTTTTGAATTTTCCTAAAGAATTGATCAATTTTTCGCAAATTTGTCTATTTCATTTGTTTTCAACAATTTTTCAAGTTACCTAACAACATTGCAACGCAGGTTATCCAATTTCTCAATAGCAGGTGATCGAAATAATCGGCACGTGATGCCTTTTCATAGAAAAAAAACTAGGAAACGCTTCAAGCTTAGCAAAAATAATGATTTAGCACAAAAAATGTTGTAGTGGAATTGTAGGCAGAATTCCGCCCACCAGTCACTTCAGAGACACGAAATTATAGGAGTTGGCTCCAGACGAATCCACACCGCCGAACCCGCCAATTACATTCATTTTTTTTTATCTAATGGCTCCCAATTGTGCTCACCTGAATAGTGTTGATCGATTGGCAGCGCTGTTGGCATTTGGCTGATGAACTCCGTCGTTAGCAGACTAGACATTAAAGCATTATTTCACAGGTGCAGAAGCAATCGAGTATGCTAAACGCAAATCTGATTCAATTTGAAAAATTGAAAACTCGACGAGTTCTTCAGGAAATGCGGTGCTGACTAGTCTCTATATATAGCTAGAATTGGAAATGCAAACAACGGCAGGTTGGCAATCAGCAAAAACATGAATATGTTTAGCATATAGAAATAATTGGAAATAATTTAGAGCTCGTCGCGTTTCACAAGATTGTGCAGTGTGATTTCGAAGAACAATCGAGCGCCGCCAGGAATCTCCGGCGGACTTCCTTGAGCTCCGTAGCCTGCAATTATCGATAATTACTTTGCATGGTGTGACGATTTTTTTTAAATATTGCTATGCAATTTCAATTTGATTTCCTCCAATTCAATTTCATTGGCTAGAATCTAGTAATTGTCGGCTAAACGCCAAAAATAGTTTTGAAAGGGGTCTCACCCGGGACCATCATTTTTTTTTGGCTAGCCAATTGTCCAAGTCAATAATACTCCGTCATAATTATACCATTCAATCTTAATTATGTGTATTCTTAATACTCGAGTATATTAGTACACAGTGGCTCCACTTAATTATACGATATAGCTTTCTATCAACACGGGCGATTTGAAAATCGAGAAATTTGATTTGAAACATCTGCGGACAAGAAACAGGAATTAATTTGAAAATTCCGAAACCACTAGAAAAATCCAGTTTTTTTCAATTTAATTGCCAAAACAAGAAATTTACCGTATTCGGATGGGATCACAACTCTTCTTCGTTCGCCTTCGCACATTCCGTCCATCGCAATATCCATTCCATCGATGACTTCCTGAATCACCAAAAATAATGCATTGACTTCCTCTTCAAATTCTTTCACAATTTTGACCCCTTTTAATCATTCCATTTAACATTAAATGTCGCGGCTTTTCATTTCTGTCATCCCCCCCCCCAAATTTTTGGTCGCATTGATTGCCGTCAACTCGCAACATGTTAGTCATCTAGCCAAATCCTATTAAATCATATGATATTATGGGAATACGGCGAGCTTATATATTGTGTGGGCCAAATAAATGAAATTGAAGAATACTGACACAATATATATCTATTATATATCTATATATAGTCGCAGTCCGGCGACTGCTGTTGATTTACGGGGTGCGCGTTTCGAAATGGTCTCGACACACGTGTATGCTTATTTTGAAATTTTCACGCGAATTGCTTAAAGATCATTTCCTTGAATTCACAGAAACGACCTCTAATATGCAAAATAATCGGTTAGTCTGTGCGAGACCATAGTGAAGGCGCATGCACGTAAATATACATCAGTCGCTGGACTATAAGATCTCCTAAAAATTACTGAGCAAATATGTCAATAAATTCTAAAACTATACATAATATATAATAATTATATACCTTGTTGTAAAGTCTGAACACAAACGGAGAATTTCTTGAATACGACGAATCGACAAGAGTGTTATCCTCGAGACGAAGTGTATAGTGCTGGAAAATTTTGTCGCCGGCTTCCGCTTTTTTGCACTTCTCCGCCTCGATTTTGTGCGTTTGCTCGATTTGGATGCCGTGCTCGGTGACCCATCTCTCGCCGGGATTCGCGCGGAACAAACTCACCAATTGAACGGTGTAGTAGAGCGTTTCGTCGGAACTGAACACGAAAAACCCTAATTGGTATTATTGATGATGCGAATGAAGGAGGTTACCCGGCGAATCCCAAATGCGACGGAATGACAACCTTGCGGATTTCGCCGATGCACATTCCACGCATGGCGCGATCCATTCCCGATATCACTTGAGATTTGCCGAGGGTGAATGTGTAGGGCTTCTTTCCGAAATTCGAGCCGACTTCTCGGCTATTCGCATCTTCTAATCGATAAAATTGATCGATGACATCGCCGTTTTGCGATTTTATAGTGCATTCGTCATCGGGAATCGCTTTGATTATTTCAATTTCGAGTCCATCATCATCCTGTTTAAAAAAAATTGAAATTGTCAAGGCAAATTCCTCTGAATTAATTCTTTTTCAGCGACTGAAATTGCCGAAATCAGAGTAGTTTTGAATTTAGACACTAATATGCACTGTTGGCGGTCTCGCGTACTTCTTGTCGCTTCGAGACCCCTTGGCATATTGCCATTTTTTTAAAATTTCGTTTGGCTCCGAAATTGCAACAATTGATGCAATTAAACCCGAACTTTTTAAAAATTATAATGAATTTCATTTCGATTATATAAATAGAATGTATAATTATGCTTGATGAAAGGCTGATAGCATTTATACTACATATATGTATGTACGGTTCACTTTAGAAACATTTGGTTGGTTTCCCTTTTTTTCAAAAATCTATGCAATTTCCCACAGAAATCTGAATTTGGCAGAACTAAAATGTTGAAAAAAAAACGGAAAGCGGAACCGTATGAGAAAAATTGAATTCGGAATTTCGTCCAACTTTGATATGATACAATTAAGATTGCGCAAAAAAAACGGAAAAATACCTTTTAAAAAGATATGCAGATTTGTTCGAGTTTTCCTCCCAAAATGTTCATAGCTCCAATACACGCAAAATTTTATTATTGTCACCATCAAATGACAGAACAAAAAAAATATTGGCTATTTTCCAAGTGTCTGCAGAGAGACGTGAACGTGTCTGCGTACTCGGCATTTTAACGTTCGCGCAGAATACTTTTCTTGTATTTCATTTCTTAAATTCTCTTTTTCAAAATCATTTTTTTAAAGTTTTTTTCTAAAAGAAAAAAAAAATTATGTTTCTTTACCTATGATGCAAGGTTTTTTTTTGAGAATTGATGATTTATGAATAAATTTGCAAATTGGTGCGTAATTCAAAAATGACACGTTTAATTTCTTTAATGTGACAAAGAGAAAATTGCAAAAAATGAGAAAATGCATAACTTTTCCTTTTTCATTTTTTCTGCATATTTTGGCATTGATTAAAATAATAAACCAACAATACCTTCCATGACTTATTATCCGCAATCACTTGTAGAATCAATAAGGAAGACAAACCGAGGAAGTAAAACATTTTGAAAATGAATTCGATTCGTTTCCTCGCGCACCATATCGCCCACTTTCGCTTTTCCCCCGAAGAAAAAACAAAATCTCAAATCTCGTTCGATGTCATCTGTCGCAATTTCATCATCATTATGTTTTTTTTTTATCATTTCCATCATCATGCTCAAATATCGATACGGAGCAATTAATCAAAGTCAACGGATCTCGCGGGCCATTTCGCTGCTCGCCTCATTCGCGTTGACATTGTGTCGCTGATGCAATTCCTTTTGATAATCCCGCTCATTCGATTCGTTTTGAGTCATGACGCATTTTTTGCGTTGATGGTCACTAATAATGCGGTATTAATTATTGTTTTAAAGCATTCAACTAAAATAATTGCAATTTTAGGTAATTCAACAAGTCACACAGATTCAGACAAATTTAACTCAAGCCAATCCACAATTTGTTAAATATCTTCATAACTCTTCATTCCTTTTCGTCAAGCTTAACTCGATTCAATTTGATGATCAAAATAAGCCGAGGTAAGTCATTTTTAAATAATAACTTCATTTTTTTCAAATTTCGACGGAGAGTTTTGCCCACCAAATTAATTGTCCAACTATTTTTTTTAATTTTTCGGTAGTGCAAGTTTTTTTTTGAAAATAATGCTACCGAATTCATTCTGGAGGTATCCCAACCAATTTTTATCGCAATTGAGATCCATTAGGAACTATTAAATTCACCTCAATGAATACAAAACCAATTTTATTATTTTAAATATTCTTTTAGACTCGACAATTTGATAAATTATCTTCCAAAGAATTTATGCAACATTTCCTATTCGGTTCCAGTCCTCTTTGCAGGTAAATAAAGAAAAAATAAAAAAAATAAATTATATAATCATTTTTTAGGAACGACAATTCAAAAAAATCGAACATTAATTGGTAAAATGAACGCGATGTCGAGTCAAGTAATCACAACAGTTCACAGTAAGTTTTTTTTTTTTTAATTTGAATTTCGCGGGCTGCCTTAAAAAAGGCCTCGTAAAGCAAGATGAAGCCCCTTTTTGTGGAATAACCTAAATATTGAAAGTCATAAAAATTATAATCTTTGAAATTTTGATGATCAAACTACGCAAAAAAAATCACGCTACTCGTGATTTTCCGTACGAGATCCGAGGCGGCAATTCAAATGATATGGGCATATTTCAGGCGAAATAAATCGTCAATTGAATCAATCTCAAATCAATGCAACCGACGTTTTCGACATCTACAGCCCAAAAATGGATTTGCTCGAATTGGACGACTCGAAACACGACGATCTTCTCCAAATCATGACCAACCGAACGGCGGATTTCCATTTGAGCGCCGGCGATTTTGTGAAAGGTCGTTCGATTATAACAACATCTCGCTTTCTCGCCTCACTCCAACTCTTTTCCATTCAACTCAACAATTTCAGAAATTGTTTTGCTCAATGCCTCGACAAGCTCCGGCTCATTCCATGACGTGCTGGCGCGTGCTCCATTAGCGCCATGTGCCAATATAAGTGATTTCAAGATCCATTTGCTAACCAATAATCGCGTGCCGATCGGTCTCGCTTACATTTGATAATGATGAATTCGTTCACGTGTGTGTCTCTATGTTCTGTCAAATATTTTCGCGTCGTCGTGTTGCTTCCTTCGATTTTACAATGAAGCAACATCGACAAAAAAAAAAACGCGGGTGGGAGAACGACATAGATAAATCGCGGATATCGCATTTCGCGGTGTGGTGTTGCACTTGAATAGTTGATTCATTTGTGCCACATCAATTCGTAGGCATTCTGTTTTCTCAAAAAAAACTAGTGATGTTTCAAACCAAAAATAAAAAGGCGATGCAACATTTGATTGCGTTCCCATAATAGGATTTTGCCGAAATAGAATCCAAGCAACGCTATTTATATTTTGTTTGAAGCGCTCACTATGTATTCTTCAGATTCGATCTCAAAAATTGTGTGAAATTATGAAAAAGGAAAAAATTGAAATGATTTTTGCTCGATGTGAAATCACCATTTTTGGTGTGATCTATCGCCCTTTGAGTTTCACCTTGTCTGATGCAAAATTTTTTCATGACGCATGATTATAAACGGCTCATATGCATATTTTTAGAAAAGATGAAGCTTGATGAAGAAAAAAATTTCAAAAAAACACGCGATCCGCTTCCCATTCATATAGGTTCATACACACGAACCCAAAATTGCACACATTTAAGTATAAATTTTTTTTTTCAAATTTTTCTCAAAAAATGAATTTCTAGATTTTTTTGGAGTATGTATATAAATATCATTGAAATAATTTAGAAAAAAAAATAAATAAATAAAATTCTACGTGAATTCGTCGTTGAGAAAATCGATTGCGGTGTAAATATCAAGTGTATTGTCGCCAAATAAAATGCACTAGTCCGCAATTTTTTTTTGATACTCTTGCCCAATTTTTCATACTAACCTCTGAGACCTCGAACACTAAAAAATAATGAATGGAGCACAATGAAGACTCTAAATTTCGAAATAATGCTGGAAATGACATTGCGGACTTGGGCAGTTTATTTGACGACAATTCACATGTTGTTAACTTCGCGATTGATTTTAACGAACAATTTTCTTTTTTTCGATTTCTTATCAAATTTTCATTTTGGCATATTTTTAAATTCCCTCTCCCCTTCGTGGCAATTAGATAAAAAATAGGAAAAACAAATTTTTTAAACTTTATTAATATTATTTTTGTTATTCGAAATGGCCAAAATTTAGAAAAGCACCGACATTTTTCATTCAAGGAGCATTTTCAGGTTAGCATTATGCATTTCATAAATTTTATAATAAATAATAATAGGGAATTATGAGCGATTTTCAATGATTATAGATTATGCCAATGGTGGCCATTTTTCGAAACTCATTTGAATTTCAAATCCACGCGCGAACAACTCATGCTCTTGTTCCTCGTTATTTTGCTCGTTTTTTGCCGTCTTTTTGTTATTCCTTTTTTTATTTAATAAATGTGTGGAAATTGAAAAATATTGGCAAGTTTGCCACTAAATTTGGTGAAAATTTCGAACTTTATATTTACCGAATTGGCAAACACCAATTTGAGTCGATTTCAAACAAATTTCCAAGCGAGAACAAGTTTTTTAATGGTCCGACATTTTTTTTTGGGGCGAAATGAGATTGCGATACATTCATTTCGATGATGCGAGCAATTTTTTTAAATTTGAATTTTATAATTCGTGGTGGTGCGATAGAGCGCACTTGCCATCCACGTAAATTTACCCAGAGTGTTTTCAAATAAAAACCAAACATTATTATGTTGCGATGTGGACGGACCAATTTGAAAAACGTAAATTGCGTGGGGGTGCCGTTTAATTGGTCCCGCTTAATAGAATGTACTCATATCCCCGTCATATGACACTTCATTTATAGTCGATTCGGGTAGATTTACGAGGTGGATGGTCTCGTAAATCTACAGTAGCCCACAGGCGCCGACGAATTCAGTAAAAATGAATTATACTGTTTCGCATTATAATAGCTCAAAAGATATATTCCATACGAGACCCAAGGCGGCAATTCAAACGCAAAAATCGTACCGTTAAATTCGACAATATCAGAATTCCAAAAAAAAAACTTCAAAATTTTCTTTCATGCCTCAAAATGTGGAATTGAAATAAAAGTTCAAAATTGTTTTGTCCATGACATTGCATGCCTCTCGCGTAGGCGGACCACCAGAGCGCCATTTTTGTCAATCTCCGGAGAGCTCACACCCATGAGAGCCTCCCCTGATAGCAATGCCGCCCGACGAACCTCAGATGTTCATTACAAACTTTTGAAGTCGGACTTTTTTTTTGGCGAACCCTCACCAAATCGAGTCCCATGAATTGCATTGAGCAAAAAAATCCGATTGAGAATGCTCTAGACAATGGTCCCGAGCTGGAAATGAGATGAATACCCACCAACCTAGAAAATTGCGCGTGTTCCGCTTGTTTTTCGGCACGTCGGCAATCTATCAAATATCACGCGTCGACGCCTTCTCAATCGTCGTCTTCCGAATCGTAGAAGCAAATTTTTCTTCTTCTTCTTTTCTTTCTTTTTTATTTGATTCGTCACCACTCGAAATGGCACCCGCGTAGCACGCCAAAAAGTCGCAGCGACGCTGGATCGCCGCGGGGCTTTTTTTCCCCTGGCCCTCCTATGGTCCGTTTCGTCGACGTTTTCCTATTTTGTAACACTTATTGATGTACCTAATTTGGTCGAGGAATTTCTGAATGCGTCGCTTACCAACTCCCCTCTTCCTCTATCAATTCCTCGCTGAGAACTGTCTCGTATTTCAATCATTTTTTTTCGGCTTATCGCTCTCTGAAAGGATTAAACCAGTCGCCACAAGACCCAACTCATTGCACCTTTAATCAATTATTTCAATCTTTAATATAGCGAAATTTTTTGAAAAATTACTCTAATAACAAAAAATGATTTTTAATTAAAAATTGCACCCAAGAATCCCGAAATTCCTATTACAAAAAAAATTTTTGAAGAGTTTTCCAAGATTTTAAAATTTTTTGAAACTCTTTATACCGAGAAATCGACTATTGAAAATGAGGGCCGCCGTATTTTTGGAATATTTTTCAAGGCGTGAGATTTGTGGCATCAATGATATCATTTTAATTCCGCTTGATCTACTTCTGATCTAAACATTCGATTAGCTTCCTCCCTATTTTTGGGTGTCGACGTAGCGTTCCGAATCAGAACATTGATGATCGGCTGAATGCCTATGGTCATAATTTCAAAGTTTTATGAATCTCGCCGAGAATGTGTAGTCGAGAAATGGCAAGCGAGAATGTTTTGCGAGCCCTTAAACGGACCTCATTTGGCAGATTGAATTGGAAAACAACAATAAAATCGTTTAGTACCGTCGTGGGGCAAAATTTGGGGGTCGGCAACTGAGGGAGAGAGAGAGAGAGATGAGATGACGACGATGTTGCGGAATCCGCGTCGAGTTGGGTCCACTCGACGCGACGATTGTATTCTATTCAAACTCATCTAATCAAGTCAAACTCTCCCACCACCGGATGACTTCAGAGCATCGATGTGTGTGTGTGTGTGTGCTTGACAATTTTTGCGGGGCACACACGCGTGCGCGCGCCGACCCTCATGGCGGCCTATTCAATTGAAGATTACTTTCTGAGGCCATCGCCTTTCTTTTCTTTTATATCTCAATATCTGTCACTCAAGCTCACTTTCGAACATCTATGAGCTTCAAGTACTCACTCTTTGAAAGTTCTATGAGCCAAATATTTTATTGGCAATATGTTGGCCGAGAGGTTTCCATCCACCCCGCCCCGTTTCAAACTATAGTCAGTCACTCTGTTAATTGTAATGTCAAAATCAGACAAATTCCGGCGTGAACAATTGGAGCTATGAAACTTGGTCTGGTCTCGTCGCGATTATTTTGGAAAATTACTGTATATGTTAAAGGCGCATGCAGAAATTTGTTGCCGCCCAAAAAATTATTTGAATTTCCCGCCGCCTTCGACAATTTCAAAATTAGAAGTTTTCATGAAATTTTTAAGGTGATTAATTATAAATATAACTTATCAAATATTGCATTTTTTTAGATTTTGATGTAAACCCAAAATAATCCAGCATTTTCAGAGATTCCAATTACAAATTGCCCCCCTCGTTTACAGTTTGGCTGAATTTTGGTTTGACCCCCCTCCCCCCTTTAAAGATTTATTTTCAAATCCCAAATTAAAAGGGAATCTTACATACTTTAATTCGTAGAACGAAACCCAAATTCCGACAGTTTGACTCGAAATTTGAATTGCCGCTTAAAAATAATGTATTGAGACTCTTTGGATTTTCCAAACCAAAAAAAAAACAATTTCATCTAAATTTTTTTCTTTGAGGCAAAAAATTGTCGAAAAGCGATTATAAATTTATAAAATTTCAATAAAAAATGAGACAAAAATGGGAAAATTGCAATAATTTATTAATGCCGACACGTTGGAGGTTTCTAATCGAAATGAAGACCGCCGAGAATCGTCAAGCTGTTCTTTGAAACAAGACGCTTACTTTTGGAAATCTATGAGCAGTTTTTTCGATGCTCAGTAGTCAATTTCCCACAGCTAAAAAAAAAAAAGAAACGCTCTACCTTGTGTGTGGGGGAATGATTGATTTGGGGAGACGAGAAATAATTGTTTGTGGCTATTCTCGGTAAACAATTGCAATTTGCGTGGTGGAGACACCACCCACCAACTATACAAAATCGCCGCCAAACCCACCCGATGGGTCCGAATTTTCTTTTTACCCCCCCCCCCATTTTGTTGTGACGGATGTTGCACATACCCATTTCCAGCTAATTGGAAAGCCCATCAACTATGTTTTGGGCCTCGTTTTCTCGCTTTTTTTTTCAAATCCCATATTTCAAAAATTGCCGAGTTTCTTTTTCAATTCTCAAAAATCGCATTCTCTTCTTTTTTTTTAATCCCGCCCACCCACATTTTCGGTATTTCCCCAGACGATTTATCCGTCATTCATTCATCGTTTTGTGCGATGGGAACGATGTGCAAAAAAAAAAAAAATAAAAAACTAAATCGTCCAACGCTGTTTGAAAAAAAATCAGCGACCAAAGGAATTTTGAATAAATTTTTTCGAAAAAATATATTGTTGAGAAATGACAAATGTATCCAGGTGTCGTAGGATCCTGCGTTTTGTACGCAATGCTAAGAGACAGTTACCGTAATCCTCGCAGCGATTTACGGAGATTTTTTTTTAAATTTTCTTTCAATTTTTCTTTGCTGAATTTTCTAATTTTCTTTAGAAATCTTATATTTAAAACCTGTAGAAACCGAGTTTAATTATTTGTTTTTCAGAATATGCACTTTTCCATTTGTCTAGTTGCGTTGGGAATTATTGTGAAGATTTTGACGCCCTAAAAATTATTTTGAAAATGAAGAATACAAAAACAAGATAATAGAAACGCATACAAAAAGCAAAACACGATTAAATAATTTTATTAACGACAAAAATGATTTCTTTTTAATCTCTGCTGTTTTTACCAAAAAAAATATCGTTTAAAAGTGCTTATTCTGCTAAATACATTATTAAACTCGGTTTCTGTAAAATATAAAAATTTAAATTAAAAAATTTCGAAAGAAAATTTAAAAATTGAACGAAAAATAAAAAAAAAATGAATATGCGAAATTAAAAAAAAATGTCCCCGTAAATCGCTGCGAGGATTACGGTAACTGTCTCTTAGCATTGCGTACAAAACGCAGGATCCCACGACACCTGTATACATTTGGCATTTCTCAACAATACCACATTGTTCGCGCTATGTGCCTTTAAGAGATCATTTAATTTAAAAAATTCTAATGTTGAATGGCGCTTACTTTTCGGCAGAAATTTCAAAATTTATTGTTTCAAAATATCGAAAATTAATACAAAGAGCTTTTTTTAAAGGTTTAAAATATTTTTTGGATTCGTGTGTGCTGAGTCTCGCAACGAATTCGATTCTAGTAGCCGTCATTTAAAAAAAAAAAACAGAATATAAAGAAATGATGAAAAAATCGCCATTGCAGACTTTTGCATTTAATTTGACGACAATATTAGTTGGTCACCTGTTCTGTTCAAACCTTGAGAGATTGACAAACTCAATTTTCAAACCTACAGTAATCAAAAATGCTTCAAATGTCAAAAAAAAAATCAAATTTTAACAAAAGAAAAAATTTAAACGGGAAGAATTCCAAAAACAAAGAATATTATTTTTTGCCAAAGAACTCCCTTCTAAATTTTTTTTTTCAGAAATTTTGCAACTTTTTGCAAACAAGAGACATTCAATTAGCTTGGATCTATAATATAGTTTTAATCCTTTAAACCCTTTGTCTCTTCGCCAAAATGTTAAAACTTCGTTCACCTTTGTACCGCCTATATGTAGAAGCCATTGTCTCGTTTATTTTAAAAATGGACAACAATTTGGAAATTGTGTCAGACTTGTTTTTTTTCAGAGTGCCGAATACACTATTTTTGTGCTATAATTAGGCGATGTTGTTCATTAAGCAATCTAGAAAATTGGCCGAAGCATGAGCCGACCCATAGGCAGGCTCCGCCCACTTCTAAGCACTAGTCGCCCGAGCTCATCCATTATTCGCCTCGCAGTCATAGTTTCAGTTAGTCCCAAGATTTTTTGAGTACTGAAATCTACAATAACCAGTCATTGTGTTCAAGGTACTATAATCTAATGGTCTAATCTGAGAAATACAAAATTTTTTAAATAAAAATCGATCACTCTGTGTAGATTTATGATTTTGATAATATTTTTTAGGTTATCTGTTATACGGTACTCAAATTCCCACAATTTAAATTCAAATTCGAGTTAGCGGACCCTGGTAAAAAACAATGGTCCATAATTGTTTAGGATTCTCGTTTTTTTTTGCGATGGTATTCGTTGAAAGATCCCATGGGTCTCGACACGAAAGTCAAAAATCAATTCATCATTTTTCTGGCATAAAAATCGTCCAAACAGAAAACTGTTTGAATTTTCGTTTCATTACCATCGTTCTCGTTTTCAGATGGGCTGCGAGATGGGCACCGTGAATCTGACCGGCGCCGAATGGCTCGAATCGGCGGTGGCGTCATTGAATGCTTCGTACTCGCATATTCATCCATATGTTTCTGTCCTTTTATGTCTTGCCGGTGAGATGGATTTTTATTAGTTTTTTTTTTGTGATAATTCGATTTTGCACCCGGCCAAATTGACGAAGGGGGCTGAAAGTAAAAACAACAAATTTGTTGTGGCCGCCGTCATGTGTCAACAATTTTGACTTTTCTTCTCAGAAGATGAAGCCGATGAGAGGGGGGGGGGCGATTGTTGAAAGTTCGAATCGGAAGCATATATACATTTATGTATTGTCGGCGGGAACTTCAAATTCGCGAAATCAGTGTGGATTTAAATTATTTCGTTGACTGAATATTAAATGCGCGTACACTATAATGCAATGTACGCAATCTTGCGTACTTCTCGCTGCCTCGAGACGCATTGGCACATAGCCAATAATTTTTAAAAATTGTTTGACCTGATTCAAGCCTATTCGAAGAAGTACTTCTTCAGGCAATTTTTCATTGCGTCCGACACTTCTAATATCAGAATTGTCACTCTAAAATTGTTAAAGACACTTGCTGAAAAAAAGCAATCATAAAAGTTTTCGCTTCACGAGCAATAGGGAAAAATTAAATAAGTGTGAAAATTGATATTCTTAGTAGCAATCATAATTTTTTAAATTAATTTTTCAAAATTCATGTTTATTCACAATATGATAGCTAGAAAATCTTTCTGCTAAAACTTTTTCCATTCAAGACCAATGGCGGCAATTCAAATGTTAAGCCAAAACACTCATTTACAAGAGAATCAACACTGGTTATTTTTTAAACGGCGGGGTCTTGGGGGGTCTCATTTCAAAGATCTCGTTGCAGGAACCGCAATGAACATAGTTACCGTAATCGTGCTCACGCGACCATCGATGCGCTCGGCGGTCAATTCGCTGCTGTGCGCGATTGCCCTGTGCGACATTCTCGTGATGACAAGCGTCCTCGTTTTCGTCACCCACTTCCTTCTGATTGCCGGGTACAGGTTTGTTCAATTATTGCATGCCACCTTCACGCGTTTTTTGGTTTTGCCCCCTGGAATTGTGTATTCTGTTTAATTTTTTCCATTTCCTGCACACAGAAGAACATATGCGTATTGCGAATGCGAGATGGATATTTCGAAGGTATCGACAATTCAAAAAAAAAATATTTATTTCATTTTTTCTTCACTTCTTATGAATGCTCATATTGTCGGTAGACGGACGAAATTTGAATGAATTGCCAGTTTGGGTCTCGAGCGGAAAAAAATCTCACAAAAATTGCCACAAGCGAATTTTGCGTTGTCGAAATCTCCAAACTTTGAATGATTTGATTTTGGTTCGCTGAATTCAGAAATTTTAAATTTCCTCCGTCTGCGACCACCTTCCTTCTGATAGGTTTCAGCCAAAGTCTGAAAATCACCACTTTTCTAATTTTTCGCCATGCTGATTTTTTTAAATAAAGGGAATGCAGAAAAAATTTTTTTAATAACTTTTACTTTTTTTTCTGCATTTCCTATTAAATAATTTTCCACTTCTACAATTTTTCATTAGTTTTTTTTTCCGTTGTAGCTATTATTTTAGAAATTCTCGAAAAAAGTCGAACCAACGTTGGTTTAAACATTGGGGTTCCCAAAAACTTTCGCGGTTTGTCCCAAAACTTTTCAAGCCTATCAGTACGACACTCCAATTACACATCGCCCTCACTTTAGCGTATATCGATAACCCGTGGGTTTTATTTCGATTAATTGGATTTTTCCCCTATTTGTGCCAAAATGTCTCACCTGTAATACCCAACCAAAAAAAAGTGTCCGCTGTTCGTTTTTTAAGCCTAAGGGATGCTTCTTGTTAAAAATTAATACCTACCATATAATAAGGAAACTGTAAATCTTCTCTGAATTGCCCGAAAAATCTTGTCTCGCTTTTTTTCCGCACTGCAACTTCTCCTAATTGTCCTCATGAATTACAATTCAGCTTCCAAAAAAAATAATTTTATTTTTCAGATGCGACCCATCAGATTACAACGTTTATTGGGCATATTTTCTGTACTATCATTCTCATGCTACCGTAATATTCCACGCGACAAGTATATGGCTTACGGTATCAATTTTATGAATGTTGACACCAATTTTCGTCGCCTCAGGTGCTTCTTGCGCAGATTCGAGTATTCTCAATTCGGCGAGCGACATCGGTCGGCGGCGAGTCGGTGTCGAATCAGAGCACATGCCTAATCGCATTGGCGACGTTCGTCTCCGTGTGCCTTCTCAATATTCCGAATCTTCTCACTTTTGAGGTAATTTTTGCTCTAATGAGACCTCAATTTTCTCATTTTTTTTTGCCCCAGATCATCGAAGAGTCATCATCGTGGCTTCAGTGCAAAATGAACGAGAGCACCGCCGACACAACTGTCTTTCTAGTCTCGCCATCCGAGCAATGCGCATTGCTTAATGTGAGCTGAAAAGCGGCCTGCCTCTAAAAACATGATTTAGATCGCATTTTGGACCAATGGGGTCCTTTTCAAAGTGGTACCTTGTGTTCTCCTCACATTCTCCATTGTTGCACTTGTGAGCATCATTCGAGATGTGTCCAAGAGGAGGAAGAATCTGGCACAGGTAAACTTGAATTGTTCGTTTTAATCTTTCGAAATTTGAGGTTATGAACAAGAAACGAATGCCAAGGGACCATACAACTCCAATGCTTGTGGCGGTTTTGTCGATTTTCCTGCTGGCAGAACTGCCGCAAGGGGTTCTTCACGTGTTGAACGCGATTTTCACCAAAGAGACATTTTATTTAAAGGTCTGATTTTGTGGAATTTCGAAATTGCAATCACATAAATTTCAGATTTACATCAATCTTGGCGATGTGATGGACGTGCTATCGCTTCTGAATTCTGCCGTCAATTTCATCATCTATTGCGCGATGAGCCGAAAATTCCGTGCGGTCTTCATTCAAATATTTCTTGCCTGTCTGCCACAATCAATCATCAGGTAAAAATTTAATCGAAAAATATCAATGGGGAAACGCAACAAAAGACCAAAAAATCATTTACAGAAAGTACGCAATGGAACCGTTGTTGGATGGCGAAATTTCGCGAATGCGACCAACTGATACACCATTGACAAAATCTGAACAAGTAGCAATGCATTGAAATCGGGATGATTTAATATTGAATGATTTTCAGCTTGCGCTAACATCACATCGCGACCTGACAATCAAAAGATGTACACAGGAAATTTGCTAACAGCGGGTTAGTTTTTTAAACATTTAAATTTAAAAAGTTGAAAGTAAAGTTTGAATCTTAAAATACTCAAAAATTCAACAAGTACAGTAATCAAATTTCAAAAAACTTCGAGACCCGTGAGAAAATTTGTTGAGTTGCGTCTTTTCGAGGTTACTGTATTGATTTTTTGGGTTATTTAGTTTTTCTAATTTTTCCACTCATTCTTTTTGAAAATTGCGGACTATTTTAAACTATCCTTCAATTCTTTTTTAAAAGTCTTCATTTTCACAGGAATATACGACAAACAAACGAGCCAATTTGAGAAAAATACATTTCGCCATTTGAATTGGGTCTCGTATGGAAAAACTCTATCAGGACATTTTTTTTGTTAAATTTAACCATCATATAGTGAAATAGCATTATTTGCATAAAAATATGATTTTTTGCTATGAGGCCATATGAGGCCAATTTTGCGCGCGTAATTTGCATTTTTTCATTCATATTTTTTAAGAGCATGAATGAGTCCACAAAAAGTTCACCTTGTTGACCGAAATATTTTCAGACAATCGCTATTGCACAACACCACGTGTCTCATTCGACATGGTCCGTAAAGAGTCGCGTGTGAGCAACATTGAGCTAATCGTCCCGCAAATGATGGTATGGATTTAGAATTGCTGAAATAAATTGAAATACCAATTTCAGACCGAGAAGGACAACATATTCCGCCGCTTATGGCGATTCGTTCGACCAAAAGAATCCGAAGTGTTCTCAACGAGCCCACAACGTCGTCTCAAACTCATTCAATGTGAAACAAGCACCGCATTATACTAGCCAACACCTTCTACGAATAACCCAATTCATTCGGGTCTCAATTCCAACGGGTATTCATTATTCAACATATCGAAGTTAATTCATATTCATCTAAATAATAATAATAATAATAAATAGTTTCAAGAGAATACAGTAATCTAGCAATATAGTCGATCTCACAGGGAATTTATTTCACGATAGGAAATTAAGGAATCAAACGTTTACAAAAATGAAACACATATTTCGGAAGGTTGATCGTGTCTGGACAAGAAATCAAGATAAACAACATAAAGTTGCGGCAAGGGACCCGTGTTGGGTAAATTTAAGAGAAGAAAAAGGACGAAACTATAGATAATTTAAGCTTTTTTTCTGGCTTCGAACAATAAAATACTAGGCGTTTTGGAATTTTTCGCTTCGAAAACCGTCATCAATGAACAACATCCGAAAAAAAAACAATACAAAGGAAATGTGCCGATGAGAGATCGTTAACATTTTTAAAACGATAAAGCAAACAGAATAGAAAATACGATATGAACTGAGAGTCTTGCAATCAATTTACTGCATGTCATTGGTGTTGGCGGTTGGCGGCGGCGCGATCGATTGGCCCTTCAACACAATCGCGACGTCGCGACGGAATCTCGTCAGATTTTGCGTGAACGTGTCCTTGTTCTTCACCGACAAATTCATTTCGACTGAGTTCATGAGTTGTTGGAACAGCTATAATCGCACATTTATCAAAAATAAAAACGTACTGTTCCGCGCTAGAAATTTGACAAATTGCAATTCTCTCGCAATACCGTATGATTTCGATGCGTATCAAGCGGATAGTGGGACCCTACAGTAGACATCAACAGCGCATGCGAAAATTTGTTAATTTTGCGCCAAAAAAACTATTTAAATATTTCGCCTCAATTCTTTGAATTTCGAGCAGTTGCCTGTCTTCGCCAATACAGGGTGTCATTTAAGTTCCCGCACAACTTTGAAGACGTATATTTCTGAAACTAAAAGTCCAAATCAAACGAGACTCGAAATATTTTTTATCTATAGTATAACAAATATTTATCTATTAACTCTTTTCGATTCGGCCTCCTTTCGCAGCTATGACTTCACGAAGACGCTTTGGGTAGGATTCGACTGTGGTACGCAGGTATTCGATGGAAAGATTGTCCCATTCCGCCAGTAATGTCTTCTTCAGAGTCTCTACATTTTAGTGGGGTTTTGCGTTGACCTTCTCCTGCAAGACCCCATCACGGAAAAGTCAAGCGGGTTCAGGTCTGGGGAGCAATCAGGCTATTCGGATGACTTGATGAAGTCGGGAAAATGGGTCTGACACCACTCCTCAGTAGTTTTGGCAGTGTGGGCGAGTGCTCCGTCCCGCTGAAAGACCCATTTTTGCCCACCGAAATGCGTTTGGGTCCAGGGCATCACATGCTTTTCCAAAATGTCCCGAACGTAGACTTCTTTGTTCACTTTCACCCCCCTGATCCACGAAAACCAGGGGGCACTTCCCTGTTGAGCAGATGGCACCGAAAACCATCACACTGGCAGGATGTGAGGCTGGATGAATTGTTCTTCCTTTCTCAGAAGCTTGCTGGGATGTCTGGGCAAGTACTCAATGATTTTGTGAGTAGAATGCCGTCTCCACAGTGAACAGCTTCTCGTCGGAGAAGACAGTGACGAGGTGTTCTCCAGACCGCGTGCGAGCAAGAAGTCGTTTTGCTTTTTCGACGCGTCTCTGCTTGTTGACGGCCGATAGAATTGCCGCTTTTTGGACACGATATGGAGTCAGTACAAGCTTCGTTTTGACGATTTGTTCCATAGCGAAGATGCTCATTCCCATGTCTGACGCCATCTTTCTCATGCTCCTGTGGGGGTTTCGCCTGATCCTCGATTTGACGGCGTTGATCTTCTGAGGAGTGGTTACTGAGACGAGTCTTCCTTGTCTGGGAAGGTCACTGGTCGTATTTAGCTCCTTGAAACGTTTGATGGTGTCGTAAACCGTTCTACGAGGCACACCGACCCGTTGAATGATGTCTCTCGGGCTCACATTTTGCTTATGAAGTTCGATAATGGAAGCGCGATGGATGTTAGCCTTCGTCATTTCTCGGAAACACATCCGAATGAGGTGAAACTTGGAAAGTAAGTAAAATATACCTTATTTAACAAAAATAAGTTGTATTGGTGCACGAAAAGTGCATCAGCCAAGCTCTTCATGGCGTCAAACTTTTGTGCGGGAACTTAAATGACACCCTGTATGCATTAAAGCCGCTTGCGCAAAATTAGTCTGTTAAGAAGTAAAAATTGATTTTGGCCCAAACTATTTAAATTTCCGATAGCTGACCCCCGTTTTCGGCAATAAATTCTCTAGAGCTCGTACCAATTCAAAATCGCTTTGACGATCATAATTTTGTTGCGAGATCAATTCACGCTTCAATTGCGCGTAAACGTCCTCTTGAATCAGAATCAATCCAAGAAGTGGACGAGAGAGACTCCATTGACATTTGACTTCTCCAAACATCATCGAAGTTATAACCGTTTGAAGCATCTGCAATTGTCATTTTTTTTCTATCGGTTTCAATTTTTCAGTCCAACGAAAAAAATTTTTTTTTATTATTTTGTCCAGTCATTCGACGCCGACAATACGCTTCTCGCGTTCAATTTTACCAAATTAAAACTCACATCAGCCAAAATTTCCGGATGCTCTTTGACGGCGAGCACAATATTATCGCCTTCCGGCTCAACACCAGTCTTTACCGGAATCGGCGTATTGCGCGTCAATCGGCGATACAAATAGTTCAAAATTGTGTCGAGAGACGAACAAGCGGACGTTATTACAACGGCGTCTGAAATATCCAATATAGAAAATCCAAAAAAATGAGACATTTAAAACAAATCGAACTAACCAACTGAGCTCAATCCGGAATGAATTGATCTCAAAATAGCGCAGAAGATATCAACCGAAAGGTTCGTGATAAACGGCATATTATCCTGAACCACGTGCTCCAACAAGTTGTAATAGTTTTGAGCAATTTTCGTATAGCTCTGAAAAATTGATATTAAAAAAACGCAGAATTTGGAAAAAAAAAACTCAAAAACCCTGTTAAAACTAGTTTTTTTAAACTTAAACCTAGTTTGCAATCAGTTTAAAATTTTTTAAAACCTAATTCTTCTAAAAATGCACTTACATGGAAATCCTCCGAATTAATGCTCATGAACAATTTGATGAAAATCGTGAGCGCATCTTGAAGGCACGAATCCCCATATAAACGGAAAACACCTTTAAAAATGATTATGCCTATACATTTCAACAATCACAATTCTACCGAATGGAACGTAGGCTCCAATTAGCGCATTCTTGAGCACAAGAAAGATGACTCCAATGTTCTTATATCTCTCTTTGTAGACGCGCTCTTTCGGCACTTTTGGCAACGCGAGAAGGCGCTCGCCATAAACAGTAATGATCTTCGACGTTTCCTTGAAGAGAAGGACCGCTGAGCACGAGCTCATCTCGAACTTCAGACGCTGTTGGCGATTTTGAACGAGTTCCGAAAGGAGACGAATAATCGGCGTGGTGACGTCAGCGCAATCCGTCCAGCGCTCAACCGAGAAAAGAAGGATGTTAAAGACTTTTGGGTACCTTAAAATATGTTGCAAGTTTTTTTTTTCGAGAAAATAAATTAACTTACATCCATTCGAATAATATTTGAAAGATCACTTTCGTCGTACACGCAGTCGCCACACCTCTCAAATCGCGGCACAAACCAACAATGATTTTCTGAAAATGTGCATCTCGATAATCATTGCAAATCATTTTCAAATTTCCACCTTTAGCTGCTCGTCATCAATTCCTTGACAGTTGTTCGCTATTACTCCACATATTCCATCAACAGTTTCTATAAAAATAACAACGATAAGCCAAATCAGATTCTAGAATTTTCAAAAACAAAAAAATAACCTGCAAGTGGCCTCAAGAATCGATAAATGGTGTCTTCGTCATCCGAAAAATCAGTGGTGAGCAGTCTTGTGAGCGCTTCGTAGAATGTCGTGCGCTCCTTCATCGTTTGATAATCTATTGTGGGTCCCAAGAAGATGAAGTTATCCGCCTAAACGATGAAAACAATTGGAAATTGTCAATTCCTTTCGGATGGTGTTCATGCGAAAGGGATTGACAATTTAAGGGCTCTGAGTCCGGTAGAAGGAAGCGGTCTGACCGTTCCTCCGGTTCGGAAACAATGAGTTCGTCTCGACGGTTAAAAAATTAAGAATCGTCTACTATGGTATACAGCGAGACGGTACTGGAGCTCGTCTGGGACGTATGATATCGTCACTCGGAGGCTGGAAGCCCTTGAGTTCCCAACGTCGAAGAGATGATACTAGTGATGAACCAGTTAAAATCTCGGAGAATCGCTGGGGAAAGTGCGAACGGCGGTGCACCTCAAAGGGCAAAACGCCCCCCCCCCCTCCTACTATTCTCTCATTGATTCTTACCGTGTGATTATTAAGAAGAAGCTGCACTTCTGGCAGACGGAAGAGTTTCCTCACAGCCGTATAGCCGAGCGAGAGATCCTTGAGAAGCGACAACGACAAATCGAGTAGTTCGGCGTTCGATGGCCAAAATTTCAGATTTGTAAGACTGAAAATAAGACAAAGAATTATTATTTTTTTTCTCAAAAAAATAATCCTACATCTTCTGAACAATCACACCCAACATATCCGATTCTTCAGCAATACCGAGTTCCGATTGAAGTTTGTCATAAACGGCGCTAGCACGTGTAATCTAAACAAAAACAAAAGCAACTTCTAGATGACAACAAAAAATCTCACCTGATCCATTATATATGCTCGTCGGAATTGCTCAAGCATGTGTATAAAAGCAACTTCCAATCGTAAATTTCCATTCGATGGGGTCGACGAGTTCGATGCCAATTGTAGGCGACTATCATTGTATCGCATGACGGTAATACATCTAAACTTCACAATTGTCTTTGAGAATTTGCTGAAATTCACCTCGCAATGAGTTCGCCGTCCAATTTATCATGCGAATCACTGCTAGTTGACGTATTTTTGCCAAACACCGCCGTTCCAATAAGCGTTATCAACCACACAATTCGACCCTCGGCAATCGCGGTTTGCACATCCTAAAAATAAATTACTAGCGGTCAAAGTTCGAGAAAAAGCTCACATTTGCAGCGCCGTTCATCCAGATATTCGCATTTTGATCAAAATGTTTGATGAGAAGCTCGCACGTTTTCTCGTATTCGCAACGGCAAATGATCGCGAGATGCTCCATTATTTGTATAGTCGAGCCTTGCTCATCAAGCGGATTTTCAGCACCATCTCTGAAAGTGAAGAAGATTAGAATATTAATGAAAGATGATCAGAAGCTTCTCTACCTAACAACATGTTCGACGTGTTGCAATCGGCTCTCGACAAACGCCACCATTATTTCCGGACAATAGACATTTAATAGGTGATCGTCATTATTTCTCACGTACGGCACAGAAGTCACCATTCTTTGCCAGAATGTCATCAAAAAGTAAGTGCTATTGGCAGAAAATTCCATCATCTGAAAATTCGATCAATGTTGATTTAATAAATCGACGAAATTCTTACTCTTAAACTTTGTACAGTGAACTCAGCAAGTAATCGAAGCATATGAGCGTAGCACGGGACAGCAATCAATTCACACAATTGATAATTGGTTTTTAGCCTGGCGATTAAGCGACAGAACTCGTGAAACGCGCCTTGCTCGCTGAGCTTCTCCGGATTCATTATGACACCAACGACGCCTTCGACAAGCTTTTGAACGTACGCCTGACGCTCGGGACCGTTGAACAATGTTCGGCGAATACTGGCGAGTTGCGCTATTATAGTCATCGTCTGAATTTAAGCATATAAATTTTAATTAATTAAACACTAGCACCTTTTCGCTGGATTCTTGGGGAAGCTTATCAAGAAGCTTGAACATCAATGTAACTATTTTTCCATCAGCAAAGCTTGATCTCCAAGAGGTTGGAATTTGCACGCTACAATGATCCTCGCTTGTCTCATCGGCTAGACTTCCGACATAATCGAACAATAGGCATTGAAGGCAGAGATTAAGCATTAAATTCATCAAACCAAGCTGAAATTTGTTATTTAATTAGATAATTGCATATTTATTAATTACCTCCTGCTCGGATAGATTGCGTTCAGCATTTGCATTTAGGAAATCAACAGATAAAACGAAAATTTGATACAAATAGTCATCACGAAATTGCGTCAGATTTTTGCGGTGCTTGTTCAACGATTCCATACCAACAGCCTGAAAAAATTCAAACTTCAAATTGTTTTGTTAATTTTCGTTTACGGAATTCATATCAGCGACCAACAATGAGAGTAATTGAACGGCAAGCATGCTTTCTTGAATGTTTTTCTGAAAATAAAGCAACTTTTTAAACAACTTTAATTACAATCGATTTTTACCGCATCAACCGTTTTAATAAGACTATCAACTGGCTCGCGGAACGGATATTCGACTTTATCATCTCCAGATTCTGACGGCACCGTGTACGTCCATTCTTGCTTTGTAAGTCTGGCGAATAGTTGACAGAGTGAGTTTACAAGATAGGAAGGGAACTGCGGGGCTCCTTGGCCGAGCATGTTGAGAATATATTTCGCGAGCTCCAACTTTTGCGATGAAGTTATGCTCGTTTTGGTGCCGACGATTTTCATAAGGGTTGTTGAAGCTACCATCGGACCATAAGGGAACTAAATTTCATAATTGTCCATTGTCAAATCAATGCGAATAAAACTTACATTACCACGAGCGAGCAAAAGCATACATCTTTGAAGGCACTCAGGTGATTCAGCGAGCTCTGACAGATTCAATTCGGCTTGCTGACGAATCTGCGGATCCATACTCTCGTACAGATCCTTGCATAAATTATTGAGCACCTAGGAATGTTTATCATTCAAATTTTAAACGGTTGAATCAGTTTTCAACTTACTGGTAGCTCGTCCATCGTTGCTTACTTAACCACTACAGCGAATAACACTGAAATGAAACGATAGCGGTTTTCGAAAACATTGGTGTCAAAACGATTTTGAAAATCAATAAAATTTCGAATGATGACAAATTCAAATTTTAGGAACAATTTCGGTCAATTCGTGAATATTTGGCGAAAATTCAGGTATTTTGGAAAAATTGAATGAAATTTGGACGCAATTTTCATGAATTGTCGATATTCTCGCAGCAATCGTCGATTGCTGTTGTCCACGAACACCAATTTCAAAAAAAAACAGCCCCAACAACTAGTCCGTAGCAACTACGCCAGAGGGCAAATATGGCCGTGACGAAAAACTAGTCCGCGGCCAGACATACCCACTTTTCGAGTATGCTGAAAATGAAGTTACCCCTTTAAGGAAAAGTTACGTACTCGTGAAAATAAAATCGCGTGTACGTCATCATATCTGTTTAAAATAAAATGGCGAGGTAGTCTAAAATGCGAGTCGGTTGAAATTAAATATCACGCTTCGATATTTCAGGGTAAAATGCGTTGGATTAAAAAGAAAATGCGGCAGTGAGCAGTGCTGCATTGTGTATCACGAGAATTATAACATTTCCGCATTTGGAATTGAAAAACTGCACCCTTTCGATTCGTTCAAATGGAAAAGGGTAATCGATTTTCTCAAAGGTAGTAATCATACTCATGGAAATTCGAAAATTCAAATTTCCTGCTCGAATTGAAATAATCCAGAAGATTCGTAATTTTCAGAGTGGAACCTGATAAAAGATTCATCGATTATTTCGCCGGACGAGCCGAACACGGATGTTTTTCTCAAAGTGCATTCTCCGCAATATTTGAAAAGTCTTCGAAATCCTTACAAAGCCGCGAGTATCGTCGAAGTCTTCTTCGTTGTTTTTATACCACCATGCGTCATTGAATCGAGATTATTGAAACCTATGAGGTAGAAATTTATTTTTGCTTTATATTTACTTAAAATTTTTCTGCTCAAAAGATTACAAGTTGGGGGAACCATTGAAGCCTCATATTTGGCCTTAACTCATCAGTGGGCGATAAATGTTGGCGGTGGATTTCATCATGCTTCGGGTTAACTAATTAATTAATCAATTTGATATGATGACGTTTGAAATTCAGCGGAATCTGGAGGAGGGTTTTGCTTCTACGCTGACATCACAATTGCTCTGAAAATGTTATTCGATGATAAATTGATTGAACATGCGATAATTGTGGATGTAGATGCTCATCAGGTTTGAATTCAATTTTATTTTCAAGAGAAAATCCATTTGCTTGAGGGCAACGGTCATGAGACCGATTTCGCTGAAGACGATCGAGTTTACATATTCGACATGTTCAATCCCAGCGTATACCCCCATGACGATGAAGCTAAACGGAACATTGATATGCCAATTTATGTGGATCGCCATACGACCGATGAATCGTATCTTTCGTAAGAAGTCTTTTAAAAAATTATTTTCCCTATCTTTAACAATAGATTGCTTCGTAAGAAACTGTCAAAGTCGCTAGAGTTGAAGAAATTTGATATAATGATTTACAATGCAGGAACTGACTGTTTGGACGGTGATCCAATTGGAGGATTGTGTCTTTCACCGCAGGCATTTTCAATTCAGATGATCATGCCTATTTTCCGGTTTTTTTTCAGTGCATTATCTCCCGCGATGAAACTGTGTTCGAACTGGCGAAATCGCGCAACATTCCGATTGTCATGCTTACAAGCGGCGGATATCAGAAAAACAATGCATACATCATCGCGAGATCCATTGAGAATCTCAATCTCAAAAACTTTATTGAATTAAAATGTGAATAAAATCGGATAGTGAAATCCAGCGAAGGAGCGACCGCCATTCATGTCACTAGGTCATCAGTTTGTTAGGGGGGTCTTCCGCCGCGAATCAACGCCAGTTGCGCAATGCTTGTTCATCGCACTCGACTTGGCTTCATTTTTCTTATGGTTTTGACAATGTCGATGGCAAAACGCATCTCACAACGAAGGCATATTCGAAAAGTGTGCAAGGATGCGCCCAATATGGTAAGACTATTTTGGTTGGATTGTCTAAAAATTCGATGTCGCGCGGATTCTAAAAAAATATGTAGCCTAAATCTGATAGGATTTTTCCCATTTCTTTCTCATCGATTTATAATTTATTTGTTTTATTTTAAGAAGAGGTGCGCCTTTAATCTATCCACAAGAACATCTGCGTTCCTCCAGATTTTCGAGTTCTTTTATTTAGCCGGTAAATATACACATATAGTTTTCCTCCAAAAACCCGCCCATAGTTAAACGATATTTCGTAAAATTATGAATAAGACCTTTGTTTTAATCCAGAATATTTTTATGAGTTTGTTATTAAAATAAATTTAAAATATTTCTTTTTAGTATGGTTTTAAAGCACTCTCAAATCTCTATAAAAAATTTTTCCATCAGTTGTCGCCCGATTTTTGAACGCTTCATAAACCATAATTCGCGACCACCTGCATCGTGCTAGGTTCTACCTGTACGTCCCGTACCGTCCTCGTTGAAAACTTTCGCTTTACCGTAAAAGGTCAATTTTGGCAACATTGGGTGATAATAAGTGTTCACTATCAATCTACTTGATTACTATCTGTCTTCAAACTTTTCTCGTCGTTTGAAATCAAATCGATTTTCGTTACAGCGTGAGCAACTGGCTGAATGGTTGCACGAATCGCTGGAAGGCGGCAAATTCGACGATTCGCCTATTGAGCAGTGGAGCAGCTCGGACAATGAGCCAGAAATATGTGCAAAACCACCGAATTTGGTCAATTCAATTTCGATAATGGAACGCGCATTGTGTCCTTGGGAGTCAAGAGTAAACTACGAGGAAACACGAGAACCGAAAATTATCGCCGAATCGGTTTGTCTGTGTCGGAAAAGTCGTGGATCGACCGGCGCTTTTTGTATGCCGATTGTTCGAAATGTGAGATTTCATTTGAAATAAACTTATCATATGGATTGCAATTTTCTATTTCAGGTTCCTGTCCTTCGACGAGTGTCTTGCGATGTCAAAACGGGTTACTGGAATTATGCCAAAAGTACTGAAAGCATTATCGTAGGATGTCACTCGGTCCTGCCGCGAACTCATCGAGCAATTCGATTGGCCGAAATCGGGGGTGACGATTCTCCCGTATAATTGATATGCACCAAATGGGCCTAAATTGTCATGGAATCAACGGGTGAACATCTGTCAACGAGTAATTTTAGCAAAGTCTTTCGTCATAGTTAATAAATGCCATATACGATTTTTTTTTCAATGAATGTTGAAAAAAGGAAAAGCTTGAAATTCTCAATTGTGAAACACGACCTGTTCCTGAGCTATTGAGGAACAGAAAAACAAGACCTCAATATTCCGTGATGGTTAAGGTCCCCATGGATTATTTGAAATAAGATTTAGTCATTGAAATTTTCTCTTGGATCCCACTATATGTTTTTCAGATTACCGATTTCTGAGACAATGCTCTCAAAGTTTATTGGCATCTAGCGCAGCAGGTTAAAAAAAATATTTTTTCGCACCAAGTTTAAAAAAATATTTAAATTTAAAAAAATATTTGCGCACCAGGTTAAAAAGAAAATATTTAAAAACCATAGGAGAAGCTGGAAAAAATTTTTGACGTATTTTTGTTCCAATTACTTATAAAAATTATGCCGTAATGGCACCATTCCACAATTAACGGAGATTCTTTAAAACCAATTGCATATTCTCGATTTCACTAATCGTGAATCGAACTAAAAGTCTCTTATGAACTAATTTCGCAATATAATCAAACTGTGAATATTCTGATGATTGTGATGCTAAAAAATACACAATCTAGAATATAATGAATATTGAACGGAACAAAATCGAAAGAAATATGTATATCTAAAGTTTCGTTTAAAAAAATATTTCTTTAGCCCAATTAATAAATATTATTCGATTTTCGCGGGAAAACATTCCACAGAACAGCGTATGAAGCTACAGAAATGAGAAAATATGGAAGAAATGCGATTGCGAATCCAAATTCGGCAAGCATTTTGGCAAATGTCAACGTTCTGAAAATGACCAACTGAGTGAAGCTGTTGATTTGAATCAGGCCTATTAATCTTTCAGTGTTCTTCTTACCCAATGGAAGATAAAAACCACATGACAGCTCTTGATTTGCTAGCAGTTCTGATGTTACCATTGTCGAATTGCTCTTAACATTTTTTTAAACCGGTCTTCTTCAAGAAATCATCTCACCAAACAAAATGCATAATCCAGTATTGCACGGAATAATGAATGATATCGAAAGCAGGATTAAAAGTGTTGTCATCGCGATTTGAATATGCTGAAAATGATGACAATTCATTCGACTTTAACTTTAAAAAAATCAATTTCTCACTTTTTCTGGCATAAATGGGTATGTTGATGTCAAAATGATGACAAATTGAATGAAAATTGCAATATAATAGCCGCCAAGCACCATTATCTTTCTAAATATAAAAATAATTTTAGAAGTAATTTTTTAAAAAGTACCTTGTGATGTTCAATCGAAACGAGATTAATAGCGGAATCATTTGAAGAATTGGGTAGAAAATTGAAATAAGTCGGGAGTCGCGTTCGGAAAAACCATAATAGGTGAACATCAGGGTGCTGTAGGTTTGGAGCAATGGAACACCGATAGACTGAAAAATAGATTTTTAAAAAGGTTTAAAAAACTAACGAACCGCGTTAAGGACCATTAATGTAAAAACAAAAAGAACTGGATGAGAGGATTTCACGACTTCGTCCTCTTCGACACCTTCAGAATGCAAATCCTCACAGTTCAAGTGTGAATATTCTTCAGGTCTCAACATTAGGTAACCAATTCCTTAAAACGAGCAATTATGAATGCATTTTCTTCACATTGTTTTTAATTCACCGGAAGCTGCGGCCATCATTGCTGAAAAGATGACAGGAGAAATGAATGCGTCGACATAAAACATGAGGTTCGCGAGAAACGTTCCAGCAGAGAAAGCCGCCGCCAGGAACAGAAAATTGACAGGCCGTAGGCATTGTGGAACAGCGATTCGGAGGACGGCCGGAGCACAGACGAATCCGCTACCAGCTGAATAGCCCATCAGGAATCGACCGATGCTCGCGAAAACCGTTTGAAAGCTGAAGAAATGAATGTCCATTGCTATCAAGCCCCCCCCCCCCTGGGTTTTGTGCTTCCCAATATTTTACCATTCCCATATTTATGCACCAAATACATTTGTTGGGCAATACCAAAATCGGGCAAATGGCAATACCCTCGTTCAAAAACAACTCCCCAATTTGTCAAATATGTCCAGGAATTGATTTGTGAGTCTGACAAATTTTGTAGACACTCTTCAATTTCAAATTTCATATATTTATTGCGGATCGCACAATACTCTCTGAGTTCTCTCATAAAACGTGTTAAATAAAAAATAAGGCTTACGTTAGAACGATTTTTTAAAATTAATATATTTAAACACTTCGCCTGTTTCGATATTCTCAAGAGTTTCATTTTCAATTAAAAAAATGTGTTTGTCAGCTTCATATTCCATCTTAGATCGAAAATATAAAAAAAAGCAGCGAACCATCTGGTCATTTCGAAGAAGGTCTCGCCACGAATGAACGCTTATTTTGCTGTTTCCACGTGAATGGTAAATTTTTCTTGATGAGGTTCGCATTTCCTTGAATTTTCAACGTCATTCGATTAAAAAATTATCGAACCGGTTCATAAAATGCAAAATAACATGTTAGTCAGTGCGAGATCTAAAGAAAGGAATCCCCGTAGATCTACCCGCGTACAACAGTCGCCTGACGCCGACAATATCTCTCTATAAAATTTGTCAGACTTGGTTGATAAGAATAGATCCAAGAATTGAATGCAACTCGAAATCCGAGAATTTTCAGCGAAATTATTTAAAAAGGCAAAATCCCGAACAATGTTTTGCGGAAGATCTCACACATTCAGCTTACAATGGCATCGTCGACACGATCGCACCAAAAATAAGAAGCTTCGCACATCTATCCAGCTCATCGTGCAATTCAACATTCCAAATCGATAGCGCGCAAGTCGCCGCAAATTTACCTTAACCACTCAATTGACAACAGCAGAGCGAAAACCAGCGAAATTAGGAACTACCTATCGGAAATGCCGCACTAATAAACGAGTATTCGAATGTGGCGAGTCCTCTGTAATCCACAGAACTTTGCTGGAATATCTGAAGCGACGAGACAAGTGCGAGCACAATAGCAAGTCGCATCACTTCAAAACTGACGGAAAATGAGCGCGGGTGTCATCGGCACTCCAAATGCGCTTGACACCGATCCGTTATTTTTTATTCGGTTTTCGTTCATTTGACAGAAATTCAATATGGATTGGTGCGGATGGTGTGAGGAGTGGAAAAGACAAAACAAAACGAGAGGACGATTATACTTGGAAATCTCCTTATATCATATACCAAGTTCAAATGAATTGAAAGAGTGGAAATAAATGATAAAACGCGATGCAGCACTAAAAGAAAAAACAAGCAATCGATAGAAATCATAACGAAAATGCTAATTTTGCAAATAGGTGGTGGAAGGACGCAGAATTCTCTTATTCGCTTCGAGAATCCATATAAAATAATTTGGCACACATCGGAAAAGCATAATCATTCTCTACGAAAAAAAACACATGTGACGAAATTTACTACAATAAGAAGGACAAAGAAATAACGAATGTAGATTAAAAAAGAACAACAAAAAGTCACCTGATTGCTCAAAAACCAATAATTTCTGGATATAATACAATAATGGGCCAAAAATGATCGAATTGCTCTTTGGTCTTGAATTTCTTTATTGTTGTGTTCCAAATTCGTCTACATATGTTTAAGTTGTTTTTCCTCTAGTTGCTGACAATATTATTATTATTTCGATCTCTTCCTTAAATTCTCACCTTGGTTATCAATGTGCGAAGAGAATGAGTAGGTATTCCTGCCAACGGCTGATATCTCTCATTCGCCTGGATATCTTGAATAATGAGCTGCGTGTTCACCAAATCATCGTTATCAAAATTCTCACTGCTCATCATGTTTTCAACGTATTCTAAGATATGTTATAAGTAATTTATTTTCTAAATAATCATGATACCTTGAATTAACTCATTGACATCGTTAGTCCATCTCGTCTCAAGTTCCTGACGAGTCGCGTCAATAGTTGGAGCCGCCGGGAACTTGACAATCACCACCGTCATGTTGTCACGACTGCCTTTTGCGAGGCACTCGTCGAGTACATCATTGCAAACCTTGAAAACGCGAGACTCATTATTTTCGACAAAAATAAACCCAACCTGCGTCAAATCGGTGTGTACGGCGAGCCGTCCGCGCACAAACTGCGCGAGCTCATCGTTCTCCATCACATCATAGACGCCATCACAAGCCAACACCAGAAACTCATCGGTGTCGTCACATCGTGGACGAATATAGGTGTCCGGTTCAGGCGAAACAAGCTGATGATGCGCGGGGAGTAGTGGATGATCTTTGTATTGATAGTCACCAAATGCTCTGAAAAGAACGCATACATCATGATGAATGCGCTTATTATAATCGTCTAATCCGCTAATATAATCATTCCAATGGCTTGAAGAAACAAATAAGGAAATACCTGCTAACAGCTAATGTACCGTTGATGCGCTGGATCATCACCTGACCCCCGGCACCAACAATTCGTTGTTTCTCTTTATCATGATAAGGTTTGTGGTCCGTGGTGCCGAAAACACCAGTATTCTTGCTAGATAACACGGCACGTGAATCTCCTAAAAATCGCGAATTATTCGTTTTGGAAAAACAAAAAAGGATCAAATTGTGTACCCAGATTTCCGATGATGGTATGAGATGGAGTAATGATGGCACACACCGCTGTTGATCCGCTATTGCTCTGAAAACATGTTTATATGAAAAGATTGTTTTAATCTTCAATGAAATCATTCAAACTCCATGAGCAAAACGAAAACTCACGCAATCCGTTGTGTTCTTTGTGCACTCATCAAAATTCAAGAATCCCGTTCGAATCCCCTTCACGATAAAATCAAGGCATTCCGGCGTGAGCACGCCATCGCTCTTCTTGAGTGCCTTCGTCATCTGAATAACATGAGAATGTCATAGTTGAATTCAATCCGAACGATTTCTCACTTCTTTGAACTCCTTGGTGTCAATGAGATATTGCAAGAGTTGATTCGAGGCCTTCGCCGCCACCTCCGGTCCCGCATGCCCATCGAAAACAGCAAAAAACGACCAGTTCTTGTATGGCGGATCTTGCGACATGGCGGTCTTCAATTATTCAACACCTTCATCAACATAAACGTTTATTACGAAATTGTTCTACCTCGGCAATGTGAGCATCTTCCATATTCATACGCCAACCTTGCATCGACGACATTCCATATGAAATTCCATTTCCCTCACCGGAGAGATTCGTCTTCTCCGTTTTTGGTTTATCAAGAAATGCGCCCATTGTTGTAGAATCGACCTCAACTAATCCGGAACTTGTTAAACGCCACACGCGAAGCTCGTCGTTGCTATTACTCCTCCCCACCACCGGAATGGGCAGGCACTCTGAAAATCGTCGACAATCAGAAGAATCACGTGACGAGACACATTGAATTATTTCTATTTTCCAAAAATTTTTATTTATTTCTCACCACAAAATCGTCGTTTTCAAAAGTCTGCTTAAGCTCAAAACATTTTTAAAATAAAAATGCACATTGAAATCAAGAATTTCATTGATTGTATTAGCAATTTCTCAAGAAATTGGTTTCATTTTTTTCGCGAATTTGCACTTTGATGTTTTACTACAAATGAGAGATGATGGGCAAGAGATAACAATGCTCTCAACGCTGATTATCGGGAAAGTTTTCAAATAGCAATACCAATATTGGTATCACAAGTGAACTTTACAATACATCAAAAGAAAATCGACACACAGAACGAAAAGAGGGAGAAATGCTGCCTGTAAACTTCAAAAAAAAACATACTGTTTAGAAATTGAAAATGAGCGGGTGTTTTTGTGACAAACGTGTAATTAACCCTATTCGTCTTGAACTATACATTTTCATACATGTTTAAAATTGTTTTCAATAGGAAAACGTAGGGAAAAAATGCATTGTTATAATGATTCACGGGTATGAATACAAGAGATAGCGTTGCGAGACCTGCATGCGCATTTAAAATTTCGCCGATTTAATGGTACTATGCAGATTTCGCAAAAAAATTAAAAAAAAAACAGGTAAAACTCGTTTTTTCGAGTTTTTCAACACAAAATCTGCATTGCACCATAGGAGAAGCAGCTTCTAAGGGCAAACGTTAAACTAATTATATATATTTATAAGGCGAAAATTATCGAACACAAAATAGATTGTTCAACGAGTAGCATTATCGTGATCATTGAATTTATTTGAATATAGCCACTGCATTCGCTCTCTTCCAATTTTCCAAAATGTAATTTTTAGTCGTCTCGTTCAATTTCTTCCAGTATTTCGAAATCGAGGCGAGAAACAAAAGGCGAAGCACCAGCGCGCAAAAAAATATGAGGAAAGAAAGAACGACGAAACAACAACACTAAAACCAAACCAGAAAATTTGACGTCATTTAAAGAGCGAAAAGAGGAGTACGGAGCCCTCTCAACCTTTTTTTTAACGCGTTGGTTTTCATAAACCCGACATTCAATTCGGTTTGATGAATTGATTACATTGAAGCCCATTCGTTTTGCGGTTGAATGGAATGGACAAATCGAAAGAGAACCGATGGTGCCATTCATTTCGGAAAACACAAAAAAAATGGAATTTCGTTTTTGATATGCGTTCTGTGACGAAATGACGACGATTGCGAGAAGCATTTGAACAGGACAAAATTGATTAGAACATTGGGCTCCTGATAACGAATCGAAACGAACAAAAGATACGTCATCGGTGCATTCACATCACAATATTTTGTGGGCAAGCGACTGTATTTTGAAGGCAACAAATCTCGAGGCAGGGTTTGGAAACGTACAAATTCGATTAAGCGGGTCTCGACAAGATTTACTAAAAATTGAGGCGATAAACCGACAGAATCAAAACAACTAGTCATTTCGTCCTACTTTATAATTATACATTTATATGACGAAAAACTTTGATTCTCCAAATAACAAATGTTTTGAAATTTAAATACACATTTTAGACTGACTTCTTATTATGCGGATTTAAAAATTACTCAATAATTGAGAGCATTTTTAAAACAAAGCTATTCATGATAAACAAAAAAAGGAAATTCTACTTATGAAGATTTCGTGGCGACAAACGTTATTAGGCCAATTTGCTCTGACATTCATTTTATTAAGGTAAACAAGTGGAAAATTGTCTGGAAACGTAAAGCATAACTAGGCGGGCATGCCAATTTCAAATTTCGTAAGCGTTTTTTCCACATAATTAGGTGCAATTTATTTCGACATTTAGTCATCATGAATACGAGCAAAAGCTTTGTTGTCATATGGGTTTCTTGAATGACTATACGAATATGATGATTATAAAAATGTGCCAGTGAAAAGGGACAAATGAACTTATCTTAGATGTTCACTGATTTGATGTTTAAATTTATTTCCGTAAACGCGTGGGTGTTGCACAATAGCATTTGAATATTCGTATTATGTTCGAAACGGTGGTTGTAAAAATAACATTTTCGCACTTATCAATTTCCGCGCGATACTGATTTTTGAAAATAAATTTATCGCTTTAATCTAGTATCAAACATTTTTTTTAAATATAACTTTCAATTAATACATTGGACGTTGCGAAACGGTTCTATTCTTATTTCCTCGTGGCAATGATTATATTTACATTGGTACAAAAAATATTTGCCGTATCACAATTTTTTCGGAACATCAAGAAGAAGAAAAAGAAGAGCGAACAAACCTTGATCCAGAGGAGTTCCAAAAATCGATGATAACGATGAAATTGTGCCGGCGTTTTGGGGTTATGAGAACCGCTGATCTGCTAAATGCTCGGACGCACGTTGAATGTGACCACCGAGAGATGAAGAAGAGGCAGAAGAGGAAGAAGACGAATGTAGTAGAAAAGCGACCTTCTGTTAGATCAACACAATTTTGTCAGGTTCAAACAATTATTGTAAGTGAAACGAAAAACCGAAAGAGGCAATTATTTTTGGCGTCCTTTGGGTTTCGATATTTGCCACGACTCTCACACAAATCAAATGATAATGAATGATATAGTGAAAGACACGATACGAATCAATAACGAAACAAGTTGAGAACATTCTGAGGGCATTCGTCATTTATCTAACAAGCAACTGTGCCCAATTCATTTTCACACAAACAAACAGACAGACCAATGGGGTTAGACTGGGCGAGGATATTGAACGCGGTGATAAAAAATCTCATGGGCGGACCGGACTTAGAACACGCACCTCAAACATAATGGGCCGACAATGATGAACAATGGTAATGACATTAGACAAAAAAAAAGAAAAACATATATGTGTGACGAAATCGGGAACGGAAGGAAGAGAAAGAAAGAGTTTTTGAGGGTGTATGTATTTTGATGGCCGAGTTCGAAGGACATCAGACGACGAGATTTGATACAAAAAGAAACGAGTGCGCCCTGAAGTGCGTGAAGCGATAGAAAAACAAAAACGCAAAGCAAAAGAACAAACGAGGATTCTTTTTTATGCGCTGAATAAGTACTCTTTTTCTAAAATTTAATCCGTTTCAATTATATAGATTTTTTAAAGTTTAATTCCATTATTTTCTATTGTTATATATGAGAGAGCTGGCTGTATATTATTTTCAATATGACGCAATTATCTGTATTATCCCGAATAAAAATATAATAAATAGAAAAATGTCTAAATCTAGGAAATTGCGCGACACATACTTTTTTCTGACATTTTTATTATTCAAACAAATCATGCGATAAAAAAACAACAATAAAATTGATGCGAAACAACTGGAAATCAATAGGAAATTTGAAAAAATTTTTATGTTATTTGCGAACGCGTCGAGAATCGGGTCAACGCGCGTGTAAATATGAACGCGATTTGCGTCAGTAAACAGCGTTTGGCGCATTTTTTGAGCGGCTGCCTCGGAATCGCAAGATTCCGAGATCTTTCGACAACCTTCTTGCCCAATCGCGGAATTTCTCGTGTGATATTGATTTATATAATCAAAGTGATTATTAAAAAACCATAATGTGTCCAAATTCTCGCGTTTTTTTTAACAAGCCTGCGGATATGAATATTTTATTGAGCTGAACCCTTCGGAATTTATTCATAACTTCTCGTACGACGTCTAAAATATTTATTAAACAACTCCAAAAGCGAGAATCTATTTTTATCGTCGATAAATTTAATAATTAATGCGATATATTTTTGAAGTGGCATCTTGTCATTTGAGAACAAGAAAAAAAGAATATAATTATTTGGAAAAATATTCGCAAACTCAAGCGAATCTCAAACTTATCAGTAGCTGATAATCTTTCAGCGCCTGATAAGGATGAGATTTGCACGAAATTTGCGAAGTGTCCCATTGAACGAAAAAGACGCATGTCTGAAATAATTTACGATTAATATCAAAAGGAAGGTGAAATTTGTAAAATGCCACAAAATCATTTCAAAGAATATCAATTATACATTGAAGGTGTAAGGTGCTCGAGGAAAAGTTTACCGCATAAATGGCAATTCCGTGAAAAAGGTTGCATGCATTTTCAAGCAGTGAAAAACTAATTGAGTTTCTCATGGGGATTCGAAATCCTAAAAACGGAAAAGCCAGCGGTTATAAAAAAATAAAAGCAAGTTCACCTGCGGACATCACTGGCAATGGAGGTGATGTTGAAAGAAGGCATTCGAGAAGCGAAATAAAAATCAGAATAAACGTTGCGAATGGTTTGGGGGCGCTAAAAATCGACACGAATGAGGTGTGGAGTGGAATTTGTGCGTCTCCAGATGAATCACCTCCCGGCCCGATGACTGTTTAAAGGTGCGGACGCGAGGCCCGCTTGTTGTGCAAACAATTTCGACGATGCAAATCACATCGGAAACGAAGCAACAAAATGTAAGGGGTGAGCGAAAAAAAAAACTGAGAACCCCGACGCGCCGCACCCCCCCCCTTATTCGGCGGTGCACAATAACACGTATACAAGAAAATGCAGTCGTCGACACTTACACAGGATTAACAGACGAATTATTTATTGATAAGCTGCGAGTTTTTATCGAATGTCAATACATGATTCGAAATTTGAGGAGAGAGAATTTCATCGATTTTGAAGTTTCCCATCTACTTGAAATATATTTATGCTTTATATAATAAAAAATATTATTATTATTATGGCCGTTGTGGAATCTATAAACATTGCGGCTTCAAAAACAGATTTCTCGCTTTTCGCTCGAAAATGAAAACAAGCGTCTCGGCGACGGTTAGCAATGTGGCGCCGACGTACAACCCAATCGTACCTCCGATCTCGGCTGGAAAATTTTTTTCTGTAAATTTAAATTCTAATCGCTACCCAAAAGCAAAAACATGTTGTAGGATCTCTCTTGAATGATTGTTTCTTGTTTGAAGTGGGCGAAATAAAATTTGATGTGAAGAAGATTCACTCTGAAAACGGGCGAGTTGATCGTTGGCAATTTTCAGACATTCTATTATTACACGTCATATTGCGGAGTTGCTGAATAGGATTGCGCTAGAAGGACTTGATTCCGTAGGCGAGATAGCCATTCTCCACGTATGAATCGCGATTTCTAGAATTGGTTAGCTAGACGCTATAATTATACGGTGGCCAATTTTCAGGCAATTAATTATTAGAATCAATTTCAACCTGTCTGAACTCTTGATTGTTTGAATCACCCACTTTAAGACCTGGCGCTTTTTTGGCCATCGCCTTCAAGCATTCCGACGAGTTCATAAATTTCATCGACCACTTCTCATCAATCGGATTGCCCGTCAAACTTCCAAATTTGGCGCGAGAAACGGTCACCGACGCGAAAATATTGGAGAGCTCCGTGGCGACTTCTGCTATGTCCGACACCATCGTTTTTCGAAGTTTGAGGATTTCCTCGATTTCGATATGATCTTTCGAGTTTTCGCTGAAATTTCAAGATTTGTTTTTTCAACAAAAAAGAATTGATCTACCGATAAACCGACTCAAATTCCTTCAAATCGATATTGAAATTGGTCCATGAGCTCATATGAACTCTATTTTTGATATTATGCAATCTCTTGGTCACCTTCTTGATCATTTCCTATACAATAGCATAATTTGAATAATTTGGACCAATTTCACCGTGAACGACTTGAAAGCCGTTGAAGATGGACTAAGTTTTGTGTAGACGTTAGAAGCTTCCATTAATGGAAGGTATCGATTTTTGAAAATCTGTAAGACATCAATGACGAGCTCGTTTCACATTTTTGCCATCAAAACCAATCGACAATCCTCGGCAATTTCTTCAACTCTTTCCTGATTCTCGTACATTTTTGCAACGCAATCCTTGATTTCAAGAATCAATGGTTTTGCTGAAATTCAAAACGCCATTGAATCACAGGCATTTAAATGCTGTGGTTACGGTACACATCACGGTGCATACACACACACACTAGGGTTGACGCACATTTACACTAAGTTAACAAAAACCCTCTTGTTTTGTTCTTACCTTTGTTATCCTATTTTTTGCCCCTCTGCAGGAATTTCCATTAGGATTGTTATTGTTAATTAATCTTTTTCTCACATTCGTCGTTAATTGTTGTCTAATACATATTTGAGATAAAGATCAGAGTAAACGAACATCGACATTACAACACAAAATATCATCATAAATGCTTAACAACCACCAACCAAGTTCCAAAACAATATTCCTCGTTGATTCATGCATTATCGACATCCCGAAATTGAAGTTCGATTTTCCCAAATAATTTTTGATCTGCTCCAATTGCAACAACGCCAGCGATGCTTGCGACATGTTCACCGTTGGCACCTCTTGATCGATGATTTGACCTTTGACGTCGAGCGCTAGACCGATGCACATTGCAGTGGTGTTAAGCTCGCGTGCAAGAGAATGCCGAATATATCTGAAAATTGAATTCTTAATATCAGAAGCTTGAAACGTGAATTCAACGTTGTAATGCGCTCCCAGAGCGGCTCATGAGCATAAAACTGATTGATGAAGCTTTCAAATGGCCTTCCATCATGGGATAAACATCGGACCTCATTCGCATTGCTCGAATCAAACACCTAAAATGGGATGAGGGGAATTAAATGAAATGCATTGCAGAAGCTCTTAAAAACCTGTAAAGCTTCATCGACAAACGTTTGAAGCTCATCAGAAAGCTGCTGAACATTTCGGACCACTGGAATCATTTGGTTCGGAATCACTTGCAATGCTTTATTATATTCAGCCACTCGTTTCTCTTTAGTGTCCTCCCAGTCGCTAGGAAGAAGAGAAACGATGTCAGAAGGTGACTGGAATTGCAGTAAAAGCTGAATTGCCTATTATTAAAGTTACCAGTCTTCCGCCAAACACGATCGATGAGAATGAGATGTCCTCGCAATCATCGGGGCACATTTCATTGTCAATCGCAGGTCGAAGGTTCTAGAAGAAGAAAAATCGAATTTTGGCGACTTCGAAAAATTTACCAATCTCTCCTGAACACACTCAAACTCTTGACGAAGTGTGCACAACGGCGCACGCTTCGTTCCCTTCTTCAAATCATCAATTCCGCTCGTGTAATTGAGAATCTGAAAATGTGAGACGAGAATTTTTTTTTCGGCGATTTGAGCGGCGGACCTCGTCCGACTTCGATAGGATGCCCCGATAAATCGGACTCTGAACCGGCACACAACCGCAATCGCGCTCAATCTGTTTGATGTTCATCGTCCATTCGCAAGCAGCTTTCGAGTACTCCTTCTCGGTGAACGACTCCATGGTTTTCGTGCCGCACGTGCTCCGATAGCGCTGCAATTTGCGCACCTCGTTCACCGGTATCGTCACAACTTTGCCCGCCTCCAAATGGATGCCCTCCGAATAATGCGACAGTGAGCCGTGGCCGTCGAAAATGGATAGAATTACGCCCGGCTCGACGACGGTTCCTTAATAGTTTGTTCAAAAAAAAAAAAGAAAATGGAGCCGAGTGCACGTTGAAACCTGGAATTATATCGTGGACTTCAAGATTCAAGACAAGCGATAGAGTCGTTTCGGGACCCGGGCGAAGAATCGTCTTATTTGGAGATACCGAAAAGCAGAGACCGTTCGGGGTGTATAAGGGACGGACCTCCTCCTGACACGATCCGCTTTTGCCAAACTCGCAACTTCAAATTTTTAGCAAGAATGCCGATGTTGGCATTTTCGAATACCTGACAAAAAGATCGTCGGCGGATTGAAACGAATTGCGATGAATCTCAAGCATATCCAAATCCTCAAACTTGTCCATTATGTCGTAACTCTCGCTAGTCTTATTCCTCTCATTCAGAACATTGCACATTGCTCGAAGAAGGTTCGGATTCTGAGAAGCCACCCTACTAGCTCTGAATATTAAAAATCACAAATTCGTTTCGATGGTCCCCTTCTTCGATTCACTTCATTTGCATTTTATTGCAGACGCCGATGGTTGGAAAATACATATTCGGCAATGTCTCATAACTCCGGCGAGTCGTCAGCGGATTATAAATGAAATAATATGTGATACGTTCGGCAACTTGATAAACAGTGAGACCTATGAAGAAAATAAGCACGCAAGCCCAAAGAACCCTGAAAGAGAATCAGAGAATCGGAGAATCCCCCTCTCCTACCTGAACCATGTTTTATATCTTGAATGGAGATATCGAAAACCTAGCATCGATGTATCCTCGGCGAACATATTCACAGTGGAATCGTTTTCGGGATTCGCTGTTTCTTCAATGAATTGCTCCACCTTGATCTATAGGATGATGGGCTGATTTCGACGCGACGAGACGCAATCATACCTTGATTGGTGAAGTTGCCATCACGAGCCCATCGATATCTTCCGACCGCCGTTTTCTAGGCATTCGAGGGGGGTGGGGGCGCTAGTAGAGAGGCGAAAAGCAAAGAGAAATGTTGGAATAATTGAACCTCTAAAAGCATCGCCGGAAGTATTTCTATTACATGTTGCGTCGTTTTCTCAATGTCGAATTGTGGTTTGCGTATATGTACATTGATTCCGAGCACAATTTGGGTTTGAAATCAAAATTCTTGATTGAAATAGAAATTGTCGACAAGTCGAAATTTGTTGGCTTCATGATTCCAGACTACCGAATTGTCGAACCCGATGTGTCCTTCTCATTCCGGATGTGGATCCTTATATCCGGGCGATGTTCCAATGACGCTACGTAAGGAACCATTTATTAAAATGAGGCTGAAAACTTCAAATTATTCAAAATATGCAATATTAGGATCGACGAAACAGCGTGCAAAATAGAGAGGGTGCAAAGACGCTAAGAGAGCGTGCAGTGGAAGGAGACGCAGACATTCCACCAAAAAATTGCCGATTAAATTAAAATTTACTTTTTTATTTACACAAAAATCTAATTTAACGTAATTTTTACATTTTTTTGTTAAACAATTTCCAAAAAATTCCAAGAATAGGCTCACAAGGGAATTTCAAGAGGTCCACAGGTGAGCCCAAAATTGTGCACACCATTTTTAACGATTCGGAATGATTTGAAAATTGATGGCACATTTCGAAAATTTTCCAAATTCCATTAACATCTCAAAAAATATTCAAGAAAACATTTTCTTAAAATTTGTTTCGAGCCAATCTTCTGAAAATCGTTAGACGATTCATCGTGAAGTCGTCAATTTTCTATTCAACACTTTTCAAATTGATATCGATTTTCCGCTAATTTCTCGAATAATTTTCTTCGAAAAACGAATGCCCTCCCCCTATAATTTAGAAATGTTATACATATTTATTTCTCTCGCTTGATAGAACGCGTCCGACAGCGCGAGCAACTTTTTCTTTCAAACATTCATGCTAATCACATGCTTTCTATTATTTATGGCTCAATTTGAAGTCGCCACGTCACAATTGGAATGTAGCCAACATTCGACATGCGAAGAATGCGCATCGCAAATCGATAATGACTATAATTGCCGGTAATTTGGGAAAATTGATTGTGGTCTTGATACTAATCTATTCATTTAATTCAAAATTTTCGAGAATTTTCATTGATTTCAGATGGTGCTTCACCAGCCAATCCTGCGTTCCTTCCAAATACATGTGCCATCCTTGGAAAACCGTTCTGGATCGGATCAATTGTCCACGGGATATTCCAAATACGTACAATGATAGTTTCAACAGGTAATATTCTAATGGATCATAAGGAGTTGAGGGACAAAAAAAATAATAATTAGGGAAAATTTTTTTTATTTTCTTCATTCCACTATTATTTCTCATTTCGAGAGAAAAAAAAAACAACTGCTAAAAGTCAATTAAAATTTTATCGTTTTGGTGGGCCGGCCCGAGTAATTTTATTCAAATTATCAATATGAATCAAATTTTGAAGGATTTCTATATCCAAATTGTTAAATTCGCGGAAAAACGAGCATCTTGGCACTATAAAATCATTTCCTATAGTGATTTCTTCATTGGAATCGCATAATTACCATTAATGATTCATTTTGTATCAAAAAAATTCCAAAAAAATTAAAAATCCAAATTCAATTTCTAAACAGCCAAAACAACAATTCGTTACTATTTATTTTAATTTCTCCACGCATTTTTATTGAAAGCCGACGCCGACCGCGACGCATACGCAACGCGGCGAATTTGAATTCTCAGCTTTGAAACGACAAACTTTGTTTTTTTTCTTCTTCATCGATGAAAAAATAGAAATAAAAAGCGCATTTTTTCTATTTCACAGAATTGGTAAATTAAATCATAAGTCTTGAATATTTTCAGAAATATTATTGCATATTACATTCAAGCAGCAAATCGAGTTCCCATATATTCTCCATATGAGGCTGTAATTGAGGAAGTTGGAAAAAAACACGCAAAACAAATTTCTCATTTTCAGGCGCTTTCATGTCTTCGAAAAACCGGCGAAAAAACTGAAATTCTATCGCGTGTTGAAGTCCCAATGTCGATTGATGGGGTTTATACAAGATGGTTGTGGGGCAATCGGAATTTTCGGAAATCAAAAAATTGCCGAAAATAAAAAATATCAATCCGGCAAATTCGGCCGAGCGAAATTTTTTTTTAATCGTCAAATTCGGAAATCGGCAATTCCATTGCCGCACAGGGGTTGTGGGTCAATCGGAATTTTCGACGATTCAATATGTTCTGTTTTTAAGCCGGGATATTGTTGAAAAATGACAAATGTATCCAGGTGTCGTAGGATCCTGCGTTTTGTACGCAATGCTCAGAGACAGTTACCGTAATCCTCGCAGCGATTTACGGGGACTTTTTATTTAATTTCGCATATTCATTTTTTTATTTTTCGTTCAATTTTCGTATTTCCCTTCGAAATTGTGTTATTTAAATTTTGCAGAAACCAAGTTTAATAATTTATTTAGCAGAATAAGCACTTTTAAACGATATTTTTTGGTAAAAACAGCAGAGATTAAAAAGAAAACATTTTTGCCATTAATAAAATTATTTAATCGTGTTTTGCTTTTTACAAGATAATAGAAACGCATACACGTTTCTATTATCTTGTTTTTGTATTCTTCATTTTCAAAATAATTTTTAGAGCGACAAAATCTTCACAATAATTTCCAACTCAACGGGACAAATGGAAAAGTGCATATTCTGAAAACTAAATAATTAAACTCGGTTTCTACAGGTTTTAAATAAAATATTTCCAAAGAAAATAAGAAAATACAGCAAAAAATTGAGAGAAACTAATAAAAAAAAAACTCCGTAAATCGCTGCGAGGTTTACGGTAACTGGCTCATCGCATTGCGTACAAAACGCAGGAACCCACGACACCTGGATACATTTGTCATTTATCAACAATATATATTTTTTCGATGGAAATGAACAAAGTGACTTGAAGAAAAAAAAATCATCGGAGCATTAAAATGGAAAAGCAATTCATTCTTCCTTTTAATTTCATTTTTCTTTCGCAATTCCATTGCCGATATTTTTATTTTTGGCAATTTGATGCGGAAAAAAATCGATAAAACAAAAGAATGTCAATTTAATAATTTGGGATGCCGTGAAAAATTCGGTATTTATAATATACTTCGAACTATCGTTGAAAAAATTTAATATTGTTGAGAAATGACAAATGTATCTAGGTGTCGTGGGATCCTGCGTTTTGTACGCAATGCGATGAGCCATTTACCGTAATCCACGCAGCGATTTACGGAGTTTTTTTTTTAAATTGTTTTCTCTCAATTTTTTTGCTGTATATTCTTATTTTCTTTGGAAATCTTTCATTTAAAACCTGTAGAAACCGAGTTTAATTATTTCGTTTTCAGAATATGCACTTTTCCATTTGTCCAGTTGGAAAATAGTTGGAAATTATTGTGAAGATTTTGTCGTTCTAAAATTTATTTTGAAAATGAAGAATACAAAAACAAGATAATAGAAACGCATACAAAGAGCAAAACACGATTAAATAATTTTATTAACGACAAAAATGATTTCTTTTTAATCTCTGCTGTTTTTACCAAAAAAAATATCGTTTAAAAGTGCTTATTCTGCTAAATACATTATTAAATTCGGTTTCTGCAAAATTTAAAAATTTAATTTAAAAAATTTCGAAAGAAAATTAAAAAATTGAACGAAAAATAAAAAAAAAATGAATATGCGAAATTAAATTAAAAGTCCCCGTAAATCGCTGCGAGGAAAACTGTAACCGTCTCTTAGCATTGCGTACAAAACGCAGGATCCTACGACACCTGGATACATTTGTCATTTTTCAACAATAGACGAAATTTGGCAAAATTACCGAATTTCCGAAATTTCCTATTGCCGCACAGTCCTGCTTTATACCATCAATATTCTATCCTGAGCATCTTTTTTTCGAACAATTCCATTTTTAGAACAAAATTAGTTATCTAGTGGCCGTCAATCGCGATTTCGGGCACATTGTAGTGGCCGTGACGGCCACAAATCATTTCACGCAGGTGCAATTAGGCGTCCGCCAACATTTCATCCGACAAACTCTCATTTTCAGCTAATGGCTCAAACCGCCACCGTGTTTCTAGCAATGATGGACGAGATTGCGTTGGGCGGAAAAGTGATGACATATTATGCGCAAGGCTATCAATCAGTCATCAACAATAATTTCAATGAGAAATTGGCAAATGCCATCGAGAAATTTCCAGATTTCGAGATTTTGGTGAAATTTTCAAGAATAAAATTGACGGGGTGGCCAATATTTTCAGTTAACTGGACACTCACTTGGAGGAGCAATGGCTACAATACTCTCGCTTCATGTGGCTAGAAGCTTCCCGAACAAACATGTCAAATTGTGCACATGGTCAGCGCCGAGGATCGGCGATGTCGAATTCGCGAAATTGCACATGGAAAATGTTAGTGCGGGGTTTCTTCAAAATACTTGAAAAATATTAAAAATTGCATCTTTGGGTCTCGAATGGAAAAAGTTTATTAGCGAGAATCATTAAAATATTAAAGGGGTATTTTGTTTTATGAGAAACTATGAGGTACTCTTTCGAATAATGAGCAGTGAAAAATAATTAGCAAAATTTAAGATATAGTTTTTTTTAGACTGGAAAATATTTTATCGAAAAGCTTTTACTGAAACCTCTTTTTTTTAGGTCCACGAGTCATATCGAGTTGTACGCGATGGAGATTTTGTGCCGGATTCGCCAATGAGAGTCTCGCAAAATTAATGGACTTTTTCTAAAAAAATAAATGGAAAACTTAAAAATCAACATTCTAAATTGGGAAATCGTCTAAAATTGAGCATTAAAAAACACCAAAATTTCGTGAGCAATTCCAATTTGAAACAATACAATGCTATCGTTTATGGGAAGAATTTGACGGGAATTAAATCACCAACCAACACGTCATTATACATTGGGAAACATTCAAAATCCTTGACATATATCGAAAAGGTATTACAACTATGTAGCGTGACCGTTTAAGGAAAAATGAGAAAGATTTACCGGAACTGGAGAAATTAATCACCCCACTCCCTAATTATTACTATTCTGATAAAATCTCAAAAGTGTATCAGGGTACTCCATTTTTCTTATATGGTTTTGTGATGGCTCTATTTTGAAGGTAGGTCCCGCAACATGAGCGTGTCGATTTTTTCTTGTTAGTGCATTGTCCGTGTGGAGTACACAGCGCTGACATTTAGCCAATTTTGTCCCAATTTATCGATTTTGACGATAATTATGTACTGCTAACCCAAATATTGAGAAATAAATGATTCATCGACCTCTCGTCAATTTTATCTCCGTGCGAAAATGGTCCCAATCGATCTCCTTCAAAGCTACTTCAACTCGTGTTTGAATTGCCGCCACCGCAAAAAATAACTGGCAATCAGGCAATTGTGGCAATTTTTTTTTTCAAAATTTCATTTTTTGCCAACTATTTTTCAGCTTTTCCTTCAACTAAATCGATTTCTAGACAATTATTATGTTTTTCTTTTTTTTTGCCGTCGCCCATTTTCTCGATAATGATGAAACTTGTTTATTCAAGGTGATGTTGTTTTTTTTATGCTTCTCATTCTTTTTTTTTTCGCCAAAAACCGGATATCCCTCTTTTGATTTTTTGGTTTTTTTCCACGATAGAACATGCTGATTCCCAAACCATCAGTATGTTCTAACGCATTCTAGTCAGAAATCCAATTAAAAAATTTTTTCTCAAGTCGATTTCGAAGATCAAATGAATTTCAACATTGACTGGCTTTCGGCAATTTTTTTCGCTGAAGTGTGGAAGATGCCTCCTGCCTTCCTCCGCGCCGAATCGGCTTAATATATCTCCGTTCGCATTGCCATATAAGTAACCATTCTGAACTGGTTTCTTTTTGATTTGCTGCTACTGCTTGACATCTTCTCCCTCGTCGTTTTTGTTTTCTCAAATCCACTCGTTTTCTTTTTTTTTCTTTTTGTGACAATCATGTTCCCTCTGAAACGGTTTCATTTCATGTGGTCTCGCCACGACGATTCCCGTCTGACTCATTTCAATTTAGATTTTTTTCAGCGGGTCCCATGTGGCTCTCCACAGTATTCTTCCTCATCGTCACGTTCATCATCATCTACTTCTCATATTGTTTGTCGAAATCGAAAACCGGACAACAATTGAATCCGATCCCATTTTTCGAGCCCGATGTCGTCTACACACCTCTGGGTAGCTAATCAACTAATCAAGACAACTAATTAGCTAATTAAGACATTCGCAATTTGCTAGCCAACAAATGCAAATTACCATACATTTTTCTGGGAAATGAGGATGTTGAGCGTGGGATTCCGTTCAGATTAAGGTTTCTTCAGGCATTATTGCGATGTGGTAGATCAAACAGTTCAGATCAACGTGTCGGAGTAGATTCGACGATGTCGTTCAACTCAATGAGAATGGCATTATTCAAATGATGCCGGGTCAGTCGAAATACCTCCGTCCTTTTAATATCAGGTTAGGTGCGGAATGTTTTCAAAAATTTTCAAATTTTTCTCAGTTGCTATTATCAAGAAATTTTCGACGTTGAAATGAATCGACCATTAATGAATCATTTGGGTGAAGCGCATTTGGTATATAAATGAGAAGCTCGAAATCTTGAATTTGATTTTTATTTCAGATTGACGTTAGGAATAACTCAAATACCATTGTGCAATTCCAGAATTTCGCGGTGAGCTGTACGAAGCGCGGAGAAGTCGTCTATTTCAAGCCTTTCATCAATTTTCCGCCAAAGGGAGAAGCTTCTCCATCGAAGGTAAATAAAAATGCCGATGGAAATGTTTTGAATTGAATGACGCACTTCAGAAATCGATTGCCATTCTATTATTGCCCAATCTTCATCATAAATTATTCATGAAGACGATGACCAAATCGAAGAAGCTTATTGCCAATAATCAGTTCAGCATTTTCAAGGCAGCTTTTCAGGTATCAAGTTTCCCCCAATGATCATGTTCCGCAATCAATCCCAAACTTTCGATTTTTCATCGGTGATCATTAATTGGCCGAAAAAAATGGATGGGAAGATCAGAAAATCAAATTGCAGAACGAACCGATGATGAATGATAATTGGAAAGCGCATTTTGGTTTGAATAAGGGATTGAATCTGCTGAAAATCGCAAAAGGTCTCTTAATTTTATCGAGAGTTTTATTGAAGCTTCTCACGATTTTCAGAGCACAATTTTGAGACATTTCTTAGCGGCGTTGATGAGATTCGACGGCAGCTGAAACACGATTTCACGCGAGATTCGAGTGTCTACAAAAATTTCGTCAAACAGTTTTACACAGCTGACGACACGGAAGAGACATGTCGGCATGATGGAAAAGTGGGCTATTTGTTGTTCTACGCTTTTTTTCCTCTGAAGCTTCTGGTTTCTTCTAGGCGATGATTGAAGACGACATCGAAATATTCGAAAGATATGTGACTTCTGTGAAACAATCCGATTCTCTTTCATTATTCTTCGTCGATGCAAGCATTCTACAACTGTATTCGATTGATAATGCGCTATAGTAAGGAAATTCGTAGAAAAAAAATAGTAAAAAATTTAAAGTTTTCGAGCAATTGGCTTTTTTTGTGACATTTTTTGTTGAATTCACAATTTATCCAATTGGCAGCTGAAAAGTGTGCAAGTGCGCGTCAACTCTGGCATGTGTGTTTACACCGACTGTCCACCGTACCCTTATAAATTAAAAGCGAACAATTTTGAGCGTTTCCATCAGAAATTTCACTGAAATCGACTTTTCTCTTTAAGAACAATTTTCGGAAATGCATTTTTAAAAAGATTCCTCTCTCAAAGAACCTCTCACCCAAAAATTGAAAAAAAAAAACAAAAAAAAATTTAAAAAAAAGACCTCGTTTTCACTTTGCATAAAAACATACAATTTTCCCAAATATTTCGAGTTTTAGTGGAATTTAAAAAAATCAAATGTGTGCAATTTTGCGTGCGTGTTTATGAACTTTTATGGTTGGGAAGCGGGTCGAGTATTTTTTCTTAAAAATGTCGTATGAAGCATATTTAGGAACGCACCATCAGCAACAAATATTAAGCGAGCTTTTAATTTTCTATTTCGATTTAGTCAAAAATTGACGAATTTGAATTGGCGCTATGGGTCTCGTATGGAAAATAAAACACTCTTCGGAGCGAGTTTGCTGAATTTAATCAAAAAGAGCAAAATTTTAAAAATGAATTTTAAGAAATTGGTTAGACTCTCAAATTTGGTTTAGTTTTTTGGGAACAACTAATGTTCAACTCGCGCATTTCAAATTTGTCAAAATCGTTCGCCTTTGACAATATTTATATAATTATTTTTCGAAATTCCAGTTATTTATATTTTCAGCTGGGCTCTGCAAAAACTCAATGATAAGAAGGTGTTCCAACACACCGATGTTGTTATAATGTCCTATAATAATTCTGAAGGGTAGGAGAACACCGTTTCCAGTTGAGCATTGATTCGATTCCAGAGAGAACGTCGATCAAGACGCCGCCAATAACTTCCTCGCAATTCGACTATCCGATGAGCGCATTTCGAATTTTCCGGAAAGTCGAAACAAGCTGGAAATCAATTCAAATCGTCTGATTTCAAATATGCATGTGAACGCTTTATTGGCAAATCTGATAACTGAGAATATTGGAGATTCGATAAGTAGGATTTGAGTCGATTTTTCGCAATTCCAGACAAGCGAATTTCAGAATTTTCGCCAATTCAAACGTTGTTATCAGCGAATAGCGTATGCAGCGACGTCGATATTGATTCGAAGCATTGCTTCTGCACCGAAATCGTAAGTCGAACAAATTTCGACCATTTCGAATTCGTTTTCAGTTGCCTTCATCGCAATATTCTGAAAATGCGACATCCGAGTTTCTCGAGCATGTCGAAGACGCGCTAACTCGAGAAATCCAATCAACTCCATGCGTGAAGCTTCTCAATATTGACAAAACTCCGACATTTTTCCGATTTTCCGATCCAAAGTGAGCCGGACGAATAATTGAATCAAGATATTTTTCTTTTAGAAAAGGTGATTTTGAGGCTGTTGAGCTCATTGCTCATATTGAAAGGAGCACAGACATGGTATAATCCTTTGAAACCGCAAATCGAATTGAGAATTTCAGATGAAATTCGATGTTCGCAAAACGTTCAAATATTATAAGTTCTTTGAGGGATTCCATGAATACGATGCGGCGCGCGCAATAATGCCCGACGGGACCAATATAGCCATCAACGGGTATTCCGAAATCGCTTGCCTATTTTTGGTCAAAATTCTGATTTTCCAGCTTATGCGGCTAATGACAAAAAAAAAAGACTGGATGCTCTATGGGTACTTCATTACGGATCAACAAAAATCACACTAAAAATTGTTTTAATTGTTTTTTTTCAGGTTCAAAATGGTTTATATTTTACCAATAAATTGTCATAATAATAATTATAATATGTATAATTATCATCCCCAAATCGGGGCGCCGAATCCTCCAAGAGGTCCCGCGGAGAACATATTCCGACTACCTCCGTGCTGTTGGGCGAATGAGTTTGACGACTGAAATAGAAGAAAAACGAATAGGCTGGATCGTCGCATTCTGACCCCCAAATCCGATCCGATCCTCTCGGATCTGGTTGTTATCAATATGACATAGTTAATTGGGGCGTGATTAATTCAATGAAGATTTGAATGATTAAAATGAATTCACTGTTTCAGTGGAATTTTTTAAAATGTTCTTATTTATTGAGGGAATTATTAAAACGTTTAATTAAAGAGTTTCTTTAAAATTCGAGACTGCAAAAAATTATATTCAACAAGTTAAAAAAAGAAATTTTCATAAATATGTTTTTTCTTTTCAATTCCAAAAATCCTTTGGGATGGCTATAGGAAAAGCTAACTCACACTTCTTGAATTCACACAATTGAAACTCTGAATTGCCGGGATTCCGAGAAGACTGATTCCTTGATTTTGACACTAAAAATTTTCTCTCTCTATCATTCATGATCATTTTTTTACTGACCCGCGCTTGCGCTTGATTATTGCTCATCATATTCTGTCGTTGGAATCCATTCACTCGATTTTGATTCCATCCCCATTGTCGTTTATTTCTCTACATTGATGAAATTCAAATTTGAAGTTTGTGTGATTCAAAACGAGGAACTGACCTGTAATAGACCGGACGCCACTAATTGAATAAGTGTGAAACAGAAAATCAAACTAATAACCTTCATCACAACTATGTATGTTATAGTAGTTGTAAAATGCCGACAAAAAAAAACGTTATCATTTTCATTTTTGTCGATTCTTTTTATATTATTGAGAACCTGTTATGTTTGCCTTTTGTGTCAATTTTTTTGGCGAACAAAGTCTGAAATTTAAAACGTGAATGAATGACGTTCGATTCATTTTCAGCAAAATAAACCTACAGGGTGTCATTTAAGTTCCCGCACAACTTTGAAGACGTATATTTCTGAGACTAAAAGTCCAAATCAAACGAGACTTGAAATATTTTTTATCTATAGTATAACAAATAATTTTATATTAACTCTTTTCGATTCGGCCTTCTTTCGGAGCTATGACTTCACAGAGACGCTTCGGGTAGGATGCGACTGTGGTACGCAGGTATTCGATGGAAAGATTGTGCCATGCCGCCAGTAATGTCTTCTTCAGAGCCTCTACACTTTAGTGGGGTTTTGCGTTGACCTTCTCCTGCAAGACCCTATCACGGAAAAGTCAAGCTGATTCAGGTCTGGGGAGCAATCAGTCCATTCGGATGACTTGATAAAGTCGGGAAAATGGGTCTGGCACCACTCCTGAGTAGTTTTGGCATTGTGGGCGGGTGCTCTGTCCTGTTGAATGACCCATTTCTGCCCACCGAAATGCGTTTGAGTCCAGGGCATCACATGCTTCTTTAAAATGTCCCAAACGTAGACTTCTTTGTTCATTTTCACCCCCTGATCCACGAAATCCAGGGGGCACCTCCCGGTTGAGCAGATGGCACCGAAAACCATCACACTGGCAGGATGTGAGGCTCGATTAATTGTTCTTCCTTTCTCAGAAGCTTGCTGGGATGTCTGGGCAAGTACTCAATGGTTTTGTGAGTAGAATGCCGTCTCCATAGTGAATAGCTTCTCGTCGGAGAAGACAGTGACGAGGTGTTCTCCAGACCGCGTGCGCGCAAGAAGTCGTTTTGCTTTTTCGAAGCGTCTCTGCTTGTTGACGGCCGATAGAATTGCCGCTTTTTGGACACGATATGGGGTCAGTACAAGCTTCGTTTTGACGATTTGTTCCAAAGCGAAGATGCTCATTCCCACGTCTGACGCCATCTTTCTCATGCTCCTGTAGGGGTTTCGCCTGATCCTCGATTTGACGGCGTTGATCTTCTGAGGAGTGGTTACCGAGACGGGTCTTCCTTGTCTGAGACGGTCACTGGTCGTATTTAGCTCCTTGAAACGTTTGAAGGTGTCGTAAAGCGTTCTACGAGGCACACCGAGGCGTTGAATGATGGCTCTCGGGCTCACATTTTGCTTATGAAGTTCGATAATGGAAGCGCGATGGATGTTAGCCTTCGCCATTTCTCGGAAACACATCCGAATGAAGTGAAACTTGGAAAATAAGTAAAATATACCTTATTTAACAAAAATAAATTGTATTGTTTCACGAAAAGTGCGACAGCCAAGCTCTTCATGACGTCAAACTTTTGTGCGGGAACTTAAATGACACCCTGTATAAAATGAATGGTGGATGAATTCGACAACTCCGATAAAATTGATAGTGCTGAATTTCAGGGACCAATGTTATTCATCCTTATATGGGAAGCCAAAGGGTTTGCAAGAGAAATTCCAAATTTCCAAGGGGGGTATTCGAGATCATTGAATATGGAAACATTTTATAGGGAAATTGAAGAATTTAATAAAACTGAAAGCATATACAATTTGAGCGGAAAAGGGAAAAGAGAAAAATTTTTCTCAGATTTCATTTTTGGTTTCTCTGATTGCCTGCATAATATTCGAACTTGTGGGACGATTTTTCTAAAATCTGAAATTCAAAATTTTAAAAATAAACAAAAGAAAAAATTCACGAGAAATTCTCTGAATTTAATGCTCGGCTCAAACAAAAGAGCACAAATTTTGTGGGTCCTCACACGGAATTGGCTCGTCTCAAACAGTACGCTTTTCAGCAAAAAACATGGGCATCGATAAAAGTTTCTAAAAATATTTTTTTCAAACAAATACCATTGATTTTTTGGTTTTTAAAAAAAATTGTAAAAAAAAAAGATTTTGCGACGATCAATTTTCATTGAGATTTAGGTTTTAAAACATTATTTTTTGAAGGCAATTTTTAAAATTAAAAGCTGGAATTGCTAAAAACAGCGTCCTGTATAAAAATTTGCAAAAAATTTCGGTCGACCTTCAACCCATTTCGGCGTTCATCTCGCTCGTTGATCATCACATATTCAATAAAAATCGTTCAATGCGAGAGTTGGGAAAAAAAGAAATGCGATGATCGAATATCCTTTAGCGATTCTTGATAAACTTGTGTCGATCGAAGCAACAAGGTAACTCAAATTACAGAAACAAAATGGAAGACGCCGGCAAATTTTTTTGTTGGTCAACCCCCTTCCACTGATGTGAGACGAGTGTTGATTCAAATTGCAATCAACACAATCAATCGTCAATTGCGGGGTTCGTCTATTTCTCGCCAACCCCCCCCCCTCCTATCTTCATCTCCTTTTCGAATTCATTTCATTTGACGGCCCGCCGTTTACCAGTCGCGCGACGACCCACTCAAAATCACGACAATTTCATTTGTTGTGTGTTTGAATTGACTGACAATCACCTAATTATGACACGTTTTCGATGATTGGTGTCCTCGTCGAATCGCATTTCTCGGACCAATTAAATCGGCGGCTTTTTTTCCATGATTGACGTTGTCCTCACAAGTGAGGTCTTTTTGCTGTCCGTCTTTAAAAAATGTTTTATTTTTTGCATACAGATTCTTTAGAAAATTTCCTATCAAATGAACTGGGTCCCTAAATGGACCTTCAAAATTTCAGCCCTTCCCCACACAAACTTTAATTGTTGATTTCGTTTTTTCGCTTACACCATCGTTTATAAAAATCGCAGTGAAAAATTGATTCGTATTTTTTTTCATAGGAAAAAAAAAATTATTTTTCGATAGGTTCATGTGAGTTTGATTTGCAGGTCCACAGATTAATTCGAAATTTGAAAAGGTGGTTCGCAAACATCAAGAGTGCTCATTTTATTGCCAAACATTTTTTTTTCGAATTTTCTAAAGAAATGGACTTCTAAATTAATGAAAACCGCTGGCAAATTAGCAAGTCTGAAAGAAATCATTGTTGAAGAAAGAAATATCTCAACCAATAATCGATGTGCCCTTTTAAACTGCTTATACAGTAATAATTATACACCAAATTGCAGTAGTATCAAACTGGACAAGAAAATTCAATAAAAATTTCGATTTTGGTGCAAAATAAATTCAAATGAGATGGTGCTATTTGCGGTCACGGTGTTTGCACACATTTTCGCGAGCTGCCATTTCTTTATATTTCTTCCGCTTTTTAAAATGTCAAATGTTAATAAATCAAAATAAAAAGACCAAAAAATGAATGAGATTTGCGAGAAAAGTCAGAAATTTTCTCGCAAGCCCGCAAGCACCGATGTTTTGGCGGCTGTTGAAAGTTGGGCTTTCGACCGATTTTCGCAGCCGGGAATTAATTAGAAATAGAGCCTCATCAATTCAATCGCCTTATTTTAGTAATTAGTGAGGTTCAGTGATTAGGTTGTGTTGGTGAGCATTGTTTGTAGCGGCGGCGAGATTGCGTTTTCATCAGACACCGAATCAAGTATTCGATCGAGCATATTTAGTCAACGTGAGACAAAAGGATGGAGAGAAATGGGTGAAAACTCTAGCGATAACAATTCAAATTCAGGGCCTTTTTCCGCGCGCGTCCCGTTTTGCCCACACGGTTACTGTAGCAGTAGTATGAGTGTGCGCGGCGGCTCGGCTGCGGGGGCGATTTACGAGGGATTCATCGCTCCTGAGATTTTTAACAGCGGCTCATTTCTTGAAAATTTTTATATTTTGGTGCCATCTTTAAGGAAATAATAGGCCACTCTACTACTCCTACCATTCGACTATAATAGAGCTCTGAAAATCTGGAAAAGAAACATTCTGACTTTGATTCTTTTCAATTATTAAAAATCAATTCTAGTCGTCACATTGAATCTTCTAGAACCCTAGTTTGACCCATTCACATTCATCAGTTTCCATTTATGATTTCCACTATTTATGCCATTTGTTTGGTCAATTCTTATATAATTATTTTCTCTGGCATTCGTCACCAAAACTCAACCCAGCAATTATCTCAAGACTGTAAATTGGGGGTTCACCATCACCACCACCGTCACCAATTACTCAAACTGTTTTAATTTTCAATCAATTTCTTTTTTGTTCGTCAAATTGCGCAGTTTTGCGTCATGATTGGAAGCGAACCACCGCCCACCCGAATTTCAAATTCGACAAACCACCTTCACATGTACATATAAGTTAATCAATTTGCAGGTAAAAACCGCCGAACCAAATCATGACGATATCTTACGATGAGGAGTTCTCCTCGTTAATGCTAAGATGGAGAGGATCGATTTGGAAAGCGGTTCTAAAAGATCTGATTGGTTTTTACATTGCCTACTATGTGGTGCTCGCGTTCCAGGTGAGAAATTCGACAACAACTTAATTCGTGTGTCCTTTTCGTGTTGTTCTCAACAATCGAAAAAATTCGGAAGTTTGTTTTGTTAGTTGTGGAGCGACTTTTTTTTTTGAGTGCATCGTGTGGATCAGTCGACAAATTAGCCGAAAACAAAAATTTCGGCTATTAAATTTTTTCAACGACAATTCGAAATATATTATAAATACCGAATTTTCACGGTATCCCAAATTATTCAATGGACATTTCGCCGATTTTTTTTTGACATCAAACTGCCGAAAATACAGCGCGTTTCACACTTATAAAGCCACCCCTGTTTCTGGGTGTAACATTGTCAATTGTGAAAATTTTTCAATTCTGATTTCAAAATTGAATTCAGGGCTAAAAATACATATGTGTACCAATTTGATATATGATATAATATGGAAAACCTGGTCCAATCGATTCCAAATAGAATTTAAGATGTTATTTCTTTAAAAGACACCGCAATTGATCTAGTTTTCTGAAAAATAAATGTGAAACGGTTGCAAGAGACCAATTTTCAGTATTTTCGATATCATTTGGCCAATTTTTCAGATATCATTATAAAAATTGGTACACATATGTATTTTTTAGCCCCGAATTCAGTTTTGAAAACAGAATTTAAAAATTTTCACAATTGACAAAGTTAAGCCCAAAACAGTGGTGGCTTTATAAATGTGAAACGCAATGTATAAATTTCCGCAATCCGACAAATCGGCTAGTCGGCAATTTGAAAAATCGACAATTTCGACAACCGCACAGCCCTGGTGTGGATTATTGTTAGGTAGAAGAGATCTTCTTGATAGGACCCTTTTATTTTGTTTTATCCGACGTTTCGATCATTCGAACATCATCAGGGAAGGTCAATTTACCTCAAACTTGGGTAATTAAACCGAATGATCGAAACGTCGGATAAAACATTTAAATAGTGTGCAAGATTCAAAAAATAAAAGGGTCCTATCAAGAAGATCTCAAGAAGAAGGAATCATATGAAGCTTGTCTCTGACCACTCTTCTCATCGAATTTTCACTCATTCCAAGCTCCAGTGCCATCTTTCTCATGCTTCTTTCCGGATTCCTCGGAATGCGCTGCCTGATAACTTTCACCACCTTCGGAGTCGTCACAGTCACTGGGCGTACAGATGTCTTGTCTTTCAAAGTACCAAGCCCTTTGAACCGATTGAGAGTTTTGTTTACCACCGATTTAGCCACACCGAGCTTCTGAACGGTCTCTGCCGAACGCATTCCAAACTTCGATAACTCAACGATGGTAGCCCTGAACGGGGAAGCTGCTGTTATAACCTTAAAACGAATTATATCGAGCTGGAACTTAACAAACTAGTAAAACATAAAATAAACTTCAAAAAAAAAAATTGTGCCTAATTAAATGGGTACTGTAGGCGCCAGAGTTGACGCAAAGTTGCGGCTCCGTATTTATGGCGCACCCTGTACCTAACAATGACGGAAGTTGTTTGAACGGAAAAATCGGAGAACAATTGTGGGCCATCGCTATTTTGTTTCAATTTTCTATTTAATCTGTAGAAATTGGCTACCGTACTACCTATAACTTATGGATCAAACTCGCAGTGCTCTCGTTTTTTTTTGAGATTGCAATATTATAAAAAATAATTTTTGTCTCCATCACACGCAAAAAAACAATAGATTTTTTATTTAAATGATTTCTATTTAAAAATTTGTAATTCTTAGATTTTAAAAATTTTTTCTCAAGGATATTAAAATTAGATCGTTTCAAAAGAAAAGCAAATTTTTGTTTTATGGTTTTTGATACTTATTTTCACAAAACGTTATATTAATGTGATATTAGACCGTTTTTCTAATATTCCTTCTAAATGGGTCTTCAAAATGTCCCATAATTTTTTTTTATTATCATTTAATTTTAATTGGGTTCTTCTGAATATAAAAAAAGAAAAATAATAGACAAAATTTAATTGCAGAAAAAGCGGAATCAAAATTTTTTTGCATTGATCCTTTAAAAAGCAATTCGAATAATTTTTTCCGCATTTTCAGTTTTACCTTCTCGATGAAAAAGGCAAAGAATATTTCACGGGTTGGATTATTTGGTGTGAAATCGGCGCCCAATACATTCCATTGTCATTCCTGCTCGGTTTCTTCGTCTCCGTCATCGTCGCCCGCTGGTGGGAGCAATTCAACTGGATCTCGTGGCCCGACAAAATGATGATCATGGTGTCGGCGTGTCTGCCCGGCAACGAGAATCTCGCGATTCGTCAAACAATCGGACGATGGAGTAGTTTGCAGGTGACCAAATTTGAGCAGAACAAAATTTTTTTTTTTGAATTCCCTTTTTTTTCCCAGGCGGCCATCGCTTGGTCGGGTGTCTCCATCAAAACGCTGAAGAGATTCCCAACTGAACGCCACTTGGTGGCGTCGAAGCTCATGACAGAGCAGGAGTACGACCTCTACATGAACACTGAAGCTCCACATGGCAAATGGTTCATTCCGATCATGTGGATCGTCAATCTTATAAAGAAGCAAAAGCAGAAGGGCGTCATCGACTCGATTCAAATGGAAATGCTTCTTAAGCATGTAGGCTTGGTCCTCAATTATTTTTGCAATTTTCAAATGATTCAGGTGTACAGCTATCGTGACGGCTTCGCCATGCTGTTCGTCTATGATTGGATCAAAATCCCGCTAGTGTACACCCAGGTCGTCGCCATCGCCACCTATGGTTATTTCTTCATTTGCTTGATTGGCCGCCAACCGAAATTGGATCAGAAATCGATGGAGAAGGAGATCACGATTCTGTTTCCCATCTTCACCACATTCCAAATGCTCTTCTATCTCGGTTGGCTCAAAGTCGGACAATACTTGATGAATCCATTCGGCGAGGACGACGACGATTTCGAGCTCAACTATGTGCTTGATCGCAACACCGCCATCGCTCATCTCATGGCAACGGAGCTCGCCGATCAGCTGCCCGAAATCGACGCGCCCGCGTATCCGGCTGTGCCGCACACGAGAGCCTCGTTCAAAATTCAAGACGTCATACCGAAATCGCATTTGGCCGGATTCCGATTGTCCGACACCGAAATGAAGCTGATCAAGCCCGAAGATCTGCAGGAAAGTGAGAAGCTGCTTGAACAAACCAATACCAACAATCGCAGAAGATTGGGAACATTGGTTAGAGCTTTGGACAAAAAGTGAGAAGTCTTCTGAATTGGAACGATTCAAATTTTTTTTTAGGAACAAGAATGGAAATGCAATTGAAGAAGACGACTAGCTCTTTTTTTATATCAAATATATTCTGTGATTTCTGTTTTTTTTTGTATAATAAATTTAATAAATTAGAGAAGTCGTTGATAGGCTTGCGATTCTTTCACCGCCGTCACCAAATCGTCATGAATCTCGGTTCGTTGCGGGCACGGACAATAGGCTCCATCGTTTCCAGGCGCTCCGTTATCTCCCGGCGCTCCCGGCGGTCCGTCGGGACTCGCGCCGTCGTTTCCATTTCGTCCCGCGATTCCAGGGCTTCCCGATTGTCCTGGCGCTCCGGGTGCGCCGGCGGCTCCAGGATTTCCGGCAGGTCCCGGTGGACCCGGTGGTCCTTCGGCTCCCGGCGCTCCGACGCCTCCCTTCACCCCATTCTTTCCATTTTCACCTTGCGATCCGGGTTGTCCTGGTTCGCCTGGAGCGCCTGGCTCTCCCGCGGCTCCGTCCTCTCCCGGGGCTCCATCATTCCCATTTGGTGCCGGCTCACCAGGATGCCCGTCTTGGCCAGCCGGTCCAGACTCGCCGTCAGGTCCCGGTGGTCCTGGAGGTCCAGCAGGGCATTTTATGCATCCATAGCTTGTCTTCTGATTTCTAGCCGGTGTTGCTGTGTTTCCATCGACGCCAGGTTCCCCATTCTCCCCATCAACTCCTCGCTCGCCATCTGCTCCTTTTGGTCCTGAAACTCGACGGATTCATTAAATAGTCCATCGTGGTCCACTTAACCTGGAGGTCCAGGAGGACAGTCATTGTTTTCGGAGCACTTGCTACAGCTCGATGCACCGCTGCTTCTCTTCCGCAATTGTCTGGAATCATCAAACGTGTGCTTCGATGTCTCTTGAACCATCGCATCCCAGAGATCGTTGGCGATAACCTAAAAGAACACCATCGAAATTTTAACGAGAAACACTAGGGCACCTTGAACTCGGCAATTCCATCATGCACATCGATTTTCAACTCCTGATTATCGTTGAAGAGTGTGGCGACGATGAGAAGGCATGTGATCAGAGCGGTGCCGGCGCCAAGAAATGCGGTGGTCAACAGACTATTCGACATGCCTTCGAATGAAGCGTCCCACCTACACTCAATTTTATATGCGTGTTCGGATGCGATAACATCGACAGAAGAAAAAAAAATCATATTTCCGTCTGACCGAAAAAAAAAACGCATGATGGATATATCTAGAAAATCGCCGGAAAGTCGAAATTTGGCAAACAAAAAAATTGGCGTAAGCCTAATGCGTTTATCTCAACTGAAATCTTCCAGCCAATTTATCTTGAAAATCCGCTGCGCTAAAAATTAACACTTATTGTCACGGCGGTGCGCGCGCGCTTTCATCTCGAAGTTCTCACGACCTGATGTTGGCACCTTGTAGTTCTCAGCTTCACACCTTTGGCTTATGAAAGGGGCGGAGCTAGATCACCAAGAATGCTTAGTATTGGTTATTTTACTTGATATTCATCCTCCTTGATTGCCTATTCCACATGTTATTCCATTACTGGAATCTCTCATCTAGATGGTCGCTCACACTCTTCCATCAGGTAAGCCAATTCTAAGTTAGACAGAGAAACTGGAATTCCAGAAGCTTTTCTATAAATGATTTATTAATCACCGACTAATCGTACCCATAATTAGACATCAAGAAGCTCCAACCAATTTGGGATATCTTCACAGCTTCCAAATTGGGTGTTCACTATGAAAACCCATGCCGAAGCTGTTTATTTTTTCAATTATTGAAATTGGAAAAGGACAGAAAATGGGTTAAAAGTGGATGAAAAATGGTTCAGACCATCGAAAAATCTTTTCGAAAATATTTTTCACCCACTTTTAATTCATTTTTCGTCGTTTTCCAAGTTGCAGTGAATTATTGAATCATTTATTCTCTGGTGAGTTCCTTAATTTGAATATTTTAAGCTAACCTTTCAATTAATTAAATTTTCTTACAATTTGAGAAATTGCAGTATCAATTTTACTTTAGGGATCGAAACTTCAAACTTTTTACATTTCAAAATATTTATGTCCTCTTTTGATTCTTTGCTAATTACATATAATTTCCACGTTTAATTATTTAATTTCTCAAAATTATTCCCCCTCACATTTTCATTCCCATGTTCGCACCTTCACATTCCCATCGTCGCACTTTTCGGTTCGGCAAGCATTTGCCACTCAAAAGGGGCGGGGCTTGTATACCATGGGTCGCATTCGGCCATCACTTCTCCATTTTCTTCAAATCTCCGCTTCATTATATATGTATGTATTTTCAGATTATTCTACTAAGTGCCAGAGAGCTTTTCTCTTGAGTACAAACCCAATACAAGAAATTTGAATCTTGGTTTGTGACTCGGAGAAATCGATGTCTCATCAAGACCTCACTAGAAGATTGCAACAAGCAGAAATTGAAAATGGAGAATCCAGGTAAGATTTTTTTTTTGAATTGCTGATCACATGATCTCACGTGGATTGACTGCTTATTTTGTCATCTAGAGCTTATATCGATCATTCTTAATTTGAATAGTATTACATAGAAACGCCTTCAACAAGTTGCGAGACCATGGTGAAAGACGCAGTAAATCTACCAGCGACAATTAACAAATTGATTTCAGAGTCAGCGATCATCTCCAGTAACACACCGATTGGTAAGTTTATTTGGGATAAAAAAATGCAAATTTTTGGCGCCTTGAGATTGCCAAGATGCTCGACGGCTCCGAATCAGCGTGTAATGTCGATGCGTCAAAATCAGATATCAAAATCGCCAGAAAAGTCAATCCCCTTGAATAAAAAAGGATTAGCATTCTCAGTATAACTTTTTTATATTCACATCATGCAAAAAAAAATTGTGCATTAAAAATAATTTATTGCAATAAAGGGAGAAAAGGGCATCTCTCATTATATTGGGAATCTTTCCAATTAAATTCTATACCAAAAAAGTGAAAAATAAAAAAATTAAATGAATTTCAATCGACAAAAAATTTCTTCTCGATGGCCTCCAATCGTCGAAGGATGTCATTGGTTGGAAGCGACGGTGTGATCGTCACCTCATTTCTTCTGAAATCGTCGCCGTATGGAACATTGAAATAGATGTGCATATTCTTCGAAGAATTGCTCAAATGGAAACGCTTCTCATTGGCATCCTCATCAGTGTGCATGCAGAAGAATGGGTCGAATAGAAGAGCGAGGAGGTGATCGGAAGGTTTGATCGACGAATCTCGAAGGATGCCAAAGTCCCATTCAAATGGATCGCCGGATTGCTTAATAGCCTCCTAAACATTATAATTAATTTCAATTATATGATATAATTAGGCGCACCAAAAACATTGTCGGAATCTGAATTGGTGTGATATTTGTGCAGCATCCGTACAAGTTGATCATTCTGGGCACCTTGGGAAGCTGCTTCCAGAACACGATGAGCTCGTCGGTGAGCTCCGGAAGCCACATACTGCTTCTCGGACGCACATGGAATGTTTCAAGGTTTTCAAGCGACATTAGCACCTAAATAAAAAACGAATGAAGGCTTGGGAAAATCATAAAATCGGTTACTTGATTCGAAATGAGAGATTGATGAAATGTGCAGAATTCGATGATGAGGCTGCTGATGCGCATGCCGGCTAGAAGGCGAATGAATTGATCGCGATTGATCTCGATGGCACACGTTTGAAGGTGAAGCTCGGATACCTCGGTGAGATCGTTCCACGGCGCGGTGAGCATTTTGAAGAACTCCTCGTCGATAGTGACGCCTTCGAATGAAAGCGATTTTGTGATTTTTGACTGTAAAAATTGAATAGTGCGATGTTTAGCTAATTAGAAGGAAATTAAATTTTTTTTCAGCATTTATCAATGTTTTCTTTTTTTGAAAAAAAATGAGAATTAATTAAAAACAAACAAATGTGTGCAATTTTGCGTGCGTGTGTATGACACTTTTAAACAAGGCGCGCGTTTTCTTCGGCAAAACCCAAAACTAAAAAAATAAATAAATAAATCGATTACCATTCTCATATTGGTTTTGATATATTCAACCGATTGAGCGACACCCCAAATCGCCGTCGAGAACGTCGCCTGAATGTGCTTCTCGACGCGCTCGCGTTTCATTCGGATTTGGGTGAACGCTCTCCGATGGAGAACCACACTTTTCTCGAAACTCCGAAGACTCGACGGACATCCTCGGCAGACGACACTGAAATCAGAGAGTTGTTAATTAAAGGGTACTTGAAGTGTCGCCAAGGGTACTTGGCGATTTCGACACCTTCGCCATAACAATTTTATGGATGTTTTAAGATAACCCCCCACCAAAAATAGCATAATGGTCTCTTTTCAATAATTTTTCATACCTGAATTCCGTTACAGTGGGCTTGACAAGATTGTACTTCTCGACGATCCAATGAATCCTTCTACTTACACGTCTGGCATTGATGACGTCGTTTAGTGAAGCCGACGACAGAATTCTAATGAGAACATCGTCGGGCATGCCGAGCAGTGCCATAATCTTGAAGAAAAAGAGTTGTTCAATGATAATGAAGAAAACGATGAATGAATGGTTTGGGTGGAAGAAGACAAATCATTGGAATGATGGTGGGTATGAATGGACGACATCGGCTCCGCCTTTTTGCGCGCGCGCGCTGTCAATTTTTGAATGTGTCAAATTTGGCTCATCGGCCACCGAAAAAAAAAGAGGGGCGAAACGAAGGGCGTCGAGCAAAACCGACCGGAAACTCTCGTCGAGAATCACGCTATTTTCAAGAAAGGTGCGAAAGTTGCGCATGGCTGTCGAGGCACGTGGCGAAAATTTTTTGAGGAGGTGGTGAAGTGTGCCACCAATCGGGTGCTGGATGGGTCACGCCAATTAACCGCGCTGCTAATCATGAGATGTCAAATCGTCCTCTCAATTTCAAATTTTCACCTCGAAATTGACAAGTCTAAAGGTATCAAAGATTCATAGATTAGAATTTTTTAAAAATTCCGAGCACTTTTTTTTTGGATTAGACAAAGATTTTTGGATTAGACAAAGAAGGCTAATTAGCAATTACAATTATGAATCAGAATGTAAAAGAAATTATTAAGGATTTCCAAAAAATTGTTAGGCTTGAAATTGAATTCGCTTTTAGAAAAAATATTTTTGAAAGAAAAATCGATAAAATTAAAATATTTGAAATTATGGGAAAATAGACACCTCAATGAATGCTTCTTCAAATTTCTTGGACGAATTATACTAAAAATGGGTATTTAGGGTCGCAATAGGCTTGCCTATCAATTTCTTTAATATGGGACAATTTGAATTGCCTCGCATTTCAATAGAGCACACAATACAATGAAACGCCATCGAATTGATTATAATAAATAAAAGAAAATTTGGATTCATTTTCAAAATCGCAAAACTTGAGGCTGAGTTTGCCGGCCGCTCGATTCGACTCATTTTCATTGTTTACGTTTAATGCGGTTGATGGTCGCGGCGAGAAATATGGCTGTCTTTGTGTACGATTGATAGGCTTCGATAATAATTATATACATATTTAAACAGCATAATAATATGAAATTCGACAACATGAAAGTGAGGCAAGAAAAAAAAAGATTTTAAAAATCAAATGTTGGCAAATTCGATTTAGGCTCGTTTGCATGAGAAAATGTTCAACTGGTTTTTGTTGTTTGAGGCGCTGATAAACATTGCCGCTTATCTACCTACATATTATACATAAAACATAGAGAAGAGCATGTGTTTGATAGAGTCAGCAGGTTGCGCCTTTAAAGGTCCCCTCCCCCTCCCAAGCTAATAAGCGTGTAGCTATTCATTGAAGGGGTGCTAATGTTTTCATAATGCTAATGAGCAGCTGACGAAGATTAGTACGTATGAGGATTTGTTCGCTTGAATACCTTTCAATTTTGCAATTATTCAAGGTGAACTATTTGCTTTGAAAATGACATATTGATTTTGAAAAAAAAAATGAATTAAAATTTCATATTTTCACCTGCCATTGAGATACTGACAAATTGCTGGAATTCTGATTGTCTCAAAATTACTCATTTTTAATGAATTTTTCTCATTGGTTATGGTTTTTTTATGAATTTGGGTCTCGCTTGGAAGTCTTCCGGTGTGAGATTTTAATTTTCTAAGGAACAACCTATTGAGTAAAAATGTGCAGTTTGAATAAAAGGATTTCAGCGCATGATTTCCTCTTCGATTTTTGTGGCATAATAATTTTCTAAAATTAATTTTATTATATCAAAAGACGGAGAAGGATCCAATTAGAAGGAAGAAGCTTTCAAACATTTCTAAAATTAGACCCCTCTCAAAGACAAGAATAAGAATTTTGAAAGGGACATGTCTATCCATGTTGGTATACTTAATTAGGTGTGTACGTATTTTATAATAAATTCGCAAAAATAAAAAACGAGCTTCGCAGAATGTCAAGATTACGATACTCTGTTTAAATTCAAATTTGAATTACCGCCCCGAAGAAAGTGCGATGGTCCACAATTATCCAAGGCTCTCTCTTTTTTTTGCAATAAAATTAATAATTGGTTTATCCAGATTATTTTTCTTTTATTGGTATATTATATTCCAGTCTTATTCTGAATAAAACGCTACGTCAGAGGTGTTGCCTTCAGCCAATTTCGTGATTTTCATTGAGTTGGTCCACACTAATTGATACCGTATATTTAGAATGTGCTCGTCAGATATTCGTTAGAAAAAATAACAAAAAAAATTTGGCGTTGCAGCGTTTCAGCCTTCTGGTAGCTCAGCTCGACCCATCGAACTCAAAATTTTCCGAGAAACCAAATTTTTAAAAAATCTTTCATTATCTTAATTTCATTCTTCTATCTTAATTTCTTAAACTGGAGGATAAAAAAATGGAAAAAAATGGAAAAAATGGTAGCACGCGAAAATGTGTGCAAACACCGTGGCGCAAAATATCACAGAAAACACCAATGTTGAATTTTTGTTGATTTCTCAAAATTTTGTTTCATACTATTCTTGGGGGCCTCATAAATAATGAGCAATTTTAAAGGCGCATCGACGATCTCTTTGGAATTTCGAAATGTGCGTTGAAGGAGGCGATTGGAATAACTCGAAGTTCGAAGAGATCACACTATTTGGGCAATGTCTTGTTCGTCCAATCAACGTTAGCCAAATAATTTCCATTGACGATTTTTATAACACGAAGCAGCACTATCCCTTGATAATTATCATCGCAAATGTATTTTATTTTTTGTTCATGATCGTTCAGAGTCGTTTGGATACCCGAATTCAGGAGGTTGCCTCTCATGACGCTTCAATCATGCAATCGGAATCGTTTAGAAAACGCATTTCTACGCGCAAACGCATTTCTACGCGCTCATCTGCGCCATCGCCATTCTCAATAATCTGGACGCAATATTTTTTGTGCAAGTTTCGACATTGATTTTTTGAGGCTCGAAATTTCAGAATCGGCAAAAGCATTGAACTGCAATACGTTTACAATATCATCGACATAATTATAATAGTTTTACTAAGCGAATATATTCCATTCATTGTTGTTCTTCTGACATTCGCGATAACCTTTCAAAAATATTTGTGCTTACGTCTGAAGCCGCAAACATACGCCATACTACGGTATGAAGAAGGAATCATCAATTCTCACTATTCAAATATTCAGGAAATATTTTCGATTTATTTTAGCTCCCATTTGGCTCATCTCAATTCACTTCTTCATCGTTCAGAACGGTCTTTCAAGCTTTTCCTCCCGTTCAACAAAATTTTCCCAAAATTTCCAGTGTTATGCACTTTCATGAAATCGGTATTAATATTCGAATGTGTTAGCGATACGGTGAAAGCTGTTGTATATGTGAGGCAGAAAAAACAAATCTCGAAAAAAATAATTGCAACCTTCTCAATTTTTCAGCTTTACAGTATCTGCTTTTTCATGATGTCAGCATTGACAATTTCAATGCTTTGGCATATTTATAAGGTGATTAAGAAGCACACAAATAATCATTTCGACAAATTCTTCTTCTATCAATATTTCCCGATTGCGATTCATCAGATTGTAGGGGGTAGGGGGGGGGGACGAATTCATCCGATTGGAAAACAGTTTTTCAGCTTTTCACATCGGCAATGCTTCTGAGCACAATTTCAAACATTTTCCATGATATTTTTCCGGAGGCGATGTTCTACACGACAGTTTACAAATATGTCTACGTTCTTATTCTCTATCAAGTTCTTCCGGTTACTGTATCAATGTCTTATATTATTGCCAGAGATAATTTGAGATTTATTATTGTGAAAATTGTGTGTCCAATATTTTGCGCGAAAAAATATGAAATGTATTATAGATCGAATGAATGAATGCTTAAAATCTGAATTTTATGTATACTTAAAGCTACCACAATTTTGAACTTTTAATATGAGAGCAGCAGCAAGTTTCGATTTAAAAGATGTGGGTCTTGTTGCGAAAGAATCAATTGACCGTACCTCATAGAATTGCGTTCAATTTTCAGCTGCCTCTGCAACGCTGTGCATAAATGATGGAACGAAATTTAAATGATCGAACATCGTAAAATCCCATATATTTTTCAATTGTTGATTTCAAGTTATTGAATTGTTAGGGGAAATGCGATTTCGTGAATTACGCGCTTAAATGCGCACACCACTATTTGCATTTTTTAAAAATTTCAACTAATCGGTTCAAATCTACAATATTAGGAAATAATAAAATACGATAATTGGAGGAATTTCATAGGTTTGAAAATTCTGGGCCCCGCCCAGAATTCAACGTCCCCGAAGGAACAATTTTTTGTGTGGCAAGAAACGAAGTTATCAGTCAGAAGCTCTTCATCGCCGCCCAAATGGACGGCTAGAGCCTTCTGTCATCACTTAACTCCGGCCCTTCGCAAGGGCAATGCTCCCGAAATTCTCCCTTCCTACGGCCGCGCCGTCTTAATGGGAAAAGAAAACCCCCCAATATCTCCCACGCGGCCGCGCCGCCAATTTGGGGAACTCTACCAAGTCAAACTACATACCTGGGAGGTTCTCTTCCCCTTGGATCGCGCATCTCCTTCCTCCGCGAGATCGCTCCATAATCCGCAATCAGAATAATAGGCTTTTACTCCAGTTAGAAAGAAAAAGGAAAACTAAAAAACAACGTTTTTTTTTAGAAACTTCCTAACGCCGCCGCTAGGTTACTGTCGCTCCGCGCCGCGAGAATTCCAAGCGGCATTACTGTGCCGGCCTTTAACTTCTCCCCCTGCGCCTCCTTTGCGCCCGTTGTCTTTCCCTCAGCGCGCGTTATCTCTACCCTTTGGCGCGCGCTCTCTCCGTTCACACACTCTCTCTCCGCGAGAGATATTTATCGATTTCCCTCATTTTTTCCTCCTTTTTCGTCGAATTCCCGCGGAATTTGACAATAGGCGATAGTTACACCCAGTGTTGATCCGCTACAGATAATCCAGTTACAGTCCAGTACATAGAAGGACAAATCAAGCATATCTTGAAGTCTTTCTCAATTCCACTAAATCATTAATCCCTAATATCTCTATATTCAAATAAATGGTTTAACAATATTTTGAGTCTAGTCAAATCAGAAAGACTCGTCAAACGGGAGTATCTAATTTCAATGGTCCCGAATCTCCGCAAAAATTTGTTGTCAAAAATAATTTTCGAGCAAATTTTCCAAATAGTATTTTTCGACTATCCAGCATTAAACACACCATTCGAAACCATAATCATTTTTGAAGAAAACAGCAGATGGAAATTCAATTGACGTCTTTAATTGCACCTGCTGCGCCTTTGAAAAAAACCTTTAATGTGCAATGAGAAAGCTCATTGAATTCCGAGGTTAACGAACACTTCAAACGGCAGCTGATTTTGCATTTTTCAACACACCTCTAAAAGACAGTAATAATAATTCGTATTCCTTCTATTATCGAATGTGCGACGATCCTTCAAAATATGTCGATGATCTCATCTACCATCATTTGGAATACACGACGGTGTTCGGCGCTTGCTTATCAAAACCGCTGAATTGGTCTGAATGGGAGGGCGATGATGATGAGATTCTGGAGAATCCGTATATTGTTTTAAGCGCGCCTATTATTTTTGCCAATCTTTTCTTTTTCTTGTTCATGATTGTACGAGGACGACTCGATATTCGTGAAGAGCAGGTACTGTATAAATCTATCAAATGGAATTACAAAGTTAGGGTGGTAATAATGGTATTATGGAGATTTCGCAGAAAATCTGAGAAAAAAAGCGTCCCGGCCAAAAAAAACCTAAAAATCGCTATTGCAGAAACCTCGGCCGCGGCCGTGTTTTTCGAATCTTACAGTAGTGCAATTAAAAACATTTTGTCGTATATTTGCGCCTTAACGATTTTATTTTTATTGCGGTTAAATATATAATGCAAAGATTCTTGCAGCGATTTAATGAGAGAAAAAATAAATAAAAAAGTTTATTGAAATTGTGTCTATTTTTCTTTTTCGTTTTTTCTGTGTTTTCCTTTCAATCAAAAAAAAAAACATGGCCGTGGCCGAGATTTTCTTTCAGTTTCTTTTTGTTGCAATAGTTATATTTTGCGCAATTTTGCATAGCATCCACGTGGATTATTAATCTCTATTTATGCGATGAAAAAAAATAAAAATAATCAATTTTTTTCATTTGAAATCTCTATGCACGCACGTCGAAAATTACAAAAAATTGACGCGATATATCGTAATTCTCCGCTATTTATTTTCAAAGGCGCACGCGAAAAGTTGCGCGTGTCACGTCGCGAAGTCGATACTGTAATTTTTTAATGGGTGTTTTTTTCGAATTTTTTTTGAGCGTTTTAAACGTTTTTTTTTGGAATTCTGTAAAAGCGTTTTGGTTAATCAACGTTAAAAATTCATCAGAAGCGTCATCGAGCGAAGTATGCATCAAATCAACACAATTTTCTTTTTTCATGATAATTAGAATCTAAATGACGAAAAATAGATTTATATTGTGGAATTAGGTGTAATTATACCAGTAATTGGTTTTTTTTTACCTCGTTCTTCATTCAAAAATAGCGCACAGAATGAAAAATAAAAGAGTACAGTACCTGCGCAACTTTTGGCGTGCGCCTTTAAAAATAAATAGTTACGATATATCGCGTCAATTTTTTGTAATTTTCCACGTACGTGCATAGGGAATTCAAATGAAAAAATTGATTTTTAAATTTTTTTCATTGCATGAATAGGTCCATAAAAAACTTTTTCTAATAAACGACTCATAATATTCTTATAGAAAATCCATATATATGCTCAATCGCAATTTTATTTTCTCATATCCATTATAGCAGTTTTCAACAATTTGGAGGCAGCACTTTACGCGTAGCCGAAAATCGCGCCACCGTTTCGACGTGAACCTCATTTTCAGCCTTCAAAATTCGTCGAGAGTCGTCAAATTTGTGTACAATGGATTTTTCGAGTCAATCAAGTCGGCGTATTTCGAATTCATTCCGTACATCGTCGTCCTTCTCACATTCATCATGACCCTTCAGAATTTTTTTTGTTTGACTCTCAAACAAGGAGTCTACCTGAAAATCAAGTGCGCATTTTGGGTTGCTCATCAACATTTTTAGATTTCAAAATTTTTGCAGAAAATATTTTCGATTATTTTTTATTCCGGTTTGGATTATCGCAGTTCATTTTTTCTTCATTCAAATCGGTATTAACTCCTTCTCAAAAAAAAAAATGATTAATCGCCACAAAACCGGGCTCATCTTTATGAGCTGATTTCAATTTTTGTTATCTATGACGTCAGACGCGTTGCGGTTCGCGTGCGGTCATGACCATTAACCAAAATTTTTTGATCGAGCATATCATTTGAACAATTTCCGTGTTTTGTTTCAAACATTATTTTACATTTCTTTGCATACTGTAATTCAATTAAAGGCGCACGCTGTTGTTTCATTGTCAGGTCTCGCAACGAATTTTTACAAAACTTTCGATTTTTTGAAATACTGATGGTCCAGATCGTCGCCTAAGCTTCTCACAGTCACTCCAAAAAAATTTCAGAATCTTCGATTATCAATGTGAAACAATCGCAAAAATTTGCACGCGTGACCATTTTTTTCGCGAAAAATTTCAGAATCAAAAGCAAAATGAAAAATTGAGGTTTTTAAAAAAAAACTCGTTTCGCTTCGAGACCACAATCCAATTATTTTCGGGTTTCAGTGGCCTGCACATGGATAAAATCGGCAATTCCATTTGAATGCACTACCGATGTTTTGAAAACGGCGGCCTATGTAAATAAAATTTTTTTTGCAACCCGAGATTCCATCGAATTTTCAGTGTTACGCGTTCGCCTTCTTCCTAATGTCGCTATTCACGGTTGCCGTTTTCTGGCGCATTTACACACTCATCAAAAAGTATACAACGAGCTACGACGACAAATTTTTCTTCTATCAATATTTTCCGATAGCGATTCATCAATTAATAAGCATAATTCTCGGAGCTTTTCCGAAAAAAAATCAATTTATTGCAAAAGCAAGCCCTCTGTGTCATACTTGCAAATTTCCGGGTCCACCCGCAACGTCACTCCAAGTTTACAGCGAGGCCATTGTTTAGCGAAATAAGAATTTCGAATCATTATTTTGAGTAGAATTAGTTGTTCTCGGAACAAAATTACTCATAAGTCCCCAAACAAATTTTTTAAATAAACTTTTCTTCAAAAAATCTATTAGCGGGTCGGGGGCGGGTCGGTAAAATTTTCACCCCGTTGCAAATATGCTCTGTGTAGATTTACGGTGGTTGAATTTGGCTTGTAGGTTATTCGTAGTTCGCAATTTGAATTTTTTAAAACTGCGATAACTCAAGATGCGATGACAATGAAAAATAAGAAGATTTGAGAAAGCAATTCCTTCATTCGATTTTCAGATCTACACTTCCATAATGCTACACGGTGTGAGTCAAACGTTATATCACGACATTGATCCCGACGCGAAAGTGTATATCTCGGCGACTCGGTTTATAATTGTACAATTTCTCTTTTACTTGCTACCAGTTACTGTATCAATGTCTTATATTATTTCGAAGGAGAATTTGAGATTCATGATTATCAAAATTATTTGGCCAATATTCTGTTCAAAGCATTATAATCGAGTGTATCGCGAGAGTGTCATATAAGGAAATTTTTTTTTCTTTTTTTTGTTTTAATAAATCAAGATGTTATGGTTTTTATATGTGAAAATTGAAGAAATATTTCAAAAACGTGCGGCTCGCGCCAAATTCTCAAATGTGTCACACGCGCACGCAAAATTGCACACATTTGATTTTTATTTAATGAACCCTCTTTGTTCGAATTTTCTTTAAAAAAAATTAATTTAAAAATCTGTGACGTAAAATTTTTGTTGAAAATCGAAAATTATGAAAAATTTAAAAAATGACGCGAAATTAAAAAAATATGATGGCGAAATGTTCTATTAGACATTTTTTTTAATCAAAAAATATAATAAAATAAAAAATATATTAATTTTAACCCAAATTTTCGACAAATTTGGTTATTGTTCTATCATTTTTGAAGAAAGATCAATTCTGAACGAAGGCACGAATTTTTGAAAGCGTTTCTTCAAGTCCTTCGAGCAAGCAATAGAAAATCTTGATTGCCAAGCAGACCCCGAGTAAATTTGTTTAAATAAATGGTACTTCCAGCACAAAGATGATATGGAGCAGAAGCCTGGACCCTAACAAAGAAAAACGAGTTAGCAGAACAACGCGAACAAGGATCCCACCGCGAGGACATCCGAAGAATCGCCAACGAGTCAAGGCTCCTATATGTCAACAGAATATTGCTGGGTTCAGCCGATTGACAATGGAATCGGAGCCACGTGATAGCGAATAACCAGCCGCCAATGAAATGGATTCGACGAATTGGATCATGGAGACTTGTGATCTGCGCGCTAGGCTGAAGAATGGATAACCTAACAAATTATTTTTCAAAATTAAAAAATTTTTCAATTTTTGAACACTTTTTTTAAACTATTTTTTTCGTATACATGACCTTTCAATATGATGAAAATGGCAAATTTGAATAGAAAAACGCAAAATTGCACTGTCATAATTACTGTATCACCAATTAAAAAAATACGCAAAAAAGTTTGCAGGTAGCGGGACCGAATCCGCACCTCCCTTCAAAATTCACGTGGGGAGGGGCTAAAACTTTGATGGTCCATATCTCCATAACTTTCACTCGATTGGAAATTTTCTAAAGAAGCTGTATGCAAAAATTAAAACAATTTTAAGACGGACAGCAAAATGACCTCCCTTGTAAGTAATGTAAGAAATTTTTTTGAAAAATTTTGAGGCGATTCCGGTGGCCCTTTTACTTCGAATCTTTTTTTTTCAGGCTCGCGAATCATTAAAAATTACATGTGACTTCACTATTTTCACCTGCATCTACCCCAATTGTTTTATTCATTCAACGGAATTCTCAAATGTGCTTCGACGGCTATACGAGTGATATCGATGAAGAGATGAATAGCAGCATGATCTATACCACCTTTTTTGGAATATGCGTTCACCCACCGATCAACCAAACAATTATGCTTCAGGATGGTGAATCCACCGTCAAAATGAATGAAGCGTTTGCGATTCCAATTATTATTTCGAACATCTTCTACTTCTTATTCATAATTATTCGGGCAAGAACTAAAGAATCTCACAAAAATGTGCCATTCCTTCCCAATTCTTTCATGAATTTTTGCGTTCTTTCAGCACCAACTACATTTATACGCGGATTCGCAATTCTACGCTGTCATTTGCTCAATAGCAATTGTCAACAATCTGGATGCGATGCTTCTATTGTAATTATTTTTAATTAAAAAAATCGAATCCAATTTGTAGGCTGCGCGATGTGCAGGCGGCAAGAATTGCTCGAATGGTTCTAACGGCTCCATTCATCAATGTTCTCTACTTCGAGTTCATCCCCTACGTCGTTGTGCTTCTCACGTTCTTCATGACGGTTCTCAAATTTTTGTGCTTATGTTTGAGGCGTCAAACATACTTTAAGATTCGGTACTGCAAAAATTAATGAAACAAAAATAGAGAAAACAATTTTTCAGACATTTCACGCGATTCCTCTTCATTGCTATTTGGTCAATTGCAGCTCATTTCTTCTATATTCAAAATGGTAAAAGAGATGCTTAAATGATCCCTCGTAGGAGCCTTGTTTGAATTTCGCACGAGCGAACATTCGTTTGGGTGTGCGAATCCCGGAAAGTGTCCGCAGATGTTTCAAATGAGAGCCTCTCACAACTCACGTGTGGCCTAGAAAAATTGGGAGGAGTGCGGCACACCAAATTTTGAGAAAAACTGCACACTGGCACAGGCTAATTTGATATTTGGCTTTGAAATCATAAATACTGCAATATATACATGCATTCATTGCTTTCTACTTAATTAAATTCTATCAAGTGTGGCCGTGGCCGAACCAAAGACATTTTTCCTAGGCCACATTTTTCTGGCTTATAACGCAAAAAAAAACAGCAAAACGAAGAGATATTCTTTTCAGTGTCGTGCTCCTACATGAAATCGCTGCTCATTTACGAATGCTCGAGTTATTCCACAAAAATTGTCTCCTATGTGATCCAATTCGTTTCCGTCTTAAATCAATTCGAGATTTTCAGATTTACAACATCTCATTTTTCCTAATGTCGATTATCACAATTTCCATTTTTTATTATATTTATAGAACCCTTCGGAAACATACAAACAACTTCGAGGATGCTCACTTCTTTGCTCAGTACTTTCCCTCGGCTGCTCATCAATTAGTAACCCACCGGTCCAATCCGGAAGAGGAGGATTTATAATTGCAGCTTTATACGACCATCATGCTGATATCAATGATTGAGAACGTTTATCACGACATTTATCCCGAAGCAATTTTCGTGATGGGACAACACAAATGGTTCGTCACTATTAGCCTTTACTACCTACTTCCGGTTACCGTCTCATTATCATACATCGTCTCAAAGGACAATTTGAGATTCATGATTATTCAAATTGTGTGCCCGTTATTTTGTTGGAAACTCTACCAGAATACTTATCGAAATGGAGAATGAGAGTTTTGATTTTTAAAAATGTGAATTCACCTTCCTATGCATAATGCTGGGTGCAATAGTATGAGAGCCCTGTACTCTGGTAACTCAAAAAGCGATTCGGAGCAGAGCTGCGCGGAACTGAAATTTTCTAAAAACGGAAGACGGAATAAAAAATTGTTGAGTCCGAGCAAATTTTTTTTAAACGGATTACGGAACGGGGAAATGTCACGGAAGACGGAATTCCGTGCAGTCTCTGATTCGGAGCCGACAAAAGGATCAACCCGATCCGACTAGCCATGCTACAAATAACATTGGAAAATTGTCGGATCTGATTTGAATTGAAAATTAAAAAATAATGGATGCGTAAAATTTTGAGTCGTGTTGATTCCGGATTCCAATCTTGTCGAATTCTATTGGTTTTGAGTTTCCAGATAAATTTTTTTATTTTTCATTACAAATTTTAACATATTATTTCCAAGAAAAAATCGTTATTTTTTTATTCTTTCAAATATTTTTTTTAACATAGAAAATCCAAAAGATCCCAAATTTGGGCCATTTCTGTTTTTTTTTTCTCAAATTGTGATCTTCTAAAGTAAATGATCATTTTTCTACCCGAATTGCGAATCGCAAAAAATTAAGAAAAATTTTCACAAATGAATGTGGGAGATAGGAATTTGAGAATTATTGAGTTTTTTTTTTGAAAAAAAAAATGAGAAATACAAAAAAAGTAGCGGTGTCTCTAATTTCCGCTTTTTTTTCCTAGCAAGCAGCAGCTAAACCAAAAAAAATGGGCGGAGTTCAATCAAACGCGCCTCGGACCAGTTTCATGATTTCTGAAAATGGTGATGCTGAAAATCATCTCTCAGATTTCTGTTTTTTTTCTGAGTATAAAATTTCTAGTTGACGTTTTGATAGAACCGAGCAGGTAGATCAATTCGACCCTCCTAGGGTTGTTTTTTTTTTCAAGTTTCCAAAAAATAATTTATTTTTGAGAATTAAAATAATTAAATTTGTTCAAATGTATCCGTATTTGAGATGACACTATATGAAGAGCTCGTTGAGTCCAACCTTTTTCGACATTTTCTACCAATCACAAAATGCTCTTCGAGATTATAATACCTACAAAAAATGGGAGGTCACAATGATAGGAATCAAAATAAAATTACCTGTATCTGGGAAGAAGATTTTCATCATTTTCAGAATCCTCTTCAAACTCGCATGAGTCTTCAATGAGCTCTTGAAGGAACCCCTTCTTCCGAATGAAAATGTCAGCCAACTTTTTCAAGTCAAGCCGTTTCTGGCAACTCATTGATGGGTCTAAAAATGATGAAAAAAAATGATATGATGAATTCAAAAAAAATCATTACATTTCTCTGATCGTGGTGTTCGAAAATCATGGCGAAATAATGTTTTATAATTATTTGGTGGAACAATTCGATTATAGACGATCAATAATTGTCCGCCATTCTCATCATTTTCGACGCCTTTCCGCTTTTTCGGCGTCGATTCCTCGCGATTCTGTTTTAAGAAATGTGCGAGTTGTTGGCCGATTCCAGCCGTCGAGCGAATTTCGACACAATCGTCGCGATTATAATAAATGCGCTTAATTGGAATACGGGTGAATCTGTGGTATTGAAAACAATCTTGAAGAATTGAATTTTTGGAAAAATGAATGAGTTAAGCTTACTCCAAAAATAAAACGTAAGAGCCACACGATCGGCAACGATCACCTTATTCCCTTCGTTCAATTTTTCGAGATTTTCCAAAAATTTTGAGCTTATCTGAAATCAATGCGATATTCTTTAAATAAATGGAATAATTCGAATGCACATTTTCGAATAATTCCCATCGTTTTGATTTATTTGACGAGTATTTGAGGGATACATGAATGTCGTTGTTCAGAAATCGATCTTCCATTTCATCATGGAACTCCTGAAAAAAAAATAATAACCAAATTTGGGTGAAATATTGAAATAATTGAAAATTAATTATGTTCTCTATTTTTATTTTTGATTTTATCGATTTTTTTAATTAAAAAAGTATTATTTTTTTCCATCAATTTTCGTTTTTTAAAGAAATGGAAAATTTAGTCTTAACATTTTTTTTGAATTTCGCGCCAATTTTTAACTTTTTCATAATTTTTCGATTTTCAACAAAAATTTTACATCTCAGATTTTTAAATTAAGTTTTTTAAAGAAAATTCGAACAAAGGAGGGTTCATTAAATACAAATCAAATGTGTGCAATTTTGCGTGAGCGTGTATGACACATTTGAGAAATTGGCGCGGGCCGCACGTTTTTGAAATATTTCTTCAATTCTCACATATAAAAACCATTAAATCTTGATTTATTAAAAACAAGAAGAAGAAAAAGAATTTCTGTATATGGTTTTTTATCAGATCCAATTTTCAATGAAGAAGTTCAAAGGGACTTCATTTAATACCAGAAACAACTCATATCAAGCATGGCCTTAATTTCTTAAAATCAAAATTGAATCAAACCTGGGACCAATGAAGTTTTCCATTGAATTCGTGATAGGTCTTGTAAAAAACATCAAAAGTTTTGAAGAAAGAAAGATATAAATCAACGGGAGTCGAACGAATGTGGTCCTTTTCGATTGTCGGCCGAATATTTTTGAAGCTGAAATTTGAATAGAAAAATGATCAAGTTTGGATATGAAATTGACTTACTCGTAATAGATTTGTTCGTCGATTCCAAGATTTTCCATGGAAATGGCCAGAAATGAAAATTTTGTGGTCGTTTATGTATCTCGCCGAATGGCGAAATATTTCGCAACCATTTGAGTTGTTTGTTTATGACGCGAAAATGAAAAAAAAACGAAAGCAACTGATAGGAGAAGTGAGTAATCGGAATGAATCGAATTGGTAGAAATGGGTCGAAAAAAATACATATTGTGGAAAAATGACGAATGTGAAAAACTGCAGCGATATCCTATGCATTGTGTGCATACACCGAGTCGCACATCTCCATCTTAGCTACAGTAATCCCAACTGAAAATTATTTAATCAATTGTTTTTTTTTAATCTTTTCTGCGTTTTCTTGGCGAATTTATGGTTTTATGTGTGGTGTTGTGTTGAAAAAATGTAATAATTATTATTATTGTATATTATTCAAAGTAAATTGTTTTATATAAAAAGAAACGATCAATAATTAATTAAATCATTTTTAGTTAAGATTACTGTAGCTAAGATCGAGATGTGCGACTCGGTGTACGCACACAATGCATAGGATATCGCTGCAGTTTTTCACATTCGTCATTTTTCCACAATATATCCGAATTTTCTTATATTCTGAAATAAAATATTCATTTTCTTCACAAATTTTGAAAAAAATAACGCTTATTTGCATATTTTTGACATCAAATGTTCAAAATGTTGAGAATAAATTTAAAAAATAATCTGAAATGAAAAGAAACCGTGGCCGACTTTTTTTCACGGCCTTGTGCGGCCGGCGGGAATTTGAATTTTTGTCGATGTCGCGCGAGTGCGGAAGATTGGCTAAATTCCAAACAATCAAAAAACGATGATAATGGTCTTGGCGCAAAAACACTATAAGTGTAGATTTACGGGATGTTGTAGAAGGATAGGTTAAAGGAGCACACTGGTCTGGTCACCCACGAGACCTCACTTCAATTTTTTTGGCATTTTGCCAATTTTACGCACTCGACAGTATGTATCAAAAAGTAAGATTAAAATACTTCCTTTCAATTCTCAATTTTTTTCAATTTTATTACATGATTGTTAAAAAAATTCAAATTCATATATGTATGTACATAGTTGACGACAGAGGTACGATTCTTTTATTGTTTGAATTGCCGCCGTGGGTCTCGTATGGAAAAAATTCTGAAGCTAGTTTTACACTTTCGAAATATCATAATATGAAAGAGCATAATTTTATGAATTTTAAGTTTTTTGGTATTGCTGAATGGCGGAGTATGAGCCGATTTTGTTTTGCGGGACCAATTAAATGGCAGCCGGCGAAACTCAAATTTCTCAAATTGGTCCGTCCACGACGATAGAGTCTCTTGAAATACGACATTATCATTTAGTCAATTTTCCACATTCGTCGCCAATATTTAAAAAAGATGGAAAAATAACTGAAAAATGAAAATATGCCTGAATCCTTTAAGAAGCCCCCTCTTGCCGAAAGAGTCCGAATTAGTCACGCTGCGCTTGAGCGAAGATTGGTTGGCCTCACGTTATCACAACAACGTGAACAAGATCTTCATCGAGAGGACATCCGCATCATGTCTAAAGTTCGGGACCCCCTACACCACATCACGCAGAGGAAGATGACCTGGGCTGGACACGTTGCTAGAAGAACAGATGGAAGATGGACTACTCTTCTAACGGAGTGGCGGCCGTGGAATTGGACCCGGCCAAGAGGAAGGCCTCCCATGAGATGGTCGGACTCGCTTCGGAAGGAGATCACTACAAGAACAGCTGAAGGAGCCGTTATCACCCCGTGGTACACCCAAGCCAAGGACCGAAAAGCTTGGAAAGCCTCAACAGGCGAAGGACGAACCGACTAAGTGACTAAGTAAGTAAGTAAGTGACCTCAAAAAATAAAGCATTTTTGCGCTCTACCATTTATTTCAATTTCTCCGATTAAGACAAATTAAATGGTGTTCAAAATCAGAGAAGCAAAATTCTGAATTTTTTTCGCCCAGGTATTCATGAGGGACGAATTCCAAACAAGGTCATATTCAAGATTTTTGGTTGTTTCGCGAGTAAACAAACTACTGTAATTCACTTTCCATATAAGGAAAGTGCATTGTTATTTCCACCAAATTCCATTTTTGCGTAAATAATAAAAAGCTTCGCATCACTTTTTTATGGAAGCATTCCACCACAAATTCTTTCCAATTGATGGCTTTTTGATCTACCTGTTGTGTAAAATCGGAACGCATTTTTTTTACTGCAGTTTTTGCCCTTAAAAGGTCAGAAGCTAAAAGGCGAGATGAAAGTGAAAATAAGGAAGTTTTTGAAAGAATGTAATACTTTGAAAATGAATTCGTATTTTTTTTTTTTTGAAATTCGATGCTGGATTTATAAATAAAAATATTCCAAGAATCCAGAAATTCAAAAAATATATTGATTTTTTCGAATTTCATAATTTTGCTTGAATTTATGTCATTCTCAATATTACAGAGGACCCAAATTTTTCCAAAAAATTGCAGGAAAATTGTCATCATAACGGACCAATGGTCCTAAAAAAATCAAGAGTGTGACTCTTAGTTTCCGATAGCTCATAACCTTCTAAATCTCACAATATTCTGAAACACCAAGATTTTATTTAAAAAAAAACAATATTATAGAGTGTAAATTCCAATTTTCAGACATTTCTGAAGAGTTTTTAATATATGGCATTTCTTCAAAGAATTTTCATCTGTTATGGCGTCAACTCATGAATCCATGGGGCTCCAATTGAATTGAGCCTTCCAATTAAATACGACTATATTTCTCCAATCAAAACAAGATTATTTTCAAACGAAGAATTCTTAATTGCCAGATGAGCACATAATTATGTGGTTTAGCCAAACTCAGCCGGTAATTTTGCAGCAAAAAAAATTTTCGTCGCGTTCCGTTTTTGTTCCATTCAAGGTCTTTTCCATTCAATAGAAAACGCCCATTCACAATTTTTTACTCGTTTCTTGAGCATACATAAGTATGCGACCAATTGTCCATGTTGTCATGGAATCCTATTCCAATTTTCCGCTTCACATTTCTCCGTTTTTCTCGACAAAATAGACTCTGCGTTTTTTTTTTATCCTTAAAATAGAAAAATAACTTTTGAGCCATTTTTCTAAATTATCTTTCCAAAAAAAATTATGCAAAGAGGTCTTGGCACAAATCTAAAGGTGTAGATTTACGAGCCAGCTCATAGAATAGAGGCAAACTTCGCGGCAAGACCTCCCCATTCTAAATTTCAGCAGTCGCGCCACACTAAAAATATATTCTATTATTTATTGCAGCACCTCTCGCTTCTCGTCACTCCATTTCCCAAATAAGGTGAGTGAATATATATTTAAAAAAATTTTTTTTGGCCTTCGGTTCAAGGTGAAATCAAGGGTCGCCGATCGGTTTAAAAAACGTGCAGTTCGATGAATAATGAGTGACAACGTTAGGGGGGGGGGTCACTTTAAACTATTATCACTCAGTCAAGAATATTTAGTTCAATCAATTTGATGGCAGAGAGATGAAATCTCTTTTTGCCTTTATATGGTCGGTGTCTGCCGACTGCTGTAGATTTACTGGGTTCGGTTTTCGAAATGGTCCCGCCACACGTGAACCGCTTAATATTTTCTAATCAGAATAGAAATTAAAAATTAACAGGATGACCTCTAAAATTCAAAATATATAGCGAAGGCGCACGTAAATCTACAACAGACTATACGTTGACTATATATATATATTTTTTTTTATACGTAATTTCTCGATATATTTAACCCAACAACTATATATCTATTTTTAAATTCGCTATTTTTTGTTCATATTTTTCGTCTGCCTTCATTGTTACGAAAATAGGCAATTTGAGCTTTATGTCAGCTGCGTGAGCTTTTCAAGATCTCAAAAATCACGAGCCAGACATTTTGACGAAATATTCCATCTCGTTTTCCCATAGAATGTTCATTTTCTTCATTCGGTCAACTATTCCAGAGACAAAAAAAAAAACATGCAACGGATTCAAATTAATTCAATCGGAGCGCACTAGGAGAATATCATTCAATCTTTCTCCAATGGGTCCTGTTAGGAAAGCAATTGAAATTTTGAAAAATGAATTATGAGAAATCGAATGTTTAGATTTATAATAGTGAAATGAAGGAGCATCTTAAAGAAATTTTGTCAAATTTTCCACAAATAAAAAAAGACATGTCACTGATTACTAAATTGAGCCAAAAAAAAAAACAAGAAATGCCATTTTTCAGGAGAAATTGAAAAAAATAAAAAGTTGTGCATTTTTGCGTATGCACAGTTACGGACCGAAAGTGAACCGCGATTTTTCGAATTTTTTTCTAAGAAATCACAGTGTCCTAAAAGTGTGCATATGAACCATATAAGGGCATTTCGCAATTAATAAATCATATTCAATTGTTCTATTTGTTTAAAGGCGCATATCTCAACAACTGTTTGATAGCATTGCATTCGCATGATTCCGACAATTCAACTCACCGTCATTTTTCCTAATTAAAAAAAACCTCTCCGACCAAATTTTGTGGTATTCAAATGTTGAAGAAAATGTTGAACACCCCGTCGAAACCCCACAATCCCACACAAGTCGGTGGTCGAATTTAATAGAAAAATGTCATGTATTTGGCGAATCGACACAATTTCTCGAAACGTCTCCTTCGATTCTATTTTTTTTTCGGAATTCAGTATGAAACGCCCCCACTAGCGTGAAACCGGTATTTTGACGTAATCATCAACATCACCAAAGACGCGTTGAAAAGTGATTAATTGGACCTCAAATGGATGAGATCAAAATAAGCGGATCAGTGAACAACGACTAAATCGGATTGCACTTTGAAACGCGTTCGATTCATTATTTATTCAATTGTCAGTGGCGCCAAATCAAACCAGAAACAGTTAGCCCCCCCCCTATCCAAATCAGTAGGCAGTCTCCTTGTTTTGAATTCCAACCATTCTAGACGCTTCCAACATCATCGACCTAACCCCGACGTTCGTCCGACCGACAAGAACTACATTAAATACAAAATAGTGCGCAAAAATGTCAACAAATTCCTATTGTTTTTGCCAATATCACCAAATTTTTTAAATTTTTTGTAGAAAAAGTTTTTTTTGAAAAGACCACTAAAAATTGCCGGCGTCAAATTTGAATCGTCGGAACATTTCGATGTGTGGTTTTCTTGTGTAAAGTCTCATCTTTACACATCATCAATACGATTCTTGATCGAATTGTCAATGTCTATCATGAATGAGCTGCTTCTGTGTACTCCACACGGACAATATCGTAAAGGACATCAGCGCGGAATAGTTGGACCAATGGAACAAAAATTGAAATTGGCGAAAAAGTTGGAATGAGAAAAATTTAGGTTTCTCGCCAATAATTGAATCATTTCAAGGTTAAATCAAATATTTTTAAACTATTTGAACTCACTCAAGTCTTGGGAGAAATATTCATAAATGGCATTCTCAAAATTTTAGTTATCGAGTCGCGACACGATACCTCACACCTCACGTATCGAGTCGCGACACGATACCTCACACCTCACGTATCGAGTCGCGACACGATACCTCACACCTCACGTATCGAGTCGCGACACGATACCTCACACCTCACATATCGAGTCGCGACACGATACCTCACACCTCACGTATCGAGTCGCGACACGATACCTCACACCTCACGTATCGAGTCGCGACACGATACCTCACACCTCACGTATCGAGTCGCGACACGATACCTCACACTTCACACTTCTAGATCATAATGAAAAATTTATGAGGAAATCAGAAATTTGCAAAAATGAATGATTTCGAGAAAAAAACACCAATCGAAAACGTCTTCACCCATAAATCTCGATCGAGACACTTGTCGCGACCACAATAAATACATAAATAAATATGCCTATCGTACCGCAGTTTTAAACGGGTTTCGAGACGATTCTTTCGTCTTCGTGTTTTCTTGTTCTTCATCGGTTCTTTTTTTTTGTTGATTCTGCTGCCTGCCGCAGCTTCTGCCGTTTCGCCACACACTCCTCCCACTCCCCATCATCTCCCCCCCGGGGGCGCTTGCCGTGGCGCAATCATCATCCATTTCCTTTTGTCTCAAATTATCTCCTCGCTCTCCTCGAAAACGTGTCTACGACGATGGCGGAGGCTTCCGAACACTACATATTCATGTTTGTGTTCGCAAAATCGATATCCACCTCTTGAATCATTCTTGTTGATCCTATTATCATATCACCTACAGATTTATTTGATCTGCCCAATTTAAAGACTTCAGAACTCTACAGAGAGGTCAATTAGTTTAAGAGATTCCTCCCTGTTTTTGGGGGTGATTAGGAAATCCAAGAAATGTTATCAAAAATCAGACAACCGTGGAAACCAATTTTTGGTGTTCTAGCAAATAATACTCCTCGCACTGTCGCTCTTACTAATTTTTTTTGTTGCAAGAGACCTGGAGCTCTTTAAGAGAACCAGTTTCTCATTACATCAATTGTCCTTCAAAAATTTCATTTTTTGTTGGCGATCAAACCAAAAAAAATTAGCATAATTTTCGAATTCTCCTTAATTCGGCGAGAAAGATAAGGAAGTTTTCGTCGATTTCACTTTCCAGCCGCTATTGCGCAAGCTCGTTTTTTTCGACGCCATCATCTGTTGGATGAGAGATAAAAGAATTGATAGTCGTTTTTGAGAAAATCTCATTCAAAGAACATAATGGAATGCGTGGAAACATCTATCATCAATACGTATTATCAAAAAAATTTTTTTGGATGAATGGCCTTGTCGCGAAAATGAGCCATGTTTTCTCGTAAATATCCCCCCAAAATATTTTCTGAATCTTTATTACATAATGATCCCTATTTGGTTGAATATATTTCTGGCTTCCTTCAGACCACCTGGTTTATTAATTCCTTTCGAACTCGGCTAATTCAAAACCAATCGAATCCGACAAAATTGGGCTCCGGAATCAATCTTATTCGATTGGAAATTCTACTCATAAAATTGTAAAATTTTTTTGGTTTACTGGATCCGATTGGTTATTATTCGAATCAGTTTTGTTTTAATTTTTCAATTATTTAGAATTGGATTCCAAAATACTAAAAAAAATCCAATCGGGTCCGAAAATTGACAATCTTATTCGTAGAATTTCCAATCGGACCGGACTGATCCCGGATCCCAATTTTTTCGGATCCGATTGGTTTCGAGCTACCAGAGAGGAAACACCTACTGATATGTACATCAGTATTGCAAACAATATTAATCAAAGATCCAAACATGGGCATAATTGTAGTTGTTGTTGTTTTTGTTCATGTGACCCGTCCATCTTTTTCGCACTCGATTGAAAATTTCATTTTGACGTAGGCCCATAGGTATGATAATAACAAATTTGACCAATTGTGTATTTTTCGAAAAAGAAAAAAACAGAAAATAAGGTACGGTTGTGATTTGTAGGCGATTTTGTCTGCCCGACCAATTCCGCCTGATTTTTTTCTGCTGCGTTCAAGTGGGGGGTCGCAATAGTTCAACGACAACGTCCGACGAATGGGTTTTTTTGCAAATTCAAAAAAAAAAAAACTTTGAGGTCGGAAATTTGATGGTTGAAACATTTTGAAGGTCTTGTACGGAAAAAAATCTCGAAATACGGGAATTGTCAATATTTCAATATTTTCAAGTTCAGAGTCTATCTGACGTCTTGCTACGGACAAAATCCTGGTTTAAGAGCGATTATTTTTTCGAACAAAATTTCATTTTAGAATTTAATGTAAATTTATTCAGGACGACTTTGGAAATCTGGGTCTTGCCGCGAACCCCCCCTCCCCAAAAATTAAAATAATCGTGCTAAATAAAAAATAGATCAACCTCAACGTTTTTGGCATTTTTCCAATTGATTGCAATCGCGCATCGTCAATAATAGATGATCAATAATTAAAAATAGCTATCGATTGGGTCTGCGGACAATTTTCCGGGTTCGAAATTGTATCATCGAATCGGCACTCGATGTCGCCGAAACTTGTCAATAATTCAATTTCGACCTCAAATAATGTTTGGTAACCAATAAACAGACTTTTTTCTTTCTTGTGACTGATTGCGTCACCGAAATTGAAATTGATTGTCTGATTCGCGAATATGTGGCAGTTTTCAAGACCCTCTCGATTTTCCATGTCGGCAATTTCGGATCTCGCTCGTTTCCTGGTTTTTAATTTTTGCAAGTAACACTCCACCAGAAACTACAACCTACTACTATTCACGCCGATGATAAATGATACATGATCGAATGACATGTGCCAATTTCTCAATTCAACATCGATCTCTTTCATCGTAGATCAAACATCGTCAAAGTTAGATGATTTTCGAAAATCATACAGTCGGAAAATTGAAAGCGCAGAGAACACTGTGTAGGTCTTCCCAGTGGGAAGAAGAGACGATGAGGGGGCTGGAAGAACAGGTCACCGACTTCCGAATGTGCCATGTTCTGTTCCGAACGGCAACTTGTAGGCAACTTGTAGTCATTATGATGATATTAAAGAGTAGCCGAGACTATAATGTACCTTCCAAGGTGTCAATCTGACGAGGTGACGCAACGCGGGCCCATCTATTATGGTACCCCTACTACCAGCGAATCTTCCCGAACAATTTTTGTTTTAGGACGACCCGGTTGTTTTGATATGCCTCTCAATATTGTTACAACACTCCATAATTGGTAGCCAGCCTCAATTAAAAAAAATTAAATTAGATATCACAATTGCTAAAAAATTGTTGTTTGCGTTTGCTGAAGAAAAACCCCTTGATTTTTTTTCTCATCTCCAAAATCTGAATTCTACAATATTTTTTTCTTGATGATAGATCTTCTATATTTTATTTTGCATTCCTCCAAATCTGAGTGCGTTGCACTATGACATTATTTTAATTCAACAATAATACAAAGTGCGCAATTTTGTTGTTCTTCCCCTCTCATCATTGACTCGCATCATACGATTATTTGTATCCCGAAAATTTCAGAAGAAAACATTAATTGACGAAGAAGGCGTGCCCCGCCCTCGATTCCTTGTCACCTTACGGTTTCTCTGGTGACACTCTTCGTCGAGCGCGTTGCCTCTTGAACGCCCGCCCTTTTCCCATTAATGATTCGGTATATAACCGAGCGATCGGCGAGTCCGTCGAAAACCGAACAGTGTCCATCGACAGCACACCGTACGGGTGGTTGGTGTCGGTTTCGTGTCCGACGACGACCGCTGCCAACATCAGATTTTGACAAAAAGTCGGCGTTCAGCTATCCGAAAAAAATGCCGAAGCTTTTGCGTTTGAATCGGCGGCGCTCAGGTAAGACGAACCCTCTAACCTCCACCCATTGATCACCTTGTCGGAGCCGACCAGAACTCTCAAATTTCAGCGCGTGTGCGCACGTCGAGCAACATGGGCGTATGCGTTTCCCAATTCAAAGCGCCCAACAATGAGAAGACGATTGTACGCGTCGAGCAGGGTCTGCTCGAAGGCGAGATGCTCAAGACGCCGAGCGGCGTCCGATGCGACGTCTTCCTCGGCGTTCCCTATGCGAAGCCGCCGATCGGCGAGCTGAGGTTCAAGGTAGGCAAAAACCAGTTTTATCGAAAATAAAAATTTAAGACGAATTTAGTGGGAGGCGGAGAGAGAGAGAGTCTAGAAATTTCGATCGAGAAAATAAACATACTATTCAAATTGTGAGTAATCGTTTCAAAAAAAAATTTCGATTCTGCAATTTTTGGTCAGCGAGAAAATTTCTGAAAATTCTCGACACTGACAGCGTCCTTGAAGTCAGACTTCAAATAAATTTGCAATCATCCCCCATAGTGGGTATTGTCGAAATTTGGCGAGCGTCTCGATAACGTCACACCGGCAATTTCAATTTGATGGCGATCATCGAATCTGCAATTTTTCAGAAGCCGGTGCCGCCCGAATCATGGCAAGGTGTTCGCAAATGCAACAAGTATCCGAACCGCTCGATTCACAAGGAGATGCCGTGGGATAAGGCGTTGCCGAGTGCGCCGATGAGCGAGGATTGCCTGTACTTGAACGTCTTTGCGCCGAGAGTTCGAGAGGACAAGGTACCCAATAATCCATGGGATGGCAAATTTTGATTTCTCGCATTTCGTTTTTCCAGAAATACCCAGTATTGTTCTATGTTCATGGAGGCGGTTGGATGATGGATTCCGCCGAGCGATACACGGCGAAGAACATTTGCCGATTGTTGGTGTCTCGCGAGATCATCGTCGTCACCATGCATTATCGTCTCGGCTTCTTGGGCTTCTTGTGCACCGGTGACGAGGCGTCGCCGGGCAACTACGGAATGTTCGACGTGCTCGAGGCGCTCAAATGGACGCACGCCAACATTTCGTCGTTCGGCGGCGATCCGGCGAACATCACAATTTCGGGACAGAGCGCTGGCTCGGCGTCGGCCGATCTGCTCTCGATCTCGCCGCTCGCACGCGGTTTGTTCAAAAATAAAATTGTGATGGGTGGCAACTCGTTCTGCCATTGGGCCGTCACCAAGAAGGCCGACATTCGCGAGTACTGCAAAAAGAATGCGCGACGACTCGGCTGGAAGCCGCAATCGAGCTATCCGTCGAAGATCGATGAGAGCCACGATCTTGTCAACTTCTTCAAACAGCTTCCCGCCTCGAAGCTTGGCAGCACAATGTTCTTCTGCAAGACGTTCTTCGGCGAATGCCAACTTCCATTGGCACCGGTGATCGATGGCGATCTGCTGCCGAAGAATCTCAAAGCCCTTCGAGCCGAGGCGCCGTCGGTGCCGACAATCGTCGGCGGCGGCGAATATGAGTCATTGCTTTTCTGTAAGTCTAGTTTGAATTTTCGTGGCGAGACCTTGAAATTGCAATTATTGAAGGCGCGATTGGCCTGTTGCGCGGCACCGAGAAGGAGATCGACAACGCCATTTCGGTGTTGTGCAAGAAAAGCGGATTGTCGCGCGCCAAAGTCGAGGAGATCACCCACAAATTGTACGGCGACTCGGCGGCGGTTCGCGCAAGTTCCAAACTCCGAAAGCGATTCTATGTCGAGGTAGAAGACGCTTGGAATCTCGCCAACCCCGAAATTTGTATCATCGTTTTTAGATGCTCTCCGACATTTTTGCCAATTATGGAAACTATCGCTATATGAAAGAATCGCGCGAGAAGGCCGCCGATTGCTATGCGTACTCGTTCGATCATCAAAGCAAACAATTGTGGGGATGGCTGCAGCACGTGGTGCCGTTCACCGGCGGCACTCACACGTCCGACGTCAGCTATCTGTTCGATTGCAATTATATGGCGGCGCCGTTGGGAATGAACAAAAAAGACAAGGCGATCAGCGAGATGACGGCCGATTATTTCACGAATTTTGTCAAGTTTGGCACACCAAACGCGCTCGACGCGAATGATTCCCATCAATTGGCGACGTGGGAGCCGATCGCGAAGAATGGCGACAAATTGGAGCAGTTTTGCATCAAAATCGAGCCCGAAATGAAGGCGAAGGTGAGAGAGAGGAATGAAATCGAAAATTCGAATTTCTCGTTTTCCAGCAATACATTGATCGAATGGAGCGTCTTGAAGAATGCCTCTCGGCAATCTATGAGGCTGAAAATGAGGACGAGAAATGCCCGTCGATCCTTCAATTGCAAATCACTGACATCAAGAGCAATTCATAAAAAAACAGCTCTACCTAATTACTTAATTAATTAATTATCATTTCAATGTTTTCCTATCCAACTTCATACTAATAATGTTCCCTCACATTTTCAAATAATTCTCGCATTCGGTCCATTCCAACTCTTTATGACTTGTTCATTCAAATGATCTCACAACTCTATTTCGACATACATAGTCTGTATATTTTATTCTGTAATAATCTGTAATAATAATTTTAATAAATCAATATTTAATAATTTGGAAGGAGAGTAAAATAAAAAAAAATTTCTGGAATTTTTATGAGGTATTTTTAAGCGGCGACTAAAAGAAGATCATTAGGCAAATATGATAAAGAAATTGCTTTGGAAGAATAATTTTTTACGACCCCCCTTTGCTTGAACAAATCAAGCAAATAGGGCTTTTAATGGGCGGTTGGGATTCCGGAAAATGTACATAGAGTTCACAGAAACCACCCATAATCTTGCCGCTGAATCCTTTTTTTTCTCGCAATTAAGTTGAGATAACACGAGCATCGAGAATAATAAATACTAATAATCATTGAAAGGCTTCCTCACATTTTCCCCATTGCTCCTCGTTGATTCATAGTTCGTTCATAGTCTTCAAGGCGATGCTTCTCCTACTGTACTTCCTTATATGGGTAATTTTTGTTTGATTTTTTTCAGTAGTTGGTGGGCTTGATTTACGAGCGCTGTAGCCTTATTTCGATCATTTTAATATTTTTTTTGCATTCACATTCTTTGGAAAATTTCCAATTGATTGAAGTAGGCTGTAAACTTCTAGTTCTCGGAGATTATGGTCCGTCAAAGTAAGCCCATACCTCACATAAAATTTGTAGAAATTAGAAATGAAATGGAATTATTTCGTGTATTTTTTTCCAAAGAATCTGTATGCAAAAAAATGAAACAGCAAAAATACCTCCATTAATAAAAATAATTTTTTTCAAAGTGAAGAAGAAAAAATAATTCGCACGTGGCGAGACCATGATAGAAAGGCGCTCTCGTAAATCTACACCCGCCGGATGCCGACTAACATAGACATGTATACACATTAATGTCTTCCAATTTTCCAGATATCATTATGAAAATTGGTACACAAATGTATTATTCAGGCCCAAATTCAATTTTGAAAACAGAATTGAAAAATTTTCACAATTGACAAAGTTGCACTTAAAACCAGGGGGGTAGCTTTATAATATAAATGTGAAACGCACTGGATATATTTTTAAAAAATCAAAATTTCCAGTGTTGCGAAGCGCAAAAAGTGATCAAAGTCGGATTATTATTCACAAAAGACGTTCAAAATATGCTCATTGCTGCCGGCTATCGAACATCGGCCGGTGCTGTTCTGATTGCGAGAGATCGAATTCGAGACGAGAACATTCTGCCTGGCTACGACTTTGAGTCAGAAATTCGAATAGAGGGGGGCAATGCAGAAAAAAATTGGCAAAATTTCAATGTAGAAAGAATGAAAAAACATTTTTTTTCTGCATTAGCCCCGATTCAAAATACTTTCAGAGGCATAATTTTAGATTCGTTTACCGATTTGACGAATGCGTTGAGCATTTGGCGATGGGAAAAGCGATTGAGCTGATTGAGGATGAAAAAGTCGACATGATCATTGGACCGACATGCAATAAGGGTACATAAATTCGTAGAAAAAAAAACGTATTTTTGATATTTTCAAAAATATTTTAAAAATGACAAGAATAATTTTTAATTATGTATAAAAAATTGGAAAAATATAGAAAATCGATTTTTTCTTGGCGGTAGTTCAAATTTGAACCTAGCCTACGTGCTCTTTTCTCACTGTATTTTTGTTTCAAGTCCGAAAAGGAATTTTTTTGTTTGTCGAAGTTTGCGCGATATGGTGCATTGTCCGTGTGGAGTACACACAACGTCTTGTCGTCTCGAGACCATTTTCGACATTTTGCCAATACAATTTCTTGAAAATTTCTTCAATTTCGACATTGTTTTCCTTCAGCTGGAAGAGCTGTGGCCGCCATCGGCTCATACTACAACATTCCCGTGTTTCAATGGGCTCTTGCCACATCTGCGGACCTTGGAAACTTCAAACGATATCCAACCACCGTCACTTTAACAATAAACAGCTATAAGTACGACGTTCATTTTGCGGAATTTCAAATTTTAAGCCAATCCATTTTCAGTGTTGCGCTGGCTCTTCGCGACGTCATGCTTCGCTTCAATTGGTACGAATTTGTGTATGTCTATTCAGATGATGGCGACGCCGAGAAATGCGATACACTCGGAACCGACATCAATGTTTTGCTAGTGATCGTTTAATTCAAGCAAAAAACATTTTTCTAGTCACTACTCGCTGAAACCGAAAATCTCACAATGTCGTATTTGTACAAAATCGAGACAATGACGATGCCGAATATCCGAAGAGCAGTTCGAGAAATTGCGAAACGAGGACGAAGTTGGATGAAAACCAAAATACATTGATTTCGGCTTGTTTCCAGTTGTGGTCGGATGCTTTGCCGCCGGTTTCGGCTTCAGGAAAGCGTTCTTGTCGGCCGTTTATAAGGAAGGGGCGTTCAGCGATGAATTCGTCTACATATTTGCAGAAACCAAGTCAAGAGGGTTTTGTACGTTTTTAATTGTATTTTCCATTTTTTAAACATATCCCACCAAAACTCGAAAAAAATTCCAAGAAATGAGAAAGGTCGCCAAAATTGCGGTACTCGCAATTTTTTTTTTTGGATTTTCTCGCAAATTCCATTCATATTTTCGTCTTTAGCCTTAATTTTTCAACATTTGTGGTTTAAAAGATTGGAAAAATTGAAATAAATGGTAGCACGCGAAAATGTGTGCAAACACCGTGACGCATAATATAACAGAAAAAATAGATTCAAAAAACACACAGACCATTTGATTTTTTTCTTGATCGGTTTATCAACGGCCAAATCTAAATTATGCAATCGAAACAATGGAAGCATGTGTAACATATTTAAATTGTAGCTAGAAGATGCCCTGGACGCGGCAAAATTAAGTGTGCACGAATTTAACGCAAGCTTATTCGCCACTGACGCATTTATTGTTATTCGCTTAATTTATTTTCTATTATTTCTATATCTTTTAATAATTTTCTGAAACATTTATGGAAATCTATTTTGAGGGTACATATAGGTAATTTTTCATGCTAAACACGATTTTAACACTGGTTGATCTCAAAATATCGAAATCATTGCGTGGTGCTCAAATTTGGTGGTGGCCTTATAATTCTGCAACTGTATGTTTCTCTAGGGGGCATTCTGCTCACTCCGCGCCTCACCTGGGTCGTTTTTTTCACATTAATTTTTTTTTTTGAGGGGGGGGGGTGTGGTTTCATTAAAAAAAAATCATTACAGATATTGACGAACTTGGCGGCGGTGTGCATTTCGCATGGGAAGAGAATAGCACAGTGGAGGATGATACGATGACTGTCGAGGGAGCAAAGCGAGCCTACTATCGTGTCATGTTTCTGTGCGATGTTTGTAGCGAGATTTTAAAAATATAATACAAATTCCACCAATTTGTGTTTTTTTGCAGAATATGGGACTTCCTCTCGTTTGGACGGATTATTTCACCAATTTTACAAAGCAAGTCGTCGCCCGAATTAGGGATCCTCCTTTCAATTGTGTCGATGACTGTTCAAGCTCAAACTATTCTGCGGTATTATTTTAAGATTAGAAATGATAATTCTTTTTTTTTTATTCAAGATGGCAACATATGCTGGCCAGCTATTTGATGCCCTTTATTGCTACGCATTGGCTTTGAATCGAACCATTGCCAAAAATGGTCCGAACTTTGATTATAAGAATACCAGCGAGATTCTTAAGAATATTGGAATGACATTCACTGGTGAGGCTTGATTGAACTTTTGATCAATTCCTCAAGTGACTTAGGTGTCGGCGGCGATGACGTGCAGATAAGCGAAACTGGCGGACGAGCTGGTAAGATTTACATGTTCGCCCTCAATGAATCACGCTTACCGGAGGTTATGGCGGTCACTTCGATCAATAATTCCGGCGTGGTAATTTGAATTCGCGACAAAAAGAAGAGAGATTATCCAATTTCAGTTTTATTTGCCATATTACTCGGATGAATCTGAGCTTTGGAGAAGCGGCATAAGGCCATTGGCGGTTCCATTATGCGGTTTTCTAGGGAATGAGGTGATCGAATTTTGGCTGAAAATTTCAACATTTTTCATTTCCAGTGTCCGGTGAACCTGTTTCGAGATTACCTCGCGATTGTTATAATTGTGATCGTTGTTATCGTTCTTCTGATTCTTGCGGCCATCTGCGGCGTGTTGTATACTTTCCAGTAAGACTTAGATCAAAATTTTGTATTCGATTAAAACATATTTCAGCCTCAAAAAACAAGAAATTGCTAGGCAAGATTTGATTTGGCAGATTCAAAACGCAGAATTGCAGAAAATTAAAGCAAAGGTTAGCAAAGAAGATGCATTTCAACATTCGTTAGTTTTTTGAAGTCAAAAGCCGAAGCCAGCGTTCATTCATTTGCTAGCGGACCATCGACATCGACAAAATTGACAATTGAAAGCAAAAATGAGAATGATCATTTCGAGTATTTCGCGTTTCAGGTACATCGAATGTTTAAAATGAATGATAGTCGGGGGAAAATTTATGGGGTGCGTCTTTCGACGTGTCATCCTCGCTACCATTTTTGCTGATATTTTTCAAATCTAAAATGCTAATAATTCAAGATCAAAGCCTAAAAAATGAATAATATTTGCGAGAATGTGCAAAAATTTGCTCAAGTCCGCAAACACCACTGTTTTGGCGGCAATTCGAATGCCTTTCGAAAGAAAAAAATTGGAAATTTTTGAGTTTGGATGGCATTTTAAAATCATCACTTACATTCAAAATTTGGCCGGAAAATTTGAAATGGCCTGATCGTAAGAAGTACATGGTGCACATTCTTGATAGTTTTCGTTTTCAGATCTGAATTTTCAGAATTGTGGCAAAAAGGTAATTTGCGGCATTACCCATTTGAGTCAGAATTACAAATACTATAAATAAGACAATTCAAAATTATTTAGAACGACGACTCTCTCTCTAAATACCTTCCTTATGAGATCATAGAGAAAGACGCATGCCGTAAATCTACCCAAAACCCCCATATATGATTAACTATGTATATTGACTGATTATACTATATTAAAACTATGTGTATACTATTTTATACTATACTGACAATGTATATTCAAATAAAAAAAATGAAAAATTTAGCAAGAAATAGTTGCCGCGAGACATTATGAAATCATAGTGGAACTTGGGAAGGAGGAGAAACAACATTTAAGATCGGTACGACTTGATTGCTAGAAATCCATTATCCATCGAAATCCATATGAATTTTAGCTGTGCATTTTGGACCATGATAACATCAACAAATTCATTGGGCTTTGTATGAATTCACTGAAGCCAATGTCAATATGGTCCTATTGCTCGCGTGGAGCTCTTGCCGATGTTATCACACAGGTATGTAGAAGAAAAAATTTGGAAAATTCGAGAAATATTTGTTCGCCCCTTTCAGAGTTCAATGCAGATGGATGGCTTCTTTGTGTTTTCGTTGATTCGAGATATTGCCAATGTAAAACAGCGGCTCTTCGATTGCTCTTCGAATTTTTCCGATTGCAGGGCATCGGCTATATCCATTCATCATTCCTTCAATGTCATGGTAGATTATCATCAAGGTGTTGTCTAATCGATGAGCGTTGGCAAATCAAAATCTCCGAATATGGTCTCGACTTTTTCACGAAACATGAGAAACTTCCCAAAAAAGGTCGTCAATTGTTAGACGAAGCTTATTGGTAAAAATATACTTCAGAACTACTATGGGTGGCTCCAGAATTTCTTCGCAATGACTCGTCGCCAAAAACCAAAGAAGGCGATATTTATAGTTTTGGGATCATTTGCTCGGAGATTGTTTCGAAAACCTCGGCCTATGATATGGAGAATCGGCGAGAGAAAGTCGAAGAAATTATCTATTTGGTGAAGAAGGGAGGATTCAACGCGATTCGACCTGAACTAAAGGTTGATGAGAATGTGGACTTGAATCCGGCGTTGGTAAAATCAACCTCAAATTGTTGAATTAATGATGACTGAATTTTGAGCTTCATTTGATTCGAGATTGTTGGACCGAGAAACCGTCGGAACGTCCAACAATCGAGCAAGTCAAATCATTGCTCAGAGGAATGAGCGATGGAAGAAAAGCAAATCTAATGGATCATGTGTTCAATATGCTTGAGACCTATGCATCAACACTAGAAGATGAAGTATCCGAGAGAACCAAGGAATTGGTGGAAGAGAAGAAGAAGTCCGACGTGTTGCTTTATCGAATGCTGCCAAAGTACTATCATTAAAGGTTTCCATTAATTAGATTGATCTATCATAGAGCTGTTGCCGATAAGCTCAAGCTCGGCCAAACCGTCGAGCCGGAGACATTCGAAATGGTCACCATATTCTTCTCCGATGTCGTTAAATTCACATTGCTCGCCTCAAAATGCAGCCCGATTCAAGTTGTGAATCTGGTCAATGATTTATACACAATGTTCGATGGGATCATTGAGCAGCATGATGTGTATAAGGTGGAAACCATTGGCGACGGCTACCTTTGCGTTTCGGGACTCCCGCATCGGAATGGAAATGAGCATTGCCGTCATATTGCTCGCCTGGCTCTTGGATTTATGTCAAGTCTGGACTTCTTCAGAATCCCGCATCTTCCTGGAGAACGAATCAATTTAAGAATCGGCCTCAATAGCGGTAAGTATGAATTTTTCGATTGATCAAATCATGTTTATTTCCTTCATAGAATTTTGGTGTAGTCTCAATCTCTCTCATAGTCAGTTGTTGTACTGGAGACCATTTCATCCAGTTGATGAGCATCCTTGTTACGGGCGGTTTCGGGGAGGTTCAACACAAAATTACGGGAGGAAGCATTTAATAGAATTATAATAGAAATCGGTGGGCTTATATACAACTTACATTGGCAAATATCAAAAAAACAATGGTTCAAAATTTGAAACTTCGGACCCAATATTTTGGCACTTTTTAGAACTTTTGCTGAAAACGACATGGCACACTCGATAGGGAATTTCCCGCATCTGTTTGTGTGCAAAATTAGAAAGAATTAAAATCCACTAAGTAAAACCACCTCCCTTGTTAGAATGTTCTACAAGATTCCAATCTATGAAATAGCGAGCAGAATCGAGAGAGAGTGTGCGGTGGAATTAGACATCAATGATTTTCATGTTCGTAGGGGACCTTTTATCCCATAATCTGAATTGAGAATAATTTTGCAAAAATATTTTAGGCTCCGTGGTTGCGGGAGTAGTGGGTCTTGCGATGCCGCGATTCTGCTTGTTCGGAGATGCAGTGAACACGGCGAGTCGAATGGAGAGCAACGGGAAACGTGAGAAATCAATAGAGAAAAATTTGTGACAATGTAGACCAACATTCAGCTGGCAAAATTCACATATCCGCTGAGGTCAACCATTTGCTGACAAAAGTCGTCGGCGGATTCGAGACGGAATCGCGTGGCGACGTCATCATCAAAGGGAAAGGGGTGATGGAGACATTCTGGCTTCTCGGCGAGACGGGATCGACGAGCTATCAAGGGATCATAAAAGAGGCGAAATCGGAGAGCCCGCGAAGTGTGACACCGAGAATGAGCAGCGCTGAGCCGATTGGAATGTACACTGATTTCAAAAGTGGCGAGCAAAATGCGGAAAATGTTTAAATCCTTTTTTAAAAATAATTTTTGCAATGCTAATAAATTTCGCTTTCACGTCGCTTCATGCCCATTTTCCAAAATCCAATGAGCACGAAAATATGTCGAATTTGTCTCGATGAGAAATCAGAAGAAGAGATTCAAGAATTAAACTGTCATCATTCATTCTGTTCGATGTGTCTGAATGTGTATCCAGGCACGATGTGTCCGACGAGATTCTGCGTCGGAACCCGATCGGCTGATGTGATTGTGGACGAGATGGCAGGTTTTTTTTCGTCGAGTCCTCAAAGTGGTGCGATGATCCAGAAGTTCAGGAATGGACGAGTACGGATCAACTCAAATATCGTTTGGATCAAACGCTACCCTCTTCAAGATTGATATTGAAGAAAAACAAAGGTTTGATTTTTTTGTGAGGAATACTTTTTTTCCATGAAGCTCGGATCTGGAAAACCTGCCTGATATGACGAAATTCAAATATTACAAAAAATTTCAGATGCGAGGGGCTTCGCAAGCACCTGAATTGCGTCAACATCGCCCGAATGGTCCTCCTCCATTGTCGTCATCGATTCTGCTATGATTGTCTCGCGGAAACCATCAAGTCGGCCAGCGATCACAGTATTCGATTCGATCGAACTCAAATCTCTCAATTGATTGCTTCAGAATCCGTTCCGCATTGTCCGCTTCGACGGTGCGCCAACACGATATCATTCACTGAAGTAAATCGAATTTGAGTTTGCAAAAAATTGGATAATGCCTATTTTTTTTTGGCAGGGGGGGGGAGGTGAATTGCAGGAACGTATGGTACCATCCTGAAGCGTCATGGGACCAGCATATGAAAAAAAGGTCCCAGATGATCAGATTCATTAAAAAATTGCTCGAAAACCGAAAAATTTTCAATTTTTTTCCGATTCAAACGCTCGGCATGTTGTCGCCGCATTATCGCGAACTTTGCGATTCCGCCGAAAAACGCATTCCGCTCACGAAACCGCTGCCGGAAATGCAGGCGACGAAACAGGAAGTCGTCATTGACTGCTACATTTACGGCAAAGACAACCTCAAAAAGACGATCATATTCCCGAAAACGGCGTTCGTCGGCGATACCGTCAACGCGATCATCTCGCTATTGAGGATCTCGAGCAATCGCGTCAACTCCTCGCTGGATGTCTATGTAAGAAAAGATGTGAACGAGAAGAAAAGTGGGCTCGCCAAAATTGGCATTTCAACCGATTCTCTGACAATTTCAGACCAATTCAAGTACGAAAAAGTTCCGCATGATGCCAAGTGCATGATAAAGGATGTGTTCTGGACTGACAAGGTAGTCGACACATTCGGAACAGGAAAAAATGAGCGTTCTGCCCCATATTTCAGACAACCATTATCGTCGATCTTGACAAACAAATCTCACGTGCAAAAAAGAAATAAAAATTTTTTATTAATAAAAAATTATAATAATATTATGTGTTTGTATGCGTAGTTTGTCTTGTCTTTTGAAGGTCTTCATCATCGCCAAGTTTAAACCGAGAATGAAGCCTAATCGCCTATGATTAGATTATTATTCTTCTCATATCATTCGTTATGATTCCATTCAACAATACTATGATAGTATTACTTTTTATTTGGCAATTCGGTGCTGCTCAACTCGTGCCAACCAATGTGATTCAGTTGGGATTCTTGCATTGTAGGGTAATCGCAATTATTCCCCAAAAATTCCTTTTTTTTTCAAATTTTGATTGTAGAACTACGAGGGTTCGGCGATCACTATCGATTATTGGAATTCGGCGGGCGCTGCGAGTGTAGCTGTCGACAGAATCAAAAGAGAAGGTCTTCTACAGGGATTCGAGTTCAAGTTGGATTTTGCATTAAGTCACGTAAACCCCCTAGAATCGCGTTGTTTTTTCTCAGCTTCACCATTATGTTTGACGATTGCAATGAAGCACAAGCCGCAGGAAAAACAATCGAACTCTATGAGGATTACAAGGTCGATGTTATATTCGGACCAACGACGAATCAAGGTAGCGCATGGCCTTTGTGAAAACGGCTTCAATCCAATTCCTCATATTGTATTTCTTAATGCAGGCAAAAAATTTTTATTTTCCCTTCATTTTATTATTCATCACTGAAAATGTGGTCAAGGGAATGAAGAAAGTGTAACTTTTGGGTACTCTGAAACGAAAATACACAGGCAAAATGCGGCAGACACATAATACATATGTCCACAGCATCAATAATGAAATTTGCTACCATATAATATTTACTTGAAATCACATCGAGTCAATATTATAAAAAAAGGACCACCAACATATGTATATCATTCACGCGATATAAGCGTCCACATAAGTCCTATATGTCTCCATATGTTTATGGTCTCACGATGGACACATTATGAGTCCGGCGCATTTAACCTGTCTAGTCAAAATTGAGGTGGCATTGGGCATTTTGAGCCAATTTTATTTTGACATTCCACAAAAAATTTTTAAGTCTTCAACAGCCAATTTGAATACACACACCCTCCATTATCGTTGAAAATCGATTAATCGCGAAATTTTGAAATCTCTCGCAACGAAATGCTACTGAAACATTTCATTAAAGTTGGAAATTCTTATACCTACACTTCATGAATTGTAATCGATCATTTGAAGCCGCATTTGCCGCGTTTGTCACCGCGAAATACTACGATTGTCCGATCATCGCCTGGGGCTTGTCGAACTCGGCGGCTCTCGATGATCCCCAACGCTTCCCGAACGCGGCAATCATGTCGGCCGGCACCAGAAGGTTTTTTTAAATTTTTCCCATTTTTTTAAAAATTTTTCGCAGGTGATAGAGAGAAAACCGTTTACATAGGTAAGGGCGAGAGAGAAAACTTAACTGAGTGAATTTTATGCAAGATATATATGTATATCCGCAAGATGACATTAGACATTAAGTATAGAATAAGAAAATAAATTTTAAAAAATAGGAGAAAAAAGTAGAAATTCAATAAGAGAAGTAAAAGCGATTTAAAATATGATAAAGAAATCGAATTTAAGAGCGAGTTTGTTTCACACTGAAACAGTTTTGTCGAAAAATGTTTTTCATTTTCGATTTCTATGTTTAAGTCTGAGAGAATGACGGCGATTGGTTGAAAATGTGATAAAGACAAGGCTGATGATGTAAACACTAGGGAATTCATGCGGACGGCAGTTCATTCGTATGCCATCCGGACTATCCGCGTCATACTTTCAACGGTGCGGGTCGGGGCGGGGTCGGTAGAATTTTCACTCTGACCCGCCCCGACCCGCTAATAGATTTTTTGAAGAAAAGTTTATTAAAAAAAAATCGAAAACGAAACAAAAACCGTGAACGCTGGTTCAATCATTTCTGTTTGAGGACTTCTGAACAAATTTTGTTGCGAGAATAATTAATTCTACTCAAATAATGTAATTCGAAATTCTTTTTTTTTTCGCTAAACAAGGGCCTCGCTGTAAACATGGAGTGTCGTTGCGGGTCGGCGGGGCGGGGGCGGGTCGCGAATTTTTTTACTGACCACGAATCCCGGCCTTGTGGGCCGTATCCTTGACTCTTTCCATGTTCATGGTTTCGTGTTGGAAACAAACATTAACAACTAAAAGTTTATTTATTAACCATAGAATGAGTAACAAAATAGTGTGGACTTGAAGCGTGTCTCCCAGCTTCCTACCTCCTCGTTCGTTTCCCGAGCATCGCTTAAATAGGGGGTGAGCTGGTTGCATTGATAAGGGTCTTGGATTATTGCTTCCGGTCGGAGGGTTGATTAAATATATATGAATCTCCTTCCGGTCGCTGTTAGCATGACTCTTACACAAGCAATTAAATAAATAGCAACTAAATATCAACTTGTCAGTTAAATTAACACTTTACGACGGAGTTGATGATTATTTCCGTTTCTAATATAGTCGGCGTCCGGCGACTGCTGTAGATTTACGCGCATGCGCCTTGAAAAGGTCTCGCCACGTGTGAACGCTTATTTTGGTGTTTTAACGTGAACGATTTGCTTTTTCTTGATGAGTTTGGCATTTCTTGAAGTTTCTAACGATATTCGATTATTATCGAAAAATTTGTTTTAACCTGTTGGTCCTTGCGAGACCATTACGAAAGACGCATTCCCGTAAATCTACCCCGCGTACAGCAGTCGCCGGACGCCGCCGGACGCCACATTTAGCTCTCGTGATGATCACCATAATTTTTTTTTCACACAATACCTCAATAAGCGTTTTTTTTATTTAGTCGCTTCTTCATGTTTTCTTTTTTCTATCAATCACGGGGAATGGACGTTTTTTGAGTGATGGAGACGTTCTGACAGCTCCAAAGTTTCCTTTTCATGATTAAACACCTAAAATTAAATTTAAAAAATTAGCATTCACTTTTTAAATAAAAAATCGAGATGAAAAACGAAAAAAATAAATAAAAATGAAAACAAACAGCTGGAATATTAAATTTAGATTTAAAAAAAAATGAAAAAAAATTTAATGGCCGCGGACTAATTTTTCTCGGCCATGGACAAACGTCCGCTTGGTATCCTTAATAACCACATTTTAAAAAGTGGATAAGGTCCGAAGGTTTCGTGATTTCAATATCAAATGGGTATATTGAAACGCTAATTCAGTTTGGGGGTCTCCCTTCGCGAAGTGTTCCAACAATTCAAATGGTATCAATTCGTGTTCGCTTATTCCAACGAGGGCGACACTGAGAAATGTATTACGTTGCGAAACGACATTCAGGTTTTTTTTGCTTCTCATCCACATCGATAAAGCTCACAAATTCAGGATGTCATCGCATATTTCAACGATTTGGTTATATTATATAGTATTCAAGTGACTGATTTGAGTTTCAATGGTATGACGGAAGCGCTGAGGAAGATCAAAACGCGCGGCAGAATTATTGTGACGTGCATGGCGGATCAGAAGGGCTTGCGGCGACGATGGCTTCTGTCCGCTGATGATCTCGGAATGATGGGTGATGATTATTTCTACGTTTTTGTCGATATCAAGTCAAAAGGGCATAGTAAGTAGATCATCATTGGATTTCGAATAATTATTGGTTTGAGTTATTCCAATGGTCGATGGAACCGAGCATTTCATTTGGAATCCTGCAAGTGGTCCCGACGAGAACTCAACACGATCCCGAATGACATTCCGAAAGGCGTTCTTTATTTGCGATGTGAGTGTGTCATCGTGAAGAAGAAAAAAAAAGCCAAATTGAATATTGATTAGATGATGGGCGAGGGCTCGATTGGCGCCAATTATTCGGCGTTCGGCGAGCAGGTGTTGGCGAAAATGCGCGAGCCGCCGTTCAACTGCCAAAAAGAATGCGACGCGGCGAACTACAGTCGGGTGGCGTCGTACGCCGGCCAGCTTCATGATGCGGTTTACGCGTACGCGACAACAGTTGATCGAAAATTGAAGGTCAACCCGAATGGCTATCGACGTGCTTCGGAGCTCTCGCCGTATTTTCCACAGACGTTCTCAGGTCCCATCTCCGGTCCTAACTGACATGAAGGCTTGTGTGTTTCAGGCGCTTCAGGAGATGTGGTCATCAATTCGAGAGGCACACGAAACCCCACGCTATTCCTTATGACACTTGATGCCAATGATAAGCCAACGATTCAGGCAAAAATCTATGTTGAAAATATGACAGCGGTGGGGGAGATTCGAATCGTGAATCGTTGCCTACTCATTCAATCGAGTTGCAGACCTACACGCCGTTGTATAAAGATGAGACGGATTTGTGGGTGCATATGCCCGGCAAACGAGCCCCTAAAGACGAGCCGTTGTGCGGATTTGCGGGGAATTTGGTGGGAAATTGACATCGCCAAAGGCGCAAATTTTTATTGATAACCGGGTCCCAAAAAACCGGAACGTTTCAGAGGGTTCATTCAACATTTTTACAATATGAATATTTCAAAAAAACCATTAGAATGCGATGCAGAAATTTGCATTTTTTGCTGCTGAATATGTTTTTTTCACATGCGCCTTTAAACATCTACAGTAGAGCTGCACGGAATTCCGTCTTCCGTATTCCGTTTTCACAGCCGGAGAAATTTGTCAGAGAAAAAGAAGATCCTTGTCGAATGAGCACTTGGAAAATCTCACATTCTGCACTGTTAATTTCAAAATATTCGAGTTAAACTATTTTGTGTTCCGTGTTCCGTATTTCGTCAAAAATTTTTTATTCCGTCTTCCGTTTTTAGAAAATTTTTAGAATCGTGCAGCTCTGATCTACAGTAATCTAGTATTGAAAACAATTTTATGTGTAAAATCGGCCAATAAAAAATGTGAAAAAAATTAATTACACATTTTTTTTTTGAAAAAAATTGACATTTCATGTAATTTTTTCATTGTTTGTGTTGAAAAAAAATAGATCTCATGAGAAAAAATCCATAAATTCAAACGCGTTCAGTGTCCCGTCAATTTTTTCGCGGAAAATCTCGCCTGGGTGGTCGCTTTGATTGTCGTGATTGCGCTCACGCTGATCGCAGCCGTTTTGGGAATTATTTACTCGATCCGGTTGGTATTTTTGAATTGCACACGATTCCGCTGAACTCGAGCATTATTTGACAGGATGAAGCGCGCCGAAATCGATCGTTTGAATCAACAATGGCAAATCCCATTCAATCATTTGAATCAGATCAAAGTAATCGATTTTGTTTTTGAGAGGAAAAAAAACAAAAATAATGGCATTTTCTAGGGAAAACAGAAAGGCGATCATAGCTCGAGAAGTCTTCAAAGTGGCACGAGCACGTTATCATCGAGAACCACCGTGTCGGTCAGAACCGAAACACGCAATTATGTGTTCTACACTTTACAGGTCCGTTTCAGGCATTTCAGCATCAATTTGTTTCGATTTTCAGCGAGAACTCGATTTGGAGCCAGTTGTTGCCAAAAAACATTCATTGAGGCCAAGATTGGACGATGAGACATGCTTGTTTTTGAGAAAAGTTTGATCAGCTTGAAGTTGAATAGCTTATAGCCCAAGATTTTAGTTGAGAGCTGTTGATCATGAGAATATGAATCGCTTCATTGGATTATGCCTTGATTCACCGCAAATGTTGTCGATTTGGAGGTTCTGCTCTCGGGGATCGATTGCGGACATCATTCATAAGGTTTTGAATTACATAATTGACATATTCAAGCAATTAAGAAATTGAAAAATCTTTTTAAAGGGGCTCACAAAAACTTGAAAAATAAAAGCGTTCCTTATTATTTTGTTTTCTTCAGAAAATTTCAAAAATAATTCAAGGATTGAAAAATTTCTTGAAATTTTCAGGCAACAATCCAAATGGACAGTTTCTTCATTTATTCGTTGATCAAGGATATTGTCAATGTAAGCCTCTCACAATGCCATTTCACTCGTATTATCCTTATAGGGTCTTGCTTTCATTCATTCCTCATTTATTGATTATCATGGAATGCTGACGTCGAAGAGTTGCATGATCGATGATCGATGGCAAGTGAAGATCTCTGATTTTGGGTTGGCCGATTTGAGATCGCACGATATGTTTCTGAAGAAAGGTATGAAGGGTCCTCTAATTATTGCTCTTTAAATAATAATTGCTCGTCAGACCTTCTTTGGTCGGCTCCAGAACTTCTCCGAAACGACAACATTCGTGGAACGAAAGAAGGCGACGTGTACAGCCTCGGAATCATTTGCGCCGAGCTCATCACACGTAAAAGCGTATTCAATCTCGAGGATCGAAACGAAGACCCGGAAGAAATAATATATATGCTGAAAAAGGGCGGCCTCAAATCGCCAAGACCAAGTCTTGATTATGACAACACGATCGAGATCAATCCGGCATTATTGCACATGATTCGAGATTGTTGGACGGAGCGGCCGTCGGAGAGGCCGGACATTGAGACGGTGCGATCGCAACTGAGAGGAATGAACTCGAATCGAAATGATAATTTAATGGATCATGTGTTCAATATGCTTGAATCATATGCATCAACGCTTGAAGACGAGGTGTCCGAGAGGACCAAGGAATTGGTGGAAGAGAAGAAGAAGTCCGACGTGCTTCTTTATCGAATGCTTCCCAAGTAGCCTAAAAGTGTGTTGCCTTATCGAGTTGGTATGTTTTAGAACTGTGGCGGAAAAACTGAAACTTGGTCAAACCGTTGAGCCGGAGACATTCGAAATGGTCACCATATTCTTCTCGGACGTCGTCCAATTCACAACTTTGGCGTCGAAGTGCTCGCCGCTTCAAGTTGTTAACCTTCTCAATGACCTCTACACAATTTTCGATGGGATCATTGAGAAGAATGATGTGTATAAGGTGGAGACCATTGGCGACGGCTACCTTTGCGTTTCGGGGCTCCCGCATCGGAATGGAAATGAGCACGGAAGGCATATTGCTCGCCTGGCTCTTGGATTTATGTCAAGTTTGGACTTCTTCAGAATCCCGCATCTTCCTGGAGAACGAATCAATTTAAGAATCGGCATAAATTGCGGTATGTAGGAAAATTAAAAAAAAAACGATAATAGAATTTCAGGTTCCGTGGTTGCTGGCGTCGTTGGACTAACGATGCCGCGATATTGCCTATTTGGTGATGCTGTGAACACTGCTAGTAGAATGGAGAGCAACGGAAAACGTAAGAATTCCTAATGTCCAAAAAATGATATCAATAATTCAGCTGGTAAAATTCATTTGTCTTCTGATGCAAATCGACTTTTAACTGAAGTCATTGGCGGATTCCAAACAGAATCACGCGGAGAGGTCATCATCAAGGGAAAAGGAGTGATGGAGACATTCTGGCTAATCGGTGAGACGGCTGGAATCATGAGAACTCCTGAACCGAAAGCGGAACCGCCCAAAAAGGTGAACATTGATGAGGAATAACGTTGAACTTCATTTTACAGATGTATGAACAATTTCAGACTGAGTCAACTCTACAGCAACAAGATACTTTAGAAACGGATGAGATGCTTGAAGCTTATTGAGATGCGGTGGTGGCGGATGTCGTCGGAGCCGGCGTAGTTACATTATCTTTGCATTGCTGTTGAAAATTGATAAATAAAGAAAAAATTGGAGATCATATAAAGCACCTCGATTAAGTCTTCAAAACTCCGCACTCTCATTGGCTCTAATATTGTGGCGAATTCGGCGAACGAGCAATTCTCACTGCAGCCAGGCACATGAAGCGTATATGTCGTTTCGGTGTTGTTTCTCCAGATTATCTGAAAAATATTCATGAAAAAAAAAGTTTAATATGGCGACTGGTGGTAAAGTTTGGATCGAAATTTCTAAATCATTGCAATATATTGCAATACCTAATTCTTTTTATATAATCCTATCGATCTTTATCTGACATAAACCTACGTTTTCCAAGAATACAATGTTATATTTTTCTAAAAACTTAAATCTTCAAGTTTCCAACGCTGGAATGAAGGAAAATAAAAGATTTAGAGATGATAAGGGAATGAGAGAGTGGGCGAGAAGACGAGGCGGTGGACGAGAGAGCGCACAGAACGAAGAGACGCACGCCATCATGCAATCGGACAATAGCTAGCAAAGAGGTGGCCGCGGCCGAAATCCATTTTTATTTGAATGCAAGTCCCCCCCCCCGTTTAGTGAAAATCGTTTTAGCCATATAGTTGGCGTCCGGCGACTGCAGAGTAGATTTACGCGCATGCGTCTTTCTCTTGGTCTCGCATGGACTAACAGGTTATTTCGCATTTTATGAACCGGTTCGATAATTTTTTAATCGAATAACGTTGAAAATTTAAGAAAATGCCAAACTCAACAAGAACAAATATGCCATTCACGTGAAAACATCAAAATATGAGACCTTTTCAAGGCGCATGCGCGTAAATCTACCCGCGTACAGCAGTCGCCGGACGCCGACTATATTTTTTAAAGTTTTTTTTTCATTTGTTCCCAAACCTACTATTATCAAGTTTGTTATTGCTTTTGCAGGTTATTAACATCGTTTGCTCGTTCTCTTGAATAATTATGGTTTAATTACCCAAGCTTCATGTTCACTCGACTTGAAATCGGTTTCAATACCATAAAAGCTTACATATTCAGTTTTCAAATACATGACACAAGCCTAACAACAAAAACCTATGCGAAAACAAAACTAGAAATTATTTGGGGATGATTTTGGTGGCACATATTAAATAAAAAAGGATATATTAGCGATATTAATCATTTCTGTTAAACTGTAGGCATTTTTGTTTTGAAAAAGCGCAAAGAAAAATTCGAATCTCAATGAAAGAATATTCCAGAAAAGCGCGGTCCGCAAATGTTTCATACGCAAAATTGAACACATTTTATTAATGAAAACTAGCGTTTCTTCACATTTTTCTCAAATCAAAAATGAATTAATGGCAAATTTTGAATTTCAAAAAAATGCCACTTGCACCCTAAACTTTTCAATTTCTTCTCGTCTACCTTAACACTCTGATCATCGTACAACTCTAAAAGGAGTGTTGCCGCATATGGCACCAATTGACCATCAGCAACGCCGAGCGCATTCATCAACGCGCTCACAGTTCCATCGTGCTGAACCAACAATATTCAATGGAAAAGAGAATTTGCAAACCGCGGAATACAAGAATGCTTCCATTGTTGAAGCGTTGTTAACCGCATTCTCCATATTCTCAATAATTCTGTTCAACAAAAATCCGCCTCTGAAATGTCGCCAATGCTCCAAAATTGGGCACAACGGACCCACGATAGTTTTGCTTTTGCCGGACTATTGAAATCCTCATTCCTTGTGACCCTCTTGATTTCCCTTATATGGTCCATTATCATTTCGCCATTGAACACCTGATTCAACCATTTCTCCTGTGGCATATTGTGGTCAATCTTTAAATCAATTTATATATTTAATGAATTTTTGACAATTTTCGAACCTCCCTTTGAATATCATACAAACTTTTGACTTTGGGAAATGACACGTTTTCCAAACCAGTCTTCTCTTGTAAATATTTGAACATTACTGAGTACCTTGAAAATCACGCATTCAAAAAAAAACTGAATCGAAGACCATCTCATACTTTTGATTGTACGATGGCGCCAGATTTGCAAGGCTCTCATCAACGAGTCGGTCGAGTAGAGGGCAATCGATTTTAGTCGGTCGAAGAAGCTGCAAAATCGCACTGTTGATAATTTCGACGTTATGAAGTCTACTGGATCCAGAGCGTCACCACCGGTATGAATCGGAGTTGGCTGCCAGTATTTAAGGAACGATGATTCCCATATACGATCGCCAGTCGGCGGAAACAAACCAGCTGCCACCCCTTGAGCAGTCTCGATTGCTCTTTCCGAATCACTTGCTCTTATATAAATCTGAAAATGTCAATTTTAGAATGCCCAGCTGCGTCAGAATACCTTATCCTTATTGAATACTTTCAGTACCGATTTCCCGTAATTCGTATAAAGCCATGTGCCAAGCTCGGCAGCCTGCCAGATTCCTTTCTAAAACAATTCGAAACTATGAAATTTTGATAAATTGGATATACATTTGTCAACTGATCCCATCCGCGCGGCCACGCTTTCTCATCATATCGGTCATTCGGATATGGTAGATCACCTGGCGCGCGATCGCCGTGCCTCCAGACGGCTTGCAATAGTCGCAGCTCAGCGGACCAACAAATTGTGGGAACAAGCAATGCGATAGAAGTTTGCAGAATCATTGGCTGAAAATTGGAGACGTGTTAAATGAAAATAGGATATTGAAAATGCAATTAAGCGAACGCATAAAATGCCGTTTTATCGGGGGCATGCGCACACTATTATTATTTTAGCACATAAAAATCGGGCATTGAACCAATGAGTCAGTGATAGGCTTATTCAGATTGGAACATTCGCAGAAACTCCAATTTGAGCAATGGTCATAATTGAAGCAGGAGTAAATTTCATCGAAATTTCCTTATACAGTGCGTTACACATTTTCAAGGCCACCCGCTATATGTAGATGACTAAAACTTTTTCCACAGCCGAAATTTAAAATTTCCGATTTCAAAATTGGTTTCAACGCTTTAAATTACACTTCCTTGGGGATTCCATTATAAATAGTAGAAAAGGACCAATTTCCAGTTAAAAAAAAAAAAAAAACAAAATTTTCAGATTTCAGTGTGAAAGTGCCACATATATGTACATAATTTAATCCGAAGAACTCAATTTTGAAATTGGAAATTTGAAATTTTGACTGTTGAAGAAGTTACGGCCTTCTATAGGGGTGGTCTTATAAATGTGAAACGAACTGTATGTCAAAATTTCAATTTTCTTTTGAAAAATAAATGACGGCTGAACAAGCAAATTTATAAAGAATATGAATGGAACTCGGATTAATCAGAGGCAGGTGAAGATGTGAATATCGGTTCAAACACTAATTTTTGCTTAAACTTTCATATAAATAAATTTTTTTGATCCGCGCGCTTCGCTGAAGAACGGTTCGACTGAGTATCTAATTAAGTGAACACTAATTCGATCAATGATTAAATGAAATTTATTTATTTAAAAGCTTTTGATATAGCAAAATATTAAGAAAAGGGGGTGAGGTTTTGTTTACTTTGCCTACATCAAGATCAAATGGAGATCAAATGAAAATGTTGAATATCATCGAAAGAACGATTTGCATAACCAGGCAGTACCTTTTTCATAGAAAAACTATTGCGAAATTCATTGAATATCCATAAATATTTGATTGGGCTCTGGATGAATTTTGCTTTTTTTAATCCCACTCGCCGAATTTCGCAATTTCCTATCCATATTTGATTGAAACGTGACACGTAGAGAGAGAGAGAGAAAATCGAATTTTTAAATTTCTTTTTCATTATTTATTTTTTTTTAATGAGCACCTTTGCCTCGTTCCCATCAAAATATGTCGGTTTGGTGTCAGATTTGTAAGGAATTGAAATCGTGCACAAATGCAACCCAGGTTCGATTCGAATGAAAATCATGTCTGCAATTATTTTCAGTTGGTCCCATGCCTTCACACGTTCTGCAATCCGTGCATCGCCGAGGTCTCGAAAACGTCGAAAGTGTGCCCGGCGACGCATTGCTATTCGCCGATTGTTGCGCCCGACAGTTTTATTGGAATATGCGAGGTTGGCAATTTTTTTGTTGTTGTTGTGACATTCTCAAAAACGCAATTTTCGGCTGAAAAATGCATTAAAAAAATTGCAATCGCCTCGGACACATTTCGAACCGTTTGCCATCATGAAATATGCCAATATTGTTTCGACATGGCTTCCAGAAAGTCAGATATTCTCCATTAAAAAAAATCATTAACAATGGGCTTAAAGAGATAAACTATCATGCCCAGTGTATGGATGTGGTGAGCCAATGCTTGACGATGAGGAGCTCCTTTGCGACGGGCCTTGTCGGCGTCCACTATTCTACAATAAAACCATAGTTCAGCCATGTTGTGGGGTAAGTGAGTAGCTTTTTCTAAGAAAATTTTTGTTCTAATAAGGGAGGTGTTTTTACTTAATTGTTTGGGATTTTTCAAATTTTGCACACAAGAAAGAAAAACATTTTTTTCTAAAAAAAATTTGAAAAAAATGCCCATCTCACTTTATTTTTTTTCATTATTTATATTTATCGAATTCTGAACAAATTTGGGCCAATCATTCTTTATTGCCGATTTATCACCTAATTTGGTAGCGAAAAATCAGTAATGAAAAATCATTGGCGCGTTTGCAAAATGTCATTCTTACAATGATTCAAATCTGAAATTTTGGACGGAAAAATTTTTTTGACATCGAATTTCGTGAAGTATTCCGCTCGCTATTCTCAGAACAACAGCCAGCTAGTCTATATCGTTACTCGCAAAATTGATTTGATACCCCGAGGTCATTTAAGTGGGGGGTCTCTCAAAATTGGCTCAAATGATTACCGAAAAATTTCCTATCAACCGATGTTTTTTGCCATCAGAATCGATTTCTAGAAGTCTGACAAATTTTGGTCTGAGACGAGCCTCAAAATGTGAATGCGGGGCATACAAGGCAAGAGAATCTACCAAAAGATTTTCAGACCGGAATGTGTCAGACTTCTGGAAATCTTTGCTGGTTGGAAAAAAAATAATAACACTCGATGGGTCATTTTTTGATGATTTGAGAACTTCGGACCTTCGTCGTTAGGAAAATGACGAAAAAAAAAATTTTAAAACATTTCCCAGGTTTTCAGTTTTGATTTTTGGACTTTAAAAAAATGCATCGAGACCTTGGCACATAGCCAAACACAGTGGTTCTTTTCAAAATTCGTTCAATCGTTTGAAACCGACAATATTGCGGATTGAAGGCTCGCTTATGCCTGGAATGTGCGCAATCGGCGACGAGCGGAAAAGACTTTTGCGAGCCCGGCAAATGTGTGACGAAAGAGCCGACGAAGAAGAAGAAGGCGGTTGACTTGGTTTCGTCATCGGCACTTCTCGACACGTCAAGACCGATTTCAGTCAAAACAATCGTGCCAGGGTTGCGTTGGCTGCGACGGCGAAGTGCTTCGCAATTTCCCGTCGGAATATGAATGCGAGCACGACGTGTGCATCGGCTGCATTTCGGTGATGCTCGACGAATGCGAGAAGAGCAATCGATCGCCGTTCTGTCCGAACAAGGGCTGCAACATACCGTATCGTTGCGATTCGGTGCTCGCGTTGCGCGCGCTCTTCCCCGAACGCGAGAAGTTCTTCTCAAAGTTCACGCTGAGCGTCCACTTCTCGATGCAGGTGCTGAAGGATGACACGATTACGGTAAAGAGCAAATCGGCGCGAACCGAAAAAAAAATGTTCGCTGGTTTTCTTCAAGGAAATTCAACTCAACGACGCCATCGACATGGAGCAGAAGTTCTCGCTGAAGGTGTGCTTCTGCGAGGACGAGGAGAACGGCGTCAACATCAATTACGTGAAAGACGGCAGCCTCGGCGATCTGATACGCGAAATTCGACGCGTCTTGAAAATTCTCTCAACTGATAAGGCGAGTAGTTCAACAACGATCGGCCAACGTCCAAATAAGGAACATACATTCATGTGTTGCGAATTTTGCAGATTTACGGATATTATCGAAAAGATGGCGAATCGGGCAACACGACACTTGAAGTGAGCGCGAAGACGATTAAGAAAACGGCTGCTGAAATGAACATCAATGAGGTTTTGATTGTTTTGAATGCATTCTAATTGATGGGGTCTTGCCGCGAGAATCTAGAAAAGTGGTTGTGGACTGATTTTATTGCTATGGGTGACCTTGTTCAATTTTTTCAATCGTGGTAGAGTGGGGCGGAATGAAGAAATTTCGAAGCAATTGACATGAAACCGATATTTTCTGCGATTCATTTTTGAGAAATTTTTGAAAAAAATGGATTAAGCAAGAAATAAAACCGCTAGTTTTGTGGTTTTTTGAGATTTTTTTGCCAAAATCTTCAGAGTAGCCATGATTGAAAAAATGAGGTCCCTAAACTCGAAATTGTTCCCCTGTATTTTCATTTTTATCATTTTTGATTTTATAAATTGTAGATTTTGATTTTGATTTTATAAATTTTAGATTTTTAAAAGATTAAAAAAATCAATAGATGTGTGCAAACACCGAGACGCAAGTACTACAGAAATCCCCCCAAAACAATTTTTTTTGGCATGGAATTTTTTTTTTGAAATTCCATATATGCAGAATTAGCGAGTTTTGGGGGATTTTAAAAAATTCCAACCACCATTTTTTTTTTGTACAAAATTCCAATTTTTTCGCCGATTTTCCATTTCTTCAGAACACTGTAATTCTGGTCGACATTTCCGGAATTGTTGCGTGCCAAACGAAGAAATGAGAGAGCATTTTATATGTCAAAACGACATCGACATTCTACCGTATAAATCTACTCATATATGTATGTAATCATCATATTTCTGATAGCACCATTATGGAATTGATGTGTAGTGGAAGTGGGAGGAATTGGAAACATGTAACAATGGAATGACAGTTTGAATTTGAAGAAGAAAAAAAACAGAAAACAATTGGGGGGAGAATAACACACCGGAAACACACACACACACAAAACTAAAACAATAAATTAATTAAGAAGCAATAATTAAGAATTATGCAAATTGGCAACAATTTAACGAACACTTTCTTTCTTTCTTTCTTTTTTTGCTCGTGGGAGATCAATTATTGGGTTGGCAACAATTTGAGTTTGACTTCCGAGGCGCTCATTTCTCCATGTCCTCAATCAGAATTTTCGCCTCCTCGTAGCTGTTTTTCGATTGCAACGCTTTGGTGAAGAAGATGATGGCGGTGAAAAAGATGAGCACGGCTGAAATCGGCGATATTGAATGAGCAACACAAATTGTGTGTTACCCGGAATGCATAGGTAGACTTGCTCTTTGGCAACGGTGAGGATCACGATGGTCAAGCTCACCGATGAGGCGAACAGAATTGCGGCAAATAGGAAATGGATGATCATTTGCTTGTGGTTCTGCAATTCAATTTTTGAAGGGGAATTGAGTTCGCCGACAAATTTGAAATGATTTGTTGTCTTTTTGGATTATCGATAAAAAAAATTTGAAAGAATTATGACATTTTTTTTAATTTGAAATTGTAAACAATCTGCGGACATTCTTCCGGGTCCACTTACATATTCCCCAATTGCGATCGAAGAATAGCAAAATGGGCATGTGACAAGTCCGTTCAATGAGTGAAACTGGAAAAAAGAAAACAATTCGGTTCAGCGTTTGTTTTATTCCTCTCATCATTGACTTACCAGGAACTGTTCCTCACAATGCGGACATTCATATCTTGGGCATGTGACTTCTTTCGGGTATCTCACTTTCGATAGATTCGGCCCGGCCGGATACGGTGGCAGCGGTTCGAACGGGAACACCTGTCCCGGCGGCCATGAGAAGTTGGACGACGGCTTCTCATCCAACTCGTTGTGCACGAAGAAGCTCGTCGATGTCGCCGACATGACGCTAGCCGAGCTGCTCATATCGGAATCGTCTGAAGCGAAAAAAGAAATTGAGAGATTGTGCGTACACAAATTATTTTTTTAAAGAGGATTAGGCTAGAATAAAAGAAGTGAGCTTTAGACCCCCCCCCCTAGACAAATACGGATAAGGGAGAATAAGAATTTGGCGGATTTAAGACGCCCTAGAAATTGTAAATGGAAAACAAAAACTGCTGAACGAGTTGCGAAAGCAGTGTCGACCTCACTCGCCATTCATTCGGATTAAAAAACCGAACTGATAAGGCTTTTTTTTTTGTCAAAGACACATCAAGGAAGGCGTTGGTTCATGTTTTGGATTGGATCAAGGGTCTGAATTGCAATTGTGAATTTTTGGAAATATGGGAGCATCGGAATTCCTCCCTGCGATGGCATGAATCAGCCAGAACGGAGTTTCGCAATATCGTGTTGAACCCCCTTTAAGAGAATAATAATGAAAATATTGATTATTGAATTTTTTCAAATTAAAATGCAAAAAAGGTATATTGAAAAAAATTGTGATTTTTGAACAAAAAAAAAATCGAATAACCTTTTTGCGAAAAAGCTTAGAGTTTCCAAAATTAGTGAACACCAAAAATCGCAGCGCTAATTAATTAATTATTTGGAGAGAAGTGAATGAGAGGGACGAAATGTGTTTTTAAAAATAAATATTCGACGTTTTCATTTGCGCGACGGCACAGTTTACCGAACGGATCAATCTTTTTCGGTGCTTCTTCGTCTTCTTCTTATTCTTCTCCACGAATGAATTGAAACAATAATGTTGTTATTCGCAAATATTATGAGTGGAAGCGCGAGGCGCGAGAAGCTTCAAACATTCTGCAGTGGGAATTTTCAGCGGCGATCAACAACGGTCTTGCAGGAATTTTTCAACTATTCGACAATCTTGATCATGATAGTCCTTGAATTTTAAAGGAGCATACCAAGGTTTAAAAAATAGGAATATTAGATTTTCAAGATTTTTTGAAAACCAAACAATTTTTTTTTGCAAAATTCTCGTCAAGACCCATAACGATTTAAAAACGAGAACACTGATTGATTTGCAATTTATTTTGAGAGGAATTTGAAGAGATGCATTTTTAAAAGAGGAAAATTTAAGAATAATCAAATGTGTGCAATTTTGCGTGCGCGTGTATGACACATTAATGGATGGGAAGCGGATGGCGCATTTTTGAATGTTTCCTTTAAGCCAACCAAATTCTTTTTTAAGGCATGAAAAAAATAATATCGTATGCCCTCACGTTCAAATTTCTTCATCTAATATTTTTTTGGAAATGATCAATTCGCGACAAGACCTCTCCCAGCTGACACACTGTATGTATACAATTCGGATTTAAAAACAAAAAGTCAACATTGCCGTTTCAATCATAACAAAAATATCGCAAAGAACAGTTTAAAAATGAGAGGCAACCGCAAAAACACTGGATGGTGAGAAAACCGCAATGTTAATAAGTTTCCGGCGACGGTTTGCCGAATGATAAGATTCATTTTTATTTTGGGGATCTCTGGTCATCAAACTACAGTAATCAAACAGCAATAATAATAATAAATGATGGTGTTCAATGATTTGGGTTGGAGTGTCAGCATCGATTTTCAATTTTATAGTTCCTCATAAAATGATTAGTGTAAAATTTTCGAGAGGGAAGAAGAAATTGAGAATTTGGTTTGGCAAAACTGTGTTGAGAAATTGGTTGCAAGAAAAAATTGGAGCTTGAGAATCATTGTTTTGTTGAAATTGAATTACAGCTACGAAAATTGTGATCTCGAAACACACACAAACCAATTTTCGATGAGAGAATGTAAAACTGTAGCATAGGTGTCGAAAACGAGGAGAAAATTTTCGGAAGACGAGAAACGCATTTCGGTGCGGCGGAAAACGCGTTCGTTTAGAAAGATAGATGACCGGAAAACGATAAAAAAAACACACACACACATACGAGTAGAAGCAAACAAGCGATGAAATAAGGCCAACAACGCTTCATCGCCATTTTCGGAAGTCAAATTCTAATCAAGTTTATTACCACCCGCGTTTCGACGAATGCCACAAAATCAACAATTCACGATGAATGTGGGGGGAGGTTGAAAGAGGTTAGAATTGTGAAGACGTCGAAAATGTGGCGACAGCGAGAGATTCGGAATCGATAAAAAAATGGGGGGGGGGGGAATATGTGTGGTTGATCGGCGACGCCCCCGACAAACCCGCTCGCGCGCGCGCGCGCGACCCAACCGATTGATATCTTCTTGTGATATAAAACCGTTTTGTCCTCGATCGCAAATTATTATTATTATTATTATTATTATTATGCCGAATTGATATCATTCGCAATTCGCTAAGGATTAGGAATTTTTCGACGAGCAAGATTAGTCGAAATGCACTTGGTGTTGTTGGATCAATTTTTTTCGGCATGCGCCGGTAGCCTATTATTGATCGGATTTAATCCGACCACATTCAGGAAGGTGAACATTTTTGAATAATCCAATACACTATTTTTTATGTATATTTGTTTTTTGCAAAATACATCAGCTAGTAAAGTTTGAATCGATGGGGGGTGGGACTGGATGAGCCGATTTTTGAGTCTTGCAAAGATGAGAATTACTGTAGCTATCCAAGGAAGAAATACGATTGGAGGTTGTGATTTCAATCGCCTTTTAAGGGTAAAGATTTTCTAAAAAATCACTAATAAATCAAATTGAGTGAAAGTTCTTCAAGTTTTTACGATAGCGAAAATTCTCACATCTGGACTGGAACAGAACACATGTGAACTATCTAGACATAAACAAATATATGAGTATATGTACTCATGTTTGACATATGCAAAAAAAAATGATAATCGGATCGATTTTGAGCGGCGATTACGGTAGGCATTGTTGACCTCCTACCTGATGCACCAAACATACACATGAGGTGGGCGGGGGGAAATAGTTTAATTAAACACGCTAGTTTCCGCCTGATTGTTTCATTTATGGCATTGTTTATGTGGAAAAAAAAAACTCGAAAGACACAACAAACATCGAAAGGAACACCGAAAAAAAAATGTTTGAACTTGAGCTTCTTGGGGCCAATTTTTTGAATCGATCTCATAAATTCTTTGTTCTTGAAATTGAGAAAAAATGCCATATTTCAATGAGAATTCATCAAGAATTATCAAATGTGTGCAATTTTGCGTGCGTGTGCGTACACAGAACTTTTCTGTCTTCTACAAATTAGAAAAAAATACTTTTACCGTGTATAGATTATTTTTTAACTGACAAAACTGGCATATGAAGCTTAATGCAAAAATGAACACACCTTGAAGCGAACTGACGTCGATCATTGCAGAAGAGTGATGGGTTCAATTCTCTGGAAAACAATTTGGCAATTTATTGAATACAATAAAGAATAAAGGAAATGGGAAAAAAATGATGAAAAGGTTGAAATGATAAATTGGGAGAATAAAGGAAGCGGGGAGGTGACGAATTGAAGGAGAATTGAGAAATGACATTTTTTGTTTTTAATGGGAATTTTAGAAGCATTTTATTGTCATCATTTCTTAATTATAATGGTGATGTTGAGAAGAGAAAAACTCGAAAAACCAAAAATTCAGTTTTTTATTTGCATTGGGTTTTCAGAGTTTCATGATAGATTTTTAAAGATACACTTTTTTTAAAATTTTTTTGGTACCATGGAAAAACTATTTTTTTAAAATTATTTTTATTGTCGCGACTTCAGAAAATTGACAAAATTCCAAAAAAAATTATGACAGTGGTCTTGGCGAAAAACTTAAAGTGTAGATTTACGGGCAGTGTATAGGTTAAAGGAGCACACCGCGCATCAAGACCTTTTTTGCCAAATTTCCATTTATTTTTTGATACCCGATTTTTGAGATTTCCCGCTAATGTGAGCCAGCCTGGAGCAGACTAGAAAAAAAACTGAAAATCAGAAATCAAGGAGCTTGAGCAATTAAGGTAATTCAAGAGTACGTTCGGTTTTCTTTTTCATTAGTGGGGAGTGAGTCTCAAAAAAGTTGAGAGGTCGAGGCATAAAAGATCGAGGATTAATCAACGGGGGATGAGGGCGCTTATTTTTCAGAGCCACGTTTTCCGGACCGGACGAATTCAAAAACTTTGGGACGAACGACGAGCAAGAAGCTGAAGAATGGGAGGTGGGGGGGGGAATGAAGAAGAAGAAGAGAGGCGAAAAAAAAAAATGTAGTGTGTGCATCGAACAGAATAAATGAAAAGAGTAAACAAAAACATGGAAAAAAATAGGAGAGCGATTTTTTTTTTGCTTGCCATTTTTTTTTTGGGGCACCCCCAAAAATTATTCATGAGAACGCTGTGGAATTAATTTTTTTTCTCGTGGACATTCGCCATATTTCTCAATTAGGCTTTTGAAGATGAGGACCCGCGAGAAACAAAAAAAAGTGAATTCCAGAGAACACACACACACACATAGATTTCGTGTTATGTTTACTATTGACTGCATAATTAAGGATGCTTGCCATCGAAGTATGGCGCGAAGAGGACACACACTTTTCTCTCGACATGCTTTTGTTTCTGTTTTTTTTTTTCTGAAAAAAATAGGGATGGAGTTTGAAAATGATGGTCTCGATGGTACTCGGACCCGATTTTCTTATTGGAATTCTGGAGAGAAGGCGATGTTCAGAAAATTGTAGGGGTCGCCTTGGGTCTTGTTTGGAATTTTTCCAGATGGAATAATAATTGAAAAAGAAAAATGAGTCTTGGTCATTAAGAAAATGAGCCAACTTTTTTTGGGAAAGAAATTCAAATTGCGATTTTTGGTAATTCGAATGTTCGAAAAAAATTCTAAGCTCAAAAAGTTGTCTCTCTCAAAAACGCTTTTCACTAGAACCTCATCAATTCAGTTTCAAACAATTTTCACAAAAGCAACCAGTTATGAAAAGTTTCAAGAAGCCGAACAACTACTGCAAAGTACAACAATGAGAATTAGTCGAGTGGAACCGTTTGTTTTAAACTTTCGAACATGG